TAACACCCTAACACCCTAACACCCTAACACCCTACACCCTAACACCCTAACACCCTACACCCCCCCTAACACCCTAACACCCTAACACCCTAACACCCTAACACCCTAACACCCTAACACCCTAACACCCTAACACCCTAACACCCTAACACCCTAACACCCTAACACCCTAACACCCTAACACCCTACACCCTAACACCCTAACACCCTAACACCCTAACACCCTAACACCCTAACACCCTAACACCCTAACACCCTAACACCCTAACACCCTAACACCCTAACCACCCTAACACCCTAACACCCCTAACACCCTAACACCCTAACACCCTAACACCCTAACACCCTAACACCCTAACACCCTAACACCCTAACACCCTAACACCCTAACACCCTAACACCCTAACACCCTAACACCCTAACACCCTAACACCCTAACACCCTAACACCCTAACACCCTAACACCCTAACACCCTAACACCCTAACACCCTAACACCCTAACACCCTAACACCCTAACACCCTAACACCCTAACACCCTAACACCCTAACACCCTAACACCCTAACACCCTAACACCCTAACACCCTAACACCCTAACACCCTAACACCCTAACACCCTAACACCCTAACACCCTAACACCCTAACACCCTAACACCCTAACACCCTAACACCCTAACACCCTAACACCCTAACACCCTAACACCCTAACACCCTAACACCCTAACACCCTAACACCCTAACACCCTAACACCCTAACACCCTAACACCCTAACACCCTAACACCCTAACACCCTAACACCCTAACACCCTAACACCCTAACACCCTAACACCCTAACACCCTAACACCCTAACACCCTAACACCCTAACACCCTAACACCCTAACACCCTAACACCCTAACACCCTAACACCCTAACACCCTAACACCCTAACACCCTAACACCCTAACACCCTAACACCCTAACACCCTAACACCCTAACACCCTAACACCCTAACACCCTAACACCCTAACACCCTAACACCCTAACACCCTAACACCCTAACACCCTAACACCCTAACACCCTAACACCCTAACACCCTAACACCCTAACACCCTAACACCCTAACACCCTAACACCCTAACACCCTAACACCCTAACACCCTAACACCCTAACACCCTAACACCCTAACACCCTAACACCCTAACACCCTAACACCCTAACACCCTAACACCCTAACACCCTAACACCCTAACACCCTAACACCCTAACACCCTAACACCCTAACACCCTAACACCCTAACACCCTAACACCCTAACACCCTAACACCCTAACACCCTAACACCCTAACACCCTAACACCCTAACACCCTAACACCCTAACACCCTAACACCCTAACACCCTAACACCCTAACACCCTAACACCCTAACACCCTAACACCCTAACACCCTAACACCCTAACACCCTAACACCCTAACACCCTAACACCCTAACACCCTAACACCCTAACACCCTAACACCCTAACACCCTAACACCCTAACACCCTAACACCCTAACACCCTAACACCCTAACACCCTAACACCCTAACACCCTAACACCCTAACACCCTAACACCCAACACCCTAACCCCTAACACCCTAACACCCTAACACCCTAACACCCTAACACCCTAACACCCTAACACCCTAACACCCTAACACCCTAACACCCTAACACCCTAACACCCTAACACCCTAACACCCTAACACCCTAACACCCTAACACCCTAACACCCTAACACCCTAACACCCTAACACCCTAACACCCTAACACCCTAACACCCTAACACCCTAACACCCTAACACCCTAACACCCTAACACCCTAACACCCTAACACCCTAACACCCTAACACCCTAACACCCTAACACCCTAACACCCTAACACCCTAACACCCTAACACCCTAACACCCTAACACCCTAACACCCTAACACCCTAACACCCTAACACCCTAACACCCTAACACCCTAACACCCTAACACCCTAACACCCTAACACCCTAACACCCTAACACCCTAACACCCTAACACCCTAACACCCTAACACCCTAACACCCTAACACCCTAACACCCTAACACCCTAACACCCTAACACCCTAACACCCTAACACCCTAACACCCTAACACCCTAACACCCTAACACCCTAACACCCTAACACCCTAACACCCTAACACCCTAACACCCTAACACCCTAACACCCTAACACCCTAACACCCTAACACCCTAACACCCTAACACCCTAACACCCTAACACCCTAACACCCTAACACCCTAACACCCTAACACCCTAACACCCTAACACCCTAACACCCTAACACCCTAACACCCTAACACCCTAACACCCTAACACCCTAACACCCTAACACCCTAACACCCTAACACCCTAACACCCTAACACCCTAACACCCTAACACCCTAACACCCTAACACCCTAACACCCTAACACCCTAACACCCTAACACCCTAACACCCTAACACCCTAACACCCTAACACCCTAACACCCTAACACCCTAACACCCTAACACCCTAACACCCTAACACCCTAACACCCTAACACCCTAACACCCTAACACCCTAACACCCTAACACCCTAACACCCTAACACCCTAACACCCTAACACCCTAACACCCTAACACCCTAACACCCTAACACCCTAACACCCTAACACCCTAACACCCTAACACCCTAACACCCTAACACCCTAACACCCTAACACCCTAACACCCTAACACCCTAACACCCTAACACCCTAACACCCTAACACCCTAACACCCTAACACCCTAACACCCTAACACCCTAACACCCTAACACCCTAACACCCTAACACCCTAACACCCTAACACCCTAACACCCTAACACCCTAACACCCTAACACCCTAACACCCTAACACCCTAACACCCTAACACCCTAACACCCTAACACCCTAACACCCTAACACCCTAACACCCTAACACCCTAACACCCTAACACCCTAACACCCTAACACCCTAACACCCTAACACCCTAACACCCTAACACCCTAACACCCTAACACCCTAACACCCTAAAAAATGCAGACTTAGAATAAAATTTGATTTTAATAAGCAGCCATTATAATAATTATATATGCATGATTGTGCACATTTCTTTAACTTTATTCTGTGAATTGCACTTTGGGAAACATTAAAGCTGCCATTAAAAGAATTTTTGTAGTAGATTTTTTAACAAAAGAGTAGTTAAAAATAACAAGCTGAAGGAAAAAGTCTTTGCATACTTTAGCCAACGTTAAATGAATTAAGAAAAGGCATTGAAAAGCTTTTGGAAGCAGGCTTAGACGAACTAAGAAAGAAGATATCTGAATTTTAAATAGACCAAATGACCTAGAATTAGAGCAAGATTTTAGAAGAGCCTGTTCAAAGTACAATAGGATGTCTATGTTGACGATCAACTCTTCAGCAAGCTTATCAAGATTATACTAATACTTATGGCCAAAAAACATCTCTTTACACAATTAAAGAATATGACAACAGAATTAATTTGATTATTTATGATATAGAAATGATATTAAGGAAATCAGGATAGTAGAGACTCGATTATGCCACTTGCATTACTCAGCTTTTTAACGGTAATTTACTTTGCCTTGGCAATTATTAGTGCATTGGCAGTCCTCATAATCATATAAGCAATCTTCATTACTGCATTCCGGTTTATATATTTCATTTTCAATCATTATTGGAAAACACCATCAGCACGCCCACAATAATGATTATCAAGTCAGAATCCCAATTATTGCAGGCTCCATCACAATTACCATTTCATAGTATATTATTTAAGCAGCCAGGGCCGCAAGTGCAATCTCCTCCAGTCAAAGCCACAATTTTGAGTATTAAAAGAATCGTCACATATACCATTTCAAAGGCTTTCTGGCCACAACAATCGGAATTAATGCAAGTCTTATAGTAATCAGAGTTTTGTTCGATATTTTGTCTGCCAAATATAATTAAAGTATCAAAGTTGTAGGATGGATTCATGCATTCAGAATCACATTTGTGATTGCCTTTCTAAATTAAAATTACTCTGATATCTGGGCATTAAGTTAGACTGCATATAAGGTTTATGCCTTTAGCCAGTTATAGAACTAGCTATATAATTCATTTATTTATATTTTTGTATTACATAAAATCCTAATCAAGGTTCAGACTTATTCTCTGAAAAATTAAGAATTAGCATTCTCACAGTAAATAATTCTAATTTATTTTCCTCGATAAAGGCATCAAAATCGCATAGAGACTATTTTCTGTCAAGAAATAGATAGAAATTTTTAATTTTACCTAATAAATCTGCTCTTTAGCCCTTCAATCATCCTTTATATTAAAACCCATTAATATCTGAGTAGAGATTCGATATTCTTTATCTAAAACAAATTATTATTCTTATTAGCTAAATACATAAAATGGTATAAGGCAAACAATTTTTTCTTTTAGTCACGGATCCTTGTGTATGCTGTCCATAGTTTTTAAATCCGATTATAGCCCAATGATGTTTAGTTGCTTCAAAGCGAGAGACATGAGATTCTTTAGCGCTGATTAAAGCCCTGAACCTTAGGGTAGTTAATTGCATCTTTTTACATGTAGTGAAAAGCAAGTGGAAGTCTGTTATGAAGTAGACCTGCTCAAGCGGCTTTGGTCATTTGCCCCCGAATTGAGAAAGTTGTTGAGTTTTATTCTTTGAGTAACGAGGGAAATAGGGGAGTCAAATTAGACAGCTTCCTGACATACGCAAAGGGTTTCTCTAAAAAGGGCTCTTAAAAACGATAGCGCTCTAGCCTGAGAATATTTCAGGTTGGCATTAAAAAAGGTGACGTTTTGCGAAAGGAAAAGTGATATCAGAAATTTTTTCTGATAATATCACTTCCAAAACCAGGGTTTGGCCAGGCTTAAAGAAGACGGTAGCACTCTGCCTCCCTACAGAATAAAATGGGGACTTTGAATATCTTCTGAATTAATCTAATCTTAAGTCCTCTTATACACAGTAACGTTTGTTGGAGGAAATGATAAGCTTTAATTAAAATCTTTTTTTAAGAGAGTTTGGTTATAATAAGAAGGTAAATTCAAATAAAAAATTCATATGCACAAAGGTGATTTAACTGAACCGCTTGCTTGTAGGTTAAGAATAAAGGATAATTAAAATATTAAATTTTTATTTTAGAGAGTTGCTACTTGAGAAACTTTCTTAGAAGCAAGATCAAATTTCCAAAGCTGATTTGTATAAACAACGAAGTAAAGGCAGCCTTTATAGCGAGCAACGCTTGATTGATTAAGATATATTGAAATGCTATTAGTCCCTATTTGAGTTCAGTTTAAAATATTGTTTTCAGCACTTTCGAAAATCCTTCCCCCTTTCTCAAATAAATAAACTCTATTATTTCCTCTCAGCATAAATTTATTGCATTTAACAGTTAAGACCAAATTTGGGACTTCTTGATAGTTATTTTGAACTATGCTATAAATTATCACTTTTTGAGTATAATAGCCCGTTATAATAATCAAATCTCTATATAAAACACTGCAGCCAGAATTAAAATTCAAACCCTGAGGTAGTGGAGCTATGCTTTTCCATAAGTCTTGCTTAAAATCATACCTTTCAGCCAAGTTATTCTGTCCTCCTATTAAATAGATAAAATTCTTACAAAAGATAGGATCAACATAGTATAGCTCAGGGCCTCTTTAGATCACTCTAGACTAAAGCAAGCCCTTCAACTTTAAATCACTCAGTGCCAACTTAATTTCACCAGTTGGCAAGCGAAAAAAATAACTCTTGTAAGGAGTTGACTCGACAACTGTTGATGTCTGAATCAACTCCACATTTGGAAGGACTCATTTATATATCAGGAGGATCTAAAAAAGGCACAGGACTACAATTAGATTTTGATTTCTGGAGCTATTTAACATTTTTATTTTTGTCAATAGTAAACGTAAGACCTGAACTACTATTCAAATTGCAACAATAAAAATAAGTATGGTCAGGGAGTATGCAGCTTCTAGCGTATCCGTGAATTGATTCTTGGGTTGGAAGAGTTACAGTAGAAGAAATCTGGAAAGTATCTAAGTTTATAGTTGCAAAATTAGAAGTGCTGCATCTAAAAAATGAAAGCTCATTTGAGGTAATAGTATCATATCTAAAGGGATTAAAAGGTATTTCATAAGTTTTACTAATTGCTGCATTTATATCTTTATAGTCTAAATAGCATTCTTTTATATCTCATTCAGCCATCTTATGCTGAACATTTGAAGCGCTGCATTTAAGCACACTTTCCATATCATTTTCATTAGCAACATCAAGAGCCTTTTCTCCGCTATATAAAAACTGTATCATTTTATTGCATCTTTGCTCTGTCTCATTTATTTGATCGATATATTTCCCAAAAGCAGTTTTAAAATCCTTGATGATTTTCTTTGCGTTTTTAATTCCTTCAATTTTGTAGTTTTTGATATTGTCTTAGGAGGTTTTTGCTCATCTCTTCATCTTTAAATCACTAATTGTTTAAGGAAAATTATAAAGATAAAATGACACAAACGAAAAGTTATTATTAAGCTCTATCTTTTTTGAGTGCTATTAGTTTATCAATAATTGGCTGCTTAATTTCTTCTGCTGGCTTAAAGTAAAAATTTAGACACTGGTGCCTTTTAAAAGATTCTTTTGAAAAGTGTTCAAGGCTGTGCTTTTTACAAAATAAGGCCATGTCATTTTCCATAAAGTTTGTTTGCACAGCCATCTTTGAAGCATCTTCTACTAATCATAATTATAGAATCATAATGGCTTATTTAATTTAAAGATTTAGCAATAAATAGTCCAGTTTTAAGCTATTCAATTCACTATTTTTTTTACTTAATCGAATTTTATTCTCTCAGAGAAAGATTATAACCCTGATTATGCTATCATATTTATGCTCTTACTCTTATATTTCCTATTAGATTCTTAACATCCAACAAAGGCATATTTTTCTCTTTTATTAATTAAAATAAATGCTCTAAGTTTTTATAGGTAATTATTTATATCCTACTTTTTAATTCAATGCTTTGCATATTATCAAATTATTGCTAAAATGCCTCTTTATTGGTATAATTAGCAAAAGGGTGTTTAATTTTTATTAGCAAACACTCTGAAAGCTCCACAGTGAACAAACTACTAGAATTTTGAATGGATTATTATCTGTTCTATCAAATTTCATCCAAGGATTTCTTCAGCAAAATTAAGAATTTTAATTAGATTTTGATAGGAGATATAAGATATCTTAAGCTTAAAGAAAAATAGAATATAAAAAGTCTCTAATTCTTTGGATTGCTGAGATCTTAATAGCAAAATCTTAGCAAAATAGATAATCTATAAATAGTATAAGAGCTAACAGATTAATTATCCAACTTTTTTTCGGATAAAGGATAATGATTTATTAAAGTGCAAAACTCTTTATTTAGAAAGTTGCTACCTGAGAAACTCGCTTAGAAGCAAGATCAAATTTCCACAGTTCATTTTTATAATGAACGAAATAAAGGCAGCATTTATACTGAACAGCACTTGATTGAAGTGGGTTATTATTTGGAAGGTTATTATTTCAAAGTTGATTCCAACTTAAAATATTGTTTTCAGAGCTTTCGAAAATCCTTCCGCCTTTCTCAAATAAATAAACTCTATTGTTTCCTTTCAACATAAATTTATGATAATTTGCATTTAACACCAGATTTGGGATTTCTTGGTATTTATTTTGAATTATGCTATAAATAATCATTTTTTGGATAAAATAGCTTGTTATAAGAATCGAATCTCTATATAATGTCTTGCAGCTAAGTGTAAAATCCAAATCCTGAGGTGGTGGAGCCATACTTTCCCATAAGTTTTGTTTAAAATTATACCTTTCTGCCAATTTATTCTACCCTCCAATTAAATAGATAAAATTATTAAAAAAAAAGATAGGATCAGCTAGCTCGCCTCCGTGAGCGAACAAAATCATTGGAAAATCCCTATTTTTTGCCCAAAAGCCCAACATGAACGATTGAATACATTATAACGAAGTCTCTATCTAATTCTGTTTAATTTTAAACAGCTTGCATTTTAAAACCTCAATTTTACAAATTAAATTAATATTTGCTTTTAAATTTTTGTTAATTTGGGATTTTTTAAATTTCTAAAAAAAAATTACTTTAAAATTTTTAAATAACCCCTCTTCGTAAGAACAAAATTTTTTTGTTCACTCATGGTGGAAAGTAAGTAATTATTTTTCGATTTTCTCAGCAGTTTCACGTTTTTATTTTTGTCAATTATAAATGTTAATCCTGATCTATTGTTTGGACTACAGCAATAAAAATAAGAATGATCAGGAAGTATACAGCTTCTAGTGTATCCGTGAATTGGTTCTTGAGTTGGAAGAGTTACTTTAGAAGAAATTTGGAAGTTTTCTAAGTTTATAGTAGCAAAATCCGAAGTATTATGCATAAAATACGAAAGCTCACTTGATTCAATGACATCCTCTAAAGGTTTTCTAAAAGGATTAAAAGGTATTTCATAAGTATTTCTAATTGCTACATTTATATCTTTATAGTCCAAGTAGCACTCTTTTATATCTCATCCAGCCATCTCACGCTGAGCGTCTGAAATGTTAAGTTTAAGCACACTCTCTATCTCGCCTTCAGTAGCTAAGTCAAAGTCACTATAAATAATTTTAAGCATTTTATTGCATCTTGCTTCTGCCTCATTAATCTGGCAAACATATTTTTCAAAAGCAGAATTATAATTTATATTTATTTTGCACGAAGCTTTAATATAATCAATAATTTTTATTCTCTAAAATTATAAAAAAATAAATTTAAGCTTCAAAAAACAAAACAGAGCTGATGTCTCTTAATAAAAAAGCTAAATATCAATAAAATTCTTTATGATTTTATTTGCGTTTTTTATTGCCTCAATTTTGTATTTTTTGATATAGTATCAGGAGATTTTCTCATATCATATATCTACAAATTATAGCTATCAAATAAAAACCGACAAAATTACTTCCTAAATAAACTTGCATAAAAAGGCTCAAGTTAAATTTCTTTTTTTTATATATCTTTTTTGAGTTCTTTTAGTTTCTTGATGATTGGATAATTGATTTCTTCTGTTGGCTTGGGGAAAAGTCTTATTAATTGATGCCCTTTAGAACTTGATTTTTCTAAGTGCTCAAAGCTGTGCTTTTTGCAAAATAGGATGATGCCGTCACATTCACACTTTCCATGAAGTCTATTTGCACACCCATCTTTGAAGCATCGACCGCTGAGCATATTTATTAAAAAATGAAAATTCAAGAATTATTAAACTATATCGCATGCATTACTCAAATTCCAAGTGATGAATTATTTTGCTTGGGTGAAAACCAAGCTTCTGAGTTAGCTTGATAAATAGAAATTTTAAAGTCAAATAATTGCAATCTGGGTACGAGAATTCACTAGTATATTTTTAATTCGTTATTTTTACTGATTTTTAAACTATTCTTTTCTATTAGCAAAATAATATTAAAAAAATAACTTTAATTTAAAATTGGCATGAATTTGTCAATAAATAGCAGTTTTACATAATAATATTTATTATTTATTTATAGTTACATATTTAAAGGAAAATGACAAATTAATGAAAGACATCTGCTTCTGATAGTTATAGTATCTTAAATTGAACTGGCAATCTAAAATATAGACTGATATTAATTGCAAACCATGAATTATTAACTTAAAAACTATATCTATTTTAACAGAAATATCTATTGTCTTGAAGAATATCATGATTTATCTCTATCAGAAAAATTTGATTTCCTATTGCATTTTATAATTAATTAGGTGGTGTTGACGAAATATGTCCTCGGCGGAGTCGCGCCACTATGGACGCCAAAATGGTTTTATAAACTAAACCATGTTTCAGGCCCTTTGGTCCTAACCATTAGCATGCGTTATGGCTGTCGCATGGGGTGGGTAACCCTTGGGAGTCAATTTGTGACCATTCCAGTCCAGTATTAGTTACGGATGGCTTTTGGGGCCACGGATCTTTTCCTTCCAGTTCGTAGCTATTTTTTCATGTGTCACTGATCCTCAAGGTGGCAGACTGGAGGCATCAGTTTGACCTTACCTCCATAGCACCAAGTAAGAAGAGTCTTTCTAACCTGTCAAGACTTAGGGATGACAGTGCAACCCCAAGTCCGAGAGCAGACCACTGTTGAGACAGGGTTCGGGCGACTGAATTCCTTCAGCAAGTAGGCTCCGGCGATCGCAAATCTGCGGAGTCATCAAATATAGAAGACTTTAAGCTCTTTAAACTTAATCTTATTTCATTTTGTTGAAAAAAAAATTATATGGGATATTAGGTATATATGTATTTGAAAAGCCCATATATTAATTAAAATTTTATAATAAGATTTGAGCTGCATGTTAGAGCTTTCTTATATACAATTAGACTTTTAAAATACCCATTAATTAAATTTCGAAATAAAAGGGTTGGCAGCTTTAAATTCTTCATCACTTAATCCCCATTCGATAAAAATATTATTTCAGCGTCATTTTATAATATTTAGGATTAAAAGCATAATAAAATATTATTTTTATCATGAGGATTTAAAGTAAATTCAAGAGTCTTACTAATTTCTCCAGACAATTTTTCTACTACAATGTTAACTACTCTAGCTCCATTAGGAACTCCTTGAACCACCATATAATTGCTATATCCTCTTCCCTTCCAAATTGCATCAACATAAATATCGAAGTGCCTCACAAATTCAGGAATCATCTCATAACCCAGCTCGATTTCAATATCAAAAACATCCTCCCCACCAAAGCTTTTAACATTCCACAAAATTCTTTTTTCTTTTATTCCTAATTGGAAATCAGATGGTTTTATATCGAAATGCAGCCCGCCAAGATAACTATCTCCATTATTTTCAATACAAATCATACCTATAACTTCAGAAACCTCATTATAATAGTATTCATCAACATCCCAGCCATTGTCTTTTTCTTTAGTAATTTTATTATGCAAAATGATTTGATTATTGGTGTCTTTTAATATCAATTTTGCATTGCCTTGATAAATAATTTTGATAGAAAAAGAAGGTATAGTCTGAGCATCCTTATGGCTTGGGCTATATCGACGTCTCCTAGTGCTAACTGAAGTTTGGGTTTTATCAGCAAATGTTGGTAAACCCAATTCCTGATTGACGTCGGGAAACATGGGGGTAGCCCAAGCCAATGGAGGCATGGGCTATAACTGTAAATTCATATGAAAAAGATCAATATTCCTCTGCTGAAGCTTAAGAGAGCTTGTGCCATGATAAACCACTTCTTGATTGAAAGGATTTTCCACAAGAACAGAGTAGTCAGGTAGCTGATCTCCATCTCTTACAGAGTTCCAAGAATTCTCTGAAATAACTCTCCCTCTGGAGTACAATTTTCTTCCTTGGCATTCATTAAACCAAGTGTTTATAGGCTCTGTGAATTTTTTTATATAAAAGCAGTCCAGCAAAGATCCTCCAGCTGCTTTTACAACCACATTCGTATCCTTAAATCTTGCACCATAATACCCTTGCCAATATTCCGCATCTTGTCCTTGCTCAATCCACCTTACAACTGCAACATCATGAACAGGAATTTCTAGTGATATTAATTTTCACTGATCACTAGCAATCCTTTCATTTGAGGTTGCTGACATAATCATCCTCCCATTACTATCAAAAGCTTCTAAAGTGACCAAAAATGGGTCATTCACATTCGGACCAGTCCCTTTCACCAAAACTTTTCCTACAACCCCTTCATTTTTTAAGAGGCCAAATTTAGATAAATTGACTTCAACAACTCTTCTCGTTGGCATAAAACTTGAAACAAATTCAAAATCATCAGTAATTTCCCATTGTGAATTCTTATTTGGGGTTTGTACTCAGGCATGGGTAAAAACCTCAACTTTTCAGCCTGACAAAGCTTCATTTTTGGATAATTTTGGTCTGTCTTTATAAATTTCTCCAAACTTGTCTATAATTGGGACTACAGATTGATGCCATAGCAGCTGATTTAAATTTAAAAATCCATCACGATTTCCCCCTGATTTTTCATAAGACCAGCCAGGAGCGAAAAGTGCGACAGAAGTATTAGGACAGTCTTGGGCTCCAATTCTTGAATTGAACATTCCTCCGCCCCAAGTGCCTCTGCCATGAACATCAGTTCCAGTGTAGACTTTTCAGTTTCTTGAGCCTGCCATATTGACTGACTCTTGAGGCATTCCAGGCCTTCAATGATAATCAGTGAAAAATGCGTCACAGTTATTGAAGAATTCTATATTTTCAGGGCATAATTTGCTTTTCCATGAAATTTTTCCATTGAGGATAACACTATCGTACCACATGATGCAAGAATCGTCACCAAATCTGCTATGAGCTAATGCAGTTAAAAGTCCGACGAAATCTAACAAATCGCGAGGTCTGTTAGTTTCGCATTCAAAATTGAGCAGCCACCCATCAAATCCATAAAATTCCATTAAATCAATCAATTTTGTTGCATATAGCTCAGGATTGTCTAGTAAAATTGCAGTTTCTTTTGACCCTTCATCTCATTCTGTAATTAAAGTGCCTAAGCATTTTGCCCCATTTCTATGAGCCCATTCTGTCCACCCAGGTGGAGGAATAGTAACTCTGGAATGAGAAAAATATATAAAAATATTCGTCCTAGCCCATTGATAATATTTAAAAGTACATTCCATAGAATTTTGCCTTTTATCGATTTTATAATTACTTCCCATATCATGACAAATACATAATTCCCTTTCATGCGTCGGCGAATGTTTTTTTAGAGGGATTCTGCTTGCATTCATTTTGTCAGTCGCCTTTCAGTGGAGAAATTCTTCTAACTCCACCCCCCTTTAATTGAAACAAAAATAGGCAAAATTTCGAATTTTTAGATATTTTAACCCAGCCTTTAATTGGAGCAATTTTTTTTAATATGAAAATTTTTATCTAATTTAATGAAAAATTAACTAAAATATTAATTAAAAGCTTTCAAGCAAATCGGATAATTTTCTTACCAATAAATTAAAATTCAAAAATATGTTCATTTTATAATTTTTAATCTTGCAAAATTTAAAAAATAATTAACCCCCTTTCAATTAGGAGGTTTTTTTTTCATTAAAGGGGGAGTAAAGAGTGAAATGGACGAGATGATAGAGATTCATGATACTCTAAAATATCAAATGAGGGGTAAGGAGAAAACTTTGGGACTGCGATCAAGCCTCTAAAACGATCAGATCCAATTGTAAAATATTGAAAGGATGCTTGCAGAAGAGGACCTCTAAAAGGATTTTCTTGGCCTTGCAAAGATCCATTTATTAGGATGCTTGATACGTCTTCTTGATTGTGGATTGTTATTGTAGCCCAGTATCCTTTGGACAAGGAGATGTCGATTAGATGTTCAATTGAACCTTTTTTGATCAGAATTCTATTTCTATAGGAAAGCGAGATATGGAGATCTTCTATTGTTAGAAGGTTAATAGACCTTAATTTGCTGTTGAGGGATGGGAAGATACTGAAGCTTAGCTCAAAGTTTTGATTTCTTTCAGTCTTTGATATAGCTAGCCTAACACTTTTACAATCAGACTTTCCGGTGAAGACTAATATGTTGGCAGGGTCTACCATTATTAATTTTACATATAATTCTGTTTCAAATCACTATAAAGGCAATAATAGCATTGACTTGCATATATCTTGCATAGTATTCCAATTTAAAAGATATAAGCCTGCTGTATTCTACTTAATACCCCCTCTCCGTGGGCGAACAAAAAAATTTGTTCACTCACGGAGGGGGATTATTTTTTTTTATAAAAATTTTTTTTGTTGAAATTTTAAAAAAATTTGTAAAAATTGAGAAGCAAAATTAATTTTTATTTGTAAAAATTTATGTTTTAAAATGCAAGCTGTTTAAAAATAAACAAATTAGCCAAAGCTTTCATTAATAATAATTATCACTTATATATCAATTTTTTTTTTCATAAAAAATTTTTATTTGCTCACGGAGGGTGGATTTTTGGGCAAAAAAATAGGGATTTTTCAAATGGTTTTGTTTGGTCACGGAAGGGGGAGTTAGAAAAAAGTTAAAAATATATGATTCAACCAATATAGCATATAGCTGATTACTAATGATGCATAATATAAATGGATGAGAGGATAATTCACTCTGTGACCTTTTATTATAGGATTAGGCTTTTGTACATGAACTTCCGCCTGATAGGGAAGAAATGGGAAAGCTTTCTTACTTCGCATTCTACAGGCGATGTGCTTTTTTCTTTCCACTGTCCGATAAAGGCAGAACTTTTCGGTTGAGCAGGTTCTGAAGGAAAGTCGGATAGAGCGAAATGACACACAATACTGCTGGTCGTCTCGGTACTTTCTAGGCCTTCAAATGGCAACAGACGCTAGAAGGAGTAAACTTTGTCGACATGCCGTACGTACAATCAAGGGGAGTGACGAAACAGAGGGGAAAATGGCCTTATGGTTATGTATATTCAGAGGCCCATCACGAGATAAGCTAAATTAACTAATCTAAGTCTGATGCAAAAAACTATTAAACCATAGATAATATGAAATTTTCTTTGATTTACTTTATTGAATTATCAGTTTTTTGCTTAAAAATAACTGAAATTCCATCAACTGGCGTACCGCCGCTATCAAGAGGGTTTGGAAACCTAATCTTTGATCCACCACAAAATCATAATCAAATACGACTAGTTCAAATTTTCTGATCTTCCGCCGAAAATTCTTCTCTTTCGTATTTTGATAATCATCTGTAGATTATACTTGCTACTGCTGGGAGTCAAGAGTTGACCGGCACAAAGTGGGATTATGTCTTTAGAGAGAACAATTATCAGAGGCATATCACCACTCACTCCAGGCGATGGGACTGAAGCCTAGGGGTGTCTGACAGTTTTACTATTTTTTTGAGCTAAAAGAAGATTAGTTGAGAATCAGACTTCAAGGCTGGCGTCTTCATCTGATTGAGGTTAAGATGGCCACAATTTGGCAGTAAATTTGATGTGCAAAGCCAACGAGCAGAATTTGAGGTGGGTGGAGTGGACTACCTGGAAGTGGGCGTGAAACAAAAATAGATAATTAAGGCATGATCATCTACAAAATCAATTAGTTTGCTTTGGAGGCTACCTATCAGATGGAACTTATCTTAATGACTTATATTCTTTTGATTTATCGAAAACCAAATGAAAATCTATCACCCCTTCTTTATCAACAAAGCCTGACCCAAGAACTGGCGCTTCCATGTTTTATGATTCTGACAATAAAAGAGTTTTGCTGTACGGCGGAAGAACAACATCAGGCCCCGCAAATGACTTTTGAAGCTATGATCCAGCCCAAAATAAATGACAAGAACTATCTATTGATGGAGATAACCCAGGTGCCAGAGGCTATTTGGCATTTACGGATTTCATTTGAAATAGCTTACCATATTATGCAGTATTTGGCGGCCTAAATACCACAACAGTTGATAACTCACTTTATTTGTAAGCCATATATAGGCTCAATGGAACTACTATGACTTGAAAGAAAATGCCCAATCATGGGGCTGATCCACCCATAAGTGAGTCTGCAGACATCACTTATTATCAAGAAAAAATATATTTATGAGGGGGAATTAATAGGCTTTCCGGGAATTCTCAGAACACAAACTTGTATATTTATGATATGAATTCGGAAAGCTGAAGCGAAATTAATATAGTTGGAGATAAGCCTGAAGGGAGATTTCGCCACGAAATTGATATTTATGATAAATATTTGTATATTTTCCCAGGATATGGAGCAGAAAAAGGCTGGCCAGTTCTTAATGTCTGAAGGATAAATCTTGTAAGTTTATCTTCTTGAGAAAAGCTTCATACTGTAAACTCGTCAATTGCAAATGGATGTGGTGCAGCAGTGCTTGCAAATTCAATTTTTTATTCTTTCGGAGGCGTTTCTTCTGATGATGTGCTTACAAATAGCTTGGTCTCAATAGATTTGCAATATTTCCCTTTAGAATGGAAGCAGCTTTCGCCACACATGATTTCCCCTAGCGGAAGAATGTATCATTCCTTTCACCTTCTTCATGATTCTCTATGAGTATTCGGAGGAATCAACGAAGACCAGGCTTTGTAATTCCTAATCAGGTTAAATGATTTATGAAAATTCGACACAACAACAGAAACCTGAAGCAAAATTAATTCTAATGGAGATATCCCTTCAGCAAGATATATGCATGCAAGCTGCTCTGTTCAAGATCTGGTGCTTCTATTTGGAGGTATTGACGTCTCAGGCTTCCTTAACGATTTTTACTCATATTCTGATTTTTCTAATTCTTGACAGGTTGTTACTTTGAGCAATAGTGACAGACCTATGGCAAGAGCAGGGGCTTGCATCACTTTTGGAGGGTTTTATGCGATTTTGTTTGGTGGGCAGTCTTTTTCGGGAGTTTTGAATGACTTGTGGGCGTTTGACATTAATTTGAACATTTTTATCCAGATAGATGATGGGAGTAGCGGAGCTGCACCATCACTATTCCAATGTAAATGCTTTACAAGGATCATCGATTCGACGCTCTATTTGTATGTGGTTTCAGGCGAAGATGCGGGTGGGACCCCAAATTCAGCAATTTATAGGTTCAATTTTAGCTTGAAAAAATGAGAGACTTTGGTGCAAAATCAATATTCATGGTTCTCTGTGGCAAGATCAGGGGTTGCTAGTGTTGATAAATATCTATTTCTTATTGGAGGTGAGCAATGGTTCTTACCAGCTTTTGGCTATATTATTATGATGAACATTGATGAGAATTCTGAATACACACTAATTGGAAATCTTGAAAGTCCGACATATGCCCCAAGCATTTTATATTTCGGAAATTCTATCTATCTATTTGGCGGTGGGGACTCCATAAATGGGCTAGCTCAAACGATAAAGGTCAAAAATTCTTTATTAAAAATTAATACTGAAACATCAGACAATTTCACATGGCCATGTGGCATAGGAACATATTCAGATGGTAACAGCTGCAGCCTCTGCTCAGGAGGGTATTATTCTTCATACAATTTGACAACTTGTCTCCCTTGCCCAGCAGGGACGTTTACAAGCTTTCAAGCCTCTCAATATATATCGCAATGCTATCCCTGCTATTTTGATACATATGCTCCAGATGCTGGTTCCACTGTATGCAGTAAATGCCCATCAAGCTATTATTGCCCTATTGGAAGTCAAAACCCAATAGTAAAGCTTGGACTGATTTCTTATAGCAGCTCCCAACCTAATCTTTATTCATCAGATGCTGATAAAGCTGATAGAGACACTGCCTATATGGAAATTTTCTTCTGGACAATTGAAGGCATGGTTGTAATTATTATCATTTTCTATAAGCCTCTTCACAAATATATTCACAATTTTGACTCATATGACACCATGCATGATACTCCAGATAACGAGCCTATATATAAAAAAAAGACTTTAATTGGAGGCTTTTTTAGCATATCTTATGCAATTATATAGGCCTTGCATAAGACTTTTTGTTATCTAGTAAAATAGTATTATGGGTTAGCTTAAATGAGGAATATTATTTATCAGGCAATATCATTTCTACTGGAGTCGCAGCATTGCTAATAGGTATTTCATGCACCAATTATGTTAACGATAACATAACAGAAACAAAAACCCTGGCTCCTTTAGTGACTTTATTAAACAGCTATAGCAGTTATCCAGGAGATGTGAATATTACAGTATCATTTTTATATTATGGTGGAATATGTGCTTATGAAGGTTCTGTCTGCCACGGTGATTTAGCTTACAAATTTACTAATATCAAAGGACATATCCATGCTCCGTCTTGCGAATTCATAGAAAAAAACTGTATAGTAACGTTTTTATGCTCAAACTGTATATTGGAAACTGGGGCAAAACTCTATGCTGCTTTTTACGAAATGACAAGCTATTCTAGTTATATTGCTATACAAGTGACATCTTCTTCATCAATTCCTGGAGAAGATAGCTCAATTTATTCTCTATTGAAAGCTAATAATGAAAAACTTGCTTTTCGTGGAGCGACACCTTCTGAGTTTACTTTTTTAATGACCCCTTCACTATTTAAATCAGAAATTTCTGCATGGCCAAGGGAAGAAACTGGGTACCACGTTTCTTTACCTAGTTCTCCAGTGTCTGGGTCTGCTTATACAGTTGAAGAGTAAAAAATATTTAGACTTCATTTTCATGCAGCCTTGCAAGTAAATGTAAATTTGGACACAGGAAATACGGTTTTGGTTACTTCAAGGTTTTACAACCAAACTTTATATATATTTTTAAGCAGCTTGATTGGAGCGTTTTTTGGGATAATTCAAATGGGTGGGACCTTTATGGTGTTTTTTGAAAAAATTTATTTGAAATATGAAAATAAATACAAGTCAGTGATAAACTGGGAAAATCTCTATAAAAAAGCAGGAAAACTCAGCTCTAGTTTCAGATTGAATAATAAGCAAATAAATACTATAATGCTTTGACATTATTGTGTGAAGACCTCAACACGTCCCACGTGTGGAATCCTAATGCCGCATGTGGAGTTTCCACACTTGAGTAGCTTCACATGTGATATTCGATTTCACACTTTACATTTGGGAGTTATTCACAATTAGTGCAAGGAACTATAAAACTATGGAAGGCACAAGTAATAGTCTTTCTGATTTATCCTCATTTAGAGATGAGACGGTTTGCAAGAAAAGTATCAGCTTTAGAAAACTCTAATATAAGCAATCATTAAATAATTCTGCATCAATTAATATGGAAAATGGAATAATAAGCTGGCAATCGCTATTATTTTTTAGACTTTTCTTATTTTAAAACAAAATTTAAACTTAAAAATTTATTAATCAATAATTACCTATTCAAAATTCTCATTTCTTCATCCCTAGAAACTTGGTCATGCATTATTTGTTGGATAACGCTATGATAAGCATTTTCAATCTTACTTACTCCCCCCCTCCGTGAGTGAACAAAAAACTTTGTTCACTCACGGAGGGGGGTTAATTTTTTTGTTTTTCGAAATTTAAAAAAATCCTAATTTGCAAAAATTGGAAAGCAAATATTAATTTAATTTATAAAATTTATGTTTTAAGAAGCAATTTGTTTAAAATTAAACAGAATTAGCTCTAGATTTCATTATACTAAATTATTACTTATATATCAAAATTTTTTCCATAAAAAATTTTTCTATTTAAAAATTTTTTGTTCACTCACGGAGGGTGGGTTTTTGGGCAAAAAATAGGTATTTTTCTAATGTTTTTGTTGACTCACGGAGGGGGGGAGTTAGTTCTCTCCTAAATTCTTTTGATTTCCTTGAATATTTTTTAATAGCATTGTGGATAATACAGCTTGGGGAATCTTCATAGTTAAACAATCTATATTTTTCAAAAATTTCTCTTTTATCTAGCTCAGTCCTAATCTCGATTTCTTGAGTCACTTCAACGAAGCTTTTATTGCTAAAATTAACAGAAAATCCTTTTACTTTGGCTTCTTTTATAAGTGTCAGTGTTGTTTTCGTAGTTTTATTGTAAATTTCCCTCATGATACTCAACACAAATTCAGATGTTACAAAATCCGGTAATGGATTCCCAATTATAGGAATAATTCCTTTAAAAGCATCATCGATCATAATTTTGGTTTTCATGCAAATATCTTGGACATCGCTGCATAAAAATTACGAGTCATTATAAAAATCTTTTTTATAAGCTTTTTCTACAACCTTTTTATTCGTGTTGAATCTTTCATATACTCTATTTGACTGATCCACCTAAATATCACTACAAAAAAAAAAAATTTATATATAAAATTATTAAGGAATACATATTTTTCAATAGACTCCACTTGCTTAGAAAAAGAAGCTGATTATAACTTACTGCTTTTCTCTATCATTTCAGTGATTATTTTTTCTGAATAATTTGAACTTAATACTTCTCGAATCTGGGCGGCCGTAGTAGCTAGGGAGATGGCTAATGCTGTCATTTCTCTATTCAATTCTTTTAGTATTGAAAGTAGCAGTGTCTTTGATACAGAAGTCTCGTGAGTGTGCTTAGGCTTTTCTCTTAATAAGAAACTCAAGCCTACAATACCAAGTCCGACGCCAAGTGAGATCCCAAAGAGTGGCTTGATTGACAACCAATTTGCAGGCATATGATATTAATTTATGATAAGCTTATTGATTTAAGCTGAAAATATCTTTGGCTTAAGATCTAAGAGATTAGAAGAGAATATGAAGAAAATAAAGCATCATATGTATCGGCACAGATAGCATCGATAATTTTATTAGTAAATTTCATATTGAAATTTATCAGAGAGTAATATAGCCCAGAACAGCTTTTAGCTCTCCATGGGCTGGTAACTTTTGAGTTAATCGCATCAAAAGTTGCCAAACAACCTATGATATGGCAAGTGAGCATATACTTGCCGTTTGTCAAATCGTCGATTGGTAAGGCAAATTTTGGTTCCAAACGAACTCGACGAGTTGGAATAAAAGCTGCTAGCCCAGGGCGAGCTAAAAGCTGTCCTGAGCTATAGTTGATCTCAGAAAATTCAAAATTCTGTTGTCAAATAATCTGAAAATATAAAAAACAGCTAATTTTCTAGATTTATCCAAAATTTACTAAAATATAAAGATTTTATAGGCAGTCTCAGGTTATGGATAGAACTATTAAAGACAGTGCTTTCTATTATCGTCTTAATATGGAGATCAATATTTCAATCGTTTTGGGCCTCGTTTGCAATTTATGATTAATCCATAAATTAGGCCATAAAGCGCTCAATAGAGATAGCTTTTAATTATAGCCCAATACATAAAAGAGGATCGTTTTAATTAAACCCTTATGACAAGGAAAAATATTAATAAATCTTACTGAATTTTATTAAAGTGAGAATTTATTCAACTCCACTTAAAACTTTTGCTCCAAGCTTTTTTTGCTGTATATAAAGTTTCACATCTCGTATAGCATATAGCCCAAGCGCCTTTTTGGCTAATAAAGTTTCTCGAGTTACCCCGGCAAGAAAAGGGAATTTTTTAAAGCCAACTAATCTTCGCCAACTCCTCAAATGTCAGAAGCTCTGCATCATGTGGTTATGCCACTTGAGGAGCTGGATAAACCAATATTAGTTATCCTCATTTCCACCAGGAAAGATCGAGAAGCCTTACTCCCCCCCCTCCGTGAGTGAACAAAACCATTAGAAAAAATCCCTATTTTTTGCCCAAAAACCCACCCTCCGTGAACAAAAATTTGTTATGGAAAAAAATTTTGATATATAAATGATAATTAGTATAATGAAATCTAGAGCTAATTCTGTTTAATTTTAAACGAATTGCTTTTTAAACATAAATTTTTTAAATTAAATTAATATTTGCTTTCCAATTTTTGTGAATTAGGATTTTTTTAAAATTTCGAAAAAAAATATTTTTTATAAAATTTATATAAAAAAAAAAAATTAACCCACCTCCGTGAGTGAACAAAATTTTTTTGTTCACTCACGGAGGGGGGGGGGAGTTAGCCAAAAATATGCTCAAGCTATACTTGAGTAGAAGGGTTACTGCTAAAACCCCAACGCAAAACATGAATCCAAATACTAAATCCCAGCTCCAAATAGCTAGAACTCCAATAATGACTTGTCCAAGACTAGCTCCAGCACCTCCAGTTCCATCTATGATCCCTGTTACTGTTGCTAAAGCTTCTTCATTCTTAATTTGCTCGTTTTTACCTAAATCAGTTGAGATAACCCCAGAAATCAATATATCGGACCCTCCTATAAAAAAGCCAAGAAAGATATTTATTATAGATTTTCCTTTGTTTTAGCTCTCTTTAAGCTGGAGAGTTTATTGTTCAGCTTGGACTAATCAAATAGCAGTATTATGTATCCGATCGATATATATATTAGAGAGAGTTGCTTGCCATTTTAAGTTGCTGGACTTTCTCACAATGAGCTAAAAGAAAGGAGACACTATATAAAAAACATCCACCAAAGCCCAGGAGTCATCAGCTGGATAATGCCTAGAGTAGGGAGCGCTAAAAACAGCATAATGCATACAAAAGGGGCTCTGATCCCAAGTTTATCAGTAACCCAGCCAATTCCAAACCCTCCAAAAAGCGCTCCTAAGTCATAGAAATTTGCCATTGTCCCGATTAAACTTGTGCTGACATCAATATGCTTGTCTAAAAAGTAGGGCAGTCACATAATCATTGAATAATTAAGTAGCTTTACACACCCATAAGTTAAAGCATAAACTGTAACACCTGGAAGTTTTCAGGCTTTCCAGAAAGAAATGCCTTTTTTCTTCTTAGGAGCCTCTTCAAACATTTCTTCTCCAGGCTCAACTAATTGGATTGATTTTTTCACTTGTTCAAATTCAGGGCCTGGTCTTTCTTTTGAGACAAAATAGAATAATATTGAAACGCAGAGCAAGATTGTTGCAGCTGATATCACAACTGATTCCCATGCAAAGCCTGCTTGGGAAAGTAATAAGGAGCCAAGCTGAGCTCCAAGAATATCTCCAACAAATGAATTAGAGCTCCATGAGCCTATTATTTTGCCTCGATGTGTTTTCGAGAACCAATTTCCCATCACTGCAACTGTCCCAGGCCATACTGTTGACTGAAAAACTCCGACAAAGCCAAAAATTATAATAAATAGCCAGGGGTATTTTGCATCAACATATCCAAGCATTGATATCAATGCGTAGCCGAAAGATGTAAGTACCATTCCTCCTGAAATTACGTATTTAAGTGGTATGTTATCCCCTAATGATCCACACACAAAATTCCCAAGTGCGTAAAAGAACAGATAGGTAGCATCCATTGCTCCCAGTCATGTTGTAGAAAATCCCATAGAGTTGTGAACTTCTGGCTTCACTATAAAATAACTCTCTAAGCAGATATGCCTTGACGACATACGAGAAATAAAATGGTGACGTTGACGGAAATAGGACTCCGAGGCGCACCTCCTATGAAGCTCGTAGGACCCATTTCTGATGAAGCTGAAATATAGGGCCTCGTTCCCTGTCTTAAGTAGGCCTTCAGAGGTGGGGAAGCCATGCCGAAAAGGAAGTTTTATTTCTCCCCCGAAGGTTTTCCTGCCCCTGCCAGATGGGCTAGACAGGTTTTGCCTACCATATGGTTTCCCTCATCGGGACTATCGGGGCACTCCTCCAAGAGTGGTTCTGTCCAACGGAGCTGATCCTCTGGACAGGTGGTTCAGACCAGAAATCAAGATGGTGTCGGGCCTGGGAGTATGGTCGCATCAGAACCCGACCTGAAGTTGTCTTTCGAGCTGAGGTGTTGTGGTCCGCTGGTTCGCCCACGTATGGCCATTTAAAACTAACTAACTAACTAACTAACTAACTAGCTTGACGACATACATAGAAAAGTCAAAGTGAATGTCAGAACTTGCCACTTTTCAAAACTTCCAAATACCATTTTTAGTAATATATTAGAAAATGCAATAGTTAAAAGCAGCAACATAATAAATGAGATTATTAAGAGGTAGGTTTGATGAAGTCTTACAATTAAGCTAAGGTGTACCGGATAGAGCTAAAGTCTAAGCAAAAACAAACTGATTAAAATAATTTTTAGCTAGTTGTATATGTAAAAGCCTCAATTAACAGATTAATTTATCACAACTTTATATTGTCTGTTAAGTTTGGTTTTAGTGTGATATTTGTTGGTTAAAAACAATTTATCTGTCAAAGATCATATTTAATAAATATAAAGAGGCAATCCTGTACTTAATAAATGCAATTTATGATTACTATAGCAGTAAGAAATTGATCTAATGAGCTTGTAATTCAGTGAATCAATTGTAGCTCTAAATCTCAAACAACACGCTTGAGCATCTTATGCTGCTTATATTTTAGAATTACGATAATCTGGCATATCATAATTTTATGCAATTATTTAACTTGTTCTTTATTGGAAAATGAGAAGACTAGGATAGTTACTACTTCAAGAATCAATATTTATTAGATTTTATTATTATTTTAATGAGTGAGAATTTACTAAATACCGCTTGCAACTTTCACTCCAAGCTTTTTTTGCTGCATATAAAATTTTACGTCTCGTATAGAATACTTGGCTAGAAGGGCTAATCCTAAAAGTCCAATGCAAAACATAAATCCAAACACTAAATCCCAGCTCCAAAGAGCTAGAACTCCAATAATGACTTGTCCAAGACTTGCTCCAGCACCTCCAGTTCCATCTATGATCCCTGTTACTGTTGCCAAAGCTTCTTCATTCTTAATTTGCTCATTTTTGCCTAAATCTGTCGAAATAACCCCAGCAATTAATATATCTGCTCCCCCAATAAAAATCCCAAGTAATATGTTTATAAAGAAAAACATCCACCAGAGCCCAGGAGTCATAAGGTGAACAATACCTAACGTTGGAAGTGCTAAAAACAATAGAATGCTTACAAAAGGTGCCCTAATTCCAAGTTTATCAGTAACCCATCCCATTCCAAACCCTCCTATAAGTGCTCCTAAATCATAGAAATTTGCCATAGTGCCAATCAAGCTTTTACTGACATCAATATGCTTGTCTAAAAAGTAAGGTAGCCACATAATCATTGAGTAATTGAGCATCTTGACACATCCATAAGTAAAAGAGTAAACTAAGACTCCTGGAAGTGTCCAAGCCCTCCAAAAGGAAATTCCTTTTTTCTTCTTAGGGCCATCTTCATGCAATTCCTCTCCATTCTCTACTAGTTGATATGACTTATCTGCTGGCTCAAATTCAGGCCCCGGTTTTTCTTTTGAGACAAAATAGAATAAAATTGCAACACATACCAAAATTATTGCGGCTGATAATACTACTGATTCCCATGCAAAGCCCGCTTGGGAAACTAATAAAGAGCCGAGCTGAGCTCCAAGAATATCCCCAACAAACCCACCAGAACTCCATATGCCTATGACTTTGCCTCTATGCGTTTTCGAGAACCAATTCCCCATGACTGCAACAGTCCCAGGCCATACTGCTGATTGGAAAACACCTACAAAGGCAAAGATTACAATAAATAAGAATGGGTACTTTGCTTCTACATATCCAAGCATTGATATCACTGCATAGCCGAAGGAAGTGAGTGTCATTCCTCCAGAAATTACATATTTAAGCGGAATATTATCTCCTAGTGACCCACATAAAAAGTTCCCCATTGCATAAAAGAATAGGTAAGTTGCGTCCATGGCTCCTAGCCATGTTGTTGAAAATCCCATAGAGTCGTGAACTTCCGGTTTCACTATGTAGTAGCTTTCTAAGCAGACATGTCTTGATGCCATACATAGAAAAGTCAGAAAGAATATAAAAGCTTGCCACTTTTCAAATCTCCCAAATGCCATTTTATTAATTATGTTGAAGATAGAAAATGAAATAAAAGCAACACAAAATGATAGAAAAATATCATAAAATGTTACGAGGACAAATATGCACATCAAATCTCAATATAAAAAATTGGGTTATTCTGGGTGATTACAAAATCTTTTGGAAATAGTTGATGAGGTCATTTGCCAACTTTTTGGTGCAGCAAGATCAATTTTTCGCCACTTTATATTATTTTTTTGGCTTCTTATTTTGATAACAGATACAAAGTTTGAGCATTTAGAACTTCTTATTTTAGGAAAGAGATTTATGCATATTTACCTTGAATACCTCTGCAAGAAGTAGCTTTTGAGTAAGCCAAACAGATTTTAATGCATGAAATCTCATTTTTCCTCTAATGAGAGAGGAAAATCGCCAAATAGTTCAGCATTTTATAAGAGAAATTATAATATACTTCTTTTATATTATTTATAATCTTCCTTCATATTGAGAACTTTGTGGTTCTTCAAAAAGACTTAATGAGCTAAGTTATGAAGGCATATGAAAAATAAGTTAGAAAATCTATAATAAAATAGTAAAAATTGATGCATAGTTAAAAATTAGGTACCAAAACAATATTTATGAGTTCTTCCGGTTCCATTTCTAATTTCAATTCAAGATAGAGCCAGACGAACTAGTATGGAGTGAAAAGCTGAAATGTGGGCAATGATCATGCATGATTTTTCATAAATTTTTTGCATGCAAGTCTATCTCATCAGTGCAAACTTAAATTACTTATTTTTAGTGAAAACTGATGTGCATTGTAAAAGTATGTGTGAACAAAAATTATGGGTTCTTAAATTGAAATTAAAGATGGAACCTGATGAACTCGAAAAATATATCCAACTTACACAAACTTTTAGCCTATGCATTGATTTTACCTAAAATTAATCTATTTCGGTTTCCAAGTGAGATCTCATCATGTGCAAATCAAAAGGTATTATAAACTACTCGGCTTCTTTATTTGTTTTTGGCAAATTCTGATATGCTCCTTTTTATCAGAAATACGCTAATGATAAGGAATTTGAAAGCCGTTTTTACTGCCTAAGAATTAATGATTTCAATGATTATATATAAATTTATTTTATTACTAGGGAGGTCAAATGCTCTTTGTTGGCCAAATGAGTTATTTAGCCTATAAATCCTTGATTTTTTAGAGTCATTAAATAAAGATTCGATTTCATCATGTTTGTATTGTTTCACCTTTAATGAAGATTAAGATTAAAAATTATTTCTCCTTACTTTAGGCGATACTTTGATTAATATTAAGAGAGTTAGAAATTAAGGTCTATTCAAAGCCAAGTTTATTATCATAATGAATAGAAGCATTTAGAATAATCTCAAGTAAATGCTCTAATATGCATATATTTTTATTAGCTCCCCTTTAAATTGGAATAAATTATTTTTAATAATAAATTTTTAAAAATAAAAAATATTATTGAATGCAATTTTTTTTGAATTTTAATATATTTTATAAATATTAATTTAAAAAATTAATTGATTCATTGTGAAATCTGCCTTATCATTAAATTAGGTCAAAACTTATTTTATAAAAATTAGAATTTTAACTATAAAATTTTACTATTGAAAAAAAATTGTTCAAATTAAATTGCAGTTAAAGACTATATTTTTGTTCTAATTTAAAAGGGAGTAATTGATTTAACTCATTTGATCTCACGACTACTATTGAATGTTTAAATTTATAAAGGCTATCATCCATTCGGTATTAAAACTTAAAATAATACTTAATCTTAAGCTATTTATTGCAGCGTAATTATTTCTCCACATTTGTCTTCTAATTTTGATGAATTTGTTGGAAAACCTCAAAGCCTTAGCGTTTATTATTTAAAAAGAACCCATCAAGCCAAAGGGCTACAATAGAAGAACAAGATTTGCTTTAGTTTCTTTAACCCCAATATTTTTAGTTTGCGCGGCTTCGGTCTTTATTCCTTGTTCTCTAAATAAGGAATGAATCTAGCTTATCTAGCTTTTTAAATAGTAGATCTCTATTTTCTATCAAAGTACTTTGTAATAAATCTTATATAATCTTTTATTACAATACACTATTAAGTGGGGAACTTTAAAGCTATGACTTAATGCATATCATTTGAGCATCTTGCATAATAAGTCCTTGGATTAGCTTTAGAGCATGCTATATTTTTGATTTCGATTTGTAAAGCTTTCATCAGTTGGATTAAAGCTTGCGTTGCTTATCCGGGAAGGTTTACCTTTCTCATATTATTATATCTTTGACCAAATCTCAACTAAGTTTAATAATTATAATCTTATTATAAAATTTACAATTATATTCGTCAGAAAATTAATTCAGAATGAAATAATTCAAAAGATTTCTGGCTAATAGAAGCATTTGCTATTGGCTAAAAAAGTTTAGAGTTAGCGAAATGCATCTCTTTAAAAACGATAATTAAAAATTAATAAAAAATTGTATTTTCCTTCTAAGCAGAAAGCTTATTAAGAACATCTTGCCCGATATGCGTGCTATTTGGAATAAACATCCTAATAAACCCATATAAATCGATTCCTTTATTAGGAACTCTATATTGTTCGAATAGATACCTGAGGTTTTCTTCATGAAAATCGCCTCCAAGTCTAGTTTTAAGCGCCTTGAACTGTATATACCCTTCTCTATCTTTTTCAAAAGTCTCAAATAATTGTGGGTAGAATTTAACACTATTAAACGACAATCTTTTTGTTTTTTCTTCTTTATTCGGTGTCTCAGGTTCCAGCTCAGCTAAATATTTCATACGATTAATAAATCTTACAAGTCTCTTGATTTCTGAAATTGACGCATTTCTAAAAACCATAGCCAACATCTGTGTAAAATTAAGGAATTGACCATCTAAAGGAATTGAGCCAGCTTCGGACGCAAAGTCTTTGCTTTTCAGCAATGCATTGTGTAAAGAGATTGCTGTAGCATAGCCGTTTATATTTTCGACTGTTTTGAAAATTTCGTAAAATTTGCTGACTTCAAATCTTGAAATGAGCTGTTTTCCAACAGTGATACTGAAATTGTTTGCTCGTTTCTTGCTGAATGAAGATTTTCTAGTTGTGAGAGTTGTAGAAATGTCTCTTTTTCTATGGCTGCTAACTCTGCATTTTCATTTGCCTATTCATTATAAGATTAACTTTATTAATAAATTTTTTTTTTAATATAATGAGAAAATCTAATTCAAATCGTAATCATATTAAATTAAATTTATATATTTAAAAATGCCAAATGAATATTAGAATATTAATCTTGGCTGTATTTAGAATAAAATTAATCAGATTTCAAAAATTATTTTTTATGCTCTCTGGGGATTGAGTGATCTATTTTCGAGATCACAGGGTATACAAATTGTTTGACCCCTGCCTCTTCCTCTCAACTTTAGAGGAGTTTTAGCTCGAGGAGTCTCTTCTGTTGCGCATGATTTTTTTTCTTCTTGTGCTTCAACATTTTTGTGTAATAAATCGTATAATGTATCATTTAAAATAACAATTGTTTTTAAGCTGAATGAAAATTACTCTTCTCCACAGATTTTCATATTTACAGATTTCTTTAATATCGCAAAGCAAGTATCAGCAAGAGTTGCAATACTTGAGTCTTCAATAATTGGGCCTCTCGTCATGCTCCCAATACCTTTAATAAATCCTTCACACAAGTAATAAACTTCGTCTCGGGTTAGGTATTTGTTACCATCAAGGTCAAAAATGTACATTGCGAGCCTTATTTTTTCATTAAATTCGACATTTCCATATACAATTACGGAGGCGAATATTTCCAAGATGCTTATTTCTATGTGTCCAGGGATACGAAAATAATTAAACACCACATCTTCCATGCCACTAATAGGTGAAACTCTGGCTAGTCTTTTGAACTCTGCTCTTGATAGGTGGAAACCTTTTCCTCAGTGATAGCTGATGTATCTTTTGTAAAATTGCAGAATATCTGACAGAAACCCTGCATAGAATTTACATTTTGTGAGAACTTGCATGGAAAAATCTATTGGCTTTGATAAGAAGTTGGAAATTGATGACTTTTGAGAGTTTATTATGAGATAATTTCCCATCTCTTTATATATGGAATTATTACTACAATTGGATATAAGCAAATATGGCATAGAATATAAAATAGAAATAAAGGGTTTTAATAATGATAATGTGGCATTGTTCCATGCTTGAAAACTAATGAATCTAAGCTGGCAATCAAGTGCAGAATTATTTTTTTTATAGTTAATATTTGAATCCAAGCTACCTAATCTCCTTGAGACTTATTTTAACATTTTGCTTAGAAAATTCATATAATCATTTACCATCAAAGGATTAATTTTTACGTTAGAAGCAATTTTTCTATGAGAAATTTGAAATAGTGCGTTTCAGAGTAAACAATCTTCAAATATGAGCATTTTTATTTGCTGTATTAGAATATAGTATTCTGGTGTCTTAAGTACTTGATTTTCTTGGATTCTTTTCAAATTAAAATTTAAATTATTTTTTGAGCCCATTAGGATTTCATCAGCTTTAATATTTTATAGCTGTTTTAAAAAGGGATTTTATAAGACTCTTAAAAAGTCTGAGCCTTCATTTATATGAATGAGAATTGCAGCAATATTTGTAAAAGCAAAGAATTGTGCTTGTGTGGTCAATTGTGCAATGTTGCAACTTAAAACTATTTGGCAACTGATCCAAGTAGTAAAGCAATAAAACAATACTTCCTATTCATAAATTCACGGAGAAAATGAAGATTCTTTTCTGATACTTTTTACCCAGCTAATTTTATGTTTATATTAATATAATGATCAAAAAGAGACTGATTATTAGAATAAAACTGACGTCGAATTAAATAAGACATATTAATATCTTCATCATAATTAAATATTAAAGCTTAAATAATTCATAAAGAGAGACTAAAATGTCAACAAGATATCCCAGATAATTATAAGTGATTTAAATTTTTTAGGTAAATCCTATAATCCGTCTTCCTAAATTGTCATTTATCAGATTTAAAATTTAGATCTTGATTAATATTTCTTCTAATAACTAATGGCCTTATTTCATATATGATTTATTGCAAAAACACCAATTGCTATATAAATAGGCTGTCTTGTGATATCATGATAAAGGTTTTTAAAGGAAAGAACTTTATAAGTTTTCTATGAGAAATATTTCAATGAGCATAAATAAATTGAATAAAATTGCAGAATTTAATGAATTTTTGTACTCAAAGAGCCTTGAGATATTATCAGCTAGATTTGAGCATAAGAATTCATTTGAAAGTAATTATCTCTAAAATCAACATCAGGATAGAAATGATGCAATATTAAAATTTTTGAAATTTCTAGAAATACACATCGAATCATCTTAAAAATACATTTATATGTAATAGTGCAGCGAGTGATAAGGTATAATGAACTACATAAGAACTACAAATTAGCAACCTGAATTAAAAATTAAAAAACAATACTTAAAATTTATGTAAATTTATTCAAAAATTATTAAAACACACCCATCTCATCCCTGTCATTTTTTTATAAAAAATACTTTTGAAAATTTGTTTTTGAAATTTAAGCATCTCTATCTTATTGATTAATTTAATTCAAAATGAATAGCCCCAGACGATATTAATTCAGAAATATTAAAAATTCAAAATAACTATCATGCACTTTATCATTATCATTTTTATTTCTATAATATCTAGAAATTTTATCAAATTTAGGCAGCTTCAAAAAATTTATTAACTTTACCGAAGACAAATAATTGCTCTTTATATTATTTTTAAATTTATTTAAAATTTTACCTAGCATTTTGAAATATTTTCAAATTTTGAGAAGAAATGTCACCAAATAAATTTTCCTTCACTATTTCCAATTTAAAATATACCAGCAATCTCCACAAAATTTATAGACGCGAAATCTAAATTTCCTTAAGATTTGAAAAAAGCGAAATTTGTTCAGTACTGGTAACCCATTTTTAATTATTTACAAAATTAATCCACTAATAATGAAGTTTCATTCAAAAAAGATATTTGGCTTTCTTTTAATATAATAACAACCTGTAACTTTAATTAAGCCATATTTTCCTACTTGAAGTAAATTGATAATAAATAAAACAATGGAAGATAAAGTGTTCAACTGCTACTACGAGTTCTGCAATAAGGTTTACAAAACAAAGTACACTTTGGCTAGACATATTAATTCAGAGCACCTGAAGATTGGTACACTAACTACCCCCCTCCGTGAGTGAACAAAACCATTAGAAAAATCCTTATTTTTGCACAAAAAACCCACCCTCAGTGGTGAACAAAAATTTTTTAATAATAGAAAAAAATTTTTAAATAAATTTTGATATATAAGTGATAATTAGTATAATGAAATCTCGAGCTAATTCTGTTTAATTATAAATAAATTGCGTTTTAAAACATAAATTTTATAAATTAAATTAATATTTGCTTCCCAATTTTTGCAAATTAGGATTTTTTTAAAATTTCCAACAAAAAAAAATTTCTATAAAATTTATAAATAAATTTTTTTTAAAAATAAAAAATTAACCCCCCTCTGCGAGTGAACCAAATTTTTTTGTTCACTCACGGAGGAGGGGAATAAGTAACAAAACAAATCAAAAAGAGGAATCAGCGATATCAAATGGCATCGATATAAGGCCGAGTAAAGCACAAATAAACTCAGTAGGATCATTTTTACTTTCACAACACATTAAAGATACATCTAATCTTAATATAAATATTCAAACAATGCCAGGCACATTGCCAGTCTTACCTCTTGTTGATAACAGTAGGAAAATTTGTCCAACTGACATTAAACTTCCTGTAATGCTGCATCTTTTACGTTCTACTGAGTAGTGCTATTTCTGCTTACTGCAGGGGGTATTGTTTTAACATTACTTCTTATTTTAGATTTGTCTCTTTTTTAGAAAATTTTGATAGTTTATTAAGCGGTTTTAACTCACTCCCCCCCCCCTTTAAATTGAAACAAAAAATTTTGTTTCAATTTAAAGGGGGGTTAAGAAAATTTTTTTATATAAAAAAATTTATATATAAAAAATTTTTTCAGAAATAAAATTTTATAGAAAATAAAATTATATAAATTTAAAGAATTTCATGAAAAATTAATTCATAAATTTCTCAATCTCAAAGTGTAAACTTGCTGAAATGGTATTCTTCTAACTCTCCCCATAACAATTGGACAAAATAGAGTTTAATTTCTAAATCTTATATGTTTGAAGCATATTAAATAGGGTATTAACGTATTTACATATAAATAATGATTTTTACCTATAAAATTTTCTATTATAATAAAATTTTGTTTCAATTTAAAGGGGGGGTAATTTCCCAAAAAAGTAGGAATTTTACCTATATTTTGTTTCAATTTAAAGGGGGGGGGAGTCAGCAATGAAAAATTTGAATTTTTTTGCCGAATGAAAATTAGGCCTTAAATAAGGTTTTTTCTTGTATCCTGGTCTTAAGATGGCTATATGCAAATGGCTCTTGATTTACAATTACTGATGCTTAATTTTTTTATTATGAAAATTAATTAATTTCTGAAGGATTGCTGAGTGTCATGGTGCTGGGATTGAAAATTTAGAATGCATTATCCTTATCGGGTATGAATGTAAAGACTTTTTTTGAATATTTTTTGTTGGCGAATAAAAATTGTTCTCATCAGTTATATGATGACTTAAATCAAAGCTGATTTAGCATTATAGTGAAAAAATAAGTTTTTATATCTGATATGATTTAATTAATTTTAAAGCCTGAAATGTATAAAAAATATTATTAAGAATAATTGAACATTTAGAGTTTTGAGATTTAAAATTAAGTTTTTATAAAAATTTTAGAAATATAAATTATTTCTTTTACAGGCAAAACGAGAAATAGAATGTTGACGCTGGAGGAAATGGATTCCGAGGCTCATTATATAGAGCAGGCAGGAATCATCCTGCAAAAGCTGAAAGCGGAGTCTCTGTCCCTTTTTGAATAGGTATTCAGGCTCAGTTAAGATAAGTTTTTTTTTTCCGCAAAATTTTCCTGTCCCTGCCACATGGGTTAGACAGGTTTTTGCCTACCTCATGGCCCTTCCAAATCGAGATCATCAGGGCATTCTCCAAACAGGACTCTGCCCCGAGACTAATCTCTAAGCCGATGGTTAAATCGAAAATCCTTAACGGCAGTCATTTGAACTCTGAATTGTATGGTATAGCTTTCTTTGGAGCCAAGACAGGAGACGACTAGGGTCACCCGCTTATGGCCAGCATAAATTAACTTTTCCAGGCCAAATTTCGTTTTTTCTATTTATATAGTAGCGTAAGAGATAACTATTCCCGCATTATCGCTATTTATAAACTAATGCAGTTTGAAATCATGTAACTCTGCAATTATCCCTATATAGGATTTTTGTGAATTAGGCGAATATGGAAGCCAAATTTAATTTTCCAATAGTCCCTTCTACCCTTAATAATTAATATGGTGGCAGCAATCGCATTTGTCCTCTACGGCAATACACCACTGTGGCCGCAAAAGTTATTTTATAGCTGAGCCTGGAGCTCAAACACTTTAACTCTACCTCAGCCTGCCAATTTAACCGTACGGGTCGATAAATCTTGTGCCAGGCTCCATAATTAAGTATTAGCATTTGGATGGTTTTGACCAAGTCTTTTATCGGGTCTTAAGAATCATGATTCCTTTTTTGAATGTCTCCGCTCCTCATGGATGGCGAACAGAAAGAATCTGGTTAATCAGTGCCTTCATAGCATCTATGGCGGAAAGATGAAGACTCTTGGAAAAGCAGTGCAAGCCTGTCCCTCAAAAGACTACTGCTCCAAATAGAGGATAATTTTCTCCCTGCAAGGTAGAGAGCATGAGGAAGGATTAAACCTGAAGACTTAAGCGCTTTAAATTTAAGTTTATTTTCAGCCCTTAACAGCTCAAAGCAACGAACAATCCCACAATCATACCGAGCCCTCACCCCAAGTCCCAAAAAGTGCCTTCCAAATTTACTGCAAAATTCTCCAACAGATTCAACCCCAAAACCCCTTCACCATATCCCACCTTATATTTCTGCAAAAGCCTGACTCCCTCCCCCTTTAAATTGAAACAAAATATAGGTAAAATTCCTACTTTTTTGGGAAATTACCCCCCTTTAAATTGAAACAAAATTTTATTATAATAGAAAATTTTATAGGTAAAAATCATTATTTTATATGTAAATACGTTAATACCCTATTTAATATGCTTCAAACATATAAGATTTAGAAATTAAACTCTATTTTGTCCAATTGTTATGGGGAGAGTTAGAAGAATACCATTTCAGCAAGTTTACACTTTGAGATTGAGAAATTTATGAATTAATTTTTCATGAAATTCTTTAAAATTTATATAATTTATTTTCTATAAAATTTTATTTCTGAAAAAATTTTTATATATAAATTTTTTATATAAAAAAATTTCTTAAACCCCCTTTAAATTGAAACAAAATTTTTTGTTTCAATTTAAAGGGGGGGGGGAGTGAGGGATTTTCAATCCGCAAACCAAAGAAATGCTATACGGCTCTAAGCTTGACGAAAAAAGAGAAATCGCCAGCCTTACAAAAATAATGACTTGTATTTATAGCATAAAACTTGCTGGAGAACTTGATATAAGCTATTCCAATAAAATCACCATTAGTAAAAAGGCCGAAAATATAATAGGAACATCAGCAAATTTAAGAGAAAAAGATGAAATCATGCTAAAAGACCTATTTTTTGCTATGATGCTGCCGTCAGGGAATGATGCTGCCGTCAGGGAATGATGCTGCCGTCAGGGAATGACGCTGCTGTTGCATTAGCAGAATATTTTGGAGGATTTAAAAAAGAAGGAAATCCAATATTGCAATTTGTTAAAGGTATGAATGATTTTGCAAAAGAGCTCAATTTAGAAAACACTGTTTTTAAAAACCCACACGGGCTGTCTATTAAACCAAATTTTTCTACGGTAAGAGATGTTTGTAAATTAGCTGCGTTTTCATTGAAAAATCAATTTTTTTGCTTAATTGTAAATACGCAAAGCTACAGTTGTATAATTGAAAATCCAAATGGAAATAGAAGCATTACTTGGAAAACTACAAATAAATTATTAGGAAAAGGATTTGACGGGATTAAAACAGGGCATACAATTAAAGCTGGGCCGTGCTTGTGTGTAAGAACAAATAGCTCGAATCCGCAGCTTATTGTGACTGTTCTTGGATGTAAATCTTACGAAAGTAGGTGGGTTGAAGTACCTAAAATCGCAAGCTGGGCCCAAAAACGATTTTTATAGTATATATTTAAACAATTAGATCTGAAATTATCACAATTTTATTTAGCTAAATATTTAAATCTCTATTTATTGTTTTTGGATAAAGAAACAGACAATTTCTATAATTATATAATGCTATTTTTATTGTAAAATATAAAATTATATATTTATTTAATTTTTTATTGTCTGTAGAAATTACTTTAATATTTATCTTTCTTCATTTTTAATTGCAGCAAGACGAAGTTTCTTTTTTCGCTTCTCCTTGGCTAAGTGCTTGCCGCTTCCTGGGTGGATCTTTAGGCAATCTATTTGCAATTTCCTGAAACATTTCACTAATATTTTCACCAGTTTTTGCAGAGACCTCAAAAAATAATGACATATTCCTTTGTGCTGTATCCATCCCAGTTTCTTTTGACACATTTCTGTTTAAATCTAATTTGTTTCCTACTAGTCCTACTATAATATTTGCTGGTCCATGGTTTTTTAATTCTTTAATCCAATCCTTAATCTCTCGCTTTTTGATTGAGCAAGCTTTGTTTAAAATGCCAAATTTGAAAATAATATATATAGAAATTTCCCTTAAATGGCGCAGTTTGCCCTTGATTTGCCCACTGAAAAAATTTTTTGGTTCGACCAGTACCATATGGTTTGGTCAAACCAAAAAAAATTTTCAGTGGGCAAATCAAGGGCAAACAGTGCCATCTATGGGAAATTTCTATAATTTAATATATAAATTTTAATTTTAGGCCAAAATTAATTAGATTTATTAGAAAATTATAAAAATATTTTATTTAATATTAAAAAACAATTTTTTTCGAATTTTATCTCGCTTATGGAAAGAGTTAGCTCCTTCTAAAGTAGATGGCTGGGTTATATCGTATATAATAAGAGCTGCTGAAGACCCTTTGTAATACATAGGTGTAAGACTTTTATATCTTTCTTGTCCTGCGGTATCCCAAACTTCGAGTTTTATTCTTTTTCCATCTGATAGTGTCATTTGTTTTGTTAAAAAATTTGCACCTATAGTAGGAGTAGATCCTTCTAACTCACCCTAAATAAAATATTTTTTAATAGATTTTTCTGATGAAGAAGCCAATCAAATAGGTGAATTGCAATGCAGTCTGAACAACATTTTTTTGGTCTAATTTACACAATTAAGTTGTTCTAGCCAAATAGTGATGGCTGGACCAAATTACGAATAAATAGCAATTCACCTACGTCAGCTTATATATTAGAAAAACCTATAATAAATTTAATTTTTTTTAATTTTAACAGTAAAAAGTAAGAATGATTCATTGGCAAATCTATGAACGATGCAGGTTTTGCCGACATTTGAATTTCCAAGTATAACCAATTTGAATTGTGGATCTGGCTCTACCATTAGATCAATATTTTATTAGACAAATTTCTTTTTCCATGTTAATTGCGTTTTATACAATTTTAATTATTAGGTTTTTGGCTTGCTTCATCTGTTTTGCTAGATTAGAAGCTGGTTTCAGCTCTCTAGGTCCCCAAATATTTCTTGATAAATCAATAATCCCAAGCGAATTATTAACTAAAATAGCTTCACATAGAGTTCTGACCCCAGCTAGCGAAATATCGTTAAATGCCATGTCAAGGCTTCTCAATGATCGTGTTTTCGCTATCGCTTGTGCAATTTCTCCAGCCCCAGCATCTCCTAGTTCACAGCTTTTTAAATTCAAAGTTTGTAAATATTTATTTCTTTCTATATAATTTCTTATAATTCCTCCAGCTTGTGGGCCGACTTTGCTGTCTTTTAGGCTTAAATGAAGTGCTTTGGGAAATAAACTCAATAAATATTCTAGCTCCCCCCTCCGCTAGTGAACAAAAATTTTTTGTTCACTTACGGAGGGGTTTAATTTTTCTTTTAAAAACAATTTATATATAAATTTTATACAAAATATTTTTTTTTCAAAAATTTAAAAATCCGAATTTGCAAAAATTGGGAAGCAAATATTAATTTAATTTATAAAATTTAGATTTAAAACGCAATTTGTTTAAAATTAAGCAGAATTAGCTCAAGATTTCATTATACTAATTATCACTTATATATCAAATTTTTTTTCATAGAAGATTTTTTATATTAAAAAATTTTTGTTCACTCACGGAGGTTTTTGGGCAAAAATAAGGATTTTCCAATAGTTTTGTTCACTAACGGAGGGGGGGGAGCAAGTTAACTCCAGCGAATCTTCCTATTGAAACGAGTTTAAGGTTTCCTGAGCACATGTTGATAAATCTTTCTAAGTCTTCGTCATCTAGCGTCCTATTTTCAAGCTCATTTTTTAGGTAAGATGCCAAATAGGCCTGCCTATAATAATCTTCCCCTTTCAGAATTTCCCTTTCAGGGATCAAATATTTAGGATCTTGGCGAAGCTTTTCTTTGTATAGTCTTTCCCAGAACTCATTTGTGTCTATATATCGGTCGACTTCCCCTTGAGATAGCAATTCTTCAATATTTATAAGCCCGAATGGGGTTGATTTTGCACAAATTGATAAAACTCCTTCATCAGAAATAGGGTCAACCTCACACAAGTAGCCAGAAAACTCAGCTAAAACTTCATAACAAATTTGCTGTAGAGAAGGTAAAGTCCAATTTTCGACTTCAGACACCATTTAGAGTTTCTATTAGTAATAAACAGATCCTATTAATATTAAAAAATTCGGGAAATGGCCTAAAAAGAATTTAATCTTAAAAAGCTCTTATTTCTTAATAAAATTTAAATAAATCATTAGATTGTTCTAACAATTTAATCATCGATTTATATTTAAAATATGGGCTGCTGTACTAGCAATAATGAAGAAGATGCTAAAAAAACAGAAAATTCCCGATTAAGACGAAAATCAAAAGGAGAAATCAGCATAAAAGCTAAAGATTTTGTCAAATTCCATGAAGAAAAAATCATAAAAATTATGAGCTTGGGAAAACACTGTGGGATGTTGGGTTTTATGAAGTGAGATTAGGAACGGGGGAAAAAAAACTGGGGCACAAAGAGCTGTAAAGTCTATTCTTCTTGGGACAAAAGATAGCCATTCTATTGATAAGTTATTAGAAGAGGTTGAAGTACTCAAGAAACTAGATCACCCAAATATAATTAAAATATATGAGGTTTATTATGATCAACTGTATAGCTAAAGAACTTATTTGGCTCAGATTGGGTCTATGACAAACTCGAGAGTTAACTTTGTGATGAGCCAACTCCCGTTTGACAAATCGAGTAAATAAATGGAATGGTAAGCTAGCCAAGAAAGACCAGTGCTCAGGATATATCTACATATATCATAGAACTGTGCTCAGGAGGAGAGCTGTTTGAAAAAGTGGGCCAAGCGTTATATTTTTCTGAAAATAAAGCTGGCAAATTTATGAAAGAAATCTTATCTGCTGTTAATCATTGCCATTCAGTTGGTATGGTCCAATGAGATTTAAGACCTGAAAATATTTTATTTGAAAAAGATAGTCCAGACGCAAGGCTAAAAATGTTCGGACTTAAACAGTCACAATTAAAAGGGCCAAATGAAAAGCTAACAAAATTTACTGGGAATTCTTATTTCACAGTTCCGGAAGTGATTTCTGGTAGCTATGACAATAAATGTGATATCTGAAGCTTAGGCATCCTTTTATATGTAATGCTCTGTTGCTGAGTACCGTACAAAGCTAAATCAGAGCAATCCTAATATGAAAAAATCCAAGAAAAGCCTATTTCTTTTAAAGACTGAGAGGGGGAGCAAGGGGTAGGACTGGGTTTTATGTTTGGCCATGAGGCAAGCTATCCAACTGAAAAAGCTAAGCATAAGCACTGAATACTTGATGACTGATTAGAATAGTGGAAATCCAGGACCTAGTTCATTGAATTCATGGAGAATATAGCAAAGTGAAAATTATTGAGCTTAAACAGGCAAGCCACAGTGCCTATTTTTCAAATTTTGGATCATCCATTGCCTCTTCAATTTTCCTGACTTTTCGTACATTTTGTTTTCTCTTAAGAAACTTATTATCGAATTTATGAATATTTTATTTTAAAGATAAAACTAAATCTTAACTAAAGCAAAACCTAATTATTAGAAAATCAGATGTATTTGAAAATTATGGCACAGTAATGTATTCAGTTAATTATTCTAAGAAATATTATTTACACCATTCTTTATCTTTTCCTTTTATTCTCATGCCCTATTTCATTTGGATCGGGGTTTCTTTGTCTTTTACAATTTTCTATTTCTTCAGCCTTCTTATAATTTAAATGATTAAAAAAGTCTAGTCTTTGCATATTTTCTATTAAGCTGTCTAGGCTGCTGCATAGAGTGCCTCTCGCATTAATTTTAGCCTCTCTATTGGAATTTTCTCCACTTAACAACGAATGATTAGGTAATACTCCACCATCTTGAGAGCTAAATAAATAATTTAGTTTTTTTGCCATATCAACTGTTATTTTATGTTCCTTTATAAGGATACTCCATACATCTCCAAGGCCGAGCTTATAAAACACAATTCCTCGAATAATAAAGTTTTTAAAATGCTTATGATGTATATCATCGTATAAATTTAAACCAATTTCCATATATTTTTTTGCATAAATTTGCCATAGCGCATCATCTACCCTTTCTTGGGCTTGCTCATGACTTGCTGAATCTAATTTTTTATACTCGTGTATTATCACTGTAGAGCTTTCATTCTTGATAGGAAGAAAAATATGGTCCAATTTTTTCTCGTGCACATTAGCACTTTCTGCGTGCATCTTGTATGTAGGGCATTTCATTTCAAGTAAAGCTATTCTAAATATCGACCCTATTAACAGTTTAAAATCTTCCTCCGTTTTATCAGTAAAATCATTCATTTTATCAAGCACTTTTTCTTGAAAGAGATTTTGGAGTGATTTGCCATCTTCTAAAAATTGAATAAATTCAATTGGCTTGCTTTTATCAATTTTATTTTGACTCATTTTTTTCTTCATTCAAGATGTAAGTAATGATGTATAAAAACTCTTTTTAACTTCCTTATTAGGAATAATATAGCGATAAGAGTTCGGATTTGCTTTATCAGCACTAGCTTTTGTCAAATATCCAGCATGGAGCAATATCGCTAAAAAATCATCAAATGTATTGCTTTTATTGTAATCACTATCATTTTCATTATAATTTAGTTCTATCTGGTTTTCGATTTCCTCTTCGAATATAAGGTATCCAGTATTCATTAATTCAAATAATTTATCATAATTCTCAACTTTATCAAACAGTAAAATTAATTGATTGAAACCACCTGAATTAATTCAATAAGGTTGAAGTGGATTCTGACTTTTTTGTGCAGCAGCTCCCAAACAATTCATAATAGATCATGGATTGTAAATTTTATGGATTCCAATGTTATATCCATTATATCATTCCTTAATCAGTTCTTTTTGCTCTATAAGATCCTCTTCTGTTTCAGCGAATAAAATATTATCAAGCAAATCACTTACTTCTGATTCAGTGAATCCAAAGCAATTAGCATAATTTGTATCATTTTGAATTGTATATGATATCAAACTATTTAAACCTGATAGCATATCCGTCTTTCCAATCTCATAAATTCCAGTTAAAATAACTTTTTTAGCAATTCCGTCTTTGATTACTGGCTGGAAAATCGCTCTCATACAAATTAATATTTCTCTTTTAACTTCTATATTTATCACTTTATTAATAGGTCCATCATATTCATCTATTAATACATAAGGTTTTGTTCCGTAAAACTCAATAAATAACGTAACTAAATATATTAAAGCATTATTTAAATCAATTTCATCTGGATGATTTATAAAACGTGTAAACTGAACAAGTCAAAAGGGCAAAGCTAATTCTAATTCTATTACTTTTGATTCTAAAACGAGTTTATCAGGAATTTCAATATCACATTCAGTCCTTAATATGTATGTGTAATAATTTCGAACTAATCTTAATAAGTATTGGCAATATATTTCTTTGCAGCTTCAGTATGCTGAATGAATAGCATTTTTTATTCCTCTAAGATAATAATCAAACTCTGACTTTTCATGCTTAGTTGGTTCCGAGATATGACTAAAAGTTAAAAAAATTGTTGGGATTGTGCCAGCATACTCTCTATATTTTCCATTATCTACAGTCATTATATTTAAGCATCTGGTTTCATCCAGATTTTCAAGGTCAACGTTATCATGCCCTCCAGTAAACACATATAAGTTTTTGAAGCTTCCATCAGCATTTTGATCTGGATGCAAAAATGTCTTTAGCATATGCATATTAAAAGTTTTCCCTCATCTACGCGGCCGGGTAAACATAATTGCTTCAGACCCATCATTTAAGATTTCTTTTATGAATAACGTTTTGTCAATAAAAATATTTTTTCTATCAACCAAACCTTTAAGATCAATTGTGCTTCGAGAGAATTTATATTCATATTCTCCCTTGATTTTTAATGCAGATTGGTGTATTTTAGGTGACTTAACACGTCTTTTAATCTTTTTGTGACTAGTTGGAGTTTTGATTCTAATTTCGTTCTCGGCGTTTCCACAATTTTTAATAAATTGGATGGCAAGTTCCCATGAATTTGATTTTTTAAACATATTAAGCGTGCAGAGTTGGTTAATATTAAGACATTCTAAATCAATATCTTTGCTATTTCTTAGCTTTTCTCATTCTAAAACTTCATTTAACAAACCTTCATAAACTGCAATAGTGAAATCATAAATTCAGTTTTTTTCTAGATAATCCTCGCATATAATATTGTTTGGATTTTTGCATAAATCAACTCCATAATTCTGTAAAATAGCTCCTAATTTTCTGCTTTTAGTGGGATCATACTCTCTAAAATTTTCAGCGAAAGCAATATTTCCATTTGATATGAGCATTATAGTGTTGAATAAGCATCATATTCCACTTTCGCAAAAATTCTCATACATCTTAATATCACACTCATCATGGATATAGAAATTGCCCGAGGATGGCGCTATATTGCGCCATCCTCGGGCAATTGGAGACACGGCTCCACACGGGAATTGTGTTCCACGTGTGGAGCCATTTTTCCACGTGGGAAAAATGTGGATTCCACACGTGGAAAAATGGCTCCACACGTGGAATACGGTTCCCGTGTGGAGCCAATTTTCGCTTGCCTAGGATGGCGCCATATATAGCGCCATCCTAGGGCAAATCCTATATCAGAATTTGGAAAAAATCCCCCTAGTGTACATTTTTCAAAATTATTTCAATACTGAATCTCCCTTTTAAGCAAATATTTTAATATTGTAGGTAAACGCAATTTTTTCCCTGATAAGTCAATCGAAAAAATTAATTCTAGCTCATTTCCAAGCGAACACCCATTAATTAGTGCATGGTTTTTGGGAAGAATCACAAGATTATGTCAAGCTGAATTATCTGGAGTTTCTGAATTAGAAGGCTCTGGAAACTCAGTATTTTGTATTTTCCAAAATGCAACAATAGGCCTTTTAAGTTCTCCTCCATCAGCTTGTATGAGTTCCTTTATATTTCATATTAAAAATAACGCAACATTAGATTGTTCAAATAAGGCGGGAGATTTTCTAATATGAGCATCTAGGTCTAATACATGAATATTTCGATTGTAAAGTAATTCAAGCGTATCACTAATGCCGCTAGAAGTTGCGCAATCTATTTTAGAGGGACATTCCTGATTTAGGTTCAAACTTGAAATTGAAGCGTGCAGACTTTCTAATAAATTCATTTTTATAAAATGGGGCTTTACTAATTTTAATTAAATACGATTTTTAATAGTCAAAGCCTTTATAATTAATAATTTGAGTTAAATTATAGTGATTATTTTTAAGAAATTTTAATTTAATACATCTTGAAAATTTTCTGAACCTTAAAAAAGATAATATCTATCAATTTTCCTAAAATCACTTGCTTGACACAAAAACTTAAATGAGTTTACCATGGTAATTTGAATGAAAAATGAAGACTTTACAATTTGTTGAGCTCTTTATCTTGATGACTATGATCTATTTCTGGGTTTTATAAAAGGTTTGGCCAAGCATAATCGGGATCCGGCACTCCCCACACCCCGACTCCCCTTCACATAACGTGCATAAGTAAGACTATGAATAATTACATAACAAGCACATAGATGCAAATTCTAAGCCAAATCTATTATTAATTTTAAGAATAAAACTATTGGATATAAATATATAGTGATTTATTGTCAATAGTACCATAAGGAATCGATTTTAGCGATCTAAAAAAAGGATGAACTCGGAATTTGGATGACTATTCCAGTATATTCAATTGAATATGATGCACGACTGGCATTTGCACCTTTGGAAAGCAACTCGTTTGCAGGTTCATAATTATAAGTGATAATTTTTAGATACGCCTTTCCTAATCTCCTAGATAAATAAATTAGAGATGCTAAAGTGCTTCTCATAAGCAGTTGTTTAACTGATACGCTTGAAGAGCATACCACTCCTGAAATCCAGTGTTAACTAGCTGCTCTTCTTGCATAATTTCGTTGCTTATAGTTGTAAATTGTTTCATGTCTTGTGGCAAAGTGACCTACAGGATGCATCAATTTGATCAGGGCTTGATTTTGCGCAGATTGATAAAACTCCTTCATCAGAAATAGGGTCAACTAAAACAAGTAGCCAGAAAACTCAGCTAAAACTTCATAACAGATTTGCTGTAGTAAGAAGGTATAGTCCAATTTTCCATTTCAGACACCATTTAGAGTTTCTATTAGCAATAAACAGATCTTAATAATATTAAAAAATTCGGAAAATGGCATAAAAGAATTTAATCTTAAAAAGCTCTTATCTCTTAATAAAATTTAATAATTCATTAATTTATTCTAAAAATTTGATCATTGATTTATTATTAAAATATGGGCTGCTGTAGTAGCAGTAATGAAGAAGATGTTAAAAAACCAGAAAATTCCCGATTAAGACGAAAATCAAAAGGAGAAATCAGCATAAAAGCTAAAGATTTTGTCAAATTCCATGAAGAAAAAATCATAAAAAATTATGAGCTTGGCAAAACACTATGGGACGGTGGGTTTTATGAAGTGAGATTAGGAACGGAAAAAAAAACTGGGGCACAAAGAGCTGTAAAGTCTATTCTTCTTGGGACCAAAGATAGTCATGATATTGATAAGCTATTAGAAGAGGTTGAAGTACTGAAGAAACTAGATCATCCAAATATAATTAAAGTATATGAGGTTTATCATGATCAACTGTATTTACATATAGTCACAGAACTGTGCTTAGGAGGAGAGCTGTTTGAAAAAATGGGCCAAATGCTATATTTTTCTGAAATTCAAGCTGCCAAATTTATGAAAGAAATCTTATCTGCTGTTAATCATTGCCATTCAGTTGGTGTGGTCCATGGAGATTTAAGGCCTGAAAATATATTATTTGAAAATGATAGTCCAGACGCAAAGCTAAAATTGGTTGGATTTAAACAGTCACAATTTATAAAGCCAAATGAAAAGCTAACAAAATTTACTGGGACTTCTTATTTCACAGCTCCGGAAGTGATTTCTGGCAGCTATGACAATAAATGTGATATCTGAAGCTTAGGCATCCTTTTATATATAATGCTCTCAGGCTTAGTCCCGTACAAAGCTAAATCAGAGCGATCCTTATATGAAAAAATCCAAGAAAAGCCTATTTCTTTCAAAGACCCAGCTTGGGATAGCATATCAAAAGAAGCCAAAAACCTTATAAAATGGATGCTAAATAAAAAACCTTTAAAACGGCCTAGCATTGACGAAATTTTAGAACATGAATGGATTAAGCAAAAATCCCAAAATGCCACTGAAGATAGTCCAACGATATCCCGATCCTTAATTAACTTACTCCCTCCTCCGTGAGTGACAAAAAATTTTCTTCGCTCGCGGAGAGGGATTTATATAAAAATAAATAGTAAATTTTTATTTCGAAATCTAAAAAAAAATCCATATCGAAAATAATTTTAAAGCAAATTTGGTCTTAAAATTCAAGCCATTTTTAAATTAAACAGAATTAATTAGAGATATCATTATAATAAATATCGTTTTAATATATCAAAAAATTTTTATTAAAAGTTTTATATTAACAATGTTTTTATAATAATAATAATCAAAAAAAATAAGGATTTTTCCAATGGCGTTGTCCACTCACGAGGGTAGTGAGTTAGCAGCTTTTAATATCAGCAATAAGCTCCAAAAAGCGACATTGACGTTTATAGTTTCACATTTATCAACTAACGCCGAAATAGCCCAGCTTAGGTCGATTTTTCAGTCACTTGATGAAAATGGAGATGGAAAACTAAGTGAAGAGGAGCTGAAAAAAGGCTTTAAAAAAGTCCATCAGGTGATAAAGATGGACCTCCACGAGCTAATGGCGAAGTGTGACTTAGACAACAATGGGTATATAGAATACACAGAGTTTTTGACTGCAGCTATGGATTGGAGGAAAAGTTTAAATAAAGAAAAGCTTTACAACGTTTTTAAAATTTATGATAATGATAACAATGGAAAAATATCGCTGGACGACTTAAAAGAGTCTTTAGGAGGAAATGAAAGAAACCACTATGATTTTATAAAAATTCTCAAAGAAGCAGACATTAATGGAGACGGAGAAATCGATTTTGATGAATTTGCTGAGCTTATGCTAAATAAACTGTCAGAGAAAGAGGAAAGCGAACCAAATCGAATTTAAATAAAATTTTAAGGTGGTAGATTAATAATTATTACTGTATTCATTATCCATATTAATTATATTATTTTTATTGGGCAAAATGGGCTGTTGCTCTACAAAGTCAAAATCAAACAAAAAACTATCCCAAGAATTCGTTAAGCGGAAAACAAGGAAGGAATACGTTATAAAACAAAGCAATTTTGTTGTGCTGATTCATAAAAAAATTACTGAAGACTATGAACTATTGTCCACGATAGGGCATATACTGTTAAATGCTGGTGATGAGCAGCCTGTCATCCCCGTGGTGGATGCCCTTTTGCATATCCACACGTGGTTTTTTAGTGCAAGGAGCTGCCATGGGGTTAGGCTAGCATTGAAGCGAGATTCCCTGATTAGTGGCCTGGCTCGAGCAGCAGCTTTTTGCATCTTTTTTATCAGCAGAACCTAGACCAGTTTGGGTGTTCTTAGAGGCAGGGCGACTTACATCCCTAGGATACTTAGTGGCCTGTTCCAAATGGCATAAGCGATTAAGTTTTTCCTTTGGGACTAATCCAGAGGAAGAAGGAAAGACAAGCTCCACAGATCTCTAGGGCTACACTTTCTCCATTTGAAATTTTTCTCAAGAAAGGGGCAGCCTGACCATTGCTGTTATGGAATTGGAAATGGTGCTACCTGCAAGAGTCGTTTGACTTGGGCCAAAGGGGAAGGCACTACTGAGAAGCCAAGGTTTCAGCCTAGGCTTCGAAAGTCTTGCGGATAGCTACCCCACGGAGTTCGCCGTGCAACCCACGGTGCTCATGATGTAGGACTTTAAATTGCATCTCGGCCCACGCTAGGACAAGGCGGGTTTGGCGAAGTAAAACTAGGCAAGAATAAAACGACCAACCAAGAAAGGGCAATAAAGACTATTCTTTTAGAGTCTTCTAAATCTACGAATATTGAAAAATTAATAGAAGAAGTAAATATACTGAAGAAATTAGATCACCCTAACATTGTCAAAGTTTTTGAGGTGTACCAAGATGACTTGTATTTGAATATTGTTATGGAGCTGTGCACTGGAAGAGAACTCTTTAATAAAATAAGGAAAAGCAGGTCTTTTTCAGAAAATCAGGCTGCAAAATATATGTTTGAAATAGTTTCAGCTGTAAAATATTGCCATGCTTCTGGAATTGTGCACAGAGATTTGAAGCCAGAAAATATTTTATTGGAAAATAAGCTGAGCTAAGGTGAATTTTATAGATTTTTAATATTTTACAATAGGAATATAGCTTATTAGCATTGCATGCATATTTATGTAATTTTTATTAAAAGTCCTGATGCAAAACTTAAGCTCATTGACTTTGGAACTTCTCACTTTTTGAAGCCTCACTCAAAACTTTCAAAAATGATTGGAACTTCCTATTATATGGCCCCAGAAGTCATTTCTGGTAGCTATGACATGCAATGTGACGTATGAAGCCTTGGAATTATCCTCTACATCATGCTATCCGGCCTACCTCCATTTTACGCCAAAGACGAAAAATCACTATATAAGAAAATCCGCAACAAACCAGTTTCTTTCAAAAAACCAGTTTGAAGTAACGTTTCAAAAGAAGCCAAAGAGCTGATAAGGTGGATGCTTAACAAATCTCCTGCGTATCGTCCTAAAATCACAGATATCTTGGATCACGAATGAATAAAAACAAGAATGAATAATTCAGTCCCAGACATCTCATTAGCCAGTGAGTCTTTATCTAATTTAAAATTATTCAACGGATATCTCAAAAGCTCATGGGATAAATTACAGTCATTTTTATAGAAAATATTACATTTTTATTGGTCCTTCAACGTCCACAACAAACTACAAAAAGCCACGATGACTTTTATAGTGTCACAAATAGCGACGAATACAGAGCTAAGAGTTTTAAGAGAAGTTTTTTTAGCTCTGGATGTCAATAAAGATGGAACCCTGTCTAAAGGAGAGCTTATCAATGGGCTATCTAAATTTATTCTTTATTTAATAAATAATGCAGGGTTATTTTAAGTGCTGAAAATATATATATTTATTCGCTTAAGAATAGCCAAACCGAAAGCATGAACGCTAATGAGTTGATGCAAAAGTGCGATATTGACCAAAATGGTTTAATAAGCTATACAGAATTCCTGACTGCAGCTACTAATTGGAAAACTGCTTTAAATAAAGATAAATTATATAAAGCGTTTCAAGCTTTTGATATGGACAGGAATGGGAAAATTTCATTGGAAGAGCTGTGACAGAGGCTAGGAGGAGATGAGTATAATTATGGGGATTTTACCAAAATGCTGAAAGCTGCTGATGTGAATGGAGATGGTGAAATAGATTTTGAAGAGTTTACTGGAGTCATGATACGGCAACTTGAGAGCGATGAAGAGGAGCCGAATCAGATTTAGATGTCTTTTATAACAGAGAAAGCCAATTATTTTTATTTAATCATTTGTGTTACCAGCCCATTCTTGATCAACCTATCGCCATCGATCGATTTTGCTGGGACTAAAAAATTTCTACTGTTCCAATTTCAAATTTCAAAAGGTTAAAAAGTTTGTGATAAATTATAATCAGTTGCTCAATTTTCTGATTGGCTCGCACGAGCCGAAGATGGATTTCACGCTTGAAAATCCAGAAATTCCACGTGGAAACCCATTTTTGGCTCGTGGGAGCCGATCAAAAATAACGCCAAAAAATCATAGTATAAAATGATCCATTAAAAAATTAAAGACGATATTAAAAAAAAATTTATACCCAAATTCTCATTAGCCAGAAAGTTTCAATGGTATCATTTGATTAAGAATGGAGGAGTTAGTAATTTTATTTTCTAAATGCTAGGTATTAATTTACCCTGAGCACGCTTATTTAATAGGAAATTATATAGCAATTTAGTATCAGTTTTCGTTATAATATGCATAACAAAATAATTTTCTTATAAACTTACTCCCCCATTTAAGTTGATTTTCGTTTTTAAAAATTCTATTTTACAAAAAAATTTTTTAAATGTTAAAAATTCAGATTTGTGGCTATTTTAAATTAAATTTGCCTTTAACTTATAGGCCGTTCAAAATTCAATAAAATTAGCAAGAGATTTCATTAATTAATCACTAATTATATCCAAGATGTTAATTTTGCTAAAAATAGGGATTTTCTAATTGCTTTGCTCAGTAACCAAGGAGAGGAGTTAGCAAGATGGTAAGATCTATTTAGTCGAATATCTTCAATTTCCACGGTGGCTCTATCCTTGCAATTAAAGGCAAAAACTGCGTCGCAATAGCAATGGACCGCAGGCTTGGCGCTCAATATAAAACAGTCAGCACCACTTTCCAGCGTGTTTTCAAGATGACCGACAAATGTTTAGCAGGCTTCATTGGCCTTGGAGGGGATGTCCAAACAATAGGCGCAGATCTTAAATACAAGCTTAATCTTTATGCTTTGAAGGAAAACAGACAAATTCAGCCCAAAACTTTGTCATGACTGATCTCAAATATGCTGGTTCCCCTATTTTTTTTTTCCAAAATTTCTTTTTATCCATTATTAGGAAAAATTATTAAGCATTAGCCAATATGCTATATGGCAGAAGATTTGGCCCATATTTCATAGAGCCTTTAGTAGCTGGGCTAGACGAGAACAACGAACCCTACATATCAACGAGCGATTCAATTGGGTGCATGACTGATGGGGATAACTTCTTTTGTATTGGAACTGCGAGCGAGCTGATGTTGGGCGCTTGTGAAAGTTTTGTTAAGCCTGATTTAGAGGCAGAAGAACTCTTTGAGGTAGCTTCTCAATGCTTATTGTCAGCACTTGATAGAGACGCATTTTCAGGGTGGGGTGCTGTGGTTTATATCATTACTCCTGCTGGTATTACTGCAAGAACATTAAAGGCTAGGATGGATTAAATTAACTATTTCTAGCTAAATTATATGGCCTTGTTAAAATAATGCACTATTTTTTCATATAAAATTTAAGAAAGCTAGATTTGCATATAATAATTCCTCAATTATTCACCATTAATATAGCAAATTAGAATTATAATATGGAATCAATAGATTGCACATTAAAATTCAATAAAGAAACATTACCGATTCGAAAAATTCCTGCTTCTTTAGCAGAGCTGAAGAAAACAGTAAAAAAAAGCTTTGGGATGCCCAGCAGCAACTTATTATTTTCTATTTTAAATTCAGCAGGCTCTAAAATGCCTGCAAATTAAATTAAGAGTATTCATGTCTTCTGAATTTAATACCTCTGCACGCTTTTGATCAGCGCCAACTGCTTGTCAGGATGAAATTCAGCCACTATTTGGAATAGCAGTCTTCTCTAGAAGCAGTGCTTGTATTGTGATACCTAAGAGTGTAGATAGGTTCGGGAGACAACACACACCATCGTGCTATGGAGGTAAAGGTTAACCTGATGTCTCCTGTCGTCTTTCTTTGGGAGAGGTGACACCCCAGAAAAAGAGCCACGTCCTCTGGAACTAAAGAAAAAAGATGTGGTCCAAAACCATCTTAATAACTAATACATAATCATGAGCCACCACTAGCTTATTCCAAGGCCACCCACGCGCAACATCTAACGTCCAATGAGCAAGAAGTAGAATTAAAGGGTCCCAATCTTGGTTAAGCTATAAAATAATTTTGCGGCCCAGTTAGTGAATTGCCGTCAAGGACATATCATGTCTCTTCCACCATATTAATTATAATGCCTGTAAGGACACAAACAGACTATAAACGAGCTCTGACATATGCAGGATTACAAGTGGTAATCGAAATCGAGGAAAAGCCAGCAGAAGAAGAAACAAAAGAGGAAGAAATTTCCCTAGCAAGCTTAAATAAAGGCTCTCGAAGAGTTTTGCTAGCTAATCGCAAAGCCATTGCATTAGCAAATAACGCTGCAGATTCTATAGAAGATATACCTGAAGATGAGATGTGTAATATTTGCTATGGGAGGTTTGCAGAGCCAATGGCAGCGAAATGCGGACATGTGTGCTGTAGAAAATGCTGGGAAAGGCTACTAGAGAACGCTTTAGAGTGTCCGTTGTGCAAAGGGAGGGTTAGGCTTAACCATTTAAGAAAAGTGCAATAAAATTATGTTTTCTTAAAGAGAATTTGCTTAAAAATAAAAAAATCGGCAGGTTTGACGTATTCTTGGATAATGTTTTATTTTATACGTTATAAGGAGCTAGACAGGAAGTGTCTAAGTCATTAAAATATGGATGCAGCATTGCTGCTTTGGCTGAAATTCTTTTAGCTGGGTCGTAGCAAACCATTTTGGATAGCAAATCTAAACCATTTTCATCAAGGTTCGCAGCAAATCTAGAAAGGTTCTGCGCGCGCCACTTAGGAAAAGTCGGCTTAAAGTCTGCAAATCCTGTGACACCAGGGAATGTTTCTTCAGTTGGCGTCCCAAGCACTCTGAAAATCTTAAAAAGCTGGTCAATCTCCGAGTCACCCATAAACAAAGCTCTCTTTTGTGCCATTTCTGCAAAAATGCACCCAATTGACCAAATATCTACAGGTGTAGAGTACTGCCGAGCTCCCATCAGAATTTCAGGGGCTCTATACCAGAGTGTGACGACTTCATGAGTGTACGTTTTAATAGGCAACCCGAATGCTCTTGCTAAGCCAAAATCTGCAAGTCTGACGCTTCCTTCTCTATCAATCAAGATGTTTTGAGGCTTCAAATCTCTATGCAAGACTCTATGCGTATGACAATAGGCTAACGAAGAGAGAATTTGATATAAGAAACTTTTCACTGTCATCGGAGGTAAAGGACTGCCTAATACATTCATGTGCTTTTTGAGGTCGTGGTCTAAGAACTCAAAGATCAAGTACAATTTTTGGTCAGTGTGCACCACGTCGTGAAGCTTGACTACATTTGGATGTCTTAAGGTTTTAAGAAGAGATATCTCACGAATTGCAGTAGACGGAACCCCTTCATCTTCTGATTCAAGTCGAATCTTCTTTAATGCGACGATTTCTCCTGTATTTCTATCTCTTGACTTGTAAACCACACCATAAGTACCTTCACCGATCTTCTCGATTTTTTGGTATCTCTCGATTCTTTCCATTTCAAATTATGAAAGATTGTTAAAAATGGTTAGAAAATGTATATAAAAGATTTTTATGCAGCTTTTTATTGAAATCTGTTAAAAAGGTCACTAATTAAGAGATATAGATAAGCGCTTTTTAAAACAATAATGAGCTTAGAAATGATATTTTGCGAAACTTATTCTAATAAAGATTTATATGAGTTAATATCTTGCAAAGAAATATATAGTTAATGACACTGACTGGCACGGGGTGCTTTTGGCTCAGTTTCGAGCCAAAAGTACCCCGTGCCAGTCAGTGCCACTGACTATAAAAATTTAGCAAATACAAATAATTTTTATAGAAACAGTTAAAAATATTTAGTAAAATCATAGCATTTTTTATATCTCAAATTAAGCACGTCAAATTTTTTACAAGATATATGGCTGCATAATAACTTCACCTTAAAAACGATTACTTGTGAATATAATAAAAATGGTTAGTGAGGGTGGATTTGATGCAAATTATTATGTTGTCTTAAAATCAGACCCGCTGTTTTACAACTGCCACGAGTACACCATCATAAAAAGTTTATCAAATGATGGCTCATACTCTGGCACTGCTTTAGATGGAATGAAAATCCTGAATTTAGCATGCGGCCCTGCAACAGAGATTCCACATTTTCTAGAAAAAGGAGCTTCCCTAGTAGTTGGGCTTGATGTAGATGCAAATATGGTAAACAATGCAAAATACTACTTAAGCTCTATAGGAAGTGACTCTAGTAAATACAGCATATATAAGGCTGATTGTTTCTCTATAGATTCCATTAGCCAAGCTCTCCCACTTGATATATATAGCGACTATTTTGACGCAGTTGCAGATTTTTGGCTAATTTGCAATGCAAGCTCTATAACACAGCTAGAGTCTGGATTTAAAGCAACAAATAAATTTTTGAAAATTGGAGGAATTTATTCATTTGTGACTGTAAATCCTAAAGAAATCCAAGAATTTAGCAAATTTCAGGAACTGATGAGTGTTGATTGGTACACAAATTTAAAAAGGCTGTTTTATGATGGAGAAATTGCTAAAATTGAGTATGCATTTATGGATATGAAAACAAGGCAAGAAAAATTTGTTTTTAATGCTACAGTTTGGACTCTTGATGACGTAAAGAATGCTTTGGAAAGATGTGGGTTTGAATTGGTTGGGGCGAAAGGATATGAAACTAATCCAAATTTTGATTTTTCAAATAAATCTCAGCAATCGAGAGAATTGATGACAGGAGAGTATACTCCTGGATTTTGCTTTAAGGCTAGAAAAATAGCTAATGCTGAAAATTAATAATTTTATTGTTTACCCATAATGTCTATTAATATGAAAAAGAAGTTTTCTAATTATTATATGTCTCATTTTCTTGCCAAAATATTTAATTTTTAACAAATAGCTTAAAAATTTTTATTTGATTAATCAAAAAAATGCATAAAAGTGAATTGCACAAGAGAACTGAAATTTATTTAGCCACTTTGCATTTATATTAGAGATTTATTCATACCAAAATGGTATATTTTAAATTTCTTTGGAAAAAAATTAAATAGACCAAAATATTACGAAAAAATGGCTAGGAGCAAGGGGCCTTTGACACAGACTACTACATGTCAATAAAATCAAAGCCAATGTTTTATCTGAAGTTCTGGACTAATTTAAACAGAAAACAATATTTATTAAATATGATGTTTTATATGTTTACATTGCAATTAAAATAAAATGGCTTAGATAGAGTTTATGGACACAAAAATTAGAAGGAAAGTATAAAAAGTGTGTGAAGTCTTCAGGCCATGGGACATTTATAAGAAAGAAGTCGATTTAAATTCATTGAGGCTAAAGGATGTGAATTCAAAATGCATTAAAGCATTTATTTGTAGATAATGCTATAAATTAATCTTTAATATTATAAAATTTTAATATGAAATTTGCATACTTTAATGCATTTTCTTATCCAATTTATGTGCAGAAATTTTTTCAGTCATTTTAACCTTTATCCATAATAGCCTAAAGTTTTTGAATAAAACATGAAAGGTACTTACTTAGCTTGGAAATAATTTAATCAGAAAGCGACATTTATTAAAATTGCTATTTTAAATATATCTTTTATAATAAATAAAAACATTCCTAACTATTAGCTGCTGGCCTATTTAATATATGAAAATAAGACAGCGGTTACCATCAAGAATGCTTCTCTTCATTGCATAAAGGTATATGAAGTAATAATCCCGGCACTAATTATTCTCCCTTTTATAATTTCTTTATCAGCATAATTCCAGGCAGCCAAATATATGAATTGTATATAGACTCATCTATTAAATTATAATCTACACAAATAAACTGAATAATCCAAATGTTTTTCTTGCTATTCATAATCTCACTCATTAACCTTTTAAAATTTTTATCATAATATTTTCCCAGATCAGCCAATCTTTAAATATAAATCACTGCTTTTAATTTTATTTATAATAATTTTTCTTATTTTACCTAATCATTTTTGTATTTCAAAATTTCGACTTCCCATCCATATCCCATTTTATTTCAGTAATTTCGTTCAGTTTTGGGACCAACTCCAAAAATATCCAGCCAAAAATCTAAATCCTTTGGTTTTAAGAATTTAACTTAATTATTTATAATTCTGAAGGTTATTCAGAAGTTAATTAGTCAACATAAATTGCACTTGCCCATACCTTTCCTTCATCAAACACTGAAGAATAATTAATTCCTTGATGTTGACTTTGATGCGTTGGTTGCATTGAACTAGCCGATTGAGTGAATTTGGTGCTTAAATTAGATTGCTTGTTGGTGTGTGAAATGTGTGTGAAGCTCTGTCTTACTGCAGTATTTCCCATGACCTTTTTATTATTATATGTGGTTTATTTTTGGCCGAATATGGCAAGATATGACTAAAAATTGGATAATTTAGATAAGAATTTTCTTCATAAAGGAAAAATAATAATTAGAATATATTTATATATTGATATGGCTTTTTGGAATTTTTAGTGTTCAATTTAGAAATTTAAAGGAAAATGATTATTATGTGATAATTAGTTATAATTTTCTAAAGAGTAAAAGTAAAATAATGAATCAGCTATATCAGATAAGCCAACATAAATTTAAGAAATAAAAATAAAAAATAAATCATAGAAAATTTATTTGAATTCGGGCATGATTAATAAATAGTTATTTTATAAATAAAAATTTGTAGGTAGGAATGTGTGTTATCCCGATCAGCTTAGGATAATTTCCATTTATAATGGCTAATGAAGACTATATAATGGGATAAAAATAAGGTAATTTGTATATATTTCCTAATACAGCAACTATTATAGCTTGTGCTTTAGCCCTCTATATTAATTTGAGGTTATCCAATGTGCTTTCTCATCTAAAGAATTAAATAAATTTATTTTTACCTGAAATTTTTATTTTTTTACTAACTCATTCTTAATTAAGTTAAAGTATCAATATCAAGATATGGGTTATAGTTATACCTAAGCATCCTTCCATTACCTTGTAATTGGCAAGCTTCTGTTACATTTGGCACTATTTTATCTTCCATCATCGTTTTAAAAGTTTCATAAGGACAAGGATCTGTACACCCATCTAGCAAAATTATATCTCCATTGTACGAAATATGAACAGCGTAATTTCCTGCATTATTGTGAAGCTCAAAAATCAAACTTGATGCATAAATTGGGTTATTTCCGTCCCAAACCCCAAGAAAAATTAAAAATCCTATAAGTGTTGTATCATGTGCTGAATAAAATCCAAATTTTATGCTTGAAGTTCCATTAATAGTCCCATCAAACTGATTTATAACCGCTTGGAAAAATTGGGACCCTGCTAGTCTAGCGCCTTCTGGGGTATAAAAATAGCTGTTCGTGTAATTCTGGTTTGCGTACATTTCATAGTAAAGATCGTCTGTAACTCCATCAGGCAAAGGGAAACCATGAAATTTGTCAGCAGTCAGCGTGTCACACATATACCCAGCCATTTCATAGGTGACATTTTCTTTAAAAACTTGGTAAACTTGGTTCTGCAGCCCTCGGGAATAAATACTGACTTTTCTTTGGTATTCTTCAGATTCTTGTTGCTGCTGAAGAATTTCAGCAAACCTGGGACATGCTGCAGTTGTGTACCCAACTAGCATATTATCATAATTGGCCGATACCACATGGATTGGAATAGGCTGAAACCCATTAGGAAGTGCATTTGTTCCTAATGCGGAGATATATTGCTGCTGGTTTTTTACTTTAAAAGGTGGAACTGCACCTTGCTGCAAAGCTTGGGTTGCAATTTGAGGACCTGTTGGATATATCCCAAATAATTGACTTTGGGCACTCATAATAGTCCGGTTTGTATCTGTTGACCTTACGTAAATTTCTGCAGCTGTGTAGGTGGGGCTGATAGTCTGTGACTGGCTAATGTACCTATAAGCCATTTCGACTCCGTTCAGATATTGCTGCCTCATTCCTGCAGGAGTTAATTCAGCATAGCCTTGAGGCCAGATTCCTTTGTCTCATGAAGATTGTGACATCGGAGCTCTTGCACCATGTCTAAATGTGGAGACGACACTTACAATTTGATCACTAATAGCAGTTCCAAGTAATAGAAACAATGTGAAAAGCATAAAATTATGCTTAGACATTAAGATGAGTTTTAAATGAATATGGCAACTTATTTTTATGTGGACTTTAATATTTTAAAATGGCAGGCGAACTGATCCATCATCTTAGCATGTAGCCAATACGACAGGCGTTAGCCATATTGGTGGCGTAGTCACCAAAGACCTTCCATGCGGGAGGTTCATCCATTTTCGACTCCAACCCAGAGGGTCTATCCTCAAATAATGGGTGCCACTTCTAGTACATTATGTATCCTCCTTGCCTTGAGGCTTTATTTTTGAGTGGCGACTACAATAATTCACAGTGAACGGGATCTTAAAGAAGAAAACCCTTATTAGTGTTTAACAGTGAAATTTCTATAATCTTAGGCAATTGAATCGTGAACTTTATTAATGTTAGAAATTCTAATTCATTGCAGTAAAAAGAATTATTTTTAGCCTTTAAGCTTTTTCCACTCTTCAAAAGACCCAGTGTATATATGAGCATGATCATTTCCTGAGTATTTCTGTAAGGCATAGCCTAAAGATGCATTAATTCCTTTCATGCAAGATGTAATGACTTCCCCTCCTAAGCCGTGTTGCTGAAGCAGTTCTCTGACCTCTTCTGGAGACTTGATAGTTTTATCAGCATTAAAGAATGTGGAAGCTGGCAGATTAACTGCAGTAGGGATACTGCCTGCTTGGAACATATTGGGCGGTCTTGGGTCCCAAATGGCAAACCTGTTGTCCCCGCTATTCTTTTGGTTCACTATTTGTTCGACTGTGTCTATAAGAACCCTCATTTCGTGATGCTCAGTGACTATTCGTATTCAAATAATTGGACTTTTTAATAATAAGCTATATAATATAATATGCCTAAAGAGTTTATTCTTTTAAGAAAGCATAAATATATAAATATGGCAGAGACGACCACCTGAACCTGGCGCTATTTTCTCAACAAGCATCAGGTGGGGAAACCAAGCTGAGAAATGGTTCGGCATCCCTTGGTGTATATTGGGCGTGAGTTTTTCTTTGCCTCAGAAGCTAATCATGGAACATGAGTTTTTACCTCCGGTGATTCTTTGAAAGGCACCAGATCAAGTTGAACAACAGACTCCTTTCTAGCTTGCAGGACGGTTGGTGCCTGGCATGATACGGGAGTTATATCTCGAAAAATCAGTCCTAAGGACTTTGGAGCTAGAAAGTCCTATCCAGCTGTGCAAAACTCTACTGTGGCAGAAGGAGGGGTATCTGCCGAATCTCTCTAGGATGATGAGCATGCAGGGGTGCAAATCCTCCGGCCTCTGTGGTGGTGAACGCGTTAATGACGTAAATTTAATTTAATTTAAGAAAGCATAAATATTGACGCCAATCAACTGGGTCTGTAAAATTGAGCTCATATTCCCCAGTCTCAGTTGGTCTTCCTTCAGCTACCCATTTAGGCAATCCCCCATCAAGGATAAACACATTTGGATACCCAAAATATTTCAGCATTGCCCATCCTCTTGCAGCAGTCCCAAATCCTGTTTGATCATATACGATAACTGCTTTTCCATCATTTGGCAGCCTTATCTTAATCATAGCTTCAGTAAACTGTTGAAAAGTAGGCCAAGCCAACGACAATGGTGCAGATGTATCTCTGATTTCAGCAATAGAAAAATATTTAGCACCTCTAATTCTGTTTTCAAAATGCTTTATCCTTGAATTTTCGTTTTGCAATAATGCAGAGCAATAAATCAAATGGCATTTGGCTGGCGAGAAATTAGCTTTGCTAATTTTCATCCTTATGGAATTTTATTTATGGAGTTGGTTTACCTGGGAGAGCTCCTACATAGCAATAGTGGTTTAGCTTAGATGAATAGGGCTAGAGGAATTGCTCAAAGGGCAATAAGAGCTCAAGGTTTTTGGGTAAGCACACGCCTTTAAGTGAAGCACGCGCAGGAGCTGAGTCAAGGCAAGGGCACAATGAGAAGTGGTGAAGACATGCCAAGGAGAGCCTGCTGATATGGTACTCCATTTTAAGTAAGGATTATCCATAATATCACTAGTTTGGCATAGCTCTATTTATTTAGAGCGGACACTGAACACTATAAATACGAAATTAATTTAATCCCAATAATGTAGAGTCTATTACGTATGCAGAACCGTTATCAATCATCGCATTTGCAGATTGGGTGTCAATAAAAATTCTTTCTGCCATTATTTTATAATGGACAATTTATTTTTAATTTTTCAGTGATAATTTTTACTTGATTAGTAAGATGGAAATTTAATTGGGAGAATTTAGTTTTAAAGGTTTTTATTTCCATCATAATAATTAGACGTTATAATTTTTATAATCTTTTTTCAGAATTCTTTGTTTAGTGTGTCTATTGTATTTTCTTATTACAATAATAAATTTTAAATTCCGTAAAGACTTATTGGCATTATCTGTTTGAGACTATATTAGCTCAAATCCCTTTCTTGAGTATCTATATGCTCTTCTAATTTATATAGCTAAGCATTGGTCTAACTCCGCCCCATCCTTGATCTAACGGCTCGCCATCGCTCGATCAAGGATGGGGGGTTAAAAAAAATTTTTTGGGTAGAATTTCTTTATTTTAATGCTAATTTATATGTGAAGACTAGAGCTATAATTTGCAAAGTGCGTGGCTTGTGCATCTCAATATATGCAAGGAAAAAATTTTATAAATAAAATAAAAAATATATAAATATATTTTTTTATTTACTTTTAAATGAGAGGGTTAAGAGTATTTAATAATTATTTTTACACCAAAAATTTGAATTAATTTCATAAAATACCAAATTTTTAATATTTTGATTTATTAGTTACCCCTATAAATTTTAATTTATTCCTTATTAAATTAATTTTTTTTTTAAATTTTAAAGAATCTCTATTTTTTAGATTATTGAGTTTTTAAGCCTAGGTTGATGACTAAATCACTTCGAATGGTTGATTCCGTAGCTTTTTGTCGTCTCAAAGTCTCTGAAACAACTTCATTATATACATCTTCCCAAGCTTCTGATAACTAATATATTTTTTATATAAAAATTTGCATGATATGAAAATCGTTCGATTAAGGATGGGGGTTAATTTTCCAAATTTTTTAGGAATTTTTACAGTCAATCGTTCGATCAAGGATGGGGGGGAGTAAGGTAAATCTCTCTCATTTTTATATTGGTATATTTATCGCCATATTACCTCGATTAAATCAAGTCTCCTCTTAATTTATTTGCAAATCGCAAAGTTTAATTTACATGAAAATTTCAAATTAAATTTAATTGAGAAAAGTAAGTATATAATAAATATTAATTAAATTGCAAAATCGAACATATATTTAATAATTTTTATAAAATAATCATAACTAAATTGATAAGTAAAAGGATTATAATAAAATTAAAGATCTTTATAAAAATCAATTATCGTCCTTTATCAAATAAAATTGATTCTTTTAGCCTTTTTAATTATATTTTTAGAAGTAAAACTTTATGAATTAACATTAAAAAAAAGAATTAATTGATGTTTATAATTTTAATAATTAATTTTTCTTAAAAATTGTCATATCCACTCAAAGCTGGAGAGTTAATAAAAGATTAAAACTCAAATTTTTATATTTATAAAATCATTCCAAGCTCAGGAACTTATTTCATTGCTGATAATTCTTTAGCTTTTTAATTTTTAATAGCTCTTGATTTTATTAAATTCTCTAATAAAAAATAAAAAACTATTTCAGAATTTAATTAAAAACTCCTGATAAATTATGCACTTTTCTTTGGGTTTCCCAATAACATGCTTACTTGATTAAAGGGTTCTGGTTTAACATTAAATACCGCATTAACTGCACGGGCTTCCATCCCTGATTCGGGGTTTCCCATTCCACCTTCACGTCTTGGACTACCTGGCTTCACCTCTGAAATGTCCCTTGGCTTCGGGCGTCCAGATTTCGATGGCTGTCCTTCCTGCTCTCGGGCATCCTATATAGGTGCTCAAGAATTCCAAAAAATGGAATTCTGGCCGACTTTCAGCAAAAGGCGCAACTCCTGGATTCACGCTGAAGAGTTGCCAGAAGGGCTAAATATGCGCTTCTGGGCTTCCCCTTTTCAACTTCAAGCCTTTCTTTTCCCACAATCCCACAAGGTAAAATCCAATCATGAAGCGGACTTGGGCTAGCCTCCGAATTCTACGGAATTTTTACTAGCATTGTAGTCAATTTTAGGTTTTGAGAATGTCAGATATAATTAAATATGTGCTCGAGGCTGCATGGCCTCTAGCCATGCCCAAACCAAGACGCCATATTTAATTATATGGCTCCCAACAACAAATATCTAAATATATAAAACTAGCAATTCAATATAAATCTCTATGCCTATACCCTAATCTTTCAAATCAAATTTGATTTCCATTGATTATTCATAAATTAATAATTACTTTATCAAAAAACTGATGTCCTCAAAGATCCTCGAACTGAATTTTATAGATCAACCGATTTCAAAGCAGAGTAATTCTCCTATATACAGCATTTTGCAGCATGAAGACCGTGAGGTATCTAACCTTCCAATTAGTCCTAACTTGCTCAATTTCGCAGATAAGCATTTAAATCAGAAATATTACCAAGCTTTATATACATGTAAAGATGAATGTACAAAGCCTAGTCCCGAATTTAAAAGCAATCTATTGTGCTTTTATTTGTTTTTATCAATATATATAGCAATTCTTGTAATATTTGCGTTATTACTGCACTCAGAAGGAAAACTTTCAGACACTCAGCTTGCATTTCATCTAATATGTTTAGGTGGAATCGTGCTTTTTGGCTATGTATTACTATTCTGCATATATAAAAGTCAATGATTTCTTATTCAAAACAGAGTATTTTTTTTGGCTTTAGGCTTGTTATTTTTTACTTACCTTATAGTTGGGGACCAAAGAGTTTTATCAGAAATTACGGACTCAAATCATACAGAAAGCAGACTGCCTATGTCAATAGGTATTGTGTGCTTCTTAGTGCTATTAAGACTAGTTCTTTTTGAATGTTTTTATTACTTAGTTATTTTAGTAGTTTATGCTCTAGTGCTATTTTTGGGTGTGGAGATCGGTTATTCTCGATTATCAGTATACTCAACCCTAAGCGAATTTTGTCTTATTTGCTTATTTTTCGTCCTCCAAACTTTCGATTCCCAAAAGATTGATTTTCGAACCCGCCAACTATTCTGAAGAAAAGAAAAAGAAGAAGAAGGAATCGAGCACAGCAAAAAAATCGACGAAAATACCAACAAAATTGACATAAAATCAGAAACTGAAATAATAATAAATTCTTGCGACAAAATCAGGCAAGAGCTAAAATACGCTTATCACGTTATAATTTTTAAAGATGTTAAAAAAAGACTAAAACAAGCCATGGGACTGATTGATAAAGTCAAGCGTAGAGTCGCTCATGGATCTTTTTTTGATGATGTTAAGCTTGAGCAGAGCTTAAATTTAGATGAGCAAGACAAAGCATTTATCAAAGAAAACTACATGAATGTGACTGTTGAAATGAGCAGAGAAAGAAATGACAGAAAAGTAACTATGAGTGATATTACAGAAAAAGAAACAGCTTTTCCTTTCCACAGCTACGGAGTAGCAGAGCTGGAAAGTGTTTTGTTTTCAGTAGGAAAAAACTGAAATTTTGATATTTGGTTTGTATATAGCCAGATCCCTGCTTTGGATCGGGCTTAACTGATGCTGGGAGGCGTTACTAGGAGCTGATGGATCAACATTTGTTGGCAAAATCAACTCCCCAGATGATGCACACATTAATTAATTGATTTAAGGGTTTAAGTCCTCCGTTTAACCACATAACCTGCATGGGCTTCCTTCCTGCTTCGGGGTTCCCTACTCCTTCTTCGTATCGTGCACCTTTCGATATCAAGACTGTATGGCCCCTAAACTTCGGGCGACGGCTGTCTTTCTAGTTCTTCGGGACCAAACATGGGTTGCATGCACAGAAATTTCCAAAAATGGAATTTCTGGCCGACTATCAGCAAAAGTTCCAACTCAGAGCAAAAAGCATAACTCTTGGTTTCACTCTAGGAGTTATTCAGAGTATCAAAAGATGCTGCTGGGCTTCCCTTTCTAGCTCTAAGTCCCACAAGATAAAATCAATCCTAAAAGAGACTTGGATCAGGCTATGGACGCTGTCGGAATTTCTGGGTTGGCAAAACCTTGCCGGATATAATTAAGCATGTGCTCGGGGCTGCATGGTCGGAAAACCCTGCCCAGGCCAAGACACCTATTTAATTATCAACTCCCAAGATTAAAAATTCTCTTGTATTGGCTTTTTTCATCTTGGGAGTTGAATTTGCCAGTAAACTTTAGTTCATCTGACGCCTCCCAACATCAGTCAAGCCCGATCCAAAAAAGGGATCGGGCTATATAATACGACTGGGCATAGTATTTTTATAGTTGCAAAATATCTGCTTCAAAAGTGGAATCTAATGGAAAGTTTCGCAATTCCAGAAGATGTATGTGATAAATATTTTCAGACTGTAGAAAAAGTAATAATTATTTAGGGATATAATCATAACCCATATCACAATGCCTGCCACGCTGCTGATGTACTGCACACGATGCTATTTTTTTGCCTCAATGGGGAATTTCTAAAAAATTTGAGTCCTCTTGACACTATTTCTATAATAGTTGGGGCTTTAGGCCACGATGTAGGCCATCCAGGCGTTACAAATAGATTCTTACTCCCCCGCTCCGTGAGCGATCAAAAATTTTTTATCTGAATTGGAATTTAAAGGGAAAATTGCTATAAATTTTATATTAATAAAAAAATTAACCCGTGAGTGAACAAAATTTTTTTTTCGCTCAAAGAGAGGAGTTAGTAAATAATCGAGATGAAATCGCAATCCAGTATAACGACAATAGTGTATTAGAAAACATGCACTGCTTTAAAATATTCAGCATGATGGCAAAAACCGGCTGCAATATATTTGAAAAATTGCAGCCTGACGACTGGGCTAAAGCAAGAAAACTCATCATTGCGATCGTCCTTGAAACAGACATGTCAAGGCATTTTGAAATTTTAGGGAGGTTCAGGACAAGAGCTCTCAGCCTTCTAGACTTAAATTTGGAGAACCAAGACGACAAAACTTTGATTTTATCAATGGGCCTTAAATGTGCAGATATTGGCCACAGTGCAAAACTCAAAGACTTGCATGAAAAATGGACCGAGTTGGTATGTGAAGAATTCTTTAAGCAAGGAGATGTAGAAAAATCAAGAAAACAGCCAGTTTCTATGTATTGTGATAGAGAAAATACAGATTTGCCCAAAAGCCAGGCTGGGTTTTTGAAAAATATTTGTATACCACTGTTTGAGGTTTGGTGCCAATTTTTGAAGTCTGAGATGATTACAAAGCTGTGCTTGGAGCAAGCGAAGGCAAATTATAACTATTGGGAAGACAAAGGAAGAATGAGAAGGTCTACAGTCGGATATAGCGGGGCTGTTGTTAAAGATGTTGATACGGAGAGAAAACAGTTGTTGGGCTCATCTGATATTGGAGTTAGGCGACAGTCTTATCAAAGCGATCACTAAATTATATTAATTATTATAGCAAATTCGATCATATGGATAGCTTTTGATAATTTTTTTAATATTATTTCGGAGTTTGTTTAACCAATTCGTAAATTAAGATAATGGATTTTTTATTTCTATGACTTGGCTTTACGCATTAAAAGTTAGTTAAACTAGCTCGAATAAGATCGGTAAGCATCGGAAAAAGCAATTTATATGGACAGATATTCTATACAGCATTTTGGCAGATTTATTCATTGAAAACGATATTATTTGTCGACTTTCTTCTTTTACATAGGTGGAGTTTAATGATTTGACTACATCATTTTCTAAAAAATAAGTTGGCAGCATTTTTACTTTCTTTTTTTCATAAATAAGCATTTTCTCAATCCACTCTGATATGCAGCCTTATATGGCAGATTTCTCGAAGTCGAAAACCTTAAAGAATTAATTCTGCTTAATTTTAAACAGCTGCATTTTAGAACATAATTTTGCAAATTAAAAATTATCTCGAATCTGAGATTTTTTTAAAATTTGGAAAAATAAAATTTACTTTAAAACTTATATATAAATGTTTTAACAAAGAAAATTTTTTTCACTCACGGAGAGAGTGTTAAGAGATTTTAAGTTGAGACTAGAGCTTAGTTCTGTTGAGATGAAATTAAGATAAAGTTTCTGGAAGGCTTCATATTTGACTACTAATAATTTTGGATTAAGAATAATTGCTAAATCAAAAATTCCTCTTATTTTTTCAACATTAAAGCTTCTTTTCTCCTGATTTTTCTTCAGGCTTTTAAATCTCTCATTTTTTTGAAAAAGATTAAAATTTTCCTTCAATAGATTACAGTTTCGATTAACTGCGCTCCTTTTGGCTGAATCTAGCTCTCTGTTTTTATATCCCAAAAATCTAGCACAATGATGTTTGATATTTCAAAGGATTTCTAACTTTCGTTTATGAATGATTTTATCTATGAGTTCATAAAATTTTATATTATAATTCTGAATAGTTCTATTTGAGAATTGAGCTAAACTTTTATTTTTAATTTCACATCTAGAACTTTTATGCATCAAAAATCATTTTTTTATGAAATCGAAAGTTTGAAATTTCAAAATTTCTTGCTTGAGTTTTAGGATTTTATCTATGCTGCAAGAAAACTTCAGCACATTTGAATCTTTGCATCTTATTTCGAGCATATTAATAAAATGCCTACATATGGAAATGGTTGCCTTTAGCAGCCATTCCTCCCCAAAGCTAGTTTCCACTTGGATCTTTATCCACGATACCGATATGGAGTTTACCTTATAGGGCAATTCGGTTGGAAGGAAGAAAGGAGACATATGGCTTTTACTTCCTGGCCCACCAGGTGAGAGTGGCGCTTAGATAGAATACAAGCTGGTGTCCGAATTATACGAGGTCAATCATAGCCTGTGAAAGCTTTCTGACCCTTTTAGTAGGTATTCTGGAATGCTTGCTGGGGAAAGATGGTTGCTGATGTCACCAGTTGGGAGTTAAAAGGGTGGAATTCGGTCTAAAACATCCTGCTGAAGAAGACACACAACACGTTAAACTTAAACAAATAAGCAAGCACCTCATTTCAAGCAACAAATCAAAAAAAATCGAAATTTTCTTTTTAAAAATGCAGCTGACAGCCCTTCACAAAAACTTCACGCAAATTTCATTTATTTTTTTTACATTTTTCTTATCCTCAATTACTTTTTTCCTGTTTCCAACTATTCATTCATTATCATCGCAAACTTCGTTGATTTTTATATGGCTCCATGCCATTTGATCTTAATATTTACCTCGTGTGGCATTTCCTCACTCCCTCTTCTTGAGCGATTAAAAAATTTCTTCGCTTACAGGGAGGTAAATTATTTTAAATTTAAGTATAAATTTTATAGCAAAATTTTTGTTTCAAAATTTTAAAAAATCACAATTCGAATATTTTTAGCAAATATCAATTTGCAAAAATTATGTTTTAAAATGCAAATTAAAAGAATTAGGTGGGTTTCATTATACTAATTATCACTTATATATCAATATTTTTTTATAATTTTTTTTTTACCCAAAAAATAGGGATTTTTCCAATGATTTTGTTCGTTCATGAAGGGGAGGAGTCAGATATTTTGATCGAATTTTCCCCCTGTGATTAATTTGATAGAATTTTATTTTTTTTTTAGAGCAAATGTCTCACAAGGAAAAATTTATCACCAAAAGTCAGATATCAGGAAAAAATTCTTATAAAATGGCGACAAAAGATTTTTTATACCCTCAATTAACGACATTTATTTTAACTATTTTTACTTTCAATGACATAAACATGCTTCTAAACTTAACTAAAATAATATTTTAATATGTCTTACGACGAAATTCCCATATCTGGCAGCAAGAATCGCAGCATTTCATCAGATTTTGCTGGCTCTATACCAATAGATGAAATTCCCCTGAAGGGCGCTTCAACATATAATATTTCAAGTGATGATATTCAATTTAAAGATCAAAATGAAAAACCTTTAGGAGGGACTGGAGCTTATAACTTCTCTCTAGAAGAATTCCCTAACTCCCATAGGCTAGTAATCAAATCCATTGAAAATCCTACCTTTTAGGAAGTTTAATTTTTAGAAAAAAATTAATATAGATATTCCTCGTAAAATATATTTTAATATATAGTTCATGATTATAATAATGAGATCTTCAGCCAATCGTAATTAATTTAGACAGATCGCTAAAAATAAATTTTATAATTAAATAACAAATTAAAATACAAAAAATTGTATTAAAAATTTATCTGAACACTAGAAGGGGATTAAGGAAGAAGAGACTAAAGAAGAGGAAACCGGGCCGCTTAGTGATAGATTGGAATCGAAATCATGAAATTCAAGAATGAAAGCTATTGAGGAATTAATGAATTTATTGAAAAACAGCCCAGATCCTCCATTTGAAGAGTATGCTGACAAACTGGCAAAATTTATTTCTGATTCACATGTAGGAGTACAGGAAAATGCATTAGAAATATTATCAGTATATAATACATCTCGACCAGATCTTATTATTTCTCAAAGCGAGACAATAGTGAGAACCCTCATTGAAAAAGCACTAAGCTCAGCCAAGCAGCAAATCAAACAAAAATCCTCTAATTTCCTTCTTGACTTCTATGCTTTACATAACAACAATAACACAGAAAAATTCATTCAAGGACTAATTGGAGCTTTAAATAACAAAAATATCAAAATCCAAGCAGCAGCTATTTCTGCTGTGAATTTGCTTATAAATAATTTTGGGGTAAAAGCATTTTCTCATAAGCCTTTTATTGATATTATCGAAAAATTTGCTTCAGTCAGCAATGCCCAAGTAAGAGGAGAAGCTCTAAACTTTTATAAAGAAACATATAGATGGGTCCGTGAACTTATCAAGTCTAGCGTTGAAAAGCTTAAAAAAGCTCAAAAAGATGAGCTAGAAAAAGCCTTTGAAGATATCATTGACCCTCCAATTCCAATCAGATACATGGCGGGACAAGAGCCTAAAATTGAGGAATCTAAACCTAGCAGTACTAGAGCTCCTGCTCCTGCAATAGATATTTATGACATGGCAGATGCAAAGGATGTGTTCAACAAGTATAATGAAAGATGAACAGAGTCTGTGCTTGCAATGGAAAAATGGATCGACAAAAAGAACGCTCTCGAAGAGCTCAATAATGATCTAAACTATCCTAAACTTGCTGAAAAAAGTCCTATTGCCCTTACAACACTTGCGAAAAGGCTGTTTAACGGGTACAGGTTTATGATCGTGCATTTTATGGAGAAAACTGGTAGAAAAATTGGTCGAAATTTAGCAATTTTTCGGTATCAAAAACGTTCCAAACAAATCCCATAGGATATATCCGACTATCAAAAGTGCACAATTATTTGACATTGAGCCGTTTAACGACAGCAATATAAATGTGATGGTCCAAGCTATGAGACTTATAGGCTTGCTCGCCAAAGGCCAGCGAAAATATTTCGATAGCTTTGCGAAGCAGTTTTTCCCAATGATGATAATGAAATTCAAAGACAAGAAGCCGCAGGTAATACAAGAAGCCCATATAGGGCTCGACAATCTTTTATATAGTGTCAGCTTGGAGCAGGTCCTTGATGATATAAAAGAAGCGCTTGAAGACAAGACGCCATCAGTAAAAATAAATGCATCGATTTGGCTTGAAAAGATTTTTTCAACACAGCCTAATGAAGTCGTTAATAGAATAGCGAGCAGAATTGCAGTTATTTTTAAGAAAAATTTAGATGATAGTGCATTAGAGGTGAGAAACACCTCATTTAAGGTACTGAATACGCTACTAATTAAGTGTCCTGACGTGATAAATCCAATTATTAGGGATTTGCCGCCTGCGAAAATGAAAAAGCTTGAGGAGGCTGGGGACACGAAGTTTGCTAACAGTGAAGAAAATGAGCCAAAGCCAAGAGAAAAGAGTCCGCCTCCTACAAAAGCGGCGAGTAAACCTAAAAACCAGCCTGTCCCAGCTTTGCAAAGACAGGCCACAAACAATCCATCAGCCCCATCAGGAGAAGAAGAATTAGGAACAGCCATTTCAGCAGAAGACGCTGAAACTGTTATTTCTAGCCTTATTCCTACTGAGGTATTTACCAAACTAAAAGACAGCGCCTGGAAAGAAAAGCAAAGCGGCCTGCAGCTGCTTCAAGAATGGGCCTCTACAAACATTCCAGTAGCATCAGAAAACAACGAAGCTTTATCAAGATTTATTAAAAGCACTGTAAAAGATTGAAAAGAAAATAATTTTAATGTCAATAAAGCAGCATTTGAATTGATAACATATTTGGCACAAAATTGTAATATAACAAAAAGGTCAGGAGTTATAGCACTGAATTCTTTAGCATTGGATAAATTTTCTGATAATAAACTTGTAGAAAGCTTGAGTACTTGTATATCAGCATTATGTGAAGACCTTGGGCCTAAATTTGTGATAGGGCAGATTGTAAAAAATACATCTGACTGCAATAAGCCTAAAGTTGTTTCAGAGTGCTGCATTGTTATAGGAAAAATTATAGGAGAATTCGGGGCTCATACAGTAAATTTAAAAGAAGTCATTGAGTATGCTAAATCTGGGCTAAGCCAAACAAACCCTATAATAAAAAAAGCTTCACATAGCTTGACTATCCAAATTTACAGTTACATTGGGGACAAAATCCTGCCTTTTATATCAGATATAAAAGAAGCCACACTGAAAGTCTTACAAGAAGACTTTTCTAAGACAGAAATCATAAAAACAGCCAATTATAAGCAGATTAAAGGCTCAGAAGAGTCCAAAATCGACCCAAATAAAATGCTGGATGCTTCTTTTCCTAGGGCAAATATTTCTCAGTCAATTACTCCAGCCATTCTAAAGAAAATCAGCGACACCAATTGGAAAATCAGGAAAGAAGGCTTGGAAGCGGTAGAAGCGTCCTTAGACCAAAGCGGAATGAGGATTCTGCCAGCAGGACTTGAGCAGCTAATAAAAGCTATAAAAGAAAGACTGAATGACCCAAATAAATCCCTCGTCAGACAAAGTTTAGCATTAGTTTCTAAGCTTGCACAAGCTATGGGGAATGACTCAAAAGTCTATTCCAAAGCAATCATCCCTAACGTCTTGTCCAATTTATCAGACAAAAACAGTTTGCTAAGACAAGAAGCCCTTGCTTCTATTGATAAATGGGCACAAGAAGTTGGCCCTGAAGACATCATAAACCATAGTGCAACCCCTTTAACTTTAGATAACCCTGAGCTTAGAACTGAGCTGCTAAACTGACTCTTGGCCCACAAGGAAAACTTGCCTAAATGCGACTTAAAGCTGCTGATCCCAGGAATAATTTCATGTTTACAAGATAGAAGCGCAAGTATTAGAAATGCGACTGAGCTGCTGTTTGCAGAAGTTATTAATTATATAGGAATGGAAGCATTCCAGCCATGCTTAAAAGACCTGAAGCCGGCGGTAATGAATAGTTTGTGCTTGATTTTGGATAAATATAGGACAACTCCTGCAGTTGTGATATCAGAGGCCCCTCAAATAGAGCCTCAAGCGAATTCAAAAGCTTCTAAGGCTTCAAAAGCAAATTCACGTCCCACACGTTTAAAGCTAAATCCAAAACCAGCTGAAGCGGAGCCTCCTAAAAGTCCTTCAAGAGGCGATCTTATACCTTCACAAGACTTTTCAGTACTGAGCAGTGGAAACAAAGAAAAAAGACTTGAACAAGATTTGAAAAATAAATGAACAGTCGATGATTTGAGAGAAGAGTTTGTGGAAAAGCTCAGGGAACAAATAAAAAATAATTTTTCAGCTGACTTGTTCTCTTTGATGTTTTCTTCTGAATTTAAAAAACAGATTGAAGCATGCCAATATATCTCAAATTTGGTAAACACACAGCCAAAAGAAATGGTTGAGCTGGTAGATTTAATATTTAAATACATTTGGGTAAGACTTTTTGAGACAACAAATACGCAGCTATATAAGTCAATATTAGAACTGTCGATACAAATAGTGTCCATGCTTCAAGTTGAAGGATTTGTACTTACTCCCTGGTAATATGATTTATGTACTATAACGCTATATCCCAGCAGAGCACCGACCAGAAAAAATATGATCCAGATGACTTGCTTTGTACAGTAAAAGTCTGATTAGGCCTTTTAAAGCCAAAAATGAAGATTTGACATTTTTGTTTTTACTTGAAAATTAAAATGGATCGTCAATGATGATCTAAAATATTTCAGGGGCTATGAGTAAATTCTTGCTTTGTAACAGAATTTTCAAGTAAATTTTATATGAATAGATCGAAATTCGCAATTATATATAAAATGTCAAAACAGAGGTATTTAAACCCAATAATTCACTATTCATATAAAAAAATTTACTTGAAAATTTTATGCTAAAACTCAATGAATAAAAAAGAATTTGCTTATTACTGGGAGCTAGTGATGGAGAAGCCTCACTATTTTTACCAATTTTGTGTGAAAAATCAGGACATAATAACGCAGTTTTCAGGACGATGACGAGAAGTATTATTCACAATGTAGCAAAAATTTATCCTCCTGAGAAAGTGTTTCTATCTGTTCTTCAAGGGCTTAATTCCAAAAACACCAGAAGCAAAGTTGAGTGTCTTGACGAATTATCAAGCCTTATTCAAGAATATGGCACCAACATAGCCCAGCCAAGAGACATAAGAGCTATAGCGAAGTTTGTAAACAGCCCAGACAACAATGTAAGGCTCTCAGCTGTTGGAACTATCGGAGAAGTCTATAAATACACCAGAGACAAGGTGTGAAATCTCATAGGAGACATCCCAGACAAAGTCAGAGATCTATTAGAACAGAGATTCAAAGTGATCTCAGGAACCTCCCTAAATAACAGTAAATATAGAAAAAATGAAGAAGAAAACAACAATTTTAAGCCAAATTCGCCGAATATTACTATAAAGCCAGAAGAAATTGTATTTCCTAATTTTACACAAAACAATGATGTGCAGGTTTTCATAGAAACTGAAGAGGTAGGCGAAGAGGCAAAAATTGAGGAAAAAATTATCCCAAGGCAAAAGGTAGTAGAAAAGATAGAAAACAAAGCAGAAATAGTCAAAGCAAAAGTAATTGAAGAAGAGACTGCGCCAGAGCCAGAAATCCTGACCGAGCTAGATAATCATATACAGACCCTGAAGCATGGAGATATGAGTTCACGTGTAGACTCATTGGTAGCTATAAATGACTATATGATTAATGAGCAAGAATCTCATATGGTAGAGCTCCAATACAAAGCAAATATTCTAACTGAAGCTCTATGCAAAGTAATGGTCAGCACTTTTGAGAGGCCAGTTGAAACTATCCCGTTAAGGTTCGCCAAATACTTCTTAAGCGTGGTAATAAAGATGTGCTGCACCAAACCTATTATGATCCGGCTATCTGATAACTCCTTATACCAATTATCCGAACAAATCTTAAAAAGACTTCTTATAGACGATTTAGACAAAATCGGAGAAAAAGGAGAAGGTGAAGCAATGCTAAAAACTCTTAATGGCGCTATGTTGAGAATTCTAGAAAACGGAAAGCCTACACAAGTGTTTGTGGTATTAATAAAGCTGCTGACGAGATATATAAATGACGATTTATGTCCTAAAATTCCTGGCTTGATAATCAGATGTCTGTTGAAATTGACAAAAGTTCTGGGAAATATTGTGCAGAATATTCAAGTTGAGGAATTACTATTGGCGATGCATGAATATTTGATTACACATAGGTCAACGAGTGGAGCTTCACCAGCTTCAGACGAAATGGGGACTAAGACGATAAAAACTATCATAAATGAGCTTGTAAAGCTAAAAGGTGAAAATATCTGGCAGTCGTATGAGGCTGTCAGAAAACACCCTGAGCCAGATAATAATATAGAAAGATGGATCAATATGATTCTTTCAAGCTCCAATAAGCCTTTGGTCGCCCAGTCTCCAAGACAAAATAAAATGTTCAACGATCCTATCCTTTCCTCAATTCTTTCAAGATTAAATGACCCATCTGCCTACCCACAAGCCATAAAAGAATTTTTTGATTTTACAGAAAAAGACTCGAAAACTGATTTTTCAGCACTTTTAAGCCAGCTCCCAAAGACTCTTTCCAACCAAATTGCTGAGGATTTGCGGGCACTAAGAGAAGAAGGCAAAGCTGAAAAAAGTGAGCATGCTCCTCCATCAGAAAGCTATAATTTCCAGGATTTCCAGAATAGGCTGGCACTTATGAAGCAGAGATATGGACTTTCAAATAACCAGCCTGTCCAGACGAGCACTACACTGACGGACTTAAAAGCGAAGGTGAATACTTTGCTGAGCAAGTCAGGGTCTTCTGAAGATCAGTCTGTGTCGATCAATGATGTGAAGGAACGTATAAAAAATCTTAATCGTAAATAATTAGTATGTTAGCCAATATTAATAATAAATATCTTAGTTATTTGAAAATTAACGTAGTATTAATACATAATACCTTTAAATTACGTTATTTTTCATTAACTTATTAAACTTAATAGATCTTGTTCTTAGAAATGGTCTGAAATAGTGAAAATGCGTTCTTAAAGAATTTAATTGATTTAGATTCCTAGATATTGCAGAGACATATATTTAATAAAATAGAAGTTATAAAAAATGGATGATGATATCCTAATGACGTCTTTCTTCACTTGGCTTGAAGAAAACGGAGAAGCATTGAGTTATCCTGTAACTTTTGAATCTGCTGAAAATTTACGACTAAATTTCCTACTAGACGAGCAATATATCAAAATTAATTTTGAAGATTTCGAGATTTCTTCAAGCTCTAAGAATTCTGCTATCAAATCCTGAATAGAATGGGCAAGCCAAACTCTGCAAGATTGTGCAAGTGATTTGCTTACTGGTGATATGCAGATTTCTAAGTTTTTAGATAAAATAATCAATAAATACTCAGAATACAAAGAATTCGCCTCAGATAATGACTTTGGTTCTGATACTGAAATGGACTTAGACTACCATGATGAAATAATAGAAGCTGAAAACGAAAGATTAGTAAAAACAGCTCAAAGAACTGGAAAAAGTGACGCCAGTTTCCAAGGTCTTCCTGAATTCGCTCAAAACCACTTTATCTTCAGAGAGGCTGCAGAAGCAGTAGAACTCTTAAACGAGACTTTTAACAGTTGCCCAGACCTCCGCCACTCCTGTAAAATCACCAACAATCCGGTCTTAAGCAATATTCGGCTAGAAATTGATTTGGCATTTTTGGATATCCCAGACAGTGTTATGATTATGCTAGAATTAACCTACGAGTCTCCTTTAGTCATAAGTATTACTATAAACGATAATAGGATTATTCAGACTTTGGACGAAATACAATGGACTCCTGCTCTTTTAGGATCATTAAACTTTGAGGTTCTACAAGGAGGGTCAATGGACTCTTATGGCTGCAGAGAATATATATTGGGAAGAGTTAGAAAATATAGAGACGATGTTTATAATGCAATGAAAAGCAAAGGCGGAAGCTCAGCACTTTCTTTGTCTAGAGAAAATAGTATAGAAAATGCAAAATATAAAACAACGGCCAATAAAAATCTAGTAAAGCAGATGGTCACTATGGGTTTCCCTAAAGATCTGGCCACAGAAGCGCTACAGCTTTCTCAAAATGACTTAGACGCTGCTTTAGATATTGCTAATACAGGTGTTTTTAGCAGCTATAGAGGAGAATTCGCTGAAGCTATCATCCCTTGCAACAACTTCTTTTACAATATGCTATTCTATATGAGAGATCGCATCCAAAACTGTACGAATTACTGCTTTATCTGCTATAAAAAGCATAACTGTGACTCCATTAGGCTTCGCGCTTGTAACCAAGAGATCTGCGAATTTAGATTTGAAGAAATTTCTGGGCTTTCTATATACGCTGAGCTTAAAAACAATATAAATTTAATAATGCTAGACCTCTCCTTTGCCTCAGAAGCTGCAGCTTCAGCACGAGCCCAAACTGTATTTGAACCATTTCCTAGTTTTTTGCTAAAAAAAGAGCAGATGAGAGGAAAGGCAGGATTCTTGTCAAGAACTGGAGGACAAAAATATACATCAGAAATGGACAATAATAAAGACATTGAATATTTAAGAGTAATTCTTAGGTCGATGCCTAACCCTCATATGCTGAAAGACCAATGCTCAGATGAACTGGCTTTGAGGGATTATTTGGCGACTCTTATAGGAGAAAATTCTATGATGACTTATAAACTACTTAGATATATTATTGCTACTAATAGGCTAGCGTTAGTGAGACTTGATGGAGAATGGAAAATTAAAAAACTAGATGAGGGAATCCAGCAATATATTGTGACTAACCATTCACCTGAAGCTGAAAGGGAATTTAATAGGCTTAAGCAAAAACATGGCTCATTTTTTGCTTTTCATGGGAGTGCTATAGAAAATTGGTACTCAATTTTAAGAAATGGGATCAGAAATCTTAGTAATACTCATATGATGACTGCAGGGGCTGCTGCGGGGCCTGGAGTTTATAGTGCAGAAAATATGGGGACATCTTTAGGCTACTCAAGGATGTCTGATGGAGGTTCTATTTGGCCTTATGGCATCCTTCATAATCCTCCAACTGGCTGCATGGCAATTATAGAAGTTATTAAAAACAACAAAAACTACAATACAGGCAGAGGTATGTGGTTAAACCTTGCTAGGCCCACCTGTTGACTTATTATACCAGCGGTCCGCTCTTTATATAGTATTTTTGTCTGGTGTGTACGTAATCCAAAACGACAAAGAACTGATTATCCGATACCTACTTCTCTGAAACTCCAGCGACTACAACAAATTAAACGCTAATGCCAACGATCTAGAGCTTACAGACCATTTAAAGAAGTTTGAAAAAGCATTCGCAGCCAAAAAGGCATCAATCCGCAAAGCTCGCATTGACGAAGCAATCAGAAAATCCTTGCAAAAAGCACAAACCGAGAATCGGTCACAAAAAATGTTCGAGGAGCAAAAATCCCCTCAAGTCCAAAGGGCTGATGAAAATCAAAAAGACATAGAGGCTGAAGAAAAAATTAAAAAAATCGAAAAAGCGTTTTCTGGGCAAGGATCTGCCACATCAAATAAAAGGATCCTTCAAGAATACCGCTATTTGTTAAAATCCAAAGAATGCAAAGGCTTAGTTCCTGAATTTGAAGGAGGATCTAATATGTATATATGGCAAGTGCATCTTAATGTTACTCAATTTGAGATCCCAAAAGACCTTCAGAAAGAATTTGAAGCCTATTCTAACTCCCCCCACCCGCGAGCTAACAAAAACCATTAGAAAAAATCCCTATTTTTTGCCAAAACCCACCCTCCGTTAGCGAACAAACAATTTTGATACATAAATAATAATTATTATAATGAAATCTCTATCTAATTCTGCTTAATTTTAAATAAATTGCATTTTAAAAACATAAATTTTTAAATTAAATTATTTTTTGTTTTCCAATCTTTTAGAATTGGGTTTTAAATTTTGAAAAAAAAAGCCCCCTGTGAGCGAACAAAAAAATTTTGTTCGCTCATGGAGGGGGAGTAAGCGCTATGGCAGAGAAAAAGAAATTCTATTTGAGGTCAGATTTGATGCAAATTTCCCTTTCAATCCTCCTTTTGTAAGAATTGTGAGGCCAAGATTTGCTTTTCATACTGGACATGTCACGATCGGAGGGTCTATTTGTATGCAATCTTTGACGCCTTCAGGGTGGATTCCTGTGAGAACTGTAGAGAGCATTTTTATTGAAATTTTATTTAATATGTTGGAGGGAGGGGCTAAGCTGGACCCGAATCAGTCATATGTTGATTATTCATTGGGAGAAGCTCAAGAAGCTTTTGATAGAGTTGCAAGACAACATAATTGGCTTAATTAATTTAGATAATTAACATAAAGATGTTGGTAAGTCCAGTATAAATGAAAAAAGAAAATCAATCACAAAAATTCCTTGAGAAGCATGGATCCTTCCCAGTCTATAAAACTGAAAAAAATAGAGTTGAGAATAAAAATGAGATGCTAAAAAGCTTTTTGAAATATATCTGCATCATCAAATTAAAGATTTAAGGAATAGCATCATTTATTAATATATAGGGGTTAAAACTTATTTTGAAAGAGGATCTAATAGTTCATATATGACAAGCACATCTTAATGCTAGTGAATTTCAGAAAAGTTATTCTAAGCGCTGATGCATAAGGAAAAAAATTTATTTGAAGCCAGATTTGATCTAAATTTCCCTTTCAGCTCTCTTTTACAGAATTTTGAGACCAAGATTTGCTTTTAATACAGCGCAAGCTTAAAGCTATTGATAGATTTGCAAGGCAGCATAATTGACTAATTAATTTAAACATAAATAACTAAAAGAAGGATTATTATGATTTCAATTAAGCTCTATGACGGTGTCTCCTGATAAAAGAATGGATACATTCTTTGAAAAACCTTATAATCATATACGCAGCTTGAATAATAAAAATTTCTATAAGAATTCCAAATAAAAAGTTAAAGCACCAATACCCACTCCATTCATAACAAAATTGAAACGATAATACAATAATTCCTGCAATAGACCCAATAAGTACAGAAAATCCAAAAATAATAGCAGACACCACCCAGCAAATCCCATTAGACCTATCGGTGCTTAATGCTGCTGATAAATAAAACTCCACAGGTGAGGCTATAACAATAGCTAGTACCATATAAGCAAAATATTCTCTCTTATAATTGCTCATTATATCTGAAGCATCCATTACTTCGCCCACGTCTGTATTTTCAAAGGCTTCCAACATTGCCCCTTCAAGCATAAATTCAAACATGACGACTGTAATTAAAGTAAATGCTCTTAAAACTCTGGTAAAGCTTGGCCTATAAAAAAACATCCCAAACAGCAAGTGGCTTTCTATCAGCTGAATTAGTTTGCCTCTTTCTCTTTTTTTCCTGGGCTTTTCGACAGGGAGTTCTGGATATTTGGCTTCGGCGACTGGCTCAATTACTTTGCTAGGCTCTTCTTCAAATTTAACACTATCGTCAAGGATATCAATTTGGGCTCTGCCTGAATCTCGGGGTTCTTTTTTGTCTGCTTTTGATTTAAGGGGAGGAGGAACGTACATGATATTTCCTTTCTGATCTTCAGGATCTTCGTGATAAATATCCCAAACAAGCCATAAAGGCAAGAAAAATAAAATTATAAAGATAATGACTGCCATAATGCCTAAAGGTGCATAGCTCGTGCCGCATGAAGGGTTTACTGGGTAAATAGGAGGTGGTGCTGTCAGCTTTGAGTCTGAATTGAAAATAGATTCCTCGTTATTTTGGCCTGGAACATCTAACTCCCCCCCTCCGTGAGTGAACAAAACCATTAGAAAAATCGCTATTTTTTGCCCAAAAACCCACCCTCCGTGAGTGAACAAAAATGTTTTTAATACAAAAATATTTTATGTAAAAAAATTTTGATATATAAATGATAATTAGTATAATGAAATCTAGAGCTACTTCTGTTCAATTTTGAACGAATTGCATTTTAAAACATAAATTTTATAAATTAAATTTATATTTGCTTTCCAATTTTTGCAAATTAGGATTTTTTTAAATTTCGAAAAAAAATAAAACCCCCCTCCTTGAGTGAACAAAATTTTTTTGTTCACTCATGGAGGGGGGGAGTAAGCAGCCAGATACACCGAAATTCCCTATTATAAGTAGCGCTGACAGAAGAAATACAAGTTTCCCAGTCATCTTTATATGTCTCATAAGTTTTATAATGGTAATTACAATATTTAAAATTATTTATTTCTCTCCAATTCATTATCTTCATTATTATTCCAATGTTTCAATTTACTTTCCAATGATTTTATTAATGCTTTGTCTTTTTAGTTGATTTTGCAGAGACAACATTTTTAGCATTTCGCTTGGCGTCTTGTCGTTTGGCTTCTTCTTCTAGAGCATCCCAGTCCATTCCTTCTTCCTCTTCTTCATCTTCACTTTCAGCACTTTCCTCAGATTCTTCTTCCTCTTCTTCACTTTCTTCATCACTTTCAAAATCTGATTCCCCTTCTTCACTGCCTAATTCTTCTTCATCAAATTCAGAATCTTCGTCTTCTTCGCCCCTTTCTTCTTTTTCTTCTTCACTTTGGCCTTCATCTTCACTTTCTTGTAAGAAATTCCAGCCGCCTTCTTCAATGAAGCCTTGTAGGTCTCTAGAAATTTCTTTCATGACATTTCCCCAGTTAAGTGGGTTGATGCTTTCACTGTAAACAATGTCAATGTCATTAAGCCAATCTTTTATAGGGTCAAGGTATTCCGCAGGGATGGTGCAGATTCTGATAGGAGGCTTGGAATAGTTTTTAAACACAAATACAAGGTCGAAGTTTCTGAGGGCAAACTGGACTCTTTCGAAATGTGCGACTTCAATTTCATTCAAACTCAGCACAAAGAAAGGCTGCTCTACCAAACTTAATAAGCAGTTCACAGAAGGCATGATAAACACATTAGTCTTCGCAGGAACTCCATAAAATCCCAGCTCTCTATACGGAATATCAAAGTCCACAGACTCATTAGAAAGTGCTTGGACAGCTTCAGCGAAATTTTTGAATTCCTTATTGAGCTTTTCCTTATACTTTTTCTCCCTTTGTTCTTGCTGGATTTCATCCAAATCCATCCCTCCTCGTCTTCTCATATCTAAATCGTCACTTTGTATGCCAGCTTCTGTATAAAATTGCACATCGACTGTTTTCTTATTGCCGACCATAATAGAGTTATGTAGGTGGAAATGCAAAAGGACTATTAATTCATTTTCGACTGGCTGGAAAATGGCATGCTTTATGTTGGAGTAGATAATATCAAGCTTTTCTCCTTTGCTGGAGGTAAATCTGAGCCCATTTTGGTGGCCTTCTAAGCTGCCTTGGGTCTTTTTGCCTGAAATGTTAGGACGGATTGTGACGTCTGGGAGCATAGGTCTTTTTCCTTTGATAATCATAAGTCTTTCTTGGTCGACCAAGGACGATTTTTCGATTTCTTCGAATTCTTTGACTTTGACTCTTTTTATCAGCTCTTTTAGAAGCCGAAATGCGTTATTGAGGTTCTTTGGGTTGCTGCTTCTAAATGTGAGCTCTTTTAGGTAAAAAGTGCTGGGGTTTTTAAGGTCTGGAAGGGTGTAGCCACCTTCTTTAATTATTCCAGCGCCTGGATGCAAAAAGTTAATTCTTAGGAAAAAATATGCCATGATATACAAAATGAAGAAAATTTTTTTTTTCAAATTTTTATTAAAAAATCGATGTAAATCTGTATAGCTCCCTTCTTCATTTTTGCTGACATTTTTAATTGTCGATACATGGAATGGGACAATCTGGCCTTGAATAGGAACCAGCACACTTTCATGTCTCGCGTCAACGAAAATTTGGTTTTTCTTTGCGGCGTCTGGGAAGGTGTCTCTTGACGAATATGACATATTCTCCATATAGTTTCCAAGAACTATAATTTTTCTATCATTTTCTTTATTTTTATATATAAATATACTATATTATTTTTAAAACAAATTATTTATTCTCTCTAAACCATGATAACCTCAGTTAAAGACCTCTGGTCAGTTGAATGGTCTCTTTCTCCCATATCAAACCTTGAGAACCTCTGTTTAAGTTCTTCGTATTTCTTCGCCCTGAGCTCATTCTGATGCTCTTTTCTCCTCTTTTCGTTCTCCAGCTGCTGGTTGTTAATTTGATGCCTGAGTCTCGAGCTCCTGACCACACCTCGATTTTCCAGTTCTTTCATGTCAATTTTCTCTTTTTTCGGCTTCGGGGTGGCTACTTCTTCATCTTCTAGCGAATACGAAATGTCTTGGTAATCCCTTGCCACCTCCGTCAGGATTTTCACAGGACCATTTTGGTTTACTATGGCTGAATCACAAATAACAAGGCTAAAGTGGTCATTTTTGCACTTAAAACTCTCAGGTTTCGGAAAATTATTGAAAGCTAGCTGAATTGCGTAGATTTCGCCAGTTTGGGCGATTTCTTGAGAATTTTCGCTGATAACTTTTGTGTTGCAGGAACCAATGGTTGGCGGGAAAAGTTTTAGGTACTCAGGCTCGATGTTTTTTAAGGCTTCTTTAGTTTTTATGTAAACTTGAGAAAGTGGAGCCCCTGACTGTAAAGCGGAGGTTGAAACTTGAAGAAGGTCTAGCAGAATGCTATAGGCTTTTTTTATGGCGTCGGTGGGGTTTATTATGAGCGTTCTGACGCATTCTATGGTGATTTCTTCATGTTTCACCCTAGCTCCTAAGAAGACAATATCGTCACTGAGGTTGTCCTGATTGTTGCTAGACCTAAATATTCTTTACCTGTGGTTGAAATTTTCCCCACTTTGAACCAAGATTTGCTGTAAAGCCACCGAACCAGCTGGAAAATTAAGTTTTTTCTCAATTGCGGGAAAAGCTGATTCTAAAGACTTTGCTATATTTTGATGAGATTCTTTCTTTTCTTCGTCAATGATGCCTTCAACCTGGTCAATTAGTTGTGAGAAGAGTTTTTCCACGAGCTTTGAAGCTTTTTCCGCCTTTTCCATTTATAATTATTAGCTTTATGTGTTACCCCCTTTCTTTATGTTTTATACTAAAAATTTTCATCCCAATTTTGAGGGATGCTCTTTTTATACGCTTCTAAATCGGCGTCAGAAACGTCAGGAAGCGATTCTTCAGTACCTTGACTTTCATTATCTAATGGAGCGTCCCACATGTAAACGTGACCTCCGTTATTTTCTATATCTTCAGAGCTATCTCCTAAGTCTGGAGTATACGGTGGAATAATGGCTTCGTTAATAAGGTTGTCTCACTCCTCCCCTTTAAATTGGAATATAAAATTGATTCCATTTCGAAATTAAATATTAAAAAAATTAATTTTTGATTGAAAACTTTAGTGATAATACTAATTTTATATAAAACTGTTTTGACATAATTTAATTGAGGATGTGCAAACTAGAGTGTTATTTAAACAATAAGTACATAAAATAGTTTAATTTTTTGTGCTAAATCTTTTTATAATAATGAATTAATTTTTTAAAATATTCCATTCAATTTATATTATGAAATATTATATTAAAAATTTAAATTGAAAGAATTTTTGTTTACAATTTAGTGGAGAGTCAGTCATAGCCTGTGAACCATTCGTGCTTTTTTAAGTTATCAATAGAGCCGCCAGCCCTTGATTCTGCATATCGGCTTAGAAGTTGTTCTATCAGTGCTTTAGCAGCCTCATTAATTGGATCTATATCGTCAGGCCATTCCAGCTCTTTTTCTAATATTTCTTCATATACTTTATAGCAGTCAGGCTCTTCGTTTCCAAAAGGAATCCTCCCACATAAGCACTCATACATACAGACACCTAAGCTTCAGAGATCAGCATTTTTATTATAGCCTTTCCCAACTATTACCTCTGGTGCCATATATTGAGGTGTTCCTACAAGGGTGTATAGCCCGTTCCCGGCTAGAGATCGGGCTATGCCCGATCTTTGCCGGGAAACTCGGGGGGTTGTCTTCGTCACTTTCAGGTGACGAGTCAACTCCCCGAGTTGGCAAATCACTTAATAGCGGCTATTTGCCAACTCGGGGAGTTGAAAGTGATGAAGACAACCCCCGAGTTTTCGGCTAAAATCGGGCATAGCCCGATCTATAGCCGGGAACGGGCTATAGGTACGGGATGGGACTATTTTTGCAGTGCCAAAATCAATTAATTTTATAAATCCATTGTCGCCTATCATAATATTTTCAGGTTTAAGGTCTCTATATATGATATCTCGCTCATGGAGGTACTGGATTATTAAGATCAAAGACCCAATGTAAAACTGTGTATCGCTGTTGCTCAAAAGGCCAATTCTCATTAAAATGTCGTTTAATTGCATTCCCTTCACATATTCCAGCAGAAAATAAATCCTTTTGTAGTCTTTGTAAGTCCTGATAAGTTTTACAACAAAAGGGTGGTCAATTAAACTTATAATGTGTTTTTCAAGCTATATAATTAGTACCAATAGCTGCTCTTGTATTGCAAATTTCTCAATTATCTTTCTTTCTACCACTTTTAGAGCGTATAAAGTTTTTGAGTCTCTAGGGTGGACCAAATATACCTTAATCCTCCTTTAAGTTTAATTAATTCTTTACTCCCCCCCCCCTCCGTGAGTGAACAAAAAAATTTTGTTCGCTCACGGAGGGGGGTTAATTTTTGTTTTTAAAAAAATTTATATATAAAAATTTTATAAAACATATTGTCTTTCGAAATTTCAAAAAATCCTAATTCGCAAAAATTGAAAAGCAAATATTAATTTATTTATAAAATTTATGTTTTAAAAAGCAATTTGTTTAAAATTACACAGAATTAGCTCTAGATTTCATTATACTAATTATCATTTATATATCAAAATTTTTGTATTAAAAAAATTGTTCACTCACGGAGGGTGGGTTTTTGGGCAAAAAATAGCGATTTTTCTAATGGTTTTGTTCACTCACGGAGGGGGGGGGAGTTATAAAAAAAAGACTAGAAAATTAATTAATATAAATGCTTTGTATAATATTGTAGTAATCTTCATAATTAAATCTTATAATAATTTTGAAATTTAGATAGCTTGAATTCTAAATTGATTTTTTTTAATAATTCCAATTAGGATTTTTGGAAAAAACTCAAAAAAATAACCTCATTCTTAAAAAGAAGGGAATGCTAGAAAACATCCCTTTACCGATAGGTCTTACAATAGCCAGATCCTCTAGCTCAGACCTCTCGTCTCACATGTTTATTCTATGAAGCAGCTGCTTTCTCATATTTTCGTTAAGAATATTGATAAAATCATTATTGTTTATAACCCATAGCGTCACACTTCCATTAGCCCTACAAGTCGCACTTGCAGCGCTTTCAAACAAAATCCCTCGTTCCCCAAAATAATCATGCTTAGTCACAGTCCTTATCACAGTATCTCCTTTACAAATATCCACTTTTCCTCTTTTTACAATAAAAACATGCTGACTTTGGCTTTTTTCCCTCAAAATTATTTCTCCATCAGAAAATTTTTCAGTGTTTATGATGCTAAAAAGTTCTTTCATTTGTGAGCTGTCAAGGGTTTTAAACAGAAAAACCTTGCGTAAAATATTGGTGGCAGCGTTTTCTTTGACGACGTCTTCATATTTTCCGCCGATGCTGACCTCAAATTTGTATTTGGTCAGTTCTCCGACCTTCATATCACTTGCGGAGATCATGTCGTCTTCGTATTTTACATCTTCTGGGTTGGCTTTGGTTATGTATTGGTCACCAACACAGGTTCCTTTGTCAGCAAAGGTGTGAGAAGTCCTTGCATATTGCAGTCTTCCTGATATAATTATATATAATTTTAGCTTGCATAGCGTGTTTTGTGGTATCACTACATCTCCTCCTTTATAATTCCTATGATCGATGTCTTTACAAATCAATTCTTTTTGGTGCTTATTTAACAATGATAAAGTTTCTGATTTATTTATTGCTTCCATAATTGTGTTTTTCTCAATGATATCTTGCAGCTGATTTGACAAGTTTTTTTGTAGTGTTTCTCTGCTTAGGACTAAACATTTAACAGGCCCATCAACAGCTACACAAGTAGCTGACCTAGGAGCATTATTAAGCAGAGCCATTTCTCCAAAATACCCACCTGTGTGGAGTCTTGCTATTTCTTGGGTTCCTCTTTGGACACTTACAGTCCCTTCTTTTATGATAAATAATTGCTGGCCTGTTTCTCCTTCTGTTATGATTTTTTGACCGCTGTAGTATTTATAAATAACAAGAGAGGCAGCAAGTGAGTCTTTTTGACGAGGGTTTAGAGGCTGCAGCAAGGTGACTTTTTCTATAAATTCTCGGTTTTGTTCGTAGATTTGGGTGTTCATTTCTTCGATGACTTTTCGGAAGGTCTGACGCTCGACTCCTCAAAGACCTGAAGGAGCTGCACATTTTTTTTGGGAAATTTTTTACCTTATTTTTAGATAAAACTATTTTTTAATTAATTTTTTTTTTATTACCCCATTTTACCGTTGCACTTCTCGGGTTATCATGCAATAGTGCCAATTCTCCAAACCCTTCCCCAGGCTTAATTTTATTGACCGATTTTCCATTCACATATACCTCCAACAACCCCGTTCTGAGCACATAATATGATTTCGCTGTCATATCTTGTTCAAACACAATGGCTCCAGCTTCAAATAAATAAAGCTGCATTGATTCTGCAACCTGTTCTTTGTCTTCTTCAGTTAAGCTTGTAAAAATAAAGTGACTATTCAATGCAGTCAAAATCATGTCTTTATCTTCTGAAGTTTTGGTAGCATATGGCTCAATTTCAGCTGCAGAAGCTTCAACATAATTGGACATGTCCTTTTCTTTTGCAAGGCTACGTTTCTTTGTGAGAGATAATGTTCGGGATTTTCGAAATTCTTCTTGAGAGTTCGGGTTTGATTTTTTCCTTGTGATTATAGAGCTGGCTACGTTGGTGGACTGAGGGTTTTTGCTTGAAATGTCAACCATGCGCTTATAGTTCATACTTGTGCATCCAGTTCCCATATTTAAATGGCGTAAGCCATTTATACCTAATAGGTATTAGGATGTCAAGTGATTTTATTCAGATATTGGTAAGGGCTTGCTATATTTTTAACTGATCCACAATTATTTTTTTGTTAAAATTGTCTTGCTAAGGAATACTTTAATATAAAAATAAAAATAACAGACCTAAATATACCAAATAATAATTGCATTTATAATTTATTATCATTTTATAGCAATGCTATTAATTTGTCTCAACCTTTTTATAAAGCAGCACATATGCATTTAAGTTCAAAACTTCTTTCAGCGAGACTTTTGTACATTTCGCGTCATCATATAAAAATCATGAGTGCCCTCTTTTGCAGTAAGCTAAATAGTGCCCATTATCAATCGACCCATTATGTACAGCCACCCCTAGCAGCTCATATTCAGCTTTTTCTAAAGAAAATTCTTCAATGCTCATTCTTTTCTTATATTTACAAGTAGATGATACTTTATGAGGATAAGGAATTTGCCTGAATCTTTTTATACCAAAAATTATTTATAATAAATTTTTATAAAAAAATAAAATTTCTGATATAAAAATTCATAATAAATAAGGATACTTGGATTAGTAAATATGAAGGAGGCTTGGAGATTTTGAACTGTTTGGAGACTTCTGATTTTTCATTGCAGGCTTCACAGTCATAATTCGCAGTGAGACGCTCTTCTTTTGTAAACAAAATAAAGCTTTTTTCGATTGATGAGCTGAGCTCAAATTGGAGATCAATAAAAGGTTCATATTTTCTTGAGACTTGGAAACAGTTATTACAAGTGATTTTACTGCAGGTCAGACCGTTAAAAATTTGTGGAATTATTGGAGGCTCAGTCTCTAGCTTATTCACAATAAACCTCAAAAATTCCGGCAAGTCATGCTGCCTACTTAAAGGAAAGTAAGCACTAATATATTTCCAAAGCGCCTCAGGCCTGACTTTTTTTGCCTTTCCCAAAAAAATTTGTTTACAAATATCCCCCAGTATGCTTGCTACATTATTTTCAGAAAATTCTGTATTTAGCTGCAGCAAGCTTTCCTTAAGTTCTGGAATGCTAAATAACAGCTGCAGCCCCGAATTCATGTAGCAAAACAGCCCTGGATTTTCTAATCCCACCCTGCCAGACCTTACTTTAAGTGAGCTTGAGGACTGAAAACTAAATTCAGAGTCATTTACAGTATTAGAAGTACTTCTAGTGATAGATTCATTAGAAGATTTTACTTCAAGTTCGTCAGCTTCTGTAGCTGGGCTGCTTGTGTCTCCTTCTATAATAGGGACTTCTAAGGTCTCTTTTCTTGTTGTAAGAAGGGTGGCGCCTTCTGAGGAATTTCTTTCTGATTTGGGGTGCTCGGAGTCTCTGACACTTGTAGGCAATTTTAAGTTTGTGGCGTCAAATCTTGGGGTAGCCGGCTCGTCTGGTTCTATTTCTTCAGGCTTTGTTTCTAAATAGATAGGGGAGTTTGATATGACAGGTGCTTCTGCTCCGTATTTTTGCGATAAAAAAATCCATTGTTCTTTATTAAGAGCCCGATAATCGATCCCAATCCTCAGATCTTTTTTGATAGAGCCTGCTATCTCTTTTAGTTTGGCTGTTTTAAGTTTCCCAGGACTATTTGCCCCGTGAATATAACTTGCTCAATCTCTAACCCACTGAGCTTCAACTCAATAATACTCGTTACAGTCTTTGATTTTGTCCAGCTTTCTTACAACTTGCTCTTCCTCTTCTCGAGAAAGCTCTTTTGCAGAGTTTATTTGTAGTTCATTATTAGTAAAGCAGGCTTTTGGCGACAAAATACCAGCTTTATGGTAATTTAGGTTTCATAATTTTGCAAAGAATAATCCTTAATTATATTTTTTTCTTAAATAAATTTTATCCTTTTAGACATAAAAGATTATTTAATTAATTTTTTCCATGAACAAAAAATTTCCATGGGTAATTTGTGGGGAAATTACGGTCAGGAGGTTCAGAAAGAATTGGGGTTTTGATGTCGAGAAAAGCTGTCTTGATTTGTTTAAGAATGTTCATATAATTAAAAAAATTATTTAGGCATTTAGACTGCCTAAGATCATAAATTAATTTTTTTTAATATATTTATTAAATATTAAAATAGCTTTCATCGAAACAGATTTTCGAGAAAAAATGATGTGAAATGAGCAATTTAATTAAATAAAAACTTTACAAATACAAACTAGCTTCAATAGAATGCAGCCTCTATATAGTAATTTTTTAATTTAGTTTGGCTATTTTTTCTTTATTTTAATTTACTCCCTACCCCTCTGTGTGAGCGGACAAAACCATTCGAAAACTCCCTATTTTTTGCCAAAAAACCCACCCTCTGTGAACGAGAAAAATGTTTTTATGGAAAAAAAATTTGATATATAAGTGATAACTAGTATCATGAAATCTTGAGCTAATTCTGTTTAATTTTAAACAAATTGCGTTTTAAAACATAAATTTTACAAATTAAATTAATATTTGCCTTCCAATTTTTGAGAAGTTGGATTTTTTTAAAATCCCGAAAAAACATTTTTTCTTTAAAGTTTATATATAATTTTTTTTGTTAATCCACTCCGTGAACGAACAAAATTTTTTTGTTCGCTCACACGGAGGGGGGAGTTAAAGAAAAGATTTTGAAATTGAAAATAAAAATTTACACTTTAATAATCATATAAAATATGCCTAGGAGAGTAATACAAATTTTTAAACTTTAGATCCATTACATAATATTTTAAGCTGCCAGCATAGTTTTATATAGAATGCTTCTTAGCTTTCTCTTGGTATCTGCATCAACCATAGGCTGCAGAACAGCCTTCATATATTCGTTACTATCAAATTTAATAGGTGCTGGAGCATCTTCGTTATTTTCTATTTCTTCTTGTGGAAGTTCTGGGATTTTAAGCTTGATTATACTATCAGACTCGTCCCTTCCTAACAATTTGTCATAATTAAGCTCCTCTTCATAAATAACTTCCTCATTTTTTCGTTTTTTTTGGATTGGCACCGTTCATAACTCTTGGGCAGTCTTTTGAGGAGCAGCCGGCGGAGAGACAGGTGCTTCAGGAGGTGAAGGTGGCTGAGGAGGTATAAAAATTTGTACAGAAGTTTCACTGCTATCCACCTTTATTGGCTCTTCAAATTCTTCTTTAAAAACCTCGTCAGGCTCCTCAATATTTGTATTAACCTGAATTTCAAATTTTTTAAAATTTTCTTCAATTGGTTTTTCTATTACTTTCTCCACAGGCTTTTCTATAGGTTTTTCTACTATTTTTTCTCTTTTTGGCTTTTTTTCTCTGACTTTTTCCTCAGTCCTCTCCATATCAAAATTTGGGATTTTTATGATTGACGATGATTTTTGTTTTCTTGAGGCACTTGATAATCTTTTAACCTCAATGGTATTTTCTGGCTCCCTTTTATTAGGTATGGTTATAGTGATGTCTTCTTTATTTTTATCAACCTATATATTTTTTGCCTTATTCCCGTCTTCCAGCTTTGTTCATTGTAGCTCAAATTGTGTTTGCAAGTCTTCACATAAAACTCTGACTGGATTTCTTGGGTCAGTGTTATATCTCCTACAGTTATCGAAAATCTGGTAAACGTCCTGTAAAAATTGCTGCTTGTCTGTGTATTCTTTTTTCATTAGTTTTGTCTTAATTGTGCCTAAATCCATTGGCCGATCAATGATAGTCAAATAGTCTGGGATGCCTAATGCGATTACGTCGACAGGCTTAAGAAAAGGTCTGGAGCATGGGAGACATGATAAGGCTCTTATGATCCCAAGCAAGTCATTAGTTATTTTCTTTTCCATATTATGGGGATTTATTATAACTAAAAATAATATATAAGAATGCTTATTCTTATACCTTGGCTCCAGGCCCTTTCTTTTTTGTCCATGCCTCTTTCATCATATTCTGGACTTTTAGCATTTCTTCTCTGAAAATCACAATTCTATCCCTCTTAATCCCATGCTCCTTACTCCCCGCCGTAAGCAAACAAAAAAATTTTGTTTGTTCACTGGGGTTAATTTTTCTTTTAAAAATTTATATATATAAATTTTATAGTTTTTATTTTTTCAATATCCAAAAAAATCCCAATTAGTAAAAAATTGGAAAGCAAATATTAATTTAATTCGAAAATTTTGTTTTAAAAAATGCGAGGTGTTAAAATTAAACAGAATTAGCTTGAGATGTCATTATAATAATTATTACTTATATATCAAAAAAAAACTCTATTAAAAAATTGTTTATTTGTTATGTTTTTACCCAAAGAATAGGGATTTTTCCAATGGTTTAATATACTCACAGTTGGGAGAGTTAGAAAACCCAATAAACTCAGGATGCAGCTCAGGGAAAAATTTCCTGTCTTTAAGCTCTCTATGCTTAGACCACTCTGTTTTAAATGCATTTTTGCAGTTTACCACATAATTTGCCAACTCTAAGTCTTCTTTTGGATTTATAAGAGAAAATCTTTCACTATGTGTTTTTGGGACCTTTTGAAACGGGACTTCTCTTGTAGGGAAAATTTTATTCCAAGACTCCCCAGTTGTGTTTGGTTTAGCTGAAAACCTGGTTGAGCCTTTTCCGTCACGAAGATTAAGCTCTTCGTTTTCATCAAACCAATTGGCTCCTGTATTGACTCCTTTAAGTGCTTTTACTAAGACTAGCCGTGGGAGTTTATAAGTCCTTTGTGAATCTGAAAAAGAAGTAGTGCTAAAAGTGGAATAAAAATTGGTCTCAGTCGATCTTTTTTTGCTTGACACAAAGCCTTCAGTGATTTGCCTTATTTCATCAGATGATGGAACGTGGACTGAGGAGCGGTTGCTGGGGAGGCCATGTGATAGAGATTTATGATATGCTGGGCTCGGCATAGTATACATCTGTTTGCTATTCTTCGCCAAATCAATATTCTTTATCATTTCTGTTCTTGGCCTTCTTATCTGCTTGTCCTTTGTAACTTCTCTATCATTGGCTATCGACATAATATCTTAATTTATGATAATTTCTCCCAAAATCCCTTGTAGAAAATCTATTTCCTATAAATTAATTTTTTAATTCCCAAGCCTAGCCAAAAATTTCAGCATCTATATAAATGGAAACCAGGAAAACAAAAATCATTATGACAGTCGGCAAAGCGTCTTCTTCTAAAAAAGCCTTATACGAGCTAATTAAAGCAGGAGTTGACGGAATCAGATTAAGCACCAGGTTTATCAGACCCGAAGACAAAGATCTCATAATGAGAAATCTTAGAGAAGCTGAGCAAGAAGCCAAAAGAGAAGTTTGTGTGATTTTGAGTTTAAGAGAAAGCGACATTCGCATAGGAAGTCCTGACCCTCAAAACCCAATTGTGCTGAAAGAAGGAGATATCGTGAAAATTGTGAATGATGCCTCTTTAGTTGATGACACTAATGTAGCTATCTGCAACAATAGAGAGCTGCCAAATTTGGTTAAACGAGATGACAAGCTTCTGTTGGAATTCGGAAAAGTCGTTTTTACAGTATTAAACGTCGAACTTTACAAGCCAAGATCCCTCACTCCAGATCCAGCAGCCGATAATCAAGGCTCACCTATCATAAATGAAAACCCTGAAGCCAGCAACGACTTAAAGCCTATAAACAATTTCCAAAGATATCAGCGCGTAAAGCCAAAAATTGCGAAAGCGCCAAAAGTTGTGATATGCAGGGCTGAGAATAAGTGTGTCATAAATGATCAAATCCCTGTCAACTTTTCACATACAAATATATTTGACCCTGATATAAATAATGATATGGAAGACATCAGACTGCTGGAATGGGCGAGTTCTGTGGATTTTGATGTGATTATTTATAAGCAAGTCAGAGGAGAAGATGACTTAGAAAGCTTGTGAAGTATAAGGATTCCTCCAAAAACGAAAAGATTTGCAGGAATTCAAACAAAGGAAAGCATAGGGTATCTTGATAATTTTATACAGCTGTCTGATGGGGCTGCTATAGGTCGTGGAATTTTAGGAGTAGAAACGGGGCTGTCTGAGGTTTGTCGACTTCAAAAATTGATTATTAAAAAATGCAATGATAAAGGAAAGCCTGTTTTATTGTCAACACAAGTATTAGATTCGTTGGTCAGCCGGCTAAAGCCTTCAAGGTCAGAGGTTACCGATATTACTAACATGGTCTTTGATGGGGTATAATTTACTAATTAAATAAAGTCGGAGCTCCTTAGCCTATTTTTCTATAAATTAGGTATCATTTTTATTAATAAATTATTTTCTTAGCCAAATATATCCAATTAAGAATAGACGGAATTATACTTACAGGAGAAACTGCATATGGCAGAAACCCTTTGTTAGCTGTACAGTATTTAGAATCAATAATTTCTGAAGCAGAGCAGCATATTCATTATGAAGAAGAACAAGAAATGATATTCAGAGACCTAAAACTCCCAATGAGCATTACCGAAAATATTTGCTACTCCGCAGTCAGATCAGTCTCTAGCACCATGGCTTCACTAATTATTTGTATCACAAAAACAGGCAAAACTGCTCAGAAAATCGTAAAATATAAGCCTGCCTGCATGGTTTTAGCAATAACTGACTGCTCAAAAACATTAAGATTCTTAAGAATTGTAAGAGGTGTTTACCCTGTTCTGATGGACCAGACTGCAAGCCATTTGGTAGAAAGTGCCCTTAATATTGCGAAGGAACATAATTTAGCACAAGCAGGACAGACTGTGATATATGTGTGTGGAGGAAAAGATTCCTTTGTTGAAGGAGACACATCTTTATTGAGATTTTGCACGATCCCTTAAAGTTAAGAAAGCCTTAGACTGAGTTTTTTATTTAACTTAATTGAGGATTAGGATTAGGATTATTAAAGTCAGGCACTAGCCATATTGGCGACGCAGTCACCAAAGACCTCCTGACGGGAGGTTCTACCGCTTTTCGAATCCAGCCCAGAGGTCTATCCCTCTTACGAGTGCCTTCCGGTACCTTCTGTCTCCTCCTTGCCTTGAGGCTTCAGTCTTGAGTGGGCGGCTTACGGATTTCTGCGGTCCTGCTACGGGAAATTGGAGTAGCTTGATTTCAAGGATCAACTCCTTGGAGTCTATTGGATGTCGAAGTACCTTTCTTCGGCAGCTACAGGAAAAAGACTATTCTGCGGTGGCCTGGGTCGAAACCCTCAGTTTCTCGGTAAAGGAATACCCATGAATCCTTGGTCCAAAGGACGCTGTTGAGCACCTCCATTTCCAACCACAGGAAAGCAGCCAAAACCTACCCGGATACACACTTCTTGAGCCTGCACTTGATTCTCAGCTCGGAGTCCGTCCCAGTTCGCCGTAGCCATAAGGTCTAGACTGTTACGCCAAGAGGGCAGGTTGACACGTGTTGCCATTTTAATATATATATAACTTAATTGAGGAACTTAATGATAATTTGATAATAATTTGATAATAATTAAGAAAATTAAAAAGAGAACCCATATTATTTAAGTATGACATCCAACTTTTTAACTAACTACTCTCGCAAGTCTTTTTCAATGATGAGGAGCTCATCTCCAATGATGCAAAGACATTTCAGCATAGGTGACCCAAAAAGAAGCCCAAAAGCGAGGGATTCAAGACATATCAGAAAAGTTATCATGAGGAAAATGGAATACAATAAAGAATCAGTCCTAAAAATAATTGATACTCACATATCCCAACAAACAGAAGATTGACATAGAAAAATCCAATCCACCTATAAAAGACCAGGACTGTATAATAGAAAGAAAATCATAGTAAAAAATTTGGATAAAATAAGTGTAAAAACCAAAGACATTCTTGATGTGTCTATTGACGAATTTGATAAAAAGGTTAAATACACACTGTCACCAAGTCCTATGAAATCATATTCAGAAAAAATATTTGAACTGAACCCTGAAGGAAGTTTTAAGGTGGATACTATTTCTCAGAGCTTTACGAATGATGGCGAAAAACATATAACGGCTTCTAATAGGCTTAGACATGTTCATAGCAACCGACGCACAATTCTTGATAAAATTTCTAAGCCAGTAATATAAATAAAGAAAATAAATTTCTATTAAAATCGAATAGTAAAATTTATATTTAATACAGCAATTTCCATCCCCCATAAACAGAAATTGCGCTCGTTAACAATTTCGTAATTAACTTCATCACTTGTTCAATCTCATCCAATTGTGAAAGATAAGAAAAAACCATATAATCCGACAATATAGCCAATGGTAGCAAAACCACAGCTAAATATTTGGTCTTATGCTTAGACCTATAAAAATATCACGCCATTGTAAAAGTCCCTACACATGATACAGCTATTATAGCTGCAATAAAAAAAATTTTCATCTGGTCTACCAAATAGCTGAAAATATCCCCATACACTTCAGATGAATAAAAAATTTTCAAAATAAAAAAAATAAAAATTCACGCATAGTAAATCCCTCTATAGGCAAATCTGTATTCGCATTTTCCATAATTGTGACTGTCATATTCAGTCAAACAGTTCCAGCAGAATTCATGGGTGCAGTGTTGGCATATCATATGAGGGCATCCGCCTGATTTTTCTATAGGAAAGCCACACATCGGGCATAATTTTGTCCAGAGTTCTTTTCATAGGCAGCTTCATAGCTCGACCTCCCCTGAATAGACAGCTTTGAAAATTTCGTAGTAGCGATATTGCCAGGGACGTAGAAAAGGATCGATTCATTCGTTCTTGCAAACATTGCAGATTAAAGGCTTTGTGCAAGAAATAGAGTTATCGATCCAGCCAATTGCGTTGCATTCTTTTGATGAGCAGATTTTGTATTCTTCATCATGAATTATGCTTGCTTTTATTGTATTTTGGAAAAATAATTTTAATTTTAATATAAATAAATGAATAAATTCTGTTAGAAAATCAACTAAAAGCAGTATAAGCTTCTTTTAAGCAAAATAAATTGGTAATTAGCATACTCTTCGTCTGTAAGACAAGACTTGATGTCGTTTTCATTTATATAATGCCCACGCTCACCTTTTGGGCACAAAATAAAAAAGTCTTCAACGAAATATTTCATGAGCTGAGATGTCACCCACCCGCGTACCACATCTTTGCAGAAGCGGCATCCACAAGATAAAGAAATAAAATCTGTCTGGGGGTGCTCTATATAGCACACTAGGCACGGCTCCATTTAATTAATGTTTCTAAACTTTAGAATTTTCTATGAAAGATTGAAAGTGATGATGTCAAATTTTCATTTTTTAGAAAATCACAAAAAATTTGATTTTTTTAAGATTTATTTGGAATTCTTATGAAACGTCATTACTGGAAAAATGACATAATTTTATAATAATTTAAAATTAATTACTTTATTAAAATTAGTGCCATTTTGATATTTCTCCATTATGTGCGCAATGAGATAAATACGTTTTATCTAATTATTATACATATTTTTTTCACTTTTCTAATATGCCGCGAAAGCTATTACAATATGCCACTAATTAATATAATAAAATGGAAGATTTAATAATAGAAATGAAGAAAGAGCTTCAAGAAGCTGCAGCAGCCAAGTCAGATCTCTATAATTTTGACTTCCTTTCAGACACTCCACGCCATGAAAATAAAAGATTTTCATGAGCAATTGACCAGGAAAAGTCAATTGAAAGCGAGAGAGCCATAGACAAATTAAAACAAAGAAGGCATCGTTTAATTCTGATTGAAGACAACTTCGACCTGATTAAACCTTTGCGACTACTGGAGACCTTAAAGGCATAAGATAGCTAACTCCCCCCCCCCCTCCGTGAGCGAACAAAACCATTAGAAAAATCGCCATTTTTTGACCAAAACCCACCCTCCGTGAGTGAACAAAAATTTTTTTAATAGAAAAAATTTTAATGGAAAAAAATTTTGATATATAAGTGATAATTAGTATAATGAAATCTAGAGCTAATTCTGTTTAATTTTAAACAAATTGCGTTTTAAAACATAAATTTTGCAAATTAAATTAATATATTTGCTTCCCAATTTTTGCAAATTAGGATTTTTTTAAAATTTCGAAAAAAATATTTTTTATAAAATTTATATATAAATTTTTTTTAAAAAAAAAAATTAACCCCCCTCCGTGAGCGAACAAAATTTTTTTGTTCGCTCACGGGGGGGGGGGGGGAGGAGTAAGTGATAAAATATAAGTATTTTAATTCGATTTAATTTATTTGCATGATGTAAAAATATTAATTATAATAATTTGTGAACGATTCAAGCCTTAATCAAAAAAGAGAATTTAAATTTTTTCCGAGTGTTTTGCGTTTCATTTTTAACTGAAGTATAAGCTTAGCTGCCATTATGTGTTGAAATTATAAATATTAATTAAATCTAGTGTATATTTTAAGAAATCAGTCAAAAATTATCTCTTTATATGAGAGATCGTTTGCGATAAATTATTTCTTCCATCTTTAATGTATTTTCCTACAATCAATTATTATCAATTTTTCATAAAAGTAAATAGAGAGTTCAGCTAGAAATTTGCTAAAATTTTTATTAATATCATAATTTTTATTCTCTCAAAGGTAAAATGTGCTGAAGAAAAAATATTAACTCCCCCCCCCCTCCGTGAGCGAACAAAACCATTAGAAAAATCGCCATTTTTTGACCAAAAACCCACCCTCCGTGAGTGAACAAAAATTTTTTTAATAGAAAAAATTTTAATGGAAAAAAATTTTGATATATAAAGTGATAATTAGTATAATGAAATCTAGAGCTAATTCTGTTTAATTTTAAACAAATTGCGTTTTAAAACATAAATTTTGCAAATTAAATTAATATTTGCTTCCCAATTTTTGCAAATTAGGATTTTTTTTAAAATTTCGAAAACAATATTTTTTATAAAATTTATATATAAATTTTTTTTTAAAAAAAAAATTAACCCCCCTCCGTGAGCGAACAAAATTTTTTTGTCCGCTCACGGAGGGGGGGGGGGAGTAAGTAGAGCTCAAAATATTTAATTAAATAAAATAATAATTAATTGCATTTTAATGCGCTGAGCTTGGTATATTAAAGCTAGTTATATATTTATTATTAAATCTATGCTATTAACGAAGTATATTAAGCGTAGCCATTTTTGTTGAACTGATTTCTCCTCTTTAAATTTTATATAAATCTTAAAATTCTGTCTTCATTTAATTAATTTTGCTTTCCTCGAGCAAAATACTTTGTATATTTTTCCAATATTAAAAATCTAAAAGCTGAGTATTTTTTCTTAAAAGTATTTTTATAAATGAAGATTGCTCTTTATCAAGTTGACGGTCTAAGTTGCAGACGAGAAAAGCTTACATCTCTAACTTTGGATCTCTCTATGAAGGTAGGACATCTGCGTCAAGAAATTTCGAACAAATTTAATTTTAACTTGCATATATTTCAACTATATAGCCCAAGATGGCTCTTAGCTCACCGGGGTGCTAGCAATTCTTCCAAATTTTGGAGTTGTTTAGAACCAAAAATTAATAAGCCAATTCCACTAGTGAGAAATGGCAAATATATGTTCACACTTGCCATTAGTGGAGTTGTTTTGTCAACTTTTGGTACCAAGTCAACTCCAAGAGCTGAGCAGCCCAGGGCGAGCTAAAAGCTGTCCTAAGCTAAGGACCCCCCCTCATTTGTCGAATTTTCTAGTCTTTTTTTTATGACTCCCCCCCTCCGTGAGTGAACAAAACCATTAGAGAAAAATCCCTATTTTTTGCCCAAAAACCCACCCTCCGTGAGTGAACAATTTTTTTAATACAAAAATGTTTTTATGGAAAAAAATTTTGATATATAAATGATAATTAGTATAATGAAATCTAGAGCTAATTCTGTGTAATTTTAAACAAATTGCTTTTTAAAACATAAATTTTATAAATTAAATTAATATTTGCTTTCCAATTTTTGCGAATTAGGATTTTTTTTTGAATTTCGAAAAACAATATTTTTTAAATTTATATATAAATTTTTTTAAAAAAAAAAAAAAAATTAACCCCCCTCCGTGAGTGAACAAAATTTGTTTGTTCACTCACGGAGGGGAGGGGCGAGTAAGAATTTTTTTTTTTTCAGGACCTCATTTGTCCCAAAATCTAGTCAAAAATGATTTGTCCAATTTTCTAGTCTTTTTTGCATTTTTTCGAATGCCCTAAATTCTAGTTTTTTTACTTTAAAAAAGCTAGAAAATGAGACAATTGAGGTCCTGAAAATTTTTTTTTCTCTATCAAAATTTTGACTAGAAAATTGGACAAATGAAATGAGGTCTTAAAAAACTTTTTTTTTTTCCTATAAAAAAAAACTAGAAAAATGGACAAATGATAAAAGACTAGAAAATTGGGCAAATGAGGGGGGGATCCTTATATACAATGAGAATGAACCAAAAAATAATGATGACAGATGCTTGGCCTCTTTCCTTCTTTCTTACTGACCCCAAGCCTTTTATTCTTCTACAAACCCATGCACATGAAGATTCTCCTTCAATACAAGTCGAAAAATTGCTAGCAAGTGCTGTGACATGTATTAAAAATAATGACATTCGTGGGCTGGAGAGTGTATGGGATAAAGCTTTAGTCTTGGATCAGAACTTAATCAATGAGACTTATGTGAATGGGTGGACTTTGCTTCATTATTCTTGCTATTACGGAAGAGAAAGCTTTGTTGAAATTTTAATTAATCAAAGGCTCTAAAAAATAAAAAAAAATTAATTAAGCAATAATTAAATTTAAATTATAATAAAAAGCCAATCAAATGTGGAACTGCAATCAAGAAACTGAAGACGGCTGGACGCCCTTAATTTTAGCATGCACCCATATGAATATAGGCTGCGTCAAGCTTCTTTTAGGGCATCAAAGTATCCAAATAAACAAGTTAACATCTAGAGGGACAGCTCTTCACAGAGCAGTTGAACTAGGCGACACAGAAATAGTTAAACTGCTATTAGACAACCGAGCCTGCTGTATAATAGAAGACAACTGTGGGAGAATTCCTTTACAATTGGCTAGAAACCCAGAAATTATTGAAATGATACCAGTTTATATGGGGCAATGGGAATTAGAAAAATATGGGGTAAACCCTCAGACTCTTCCTTTTATAGGAGAATTGCTATTAACAAGATCATTATATTTGCATGATAAAATAGTTCAGCTAAAAATCAACTTGGAAAACGGGATGCTTGAAGAATACGATAAAGTTCATGGGACTATAAGCGGAACAGCCAGTTTTCGCTATAAATTAATGGACATTCAGCAGGTAAAAGAATCCCCAAGCTCAGCATTTTCTACAAAAAAGTATAAAATGGTAAATGAATAAATTAAATTTTCTATTAATATGTCAAAAATTTTAATTGCTTTTGCAAGGTATATTTTAATTTTGAAATTTATTACAACAAATGTGAAAGAAAATACTCGACCAAAAACAAAGATTACAGGAACGAATGGATTTGTCAGCTGACCAACGCTATTCATTACTGCCAAATAAATAAAATAGGTATTGATAACGACAATATGGCCTTTGAAGAGTATGAAATTGAGGAAGATGAAGACCCTCAGATTGATGTCCGAAAATCTTTTGAAGATACCGAAAAAGAAATGATCAGTTTAGCTTGTTTTGAAATTATTGAAGAAATAGGGTCTGGAAGCTTTGGGACAGTTCATATGGTCAAGAAGATTGACACTGGAGGAATTTTTGCTATGAAATCCTTACTCCCCGCCTTTAAATTGGAATAAAATATTAAAATTAAGGTAAAATTTCATTTTTTGGCTACTTATAACTCCTCATTGGAAATAAATTTTTTCGATAGGAAAATTTTATAATTAAAAATACTAAATTAGTTTTGACTTAATTTAATGTAAAAAGCTCATATAGAATATTATTTAAAAAGTTTTAACATTAAACAGATTAATTTCTTGAACTAATTCTTTATATTGAATTAAAATGCTCAATTTATATTTCTTTATTATAAGATCTTATAAAAATTGTTTATATAGAAAAATTTACCCTTAAATTGGAACAGAACTTTTTTGTTCTAATTTAAAGAGAAGAGAGTTAGGGGAAAAAACAGCTGAAAAGGCAGGGCAAGCTAAAATATGCAATTACTGAGTGCAGGCTGATGAAGCAGCTTAAACATCCTTATATTTTGGCATTTTATTACGCATTTCAGAATGCCCAGAATCTGTATATGGTGATGGAATATTGCAGTGAAGGGGATTTAGAAAACCTTTTGGAGGTCAGAGGACTTATATGTGAGCACGAAGCTAGGTTTTATTTAGCTGAAATTATACTGGCATTGGAATATCTCCATGATAATAATATATTATATAGGGACTTAAAGCCTGCAAATGTCCTTCTTGATAGCAAAGGCCATATAAAGCTAGCTGATTTTGGCATTGCCAAAGAAAACGTCACAAAGCCAGAAACATCAGCTACTTTAGTAGGCTCCCCAATTTACATGCCTCCAGAAGTCTTAAAGCACCAAGCTGTAGGCAAGCCTTCAGATCTTTATTCCCTTGGGGTAATGATGTATGAGCTTCTAGTAGGCGCTCCCCCTTATTATTCTGATGACATAGAAGAGCTCTTTCGTACCATAAAAACCGGAAAACTTGAAATTCCTGACATCCTTTCTGTAGAAGCCAGAGATTTAATTAAAAAACTTATGGAAAAAGACCCTAAAAAACGCCTCAGTATCCGTGATATAAAATTGCACCCATTTTTCAAAAAAATTGACTGGAGTGCTCTATTAAGCAGAAAATATAAATCGCCGAACAGGCAGAGATGCAGCTTTTATTCAGCTGAAGAGGTTAAGCTTGACTTAAGAGAACTTGATAGATTATAAAATAATATAAATATTACTTACAGTCTTAATCCTTCAGGAATTAAAAGCTCTTTTTTAAGCTTGAGCCTAATCCTGTCAGTTTGTCTCCTGACCACATAACTTTCTATACTTGGCATGCGTCGATATTTCTTTAAACTGTCTGATTTGGCTGAATTCCGTCTCGGAGTCTGGCTTAGCCTGTGTAGTGGAAGTTTTAATGCTTCTGTATTATTTATAATTTTATGCTCAAACCTGTCAACAGGCTTATGAGTTAAAGATAAAACGTGCTTTCTTGATTTTTGCTTCGGAGTAATTGAAATTATTTTCTTTTCTTCTTCTTGATCTTTTTTCTCATCATGTTTATCGTCCAAATCAATTTCTGCCAATATCGATCTCCCTTTTCAATATTCCTTTAAGAGCAATTCTAAATGTATTGTTTCGTCTGGTATTTTTGAAGAAAAATCAGATGATTTCAGTAACTTTTTTCAATATTCGTGGCTCGACATTTTATAAGAGAAGTTATTTCCTACGTTAGCTTTAATAAAAATTTATTGTGGAGGAATTTTTTTCTATTCGAGCTCAAAACCAATTGTTGTACAAAAATATTTTGAAATATGAAAAGTAATAATTAAGCAGCTACACAGCGTTTACTGATTTAATATGGCAGCCAATAGAAGTAATTGCTCTCAAAATGGCATTAGAATGGAATTTCTTCTAATTGTCTGTGCATAAATTATTATTTTTATCTAAATAATTACCCTTAATTATTTTAAATTAATTGGGGAGGATAAGGAAAATGATCGGTTTTACTTAATTAAGGTAACCATTTAATTGAATTAAGAATTTGTATAAGTGGATCATGAGGCTTGGCTTGATGATTCCTCAAATGATGCATTGACGAATACTCTTTGCTACAACCGAGCATAGGGCACTTGAATTTTTGCTTTTCATGGACAATATTATGGTGATAAGACCGAGCACTATAAGAAGCAAATGCTTTGTTGCAGCCTTTTTCACACACAAATGGCTTCTCTTCTGAGTGTTTGCTGTTATGATGTCGAGTTAATTGCTCCCTCGTGGCAAAGCTTTTGCCACAATCGCATTTAAAAGGTCTGAAACCATAATGGACAACTTTTATGTGCCTTTCTAAAGAATAGGAGTGTTTTATAGTCTGCTGGCATATATTGCAGGTGAGTTTGGACTCATCGCTACTTCCTTCACTTTTCATTTTTTGAGGTTAAATTTAATTAAGAAGTACAATAGCGAATTCATATTTAAAATAAAATTTAATTAAATTGATTTTAAATTGTTGGTAGATTTTGAGTATGTGGAGAAATTGCTATTTTTTAATTTTAAAGGGAAGGGCTGGAAATTGTTGTATGAATGGTTAATTATGGATTATAAAATTCATCATTCATGCAAAAATGGTAAAGAAATTAAATTATCGATTTTTTGATAGAATCACCACAATATAAAAATTGGGGTTTTCATTAGAAATTTATATAAGTTTAACATGAAAATAAACATTTTTCTGGTTTTTGAAATTTTTGTGTTGGGAAAGATAAGGTAGTAAATGCTTATGCAATTTAGTTAAATAAATATTTGCAAGCTTTTAATTCATAATAAATAGATTAAATATTAGCATAGAGTTATAGCAATTTCAATTGCTTATAAGATATGCTGCTATTGATTATTCTTATAATATTTCATAAACTTATGCTGATTTTCTATTAAAAGTTGAACAAACAATTTTTCCTCTTCATAATAAAATTAATCAAATTATAATAAAATTTAGTTTACTGACTGAAAAATATTTTATCATCAAAATCTACAAAACACTTGATTCAAATACAATAAAAATTATATTTCTGCTTACTCCACCCCCTCCGTAAGCGAACCAAAAAATTTTTTTAGCTCACGGAAGGAGTTTTAAAAAAATTATTATAGTAAATTAGTTCAAAATTAACAGAATTAGCTGGAGATTTAATATTCAATTTTATCGCTTATATATCAAATTTTGTTTTTAGAAAAATTTGGAAAAAAATTTTTTTGCTGCTCATGAGGGAGGGTTTTTACCAAAAAATCTATAGGAAGGCCCTATAGATTTTTTCAATGGTTTTGTTCTCTGACAGAGGGGTAAGTAAAGATTTCAATCCTAATCATAATTTATTTTCCTTAACACAACACAAAAATAATAAAAACTTTAAATACTTTTTATATGGCCTATTCGGATAGTGCACAGATCCTGACTAGATCTCCCAAAATTGTCCAAGGATTGATTTTGGTGTAGTAGAAGATGAAATGCTATTTCCTAAGCCGTGGCACAAAATATCATATCTGTTCTGTGTGAGAGAGACATTGGTTACTCCTATACCTTCGTGAGCGAGAAAAACTATTGGAAAAGTCCTTTGCCTTTGCCCAGAAACCCATCCTCCGTAAGTGGAATTTTTTTTGATATATAAGTGATAATTATTATAATGAAATCTTTAGCTAATTCTGTTTAATTTCAAAACAGCTTGCATTTTAAAACATAAATTTTACAATTAAATTAACATCTACTTTCTAATTTTGCGAATTCGGATTTTTACATTTTAAAAACAAATTACTGTAATATATGAGCTAACAAAGTTTTTTTTTTCGTTCACGGAGGAGGATTAAGCAGTTACCTTTCTAAGTTTCTGATGAACAGGAGCATTGAAGAAAAGAATCGGCTTTACTTGTCCTTTTGCGTCTCTTTAAACGCTTTTTTTTCCAGGTATCATCTTAAAATCCAATGACTTCCTTCTTGGCATGAAAGTGAATTAATTGAATGTGAATTTTGAAAGTAGATATAGAAAATTGAAAAAAATACTTAATTTCTCCTTTAAAAGGCGAGATTAATAGTTTTTTGTATCTATATCAGCTTTAAATTCTCCATTAAAATTATCAAAAGAATAATTTAATATAACTCCAAACTCAAAATTATGGGAAATCTCAAGCTTTCTCTGGGTTTCTCCGTTTCTTCTATAGCTTCTTCTGCAGCCTACGATCACTTTTATAGGGTAGATATTCCATATGAATCAGAAGAAATAACCTGGATTGAAGAAAGATGCAAAGATCTATCAAATCCTCTCAAGATTTTAAGTGGAAAACACTCATATTTAATAGCAACTACCGCTTCTGGAAGAAAAATAAGCTATAACTACACAGAAGATTCAGTTGAGCCTGACATCAAATATGACTATTGAGACTATCTGCCATCAGATCCATTCAGAAAAGCTCGAGCTCTCCCTGGCCTCAAAGTTTCAGACGCAAATAGGATATTCAGAAAACATGCTTTAAAAGAAGATTATCATTTATTTAGACATAATTGTCAACATGTTGCAAGAGATTCTTATAATGAAATTACTGGGCTTAATGAAATCGCATTGAGAAATGATTTTATAAATTGGATTATTAATGACTTACCTAAACATATGAGGGAGGAGTTTAAAGAAGAAGACGATGACTATAGATTTATTAAAGATCATTTTGAGAATGATATACAAGCTTTGGTCGATGAAGGATATACTATAGAAGAAATTGAGGAAAAAGTGAAGGTATTAACTGATATAAAAAATATCAGAAAAGTATGGGAAATGCTGAGGAAAGAAAATTATGCAGAAAATGCACAAGGGTTGACTGAACAACAAATAAAAGATTTGCAAAGGTTATTTGGAGAAAGACTGACAGGGAGTCTTGAGCATTTAGAAGGGAAAGAGTAGTTTATGATGCACAGCGTTTTTGAAATGATTCTTTTTTGGTAATGTCTTTTTAAAAAAATAATCATTATTGAAGCCAAAATTTAATTTCTATAAGATTACTTATTAAGAATTGAAAAAACAATCATATTTAGCAAATTAATATCCTTTATATGCCTTAAAACTATTCCTATGATCTTAACTAATTATTTTTCGATTTTTTGATCAATAAGTTTTTATGATAATTAAATTTAACTTAAATTGTTGACATATTTTTTTTAGAATTCAACTAATTTTACAGCCAAACAAGCCAGTTAAAAAGTTTCTCAAAGCCCAAAATTCCATAAATTTTTATTAATAAATGAAAATATAATCCATTCGTAAAATGCATAACTTTTCGTATCTTAAGTATCCTTAATAAATAATTACCAAGAGAAAGCTTAAAGTAATGAAAATTCAAACAATAGAAAGCAAGGTAAACGCAGGGAAGTGGTCCAGAGAAGAGCAAAAACTGTTTGAAGAAGGTTTAGCAATCTTCGGCCACGATTGGAAAAGGGTCGCAGGCGTGGTGAAGACTAGATCCCAAAACCAGATTAAGATTAAGATTACGCTGGGTATTTAAGGTCCCTACTACGTCCGAGGAAGCATTCCACGGTTTTCCGTGTGGTGGCAGAGCGTTCACCAAGCCCGGGCCGAAACCCCCGGTTTCTCGGTAGAGGTATTGTCAAGGGCCGTCTTATACCGGCTTTGCTGACCGCCTCCATTTCAAATTTGGATCGTCGCCTAAGTTTACGCCAACACTGCCGCGTCGTCCGCCAGATCTGCCCATTGAAGGGCACCTTTTCAACTGGAGAGACCCCCGTTTAGTTGTCTAACTCGCCTTCCCCTCTTTTCCGGTCGTCCCGAGAAAGAACTCAACAGCTTTCGCCATTCGGGGCGAGCCACAAAAGCAGCTTAGGCAGATAAGTCGCCCTGCCTCATTTCGGGCACTCACTGGGCTGAGCGCTGCTGGCAAAAAGAAGTCACGAGTAACTGCCCATGGGTCTGGTCGCAAAAACAGCGGCTTTCGCGCTTCGAGGTCCCAGACGTTGTTGGGCTAACTCCTGGCTCCAAAAACCATGCCCGGATATACATGGGTAACCACCACTGAGAGGGTGGGTCGGTTGCCGTCCGCCATTTTATGTATATCCCAACTTAACTTAACTTATTAACCATGACGTTTAACGTCCCTACGGGGTTGCCCTTCCAGGACTACCACCACGCTCTCGTCGCTCGGGGCCCACTAGTTGCTGGGACAGCTAGCTTTGATCTCCAACGCGCGCCCCCTGCGCGATGTTCCGGTTTCGACGGCTCATGATTGAGCTACTTTCTCTGTAACGAGGGTTGCCTGCTAGGAAATTCCAAAAAATGGAATTTCTGGCCGACTTTCGGTAAAAAGGAAAACTTGTAGCCCGGGGCGAAACTCCCGGTTTCTCGCTAGAGACTTGCCCGAATGGCCTAGGAATTATCTGTAGGCACTGCTGGGCTTCTCCTTTCCAACTCCAAGCCTCCTTTTCCTTCGAGGTAAAATCCTAACTGAGAACGGACTAGGATCAGGCTCTGTACACTGCCAGAGTTGCTTACCTGATATTGCTGTCCATCTCTAGCTAGGCAAAACCTTGCTGGATATAATTTAAATAGGGCTCGAAACTGTCTGGCCGAAAGGCCAGACTCAAGTTGAGACGCCATATTTAATTATTTATGTATATCCCAAAACCAGATAAGAAGCCATGCTCAGAAGTATTTATTGAAGCAGAAATATAAAGAAAGAGTCGTCCTGTGCAAGAAATTCGAGCCTCAGTGCATAGCTGTTGATGAGCAGAATATTATAAAATTGCTCTCGACACTAGCTAATTCTGTTTAATATTAAACAAATTGCATTATAAAATATAAATTTTCCAAATCAAATAAATATTTGCTCAAATTTTTGCGAATTGGGATTGTTTTTAAATTTCGAAAAAAAAATTACTATAAAATTTATATAGTTTTAAAATAAAAAATAGCCCACCCTCCGTGAGCACTAAAAACCTTTTATTCGCTCACGGAGGATATTGATGATAAAATTAAAAATAAATATATAATCTTGATTTGATGAGCCATCGTCGAGGACTATAATGGTTGATCATGGCACTCAGTATGGAGAAGGGATTAGCTTTGTAAAACTCTTCTCGTGCGAGGATTATTTTTTCTCCTAACTCCCTGTGAGCTAACAAAACCATTGGAAAATTCTATTTTTGGATTAAAGCCCACCCTCCTGAGTAACAAAAAATGTTTTTAATATAAAAATCTTTCATGAAAAATTATTTTGATCTATAAGTAATAACTATTATAATGATATATTAAGCTATTTCTGTTAATTTTAAACAGCTTGCATTTTAAACATAAATTAAATTAATTGGAATTTAAAAAATTTACAATAATATTTTAATATATAAATTTTTAGAAAATTAACCCCCTCTCTATGAGCGAACAAATTTGTTTGTTCACTCATGGAGGGGAGTAAGCATATGTGCATGAGAGCTTTACTTATAAAATAGATTTAATTATCATTTTACTACTATTAAGAGTGACTTTTCAACACGTACTCCATATTTATCCGTTGACAGTTATTGAATTATAAGCGAGCTTATGCTTTAGTTTCAGATAATCTTTGAGAGATCAGCTCCTCAAAGAAGCCGCAGTTTATTAACTAATTATGGCAAGAGAATATTAATTGCACTAAAAATATGAACTTTATTGATTAATTAGCATAATGAATTAATTGATTACAATTTATTAATAAGCTTCCTGGGTTTTCAATTTTTTATTAAATTTATACGTTAAATATTAGATACTACATACTTAAATTATAGGATTTTGCAATTAAGGAAATAGATTCATAAAAGATATTAAAAATTTTACATTGACCTTTGTTAATTATTAGAAAAAAATGGATGTTCAAGACAGGTGCAGGCCCAATATCATGCGCTTTTGATAGTGTGCATCACCGAAAAACATTTTTTGAATATTGGTTGAAATTTTTGGCAGTGAGATCATGTGACATGGAGCCGTTCAAGACAATCTCTCGCACTTGGCCGCTTTTTATAGTCCCATGACAGCATTTTTTCAATTAATTCAAGAGCTTCTGCAGACTTATTCCCCTTCGGCAGCATTTGAGATATATCTCTTCTAACTCCAATTTGTGTCGCCTTTGCTGCAATTTTGACTTTAATTACAGTGTTTTCCACAAGTCGTGTGATATCTGACAAACTTGGAGGGCCTAGGACTTTAGCTTGCTGGATAAACTGGTCTCCTTCACTTTTTCCTATAAATGTAGGGACTCCTGTAAATAATTCAATAAAAATACAGCCTGCAGCCCAAATGTCAATTTCTGGGCCATATTCTGTGTTACAAAATATTATTCTATATTAAATTAAACTGATTTTAGCATTGCTTCTCTGCATAATAGTATGCCTTATTGATATGAGAATAATTCAGGCGCTCTATAATATCTTGAAACTATATAAGGCGCACTTTTCCCATTCTGTTTCTTTGCGCTTCCAAAGTCACAAAGTTTAACTTTCATGGTGATAGGATCTATCAAAATATTTTCCGGTTTTAAGTCCCTGTGCATAATTTTCTTGGAATGCAAAAATTCCAAGCCTAAGAGAATTTGTCTCATGATGTTAGAAACTTCATCATAAGTCAAATAGTTGTGAGATTTACAACGCTCTCTAATAAACCTTGATAGGTTTTCAGGGACATACTCGAAAACGAGATGCTGGATACAGCCACCTTGGTCATTGACCGTATAAAATATATACTTTATAGAGGAAAATAGAGCGATTTATTTTCAAAATTATTTTGCTATCTTATAAAAATTATTAATTAATACTAATAATAAAATAGAATTATTTTGCTATGTTTTTATATCTAATAACTGTACACAATTTTCACACTTTTCAGTCTCTTTAAGAATTTTGTATTCTCTAGAGACAAGGCTTCCTATTTTTGCCGATCTTTTAACTGCTACATAAATATTTTTATTTCTATCGAATGCTTTGTAAACTGACCCAAAACTTCCTGATCCTATATGTTTTTCAAACCTGAAGTTTGGCATAATATTTGAGCAGTGTTTTGTAATTGGGCTTGTTGGACTCGTCATTTTAAATATTAAAATTTCTTTATATGGCGCCTTATTCAATAGAATTAAGAAGAAAGAGGATTGGAGTTAAAAATTAAACTGGCATTATTAGCCTATAAAAATCATAATAATTCTATTTTTGAAAAATCTTAAAAAGATTTAAAGGTAAAATGCGGAACTTACAAGCGGGTGATTTAAATAAATTAAGAAGAAAATTAGCTTACTCTACAGCCTCTTCCGTGACCTAAATACATTTTTTATTCACTCACGGAGGGTGTTCATTTTTTCTCGAAATTTATAAAAATCGAATTCGCAATAATATTTAAAGAAAATTAAAAGAAATTAGTTTTAAAATGCAAGCTGTTTAAAATTAAACAGATTCATTATAATAATTATCACTTATATATCAAAATAATTTTTCTTAAAAACAATTTTGTTAGCTCACGGAGGGTGATTAGGCCAAAAAATAGGATTTTTCCAATGCTTTTGTTTTGTTTGGAGGGGGAAATTAGCTACTTATAAAATATTACTTTTTCATTGTTTTCTACAAAGGTACTGTCACTAATGTTAAAGCGAACATTATCATCATTGTTTTCTTTTAGATACTCAACTGATTCTTTTTTAGCCCATTGGTAATCCATAACCTCTATTTTCCTTTGAGCATTTTCATCAGTTTCTACTTTTGAACTTAATTCATCAAGGGTAACTGTCTGAGGCCCAAATAAGCTTAAAAGTATTGGCAATGCGAAAAAGCAGTCAAAAAGTATAAAAGCCATCGAGCTCCCCCATATTTTGGCCCAAACTGAAAAAATATATGACTCAGTCGGAATCAAAAATGCCAAAATCGCTATAAAAACTGATAAAACTACATGAGGCAGCGAGCTTCCTATATACTTAAACATAAATTTCAGCCTATATTTTTTGGAGCCAGGCTGAGCTATAAATGAATGTATAATATGGGCAGAAAATTCACAAGCCACTATTGCTATCATATATAAATGCAGCACACTGACAACATTAAAAGCTACATCTAGCACCCACATAGAGAAAATAGCACCTAGCTCTATTGCAAGTATATTGACTACCAGTAGGACTATTGAGGATGGGAAAACTGTTAAAAATAAAGTATAGCAGCCAGCTGAAAGGATCACTATTAAACAAAAAATAAGAAAATCGTTTGATAAGCTTTCTAGCTGTGCATAATAAAGAAAATTTTTATTGTATGGGAATGTATACCCTGGCCCTTTATCAGAAATATCAGATAGATCGAATTTTAGCTGCACACAGTCAGATTTGGTAGACACAAATTTTAGCCTGGCTGAAAATCTTGCGGTATCAAGCGACCCATTTTTCATAATTAAATCATTATAATTTTTTCCTTTAAATATCCTGCATATAAAAACTATAATATTTTTTAATGGACTATTATACGAAAAACCCTAATAGAATAATATTTTCCTAATGGGGTTTGTAAAAACTGCTGTAAACATGAATTAAACCAAAATTGTGGAATCACTCCGCTTTCAAGAGTTACAGCTTGATTTGAATTATCAATCTTACAAAAAGATTGGCCTACCCAGTCTATTAATGAATCATAAAACGACTGCACAGTTCCATCCTTTATTCATTTTTTGTTGCATCCATCACAATTTCTCATAGCATTTGACAAATCTATCATTCTTAACTGTGAAGATTTTGAAGAAAAATCTGTATTTGTCATATAAAACCCTACTATGTGTCCTCGATCACCAAAATATTTGTCTTTAATGTCTATTGCGCTTTTTATCTGTGAGGAATGATTTTTGACAAGTCAATCTACTTTAAGCTCTTGGTTAATTTGGAATATTCCTGCAATACCTGCAGCAATAATTCCTAGGTAAATTAAGATCACAAAATATATCATACTTTTCTTCAGCAGTAGTTTTACTATTTTATATTCAATAAAAAGCTGAAAAATTGAAATTTCTTGATCTAGGCTGTTTGCAGCACATTTTCCTTTGCAGCATAAAATATGTCTATTTAATTATTTTAATGCCATTTATTATCAATTATTAGCTTATTTTTATGAAAAAATCAGATATTCCTTCTTATTATCAAGCATTTAGACATATATTAATGGTTACTTTTTGGCGAGCAAAGGCATTGCCCACAGCAGTCTCTTTTATTCTGTAAAACCCTCTTAAAATCATAAAACAAGCATGCTGAAAATAAAGTCATACAATTAAAATACAAAAAAATTGTAGCAATTGCACTTGCAGTACAAAAGCTTGAAATTGCTGGAAATTTCGATATACTTCCAATAGAAAATGCTGTCACTGTAATTAGCATTGTTTTAAATAGTGAGACCCCAACTGTTTTAAACCCAAAAACAAATTTTCTATCATAATAAATAGTTTCCCCAGGCTCTATAGAGATATTTTCTATTGACCTCACAAGATATGAACAATATAATACAGTTTCGATGGCAAGGAAAAATGATATTGCGAGATTTGAAGAAATAAGCTCAAAGCCTGCATATCCCATAATACCAAGAGCTTCTAGGATGGCAACTGCATAGGAAATTATCATTGCAAGAGTTAATGGAAATCTGCATAATGTAGGATGGCATTTTCCTATGATAAAAAATGAGTATAAAAATATGCTATTTCCTTTAGATTTTCTAAACTCAGAGAAATTTATAATACTATTGGCTTAGAGTTAGGCTACAATTCAACGGCCTCAAGTGCACAAGACCATAAGGTCCGTATTCCTCGGTTTGGTCACTCCCCATGAATCTATGCACAACCTGCTAGCAAAGTTCACTCCTTCTTGTCTCCTTGAAGCTATTTGAAGCCAGAAGTACCGTGAACAACTAGTGGCTTGGAGTGTTATCTTGATCTATCCGAGCTTCCGTTATTTCAAGAAAATTTGAGCTGCTAAGCAGCTCTAAAACTAAATTTATTTATTTACCTATCCGGCTTTCCTCCAGCGCCTGCTCAAATCTAAGGATTTGATTTTGCTCTCAGTAGAAAGAAGTAAAGCAAAGTTGCCAAGTAAGAAAGCCTTCTCCATTTCTTCCCTAACTTGTAAAAAAAATCCCATAATAATAAAATTTGTATTAAGAGAGGAAATTTACAGAATGATTTCTCCTCTCCTTCGGAGCCATTTTATTTTATTATTATAAAACAATTGGCAATACTGAGGTAGTTTAATTCTCAGTAGGCCATACAAGAAAAAAATTATATAAAAAACCATAGCTCCAGCATAAAGCACTAAATCAAAGCTTAAAGAGTCCACAAAATCACTTTTAACTAATCCTAAAAAATAAAGGTCAGCAGTAATATACATACTTTTTTCGTTAAATTTTTTAACAAAATCGCGTAATTCTGATTCCCAGTCAGAAATTTCGCTATCTGATAGGTCGTTAGGCTGAGTATAATACTCATACTGCATAGCTTCAAAGTAATATATATTATTTGACCCATCCGAGTCAACAGTTAAATTATAAGGAAGCCGCCCAGACAGCATTTCAATGATAGAAATATATCGGTCATCATAGTTTGGATATAAAGTTGCTAATTATCCCCTTCTATAATTGAGAAAAATGATTTTGCTAGTTAATAAACAATTTTTTTTTGCGAAATTTAAAAAATAATCATTTTATTTTGGCATTTATCATTAACCCAAACATATTTTATTAAAAAAATTTTACTTCTGAATTTTGTTATAAAAAAGGATTCTTCGATGGATTTTCTCGCTCAAGGAGAGGGAGAGCAAGCCTTTCCCGCTTTGAATTTTGTATTGGACTTGATAAGGAGTTTTTGCATCAAAAATTATGGTATTGTCAAAATTTTCTCAAAACCCTAGTGGTCATTCGTAAAATCTGCAAGGATTTGATGCATTTATTTTCATACAAATTCCTGAGAAATTTAGCTGTTTTAATTGGCTGTTAAAAGTTATAAGCTCTTCAAAAGGCTCAACTTCTAATAAATTGGTATTGTTTGTGGCTGAAGTTATATAAATTTGATATCGTCGCTCACTTTTCCCATAAGCTTTTTCAACAATATCTTTATGATTCTTTGCTCCAGAATCAGTAGGAACTCATATTTCGTCAACATCGTTATTTACATTTGAAAAATAAAGTCCAATTGTCAAAGCTGAGCCTATTATTAAGGAGAGGACAATAAAAATATAAGGTCGTTTGACCACCAATTTGGCCCAAGTGCTGACTAAGCTTTCCAGTCTTTCTTCAATGCAGGTGTTCAATGAATAAATCCCTGCACATTTCTCTGTGATCTGTGGAACTTCAATTGACTCCATATGAAAATAATCTGTGAATTAATCTTTTAATTAATTTAAGAGCTCTATAAATAAAAAATGTCATTTTTAAAATAAAATAAGCATTTTTTTGGAAAGAATTTATTTATGTAAAATTAATATAAATAATTATAATTTTTTGGCAAAAATACATAATTGTATGTGATATATATTGTATTAGAATGTTGTAAAGCTTCCAAAGGCTTGATCAAAATAAGTAAATTATTCTCCTCCATTTCTACCCTAACTCCCCCCTTCCGTGAGTGAATAAAACCATTATAAAAATCGCTATTTTTTGCCCAAAAACCCACCCTCCGTGAGTGAACAATTTTTTTAATACAAAAATTTTTATGTCAAAAATTTTTGAAATATAAGTGATAATTAGCATAATGAAATCTAGTGCTAATTCTGTTTAATTTTAAACAAATTGCTTTTTAAAACATAAATTTTATAAAAATTAAATTAATATTGCTTTCCAATTTTTTGCGGATTAGGATTTTTTTAAATTTCGAAAAACAATATTTTTTATAAAATTTATATATAAATTTTTTTAAAAAAAAAAAATTAACCAAGATTTTTTTGTTCACTCACGGAGGGGGGTGGAGTAAGGAAAAACAGCGTGTCTATAAGCTCTTCCTTCAATAGCTCCCTTCTTGTTAGGATTTCTTCTTTATTTTTTAAGATAAAAGCTATTTAAATAATATCAATTTTTGACTTGTCAGGCATCAGATTTTTAAGCTAGTTTTAGATATCTTTAGGGAGCCTTTTGGCTAATATCATGCAGCTAAGCATGTCAGTGAGGCCTTGAGACTGCTCGCATAGAAAAATCCATTAAATGAGGCTGATGATTATATAGATAGAATTATGAGTATTATATTTAGACTGCACAAGCATAATACTAGTCATATATTGTATTTTTTCTAATAATAATATCTGAGTTTTTATTGGATTGCAAATATTTTTTTAAAATATAAAATTTATAAATCTAAGATTTGACGCTCATTGATGAGATCTACTTGAAAAATTAAATATTGTTAAAATAAATCTATAAAAGCTTGATATTTTGAATTAAAAATAATACAGCTATATGATTTTTGAAGTTTCGTTCATTATTAATATTGATTTAGCCAAAATTGACTTGATAATTGATATATTTAGAATGAAATATAGGTATATGAAATATTAGGGATGAGAATATTAGCGAAGGGGCTTTTATAAGGTGTAGTTTGGCATATCCTTAACCACATATTCAGATAATCTGAGATTTCAATATAGAAATAAATTTCATTGAGAACCAACGGGCTAATCATTGGATGCTTAATTTTATGAATAATTTGATAAAGTGAGGAATAAGAAAATATGAATAAAAGATGAAGTGTTTAAAATTTATAAATTAAATATCTAATAAATTGTAATTTTAACTAATGGTTTTCATTCTAATAATAATTATTAAATAGAATGCTAACTCCCCGCTTGAGCGAACAAAACCATCTAAAAAATACCTATTTTTTCCCAAAAATCCACCCTCTAGAGCAAACAAAAATTATTTTAATTAAAATATTTATGTAAATAAAAAATTGATATATAAATGATAATTATTATAATGAAACCTCTATCTAATTCTGGCTAATTTTAAATACCCTTGCGTTTAAAAATGATAAATTTGGCAAATTAGATTAATCTTTGCTTCTCAATTTTTATATTTTTAAATTCTGAAGAAAAAAAATTAAATTTCCTCCATGAGGGGAACAAATTTTTTTTTCGCTCACAGATTGGGAGGAGTAGCAAACCTTCCCTCTAGCCTAATTGGTTTTTTTCCTCAAATCAGACAGTATTTAGAAAATCGTTAGACTCCAAAAAGCAAGATATCATAACGAATGAGCTCAGCTCAATTCTAGATAGGACTGCATTCACAAGCCAACTCTTCTCTGAGCCAAAAAAAGCTTTCAAAGTGCTTATGAGTGCTGGGTATCCAAGCTTTGCAGGACGTGTGGATTACTCCAGTCTCAAAGATTTAGTTGATTCAGAATACGCTGATATCGTTCTTGAATTCCTTTGCAAATCTAATGATGATCTTCCAGAATCTATAAAAGATAGGGTCAGCACAGAATTAATAAAGCAGCTGCAAGAGTTAGATTGAGAAAATCTTAATCCTTATGATTTACTTTATTGAAGCACAGAAGACCAGTCTCACACACTATTGTCTTTGCTACTAACTTTCGCTATAAGATATAAAATAGAGCCAAGTGTGAGCTTAATACGTGATGAAAAATTTAGATATTTCTTGGACTGATTGATCCAAGAAAAAGATGACTTTTTATGGGCAGAGCTTTATTTACTTATTATGAGCAGCTTGGCAGAATATAATTTTGATCTATTTGATCAATACTGAAATGGCAAAAGCGGCAATTGATGCTTGCTGGCCCAAAAAATCCACTCGAGACAAGCTTTGGTATGCTTGATGGCAATCCTAGCAAAATATAATTGTGTATGAATATAGCGCTTTCCCGAGGATGGCGCCATTCCGCGCCATCCTCGGGAAAGCGCTATACCTGAATTAGAAAAAGATGATACTTTTTTCCAAAACATTTGAAATTTCATGTTTGATAAGAACAATAAGGACGATAAATTTCTCTTTTTAAAATTATGCTCTCAGTCAAATCAATTTACAGTTCTTTGCTTCAATAAGCTAATTGACTTCTATTCTAATAATCCAGATATTAGCGTTAAAAAAATCATTTCTGTGCTTAGTTTGTACCAAAAATAATGATTTATGAGAATATAGGTAGCTCACTAGATTATCCAAATTTTGGCAAAATTGTTGATCTATTGTTTTTAAAACGCAAAACACGGAACTATTTAATCAGTTTTGTTGACAATCAACTAAAGTCTCAATTATACATGAGCGACTTTTTGGGTATTTACTTTAAAAAGCTCTCGCATGGAGCTGCTGGAAAAGAAAATGAAGAAACTGTAATAAAGCAAATGATAATATATACTTTAACGAACAACAATAGAGGAAGCACAAATGAAAGAGAGGTAATAATAAGTGATTATATACTTTACTTGGTCAATTATTTGGCACAAAATACATTCCCAATTCAAGAGATCGGACATTATTATACTTCAATTCAGCAAATTATTCATTACATCCCAAGTTTATACGATTTTATAATAAATTTAGGATCAGAAGAGTTACAAAGAGCAACCGATCTTTGGCATAAGCATTTTTTTACGGCAATAACCGAGATAACTTTAAATAACGACATGGAAATTCCAAAAAAAATACTAGAAATTTTTCAACATATAGCTATATAGACGCTCAGATTGATGAGAGCAATCCATCTAAAATTGGGTATGAGCAGCTAAATGATGCAACAAAGATAGAATTCTGAATTCATTCAGTCTTAATCAAAAGAGGTGTTCCAAATATTCTCGACAAAACTTTTTCATCAGAAGATGTTAATTTTATCAATCAGATTCTACAAAAATTAGCGACCTCATTTACATTTGAAAATATATTCAATGATAATATTCTATATCCACTTCGCCTTTATTTTGTATCACATTTCACGACCATTTTTGTCATGAATCTTAAACATGGCTTTCATGATAATATTTTGACTGAAGCTAACTCTTATGCTGCCAATATGATTAGAAGTGTTTGTGAGCCTGTTTCTTCATCTAATTAAGATTAGCCGTTCGCAGTTTGTAGGGCCGGAGATTTGCACCCATATACCCTCATCACTTATGGTAGGGCCTCGGCGGACACCCTTCTTGCTGCCTCAAGCAAGGGATTCGCACTGATTAGTCTTGACTTTCATGGCTTCTGGAGCCTAAGAGCCAACCACTTGGGTCGAAACTCCCAGTTTCTCGTTAGACAAATACCATATCTTGAGTCATGTGAGGGAGTCAGCCTCCACTCGGAACTGTCTATTATCTTGTCCTTTCCAATGATTTTTCTTGAGAATAAAGCCCGAGTCTCACGAATTAGCTTCGTAGCGCCTGAATAAAACCTAGCCCGACATACGCAAAGGGCTTCCAGCTCCTTTCCACCTCATTCACCAACACTTGGCCGTTGCCTGCAGGTGTTGAGGAAATAGGGTGGAGAGGTCGGGTGGCACATCGTCGCCATATATATATATATTCTTCATCTGATAAAGATCTTTTCTTATCAATTGTGGAATCTAATGTGGCGCGCACCGCTTTTACAGAGTATGGGTATGATCTTGCAAGTGCAGTAGGATTTGAAGAAAAAACATTTTATGTAGATTTACCCTGAAGAACTCATGGAGTGACGGTCTTAGGAGGTTCATTCTAATCAATTCAATAACCAAGCAAAAAACACCATTCTTTCAGTGTGTAAAAATAATCGCGTACTTACATGAATTAGCGCATGCTTTGAGGAAAACTGAAAATGGCCTGCATTCATTTGAAAATCACACTCCAGAAAAAATCTGAACCATTTTTGAGGGCTACTCTATGGCTAAGAGAAAGGATAGACTTCTGAAAGAAGCAGCAAAGAAAGAAGGAGGAATGCAACTAGAGTCAATTTTGTTTGGGAATTTTGTAAATAAAGTTAATGATGAACAGATAAGCTTTATTACTGACATAGACAATTGCGAAATGAGTTTAGATGAGTTTAAATCAGAATTAAAAAAGCTCAACTCCTACTCATCAACTTACTATCAATTATGCAGAGATCAGTACTACTCTATTGATAGAGCACCTCATATAAATACTTCTTTCTGAAATGAGTAATTCGATGCTGGTGTAATTAATATTAGTTTTTTGGTAATATGTAAGATTTAAGAAACTTTTTAGTCTGTAAAATCGAAATACTATTTTGGTAGAAGTAAACCCATAAAAATGTCTTTAAAGGATATGTGTCTTCTTCCTTGAGCCATAGCTATAAGAACACCAAATTCTTCAAAAATAATACATAATTTTTGAAAGATTCTTTGGGCATAATAAAGATAAAAGATATTGTTAAATATCAATTGATAAATAATCCTTGGTGTTATTCCTAGAATTACGAATATAATAGAGGCTTTAACTAGTCATTATTAATATAAAACACATTAAAAATTTAGTAAAACATTAAATTGTTGACTAATTATATTAGTTTTATGAAGGCTATAGTTACTATTATCTCTTATTTTAAGGGTCTGCCTTATTTTTGTTTCTTTAGTCTTTTTCATTCTATAAATTCTTCATCTGCTATCTCAAAACATTTTCAGATCTTTTTCAATGCTTCTTACTTATAAAGAAATAATCGATTAAAAAATATAATAATCCATAACAATTCAGAAATTTTTTTATTATAGTTATTATTTTTGAAAATCTATGTAAGTAAGATCATTTAAATTAAATATTTTGAATAAAATTATAGCTTAAAATACACTATTTTTTATGTGATCCATCCGTATTCCAATATTTCAAAGCTTCTAAAGACCTCATACTTTTAAAGATGGCGAGTAATAGGTGACTGATAAGCTGATCCAACCTAGGTATGGATCCCATACTTTTAGAGAGAGCAAATGGATTTTCTTCTTAATTGGGATATCATCACAAAAGATGTTTTTTGCATTGGCCCATAGGTGATACACCACTTCAGAATGTGAAGGTATAGGAAGTGAAGAAAAATTCGGGACGTCAGCCTGTCTCCTGTCTTCAGATATAGAAATTTTCCCATAGATGGCGCAGTTTGCCCTTGATTTGCCCACTGGGAAAATTTGTTGGTTCGACTAGAACCATACGGTTTAGTCAAACCAAAAAATATTTTCAGTGGGCAAGGGCAAACAGCGCCATCTATGGGAAAATTCTATAGAAAAGATGCAGACAGCTAAGGGTTGCCAAAAAAGTGTCTGGCTAAGCCTCCCCGACAGACTTTACCAAATATAGAGTCTCTACTGCTATAGCACAGCTTGGCAACGCTTTTTTACAGCAACTGAGTTAACTTGCCGTCTTTAGGTGGCTCATCAGGCTCTTGGACCCTAAGCACGGTTAAATTTAGCTGATGACACCAAATATATAGTCAGTGTCACTAACTATATTTTATAGGGCTTTCCCTTGAATAGCCCGATAACGTGATGAAGCCAGCCCGTTATCGGGCTACTCAAGGGGAAGCCCTATATGCTATAGTGGTCTTGATGGATGCTTCTCCACAGCAATTTTAAGCTTTAGAGCTGGCAGTGCTGAAATAATCTCAAGATACTCATTAGAATTAATCTATAGACCTCATTAAAATAGGGTAATTATTCCCCTCAGTTTCCACTGCAAGTGAATACAGCTGTCTATATCCACACGAGCTACAAATTTCAGCTAAAATCATCCCTAGCCAGGGTGGAAGAAATTCTGTGTCAAATATAAATTTTTCTATTTCTATTTGTTTAAGGATTTGCACAATACAGGATACAGCAGATTTCGGGTTTCCGCTTCTTACGTTAAGCTTCATTAATCTGTATAGTGCATATAAAGAAAATCCAGAATCCAGGACATGCCTATAAGCTCTTTCTGCTAGTCTTGATCTTTGCATTCTTTCTGCTAGGGCTCCTCTTCTAATTCAAATTTCTCCTTTATTTGTTAGAGTGGAAGCTATTTAAAATTTACGTCGGTTTTGGTCTTGCAAGGCATCTGATTCTGCGGCTTGTTTTTGCCATTCGTAGAGAGCTTTGAGGTCTAGGTACATATAGCTAAGCAAATCAGTGAGTTTTTTGGAGACTGTCCTCATAGAAGGGTGCATTAAATGGGCTAGACGATTATCATTTGATGGAGTTATAAAATAATCACGGGGTGTAATGGCTGACCCATAAAAATTTTGATCATAAATTCCTTCCGTCTGAATTTCACTTTCCAGCCCAATTGTATCAAAATCCGAAGTGGCTAATGATACATTTCTCCTAAGAATTTCTTGGCTGCTTATATTAGTCATACTAAACTTATCTCTTTCATGAAGTGTTCCTATTTAAATTTCACCATTATTCTGCATAAAAAGTTTCTTTTTAAATTTTAACAAGTTTTCTCATTCCACATGTTTTTCCATATAAACTAAAATTTTATGCACATTTTCAGCATTTAAAATCTTCTAATAGCTATTATTTTTATATAAAATAAAAAGTATCCAAAAAATTTTTAATCACTATAAATAGCATATATAGTTTCTTTTCACAATGGGTTAATCTAGCTGACTGCAATGATTTTAACCTTTCTAACGAGCCTTCTTCACTGCTAGTTCAAGGCTTTGTATCATCACTTGTCTTAAAATCAAACCTCAGCGGCCTATTCCAAATATTCCACGCACTGCTTGTCGGTATTTTTTGAGGAATCATAAGCTCATCATCTGTAGGATAATCAGCCTTATTTTTTTGCTCAGACTCATAGATCGGAAAACAATTCAAGCATAAAAATGCTGCCTCATATTTTTTTTCCTTTATATAGCACCAACATAAGCATTCCCAGAAGCAAAAAACTTCTAAATTCAGCTCTATTAAGTACTGTAAAATACTTCTTGCTTCTTTATATTCATTTAGCCTATAATGGGCATAAGCTTTTAAAAAATATAAAGGAAAAGCGAATGGGGTTATAGAAATTTGGCAGGTCGTGATGTCAATGATTTCTTCAAACCGTCTAAGCTTAATATAAGACTTGCATAAGTAAAAAACCATCATTGGGTCTTTTTGGCTGAGTTTTCTGAAAAATGAGTTATCCGCATTTCTAATAATAACATTATATTTTTATATATAGCAAAAACATTATCATATTTACTATAAACAGATATATGCTGCTTAAACCTTTTATATTTCAATAAATAATTACTAAATTTCGCAAATAGCAAGTTTTCTCTATATTTGCATGTATCATTATTATCACCAATCACAAATCCAACTCTATCTAAAAACTGAGCTGAAATTTCAACGAAATTTTCTACCTCATTTACAGTTAGTGGACCATCTAAAAGCCTTGAACCAGGGATAGGTTCTGTATATAAAAATCTTAAAACAGAGCTCACATAAGCTCCTTGCCAATGTATATTTCCAGCTTGGATCCTCTTAGACTGACAGTTAATTAAATAATGGGTCTCCGCCGTGCCAGTTATTTCAATTCGTAAGTCAAATTTAGAAAATAAATCATAAACACAATAATACATCGTGGAAATTTTTCATTTGGATTTTTTCATGGTTTTTTCAAAACTTTTTAAATAATTCTGGATATTTTCAGAAGATGACGTATTCAGGCCATATACAAAATGATAATAAGCCTTTGTGGAGGATTTTTTTAGGTATTTAATAAGCCCAGGTCTGCGGGTTTCACATATAAAGTAGCATAAATCAGGCTGCCCTAGTGCTTGAGAGCTGCTAAGCTGAGAAGTTCTATAGTCCAAATAATATCCAACTCCTCGTGAGTCATAAAAATCTACTAGATTTAGTGGGGAATCCATGCTGGTATTAACTTTTCCTTTATATTTTATCTATTACTGAGTTAAAATTAATTTATAAAATGGACCCAAAAGAAGTCAGAGAAAGAAGACGTGCCAAAGTCTTGGCTCGAGCTGGAGTCACCCCTGACCAAGTTGAAGTCCAAAAAGAGCAAGAATTATCGGTGAAGGAGAAACTGATTATTGCTGAAAGTTTGGAAGCTTATCAAGTATGATTTAGGTAGAAAAAAACATCGAATTATAAGAATGCAATTATTATCATTTTGTCAATCATATTGGGGTATATACCGGCTATTGGATATCGATATAATATTGTGTCATTTTTCTTAGCGGCACTTTTGCCTTATAAATTGATTACAGTCATATCATTTTATTTGCTGACTCCATTACCTCCAGTTCATACCATAGAAAAACTGTCCAAGCTTATAGAAGTTTTGATAGAAATTATAAGTGACGTCACATTGTTTGTTTTTTCATTTATCTTGAGTACTGTTGCATGGGTTCCGGTATTAGAATACATATAAATTATCATAACTTGAAAATCTAATAAAATATTTTTAGGACTTTTAATTTATTTTTCGGATTTTCTACAATCTTATTTTTAAAAAATACACTATTTTAAGATTTTATACTTTTCTATATAAATCATTTATTTTTTTTTAAAAAATATCTAAAATTATTATTTAAAATCAATATTATAATATTTTTTAGATCACATTATTTCTATTCATCTGATTCTGATGGTGAGATATCATATGGGCAATTTTTATATGAATCCCAGATTTCCTGCTCAGCATGACATTATATGCATAATTCTGGTTCGTTCTATGTTGATACTGCATTGGAAAATTCATATTTCTTCAATCACCTGTATTCATAAAAGCATTAGGCTGAAACTGCATTAATTGTAAATACTGCTGCATTTGAGCCATCTGCAGTGCTCTGATATCATACCTTATCTGCACTGCTGGAGTTTTAGCTTCTTCTTTAGGCTGTTGTGGCAATTTTAAATCCTTTTTATTTTCAGTTTGTTCAGGGACTATTGGTTTTTTCGTCTTATTTTTTACCAAAATTAATGCTGAAAGTCCTTCAATGGCGTCATTTTCTTCCTGCACATCGTCTATGACAGGTAGTCTCGGTCTTTTGCGAGGCCTCGGTAAATTATCATTATTGAAAGTTTCAGCGGGACAAGATAAATCGATGTCCATCATCTTAAGATCTTCAATTATTTCCTTATTTGTAGCCTGATAATATGGAATTTGGCTTCTCAATCGCTTTGAAAAGCTTTGAGTTGCAAAATTACTCATTACTTAATATAATGTATGATAATAATAGAACGTAATTTATGGTTAAAATAAAGGTAGCTTTATGATTTATTGAAATTTTTGGGCAATCAAAATAGAGAATTGTGGGGATTGAGGAATTTCTATAATAAAGGATGAGCAAGTTCAGCGAATTGGCTAGCTGGGAGTGTAGAGAGAATTTGATGGAATGTGAAAATAACATTCTGATGGCTGATGAGGGAATAAGAGAGGCTAGATTAATAAATTTAACCTGAGGAAATCTTTAGTTTTCCTAATAATGTCCACATTTTCACGAGTGGTAAAAGAATCTTTGATTTGGATGTATTTTAGCTAAAAAGAAAATGCCACAATCCATTGTGGCCTAAATCAGAATTCTTTTAAGAAAATAGTTTGTTAATTGAAATTCTAGTTTATATTATATCTTAGGCGAGCATTATATTTACTAGAATTCTTGTTGGTAATTTATCAAATAATATTAATTAAAAACAGAAAAATCTGCTTCTATAACACCCAAGCAATTCGCTTGCCCCTTCCAAATCCAAATTCGTCCCTTTGTCAATGCTAAAACTTTTAGGGTTTTCAACATACAATTCTTCTGATTTCAAATTGAAATCTGGGAACTCTCTTTGTAATTTCTTCTTTTCTAGAAAAGAAGATCTTAAAATGCCGCCTGAAGCAGTTCCTTTATGAAGTGGGGCAAAATTAATGGTCTTTTCGTCTAGGATTTTTGAGCTTATGTTGTTAATTTTTGTAGTGCTTCAGCTTCAATCAAAGCTGGATTTATGCTCTTCTGTGTCTTCTTCGTTGAGCTTAGACTGCTCAATGCTTAGTTTTGCTTCTGCAATTTGTTCTTCAAGAGTTAATATTAGTGCATTTATTTCTGCAATAATTTCGACTTGAGATTTTAGCTTTTTTTCGATACTGGGGAGTTTCTTTTTGTAGGAAGCAAAGGTGTCTTTTTTGATTTTATATTCGACTGAATGGTTTATGTAATTTTTTTAAAAAAAAATAATTATAAAAATTGTAAAATGGCAGCAAAATGTCTAGCCTAACTGAATAGCTTATTCATTCAGCTAAAACCGATACACTTTTATGTGTTTTATGCAATTTTTGCTGTATTGATTGCTGATGTTTTAAAATCGGCATTAAATCAGCAATAAGCTCTTTGCTAAATATCTCTGGGTTCACACTACACATTAAGCTTTTTAGCGGATTATAATGTTTTACTGTACGTAAAAATGCTTTTCAGGATCTATCTTGTTGATCTAAAACAATCATAAACTTTTCACATATGTTGGATATCAGAGGATTTGGATTCTTTATCTTGCTTAAATCATGGCAAACTTCTTTAATTTCGTATTAAATAATTATTTTTTAAAAATTTTTTATTTTTTAATTAGAAATAATTTAAAAAAAAATTATAAAGAATTAGTGAATTTTCAATTTGCATCTTTTATTCCTTCTGATACTCTGTGTATTTCTTGAGTGTAATGCTCAATTTGCTGCTTAATTAATTGAAGCTTTGATGACAGTTTTTCTAGGCGATTTTTTTCAAGCTTTAAAGATTTAAAAGCGTTAGAAGATTGGGTTTCAAGCTGTGGAGATTATACCTGTGAAATTTCTCGGTGTAAAACCTGCATCGCGTTAATTTTGTAGCTGCGCTCGAGGGTGTGATCACTCTCCATTGTTAAACAAATTTTAAGGAAATTTTAAATTATTGATTTTGTCTGATGACATCAGCAGTTTGCTTGGATAAGTGCTGTCTCCTATATGCCCCTCAATATTTATGATAAGTTTTTATTTAAAGCTAGCTAAACTTCAGATAGTTTATAATTTTTTGTGTGAAAAAAATAGTTTGCTTGAACTTATAAACAATTAAGTCGGTTGTATATCATAATCACAGAAGATTAGAATAAATTTTAAATAACTAGGTAAGGTTTCATTTTTAACTGAGATAAAATAACGAAGACAGTTATATTCATATAAACTTAATCTTAATATCTCCTAAGCCAGCTACACCCTTACTTATCTAGATCGATATAATACTTTTACAATCTATTATGTCTTATACTAAAAGTATCAAAAGATTAAAACCTTTCTTTCAATAATTTAGTTAATGAAATTTAAGAATTAAACTTTCTTAATCAAGTCTCCAGGCTGTCTTCATAAGCTGCACAAAGTGGTCATCATTATCAATCGACGAGCTAACTGCTGCATAATATTCATCCCATTCATCTTTCGTTATTCTCCCATCTCTATTTCTGTCATTAAAACTGCTTAAAAATTCCGTCAAGGCTTGGTCTTCAGTCATTTGTCCTCTTTGTACCTTAGGATGGAACTGGCAATTATAAACACCCCTTAGATCAGCGGCATCAATGTAACCGTTGCCATCACGGTCGAATTTCAGAAAGGCTTTATCAATAAGCGCTTGTCTTCTGGCGTTAGGGGAGCCTCTTATCCCTACCAGAAATTCGTCAAAGTTGACACTCCCATCACCGTCTTTGTCAAAATACCTGAAAAGGATTGAACATTCAGCTGATGATAAAACGACCCCATTTTCTCTGAGACCAACGGCGAACTCTTGAGGATCGACCTTTTTGTTGCCGTCGAAAGAGTCTAGGGCTCTAAAAGTACGACCTAGCTCACGAATGCCACGAGCGCCACGCTTTTCTAGCTGTTGTCTGACTGCTGCGAGTACTTCTACTACTCCACGTTGTTGGGCCTGCATAAATATGGATTATGGAAGGTAAAAACGGGAGATAGAGAAGATAGAGAAATTTCTAGAAGATTTGGGGCATGGGAAATAAGAGGGAAACAAGGTGAGAGGTCAGGATTTTTTGGTTTGTAGGATTGGCGAAAAATTAAATATGAGATTTGTGGGTAATTTGGAGAGGAAAATATTGTGAAGTAGACATAGATTAGAATATGGGAAAAATTTTATTTATTTGAGTGGATCTAGAATATTGCTTGATAACGTTTTAGTGAAAACTATTTATTAGAATTTTTTGAGAATATAAAATACTCAATTGAGGTTTCTTGCTCAATAAATTCTTAACAAATAACTTCAATTTATTACAATTTTTTATAAAAATTAAGCTTATTAGGCACTATCTAATTACTTAACTTCAACATCCAACCCAATATAAATCAAAAGATTATAATTATTTTAATAAATTTCTTTTCTCTTATCCTGCAATTCCTCCAGCCTTCATAATTTTCTCCTTTAATCTTGCTGCCATAAACTGTTTCGTCGACAAATCTTTAATAGACTTCACCATATCCTGAGCTTGAATGACTCCCGAATTAAACCCAGAAACAATATTATTTATCAATTCCCCGTACGCAAGCTCTGCACTTTTAGCCTGCAAGTATTGATTTGCGTATTCATTATTAAACTCCAAGTAATCCTCTGGTTTCCAATTTTCAGTGCTAAAATTATTAGCTTCAATAATCCAGTCATTGATTCTGTTGATTTCTCCTCTGATTTGTCCTTCTTTGAAATGGCTAGAAAATTCTTGGCTTGTTTGGCTTCCTGCAGCGACTATTTCGTTTTTCATTTTTTCTAAATTCACATTCTCGATTTTTAATTCGTCGATCTCGGTCGTCAATTCTTTGATAACTTTTCTATAAGTATCATTCAGTTTTTGAATAGTTGTCTGAGACAAAGCTCCAGCTTGCTGATTCTGGCTTTGAGGCTCCTGTGCCATTCTGCTTGCCTGCTGAGGAGGGATTATATTTGGCTGCGCTGGAGAAACATTGCTTGGGTTGTTTGATTTTTTGAAAACTGGCATTTTGATAGAAAAGGCTCTAACAACCTCGTCAATTATGTTAAAGGTATTTCTCTGATAGCTTCAGCTCCTAAATAGGTCCAGCTTTACATTTCCATCCTCATCTATGTATTCTGAGGGCTTAATAATCATTTCAGCTGACGGAATAACTCTGACTAACGGAGCATAATGAGGGTATTGATTAGGATAAATAATGCGGACTGGAATGTTATAATAATTTTGCTTGAACGGGATAGGCAAAGTCCCATCTAGACAAATGAAGGTAAAGCTTTGATTGCTGATCATAAGAGGAGTAGGCCTTGCACTTAAGCTAGGGTATTTCATTATGACTTGGTGAAGCTCGTTGACAATGTAAGGCTTGCATTGAGGCTCATAGTGGCACTGCATTATAGCAGATTCCACTGTAAAGTTTTGATATTGATATGCCATATTTTAATAGAGATTTCGCTGTCAGTCTTATAGAAAGTGTGGAAGTTGAGGACTTATGTATATAAAAAATATTTCTTAGAAATTCTATTGATTTCTAATATAACCTCTATAAGCTTCTAAAGAAAAATTTTCCCCATCATAATTAAAAACTACAATTTTTGCATAACTAAGCTTAGTTTATTTTCTTATGTGATTTAGTTTTGATATGACACTATTGGCGAATTAATATCTAATAATTAAATAGCAGCATCATGCAACTGCTTTTACGTACATTTCTATATGTTGTTTATTTTATTCCTCTCCACCAATGTCGCGCACCAATCTCAATGTTTTCCGACTATTGAGCCCTGTGCTCAAACAACTAACTCCCCCCCTCTCCATGAGTGAACAAAAAAATTTTGTTCACTCACAGAGGGGATTAATTTTTTTTTTTTAAAAAATTTATATATAAATTTTTTAAAAAATATTTTTTTTTCGAAACTTAAAAAATCCTAATTCGCAAAAATTGGAAAGCAAATATTAATTTAATTTGCAAAATTTATGTGTTTTAAAAGCAATTTGTTTAAAATTAAACAGAATTAGCTCTATATTTCATTATACTAATTATCAGTTATATATCAAAATTTTTTTCCATAAAAAATTTTTGTATTAAAAAAATTGTTCACTCACGGAGGGTGGGTTTTTGGGCAAAAAATAGCGATTTTTCTAGAGTAAGTAAATTGGTGGACATCAAAAAATATGCTCAATACTTATTGTAGTTAAATAAGGTTTTAGGTACCTCACAACAATTTGGCTTTAAAAAGATCTTCAACTGCAGAGTTAATGCCTAGGAATAAGAATTTTCAAGCTGCAATGCTTCAAAACTGATTATTTAAGGCAAAAGCTGACTATTCCTTTAATCAAGGAAACAATTTTTTCTTTATCTTCAATATAAAGACTTAATTCATCTGGTGAAACAAATAAATGAATAGCCTATAATTATCTAAATTGATATAAAATGCAATATAAATTATTTATTTATTTCTCTATGTTTGGCATATAGATACCTAATTCTTAATATTTTCTAAAGCAAAATAACTTTGGCATAATAAAAAAGTGATTAATCTGTCTTGCACAGCATATAATAGCTTAATATAAATGCCAAAATCCTAGATCCCCAATACCCTATTTTTAATAAAAATTCTTCCAGCTTCTGATTACCTATTTAGCCTATAAGCTATAGATAAAACTGATCCTGTCGTCTTGCATTTTATCCTAAAATTTCCCTATTTGATGTGTGTTGAATAATTAAAAATGGTCCTGGTCATCAATCGTATGGTGCTGGCAGCTGTCATCCTGGCTTCAATTTCAGGGAGCCTTGCTCAAGAATCCTACCTATTCACAGATGAGCCTCTCGAAGCAACCACTTGTGCGCCATATACCTGCAAGACTTCGAAACAAACCTTCACCTCAGAGACCTGCGTGTTTTACGACACTACATCAAACACTTACTACTCTAAATCTGGAGCATGCAGCTCTAAAACATACTGCTCACCAGGCAATCTACCTGCCAACTATACTTGCGTAAACAATCCAGCAACAGTAGGCATGGCCAAAATCGGAGAATATTGCTCAGTTGTCAGCGACTGCTATAGCACCGCAGTCAGCACTTATGCTTCAGCTTGCACCAGCAGCGTTTGTGTTGCACAGGCAGGCCATTCATGCCTTACCAACGGCGTAAGAGACGATTTATGGTGCCCAGCAGGACAATACTGCAGTGTAGTTACAGCTGATGGCACAACTACAGGCACTTGTGTAGCCCAATTGACAGTAGGATCAACCAAATGCACAAGTAATTCGGATTGTGTCAACAACGCATACTGCGATAAGACTGCTGCTGCAGCAACCGGAACATGTGTTGAATTACTCTCAGTCAAGGCAGGAACCCAAGTCCAGACCTGCGCTATTACTCAAGTTGATGGCACAGTAGGCCAAAATCTTCTCTGTGAATCAACCGTCTGCGGAACTGTAGGTGGAGTCTACAAGTGTCTTGATTCAGTAAAGAGCGACGACAGTGTCCCAATGAAATGCACAAGCACAGGCAACTATGATGCTAAATGTGTAACCAAAAAAGACAGCATCTCAGGCGCATCACTCACGAATATGTGCGAATGTGGAAACAATAAAGCTGGCGACGCTTATTGCAACCTCAGCCCTGGTGACAGCCACTTCCAGTCTTACTTGAAATATACAAAGAAGTGGCTCTCAAGCTCTGGAATAAATAAATGCAACACTGAAGGAAGATTAGACTCATTATGCCAGCAAGCATGGTGGGACAAGAGCAACATTCAAGCTTGGACTTACTATTACTTGCTTATTAATAACTATCCAGCTGTCGTAAACGCAGAAGACTGTGTTCTAGAAAATGTGGTTGCAGCCTATAAAGCAGCTAAGGATGCCTATGATAGCTCAGCAGCTTTCTTCACTCTCTCAGCTTTAGTCTTAGCAGCATTTGCCTAATCTTAAGCTAATAAGGATTATTAAAATTGATTCTAATAAATAAAATATAATTTAGTGGAGAGTCATTTTGTGTCAAAGATATGATTATAATCGTGTATAAAGAGACTGATTGTCTTGGAGACACAAAGAATTTATAGACAGATACTTACAGAATCAAATTTAGCAGTTTCAGTATAAAAGAAGCATATAAGCTTAATCAAAAACTTAAAATCAAATAGTTATTAATATAAGAAAACTAAGTGAAAATTATAGAAATATAAGGCGAAAATAACCTTTGAATGTTTCTTTTGGCTCAAATATTTATAAAATTCGTGAAAGAACTTATTACAGTTGATAAGTTTCAATCATAGATTTGGCTGATCTTGCATTCGGCACAGCTTTAAAGCAAATTTTATTAAAATTGTACCCTTGTGCATGGATAGATCTCTAGTAGATTTCAGAAAAACTCTATCAATAATTTCCTAGGCAATATTAGGAAAATATTTTATCTAGACAAAGTGAAAATCTATTTAATAATTTAATACATTATAAAAAACTCCATTTAAAATCTTTCAGAAAACAACTATTCATAAATAATTTATCTACTAAATGCTTAGTTTATTCTAATATTAATTAATGAGATTCAATTTTCAGTGTTTTTATATAATCATCATATGCTTCTTTCGTCAAATTGATGCGATTTCAAATAGCATGATCCACCCTCCCAGGGTTATTTTTCGACTCTTTTTTGAATTTCGACTTAATCTGATTCCTCGTCCTCTTTTTCATAAAATTCGCAATTAGCTCAAAATCAGTCCCAAACAATTGCAAAGCCTGTTTATTTATTACTGTATAAAACATTTCAGTTTCATCAGGATTTCACCTCTCACTATGCAATCTTTTATTTGACCTCAACGAATTTCCAGTTTCCCTTACAATTTCCATATCTTCATGCCTAATTTTAGATTGTGCACAAGCGTCTACAAGTTTTTCTTTATCAATAACGATTTTCCCGTTTTCTATTTTTATTTGTGGAGCTATAGGGGTTGCTTTATTAGGCTTGGACTGCTGCTTTTCTCTGCGTAAAATTTACTCTTCCAGCTTGGCGATGTTTTCTCTGGCATTTTTAAATAGTTTTTCGACAATGTCAGTTTTTTCTTCATTTATAGGGTCTTTGAGCAGGTGCTTGATTTTTTTGGAAGGGGCAGGCTTTTTGCGGGATCTGGCCGTGGAGGAGTGGGATCTGGCGATGTCTCTGAGGGTTTCTTTCTTATGGGTTTTGTCAGGCTCCATTTATTAAAGTATATTGATTTTTGGATAAGGTTATTTAGTTTTAGCGAAAAGGCTTTAAGTTTGTGCTTATTTATAAAAAGGTTAGTCTGAGTCTTCACTGTCACTTTCGTCACTAATCACAATTTTCTTCTGTTTTTTCTCTTCAATCTCTTCTTTAGGCTCAAAATACCCTAATAAATATACATCAGACGCCCCTTTCAGCGAAAAATGCGGTGCACTTGTCCTGCTTATCATTAAATCAATATCAACACTATTCTGCGTCTCATTTAGCTCTGCAATCGGCACTTTTTTGCCTTCATAGCTCAGATAAACTGTATTCCACTCCTTGCTTTTCCATCCATTCATATCCAAAACTGCATGTGACAAATGCAAAATCCTCCCATTGCCTTTACTTTCCAAAACCTCCCCTTTATTTTGTTTCAAGCAGCATCCCCAGAACATTTCCTAAATATTTATAGCTTTTCCCATTGATAATTTTCTATAGGAGTATAAATGGAGAGACAAGACTCAGAAAACTTCGATACCATCATCAAAGAAGGCTGGATTGAAAAACGCAGCCGCTTCCTCAAAGAATGGCGAAGAAGGTGGATGGTTTTGACTCCCCGATATCTTGTGTCCTTTAAGCAACAGCAGGCATATAGAGAAAAAGCTACTGAGAAAATCAGGCTTTCGGACTGTTCTACTGTAAAATCAGCTGAGGAAGAGACCAAAAAAGATTTCGCGTTTAGAATTGATACGAGGGACAGGGTTTTCTTTTTCAGCGCTCAAGATGCAAATGATAAGGAAACTTGGATTGGAAGCATTGGAAGAGCAATGGTGAGACCGACTGTTATGAGAAGCAAGAGTGAAGAAGATGCGTTAAATGGGTAGAAAATAATGATAAATGTATTATCATAAATAATACAAAATTAGATGAAATTGGAAATGCTAGTAAAATTGAGTATTAATTTAAAGGCATTTATTCAAGATTGGTGCTTTATAATCAGCACAATTAATTAATTAATCATTATTAAAGAAATTGAGAAATCCTTTATTCCTTATTTTATCCAATGAAATTATAATTTTTAATTATTTTGATTTTTGCTCAATACTTCTTTGATGACAGCACTTTAATAATGCTATAAAAGTAATTAAATAGATAGCTTTTATTAATGGATATAGGAGTGAACACAGAAAGCTTTGACTCACCTTTTCTACAAACTAAAACCTTTCTCTTACCTAAATTTAAGAAAAACCGATCAAGACTAGTCCGCATACATCAACCTTTGAAAAATGCTCAACTGAGCCTAATGAGCCCTACATCTAGAAAAAGTGAAGCACCAAAAAAGAAAGGAAAATTATTGATTGTCACCCAAATCCCTTCAGGTAAAATAAATTTACCAAATTTAATCAAAAGTCCTTCTCCTTTTCAATCCCCGTCCCCAAAATCCCCCAAGCACGAAATTTTTGAAAAAAATTTATCAAGATCACTGAAGAAAATAAAAAGAAAAGGAAATATTGACAGCATTTGCTTACAGCTGAGCACTGCTAATAGCAAGTTATCTAAGTATTTAGACTCTTTTAAAGGAAAAGATGATCAAAGAATAGGATCTTCAGGGACTCTACCAAGTTTAATCGAAAGCAAAATCATCGTAAAGCGGTTCGAATCTCCTCAAGTTATGAGTCGGCTAGAAAAATCTGACACTTGTGCGCTTGAGCTGACTTATGACACTTATTTATCTCAAAGATATGTTTAAATAACCGAAATTTAAATAATTCACTTAATTATTAGCAAAAATATTTTATAATATGGAAGCAAAAGCAATTAAGAAGAGAAACCCACATGTAAACAATATCATTCTTAAAGTAATTGAATGTCTCAGATGTGCAAGCCGTCCATTATTACTCTCAGAAATTGAACAAATAATAAAAATCCCAATCAGCGCAAAAGAAGATCTCTTAGACATCATTAAAGATACAAGGAAAATTTGCTATGACCCTGTCCAGGAGCGATTTTCTCTGAACAAGCTTTATCCAATTAATGATCGTTTTTCTCTTTTGGATTTCCTTAAATCAGGCCCTCATGGGATTCCGGAAAACCAAGATTTGTTTGATTGCTATCGTGGAATTGAAAAAGACATTGCGACATTAAAAGAACAAGGTCTTATCAGAACTATATATAACACTGACAAAGATAAAAAATTCAATGTTCTTTTTTATAAAAACCCTGATGATACAGTAGAAATTAACAGCAAGCCAATCGACCAATTTGTGAAAGACCTTTGGAAAAAATTACCAAAAAGAGACCCTGTGGAAAGACTTAAAATTATTGACGGGTGCAATAAGAGGAGAAAATTATAAAAAGCTTAGTAAGTTTTTATTAAAGATTTGATATTTGAGCCAAGGCTTGTGTTAATTGGCTTTTTAAGTCTTGTATTTCATTAGGAGTAAGTTTAGTGTAATCACCTTTACCTGTAAGGAGAGAAATTCTGTAATTTAATCTCGCGATTTCTGCATCTTTATCTACTATTTCAGCTTGCTGAGGAGAAATTATTGTTTCTTCTTTCGGCTCTTCTTTAACTTCAGCTACTTTAGTTGCTTCTTTAGGCTTAGGCTCACTTTGTTTTTTATTTGTCTCTGTTTCTTTCTTTTCTACCTTTTTTTCTTCTTTTTTCTCAGGCTTATTTTCTTTTTCTGTAATTTCAGCTACCTTGCTCTCTTCAACTTTTACAGCTGGTTTTGGCGGTGGTGGCGGGATTTCACTTAATTTCAAGATTTTTAATGATTTTTTCTTTTCTTCAGGCTGCTGCTGCACTTCAACTGGAGCTTCTTTTACTTCTTTGGCTTCCTCAACCTTTTTTTTCTTTTTCTTTTGTTTTTTCTTATTTTTCTTGTCTTCTTCTTGTGATAACAAGTTAAAAAGCTCATCCGCCATTTGCTGGGACGAATCTTGTACATAATTGCTTAAAACTTTATCGACGAGCTCGAAATTCTTTTCTTTAGCCAAGCTTAAAGCAGTTTGTCCCAGCTGATTTCTTGCATTTAAGTCGAAATTTGGAATTTTACAGAAATATTCAGCGACTTCAGGGTCGTTTCTTTTGACGGCTAAATGTAGTGCTGTATTTTTTTGCCAGTCTACAGCCTTGAAGTTTGCACCGTGGCTTACAAGTTCTGTGATAATGTCGACCCCACTTCTTGTAGCTGCTAATAATAAAGGTGTGAAGCCAAAGTATTCTTTGTTGAGTCCTCCTTTGGTTCCTTTAGCTTTTTCTTCAGCAATTATAGTCTCAATCCCTAATTCTTCAGCGCCGAAGTTCGCGAAAAGCCATCTCACTACATTAATTTTTTCATGAAAAATCGCAGCACTAAGGACATTTCCTGAGACTGAGTTAAGCTTATTCTTTGAATACCCAATGTGCCCTGTCTCTGATACTTTTCTTCCATTCTGGATCAAAAGCTCTAAAATCTGGGTTTGCCCTGCAATGGCTGCCATGATGATATAGGGCGCTTGTCTGTAATTATTAAGGAAGTTGTCGACCTCAGGGGTTTGGGTGTAGCCTGGAGATACTGCGACTGGTGGGTGCTCAAGGGATACTCCTCTAGACAGCAAAAATGATGCTGTTTCTAAGTTTCCTGAGAGGATACACCAGACAAAAAATTCTGGGAGATCTGCCCATCTGTCTTGGTTTTTTTCAAGAAGGGATTGGACAAGCTTATTGTCAGAGTTCTTGATGAAAAACATTGTCTGGAGGATGCGCTTGGCTGTTTCTTGGTTGAGTGGGTTAGCTCGGTCTTGGTTTGCAAGTGGACTTGCTCTGGAAACCATATTTATTAAAGTGAAATGGAATCTATGAATTGGAGCTTATTAAAAGTGGGCACTAATATCTTGTAGACTAGTTAAATAATAAGTGGATTTAGCTTAGAAATTAAGTTAGATTTTCTCTAAGGAAATTTATAAAAAAAGAAAAATGAACAATTATATCCTAAATTAAAATAAAATTCCTTCATTGTAATTAACTGGAATACTAAATTACTAAAAATCCAAGTTTTTATGCTGCTTACTATAATAGTTTAATAAAATTATCTGCAAAATATATTTTATCAAAAATAATTTTAGTAATCTGATTGTTCAATTATATAGTGATTAAATATGGACATCTGGCCATGCAATTTCACCACGTGCAAAGACCATGTGGAATATATCTGCTCTACCTGTTCTCCAGGGATTTATCTGTGCTCAAAGCACATTACAAACCATCAGCAAGAGACTGGCCATGAAGCATTACCAATGTATACTGAGCCAAACCAGCTTTCTAAGAACGATATGCTGAACTTCTTAAACAAAAGACTAGACACTTTGACAGCCCTAGGGAATTTTGTTGAGGAAACTGTCTTTAACGAAATGAAAAAAATGCAGGAAGCCTTTGATACTACACTCAAAAACTTGAGGATGGTTCAAGAAGAATATAGACGCTTTATTCACAAAGTAACTCGCATAAATAAAATCCCTTGTGTTGGGGCTACCAAAATCCAAGACATTCTTAGGTACCCTTCAGACGTCTCTATGCAGGCTTTCGAAAATATTTTCCTTGAAGAGACGCCTCATGGCAACCAAATAAGAGGCGACTTATATTCCTTGTCATGCAGACTTTGTCTAGTATCTTTTGACTTATCAATAAAACTATTCAATGAGCTTAGTGAAGACTCAGAAATATCAATTGAAAGAGAAAACGAAAATAAGGCCCATTTCTATGAACTCAGGAACCTTATTGAGGTATTTAGAGGGAATTTTAAGAAAAAAATCCCGAAATATGAGGTAAGTAAGGCAGCACCACAAGTCTCAGAAGTCCATAACTCTTCAGATGTCCAGCCACTGAGAAAGACGTATAAAGAAGACTTAAAGGCTGTGCTAGCTAGAAGTTCACAGTCAAGCAATTATTCAAGCTCAGGGTCAACAGCGTCAAGTATTCCTTCATCAGGGAATTCGTCAGAGGCTCAAAGCACAATTTCAGATGCAACAACTGAATCAGCTTATTCTCCTTATACGACTTTGTCGGCGTCTCCTTATTCAACGATATCTGAGCATAAGTAATTATTTTATGCTATTAAATGGTTTTTAAGAAATTATAATAAATTCAAAGTTTCGATTAATTGAATTCTGCAGCAATTTTATATTAATTTAATGCAAAAATATAACGGTTAATACAAAAAAAAATTATTAAGTTACCCTAAATCTCTAAATATAAGTAAAGAAAATGGAAAGATTGGCCACAATTAAGAATTTTTTACAAGAATTCGAAGATTTAAAGAAAAGAGTCTATTCTCTTGAGGAAGAAAAAGCTGTTAAAGAATGTGAATTTGCATTAAAAATAGATTTTGAATTTTTTAGAAAAACCAGCCTGTAAATAGGGTTTAGCAGAAAATTATTTAATCCCAAATGGAGTATTTGAATCTCTCTGAAAAAGATATAGTCCCGGTAGGCAAGAGATTATGGATAAACACATAAGTTTTGCAAGAGATCTAGATGGACAGAATAGGCCAGAAGCGAAAGGCATTCAATGGATGATCTTTTATTTTTTCCATCAAGAAGTTTGCTGATAATGATAGCATTCTGAAAAATTGATATGAGGAATATACAGAAAAAATGGAGGATTGAAAAATATAGGATAAAAGTGACTAATGCTCTTGGAAATGCAGAAGAAACTTAGCCAAACTGCCTGTTGGAGAACTAAATAATTTTTTTAATTCTAAAATTATTTGCCCTAAACGAATAGCTCAATTATACTTTCAACATTTTTTTATTAATAATTTCTCCATAGCTCTCATTAATTTATTTATAAAAAATATTTTTTTAGAATCATATCTTCATTAATTATTGCATATTTATAAAAAAGGATTTATTAATAAAAGTTTATATAGCTATTCTTCCACGATTTTCGAGCTTTTTGCTTTCTAGATTGAATTCAATTAAAGCCTGGTCAAAATCATCAAACATATGGAAAAAAATTGATTTCTCAAAAAGAATTCCATGAGAAATTATCTTGAAATTCGATGATAAATTGCATTTTCCAAGAACATGCCATTTTCTTACATCCCTAAACTCACTTTCATATATCCCATATCCCATCTCAATTACATATCCTCTTTCATTTGCTACACATACAATTTTATTCGACCCTTCATATAAATTCAATCCTAGGCGCACATAAGCTTTATTTATTATTTCGTATCTATAAAGCACTGTATGGTAAGATCCACACAATAAAATTGCTTTCTGAAACATAGCACATGATACCCGTGTTGAAGGCTCTGGCATTTCTATTAAATCTGACCATTTATTCAGATCTAGATTATATCTTCTTGCAAGTGATAAACTTTCGCCATTAAATCCTCCAAAAACATACACTTTGTTGCTGTAATAAATGCAGCCAGCTTCACAGCAATCAAATCCTTTTTCTAGTATATTTGCCTTGCTAGCACAAAGATCGAAAATAAATGTAATTCCAGAGTAAACTTTTTGGCTTTTAAAGATAAACGTTTTTTTCTCCCAGCAATTTCCATAGAAAAATAATTTTAGATCAGGAAGCATACACACAGATATTTGGCTACTTAAAGTTTCTTCAATTTCTAAATCTATTTGAAATCGTTCTGAATTTGAGAGGTTTGTTATAATCACGCTTTGGGAGTCTTCTACAGGAGTAACGAGTTGAAGTGCTTCTATACTAAAAGACTCTATAGCAAATTGGCCTTTTATTCTATTTTCTTTTAGATTTGCTTCGACTTCTGAGAGCTCGTCATGGGAAACACGACTTTTAATATCAATTTTCAATTTCTCATTCTCTTCAGTTAAATTCTTTATCATTTGTTCATTTTCACAAATAATTTTAGTTTTTTCTTTAATTTCGTTGCTTAATTTTGATATTTCTCATAATTGAGCCTTTATTTTTTGTGATAAATTGTTTTCAGAGGCATTTTCATATAATTGTCCGCTTTGATTTAATGGCTCCAATAAAGGCTCATCAATTTGTTCTACTTTTGGTAGCCCATTGATAATTTCTTCAATTTTTTCAGCAACACCTTGGCTTGGATATTTCAAAATCTCATACAAAGGCTCAGCATTTTCTACTGGGATATCTTTTATATTAACTATTTGAGCTGCATATTTTTTAATCTTTTTAATTTCCTCATATACAAAATTTAGCTCTTTTCTCAATTCTACACAAATTTTTTGCATTTTTTCATTAGATTTTTCCACAACTTCTCTTTGATATTCTTTAAGTTTGGTCATTTTCTGAATTAAATGTGCTATGGCTGCTTTTTTAGTTTCATCATTTGGTTTTTCATATAATTTCTTAAATTGGTGGCTTATAGAAGAGTCAGTTGAAGAAATATGATTACCAAAATGAAGAGTGCATGAAAAAACTTCAGAGGATAGGCAGCTGCATTTAAAATCTGACCGTCTGCTGCAATCTGGTATATAACAGTGTGGAGATTCCATAATTTATTAATAAATAGTTAAAATAATTTCCCTAGCATACATTGAGCCGATCCTCCTCCGACACTTTCGATAGTCGGGATGTCGACATATATGATTTCTCTGTCTAAATTTAACAATCCTCTTGCACTTGAGCTTGCGATGATTATTTCAGTCCCTCTTGTAGGTGAATACAAGCATTCCAAATTCCCTGCAAATTTTCTGGTTTGGTCATGATTTATTTCAAAAATTTCATAGCCCTCTAAAGCATTTATGACTTTTTCACGGTCCTCTGGGATAATTGCAGATATATTAATAACAGCTTTTCCAGGGGTAAAACAAAGTATACAAATTTTCTATTAAAATAAAAAAAATTTTTATAATAAATCAAAAAAAGTCTCAGTTCTATATAAATTGATATATAACATTTGTATGATAAACAGGATTATTATTCTCATCTACGCTCCTAAATGTAACTGATTTCCAAGGGTTTTTTGTTAATAAATTTAATCTACTAATAAGCTCAGCTAATACAATTTCAGACGATCTTGGAGAAATGCTCATAAAAATTTGTCGGTTTTTTCTGTCAATAACCAAGCTACCTGTGCCTTCTAATGCTAAATCTTGGTCTTCAAAGTGGCTTAAATTAATAATATTTTGGTAATCTACAAGTAAATCATTAATAAATTCTTGACGTTTTTCTCTTCGACGTGATGGGTGTCTCATAGGATATAAAATAAGGGTAGGGGCATCTACATCTGGTGGGCTTAAAGCTGAAAACCAATTATTTGCAAAAATACAGTCAGGGGCTTGAGGGTCTGAATTTATCCAGTGCTGGACGATAATGCCATTTTGGATCAGAATTTCTTTGTAAGCAGAAAACTCTTGTGAACAGCTTTCATGGACTTGTGAATTCCCTTGGTTCATATAAGTGTTATCTTGAGCTGTTTCTGCATTAAAGGAAAATCTGATTGGTTCAATCATCAAAACTTTGCTTGCAAAACTTGATGATCTGGCTGCCATTTATAATAGCAATTAATAATTAAATTTCTCTTTTTATTATGACAGCTCCAGCCCCACCTCCATCGTTACAAATCCCAGCAGCTCCATAAACTCCTCCTTCCTGCATTAAAACATTCAATAAAGTGACCAAAATTCTTGCCCCGCTGCTTCCTACAGGGTGCCCAATAGCTACTCCGCCCCCATAAACATTTATTTTTTCCAAGTCAAATGGCAAAGCTACAGAATTCGCTAAGACCACAGATGCAAAAGCTTCATTAATTTCAATATAATCAATTTTTGATAACGATAAATTTGCTCTTTCTAATGCTTTTCATATAGCTAAGGTCGGAGATGTAGGAAAGCTCAATTTATGATGCTCAAAATCGGCAAATGATGAGATTGTTCCGAGGATTTTTAAGCCTAGTGCATTAGCTTTTTGACGACTGCATAGTACTAAAAAGGATGTTCCGTCATTTATTGGGCAAGCATTGGCAGCTGTTGTGACTCCGCCTTGGTAAATAGGCTTAAGATCAGCTTTTAGGAGGTTAATGTCTTTTATTGTATCTTTATTAATAAGTTTTCCTTTTTTATCAGAAATTGGGATTATCTCATTGCTGAATTTTCCAGAATTTCAAGCTTTGTTTGCTCTTTTGATGGATTCTTGAGAGAAATAGTCAAGATCAGATTTAGAAAAATTTAGTTTTTGAGATATCAAGTCTGAGCAAAAGGCTGGGATTACTTTAAATCTTGGATCCAAAATTCCGTCACAGACTGTAGCGTCAAGAGCTTTATGGTTTCCTCTGACCAATCCTTCTCTAATCTTTGGAACAATTTTTTTTATGTTTTAAATAATTTTTATTTTTTTAAAAAAAAAATATAAATTTTTTAAAAAATGAGAACAATATATACTTTTTCCTTTGGGTTGTCTAGAAAGAAATTACATTAAAATGCTGACTGGGCAATATTGGGGAAAATTTATAAGGAATTTTACTCATACTTTCAGCGCCACCAACTACTACACAATCAGCATTTCCTGTAGAAATTGATAATGCTCCTAGCATAGTAGCTTTCATTCCACTCGCACAAAGTTTATTGAGAATCATACAATTGACTGAATCCCTAAGCCCTGCATTAACTGCAATTTGTTTAGCTGGAGATTGTCCTAGGTTTGAAGGAAAAACAGTCCCAAAATAAATTTCTTCGATTTCTTCAGTAGGAATTCTGAATTTTTCTAAGGTTCCTTTCAAAGTACTAGATGCTAGTTCTACTGTAGAATAATGAGATAAGCTTCCTCCTACTTTATCTATAGGAGATCTGCCAGCTGCCACAATGCAGACTTCTCTTTCACCACAAAGGTGCTTATTTATTAGATGAAGCCTTCTCATAGCTGAAAATATATTTTTAATATATTAGCAATGCCAAAAATTAGGAATTAATAAAAATATTTTTAATATTATGATTGGGTGCTACCAGTTGTCTGTGATGCTGTCACTTTTGGCTTTAAAAATCCTTTAATTGCAGGCTGGCATGGAGAAAAAGGAAGTGGCAAAGATACACCTGTACTTGCGTCTACAAAGGCTTGGCTGTTTGGATTTGCTGTTGTAATCCCTTGGTTTGATGAGGAAAATGGATCAGCAACCTCCAGGGAGCTTTTTAAATAATATTTTTGTTTATCATTCCCAATTTTCGTCCTTACAAGCAATTCTTGGATTTTTTTAGAAACAGATAATTTTGAAATTTCTGGGTATTTTTCAGCAAAATAAGCCACAATTTCTTTTTTTGAGTTTTTTCCTTGTGCAACAGTTTTGAATTCTTCAATAAGGTCATCGATAGTTTTTTTCGGAGGTTTTTGAGGAAGTAAAGGTGTTTTTTCAACTTTATATATAATAGGTAACGGAATATTTTGCAAATTTACCGCCTTCAGCGAGCACAACAGCGCAGCATCATCACTTGCCAAAGTAATTATTTTCATAGGCAAAATTTCTTCAGGAGGTTTATAACTAATGACTTCTGGCCCTTCTTCTCCTTCAGGTATTTCATCATTTGATAAATACCCATCAGGCACCACGAATTTTACATCAGATTCCTCTGATTCTGTATAAGAGTCAGACTCCTCCTCATCGTCTTCTTTTTCTATATCCTCACCAAATTTTTCTTCATATTCTTCTTCGCTGTCTATATCATAATTAACGTCTTGATAAATAAAATAAGGGTTTCTTTTGACTTCGACGATCTTAGGAAAGCCTTCAAAATAAGGCTTTAAAGCGCTGTCTTGTATATAGATAAAATGGCTTTTTGGTTTAAAATGCTTGATGTCTTTTTTCCATTTGGCTTTCCAAGAATTTAAATCTCCAGGAACTGTGTCGTCTTGGCTAGGATTAATAAGGACTTTTTGGAGAATGTTGCGGTTTTCTTTTTCAAGGGGAATTTCAGCTTTGACTGGCTTGAAAAAACTTTCCATTTTAAGCATGGGCATTACTTTTTATTCTTTATTATAATTAATTAAGGAATTATTTTATTTTAAATAAAAATAGGAATTTAGTATAGAAATGAATAATGCTCTGCTGCTCTTGCTTCTTTTCTGGCGATTTTTCAGGAGTTCTTTCTAGCTGTGCTTGCTTTTTTTTTAAATCTTCTTCTTTTTCTACTTGTTTCCTCCTGATTTCCTCTTCTTTTTCTTTCTGTTTTTTAATTTTTTCTTCTTCCATCTGTTCCTTTTCCTTCAATTTTCTCATTTTTTCTTCTTCAGCCTGTTTCTTTTTTTCCTCAATTTTCAGTTTTTTCATCTGTTTTTCTGTTTCTTTTTCATCTCTTACTCTTTTTCTTTCTCTATCCTCAGCGATTTTTTTTTCATAATTTTTCACTGCTTTATTAGCAGAATCATATAAATTTGGGATTACTTCAGCATTTGGGTAATTTTTTTCCAGTTCTTTAATAAGCTTATTTAAGCTCCTGATAGCTTTTCCAATCAAATTTCGTTCTTGTTTAACACAGCTTGGCTGAGGATACTCATCAAGTTCCCAGCACCACATGCAAAGAGGGTCTGTATCTTCATAAGTGTTTTTCTTTTTGTCTATAATTCCTATAGGGACTCTGCTTGCAATTTGATTAATTATATCTGTGAGCTCTTCTGTGCTAAGTGGGATATCTGAGGCATCTTCAACGAGATTTCGCTTTATAGCGTCTAAGAGCTGAGATAGAGGCAGTTGGCTGGAGTCTATAGTTGTGCTAATTATTTTTTTGATTGCTTGAATTTGAGTATCCACGTTAGTTTTATCGATTAAGCCTTCCTCGCGCAAAGTATCTAGCTTATAATTGTGATATTTAGGGAGTGCGAGATTTGAGAATTCTAAAATTTTGTTCTTAAATTCAGGAAGCTTGCTTTTCCAATACTCTACTGATTGCGCGGGCATTTCTGCTGCTTGCATTTTTAATATTCCCGGTAAATAAAATTATAAATTATAAAAGAAGGCGGAGATTTGTATATAATAGTTAAAGTAAATAATAAATTAGGCTTTAATATATGGAGCTTGAAAAATAATTATTTTTTTTATAATGAATAGGCGTGGTTTATTTATATAGTTTTAGATAAAGTTAATTATATAATATGCTATATTTAACTTTTCAAGTAAATATGATTTATAGTACCTTACAGAACTTAGCCTCTTTTGTAACTAAATTGGCCTAAGCTTTTCTTTCTACTAGGGTTTTCACTATGTTTTCCAGTATCTGGACTTACATAGCCATCTAAGTCTTCAGCGCCGAATTCTTCTTCAACCATAATACTTCTACACTGGCTTGCTGGTATTTCATCAATAATGCTAGAAATACTTTTCGACCTCATTTTCCATATAAAATCCTGCACTGTTTCTTTCGGACTTTGCAGATTTTTCAATGCATTTCTTACCTCATTTCTAATTTTTATCAAAAAATCTGCACAGTTCTCAAAATTTTCTGAGCTCAGTCCAGTAATAAAAAAATTTTTCTCTACAACTGAGTCTATTTTCTCACTAGACCTTTTCTCTGGAATATTAATAAGAAATTTCTTATAATTTCTAATAGACTATTTATAGAAAAATCCCTATAGTTTTTTTTGGTTCAAATTTTCAATTTATTTGCAATTTTCATCAAGTTATGCCGCTTTGTTTTTAATCGTTTTATTGATAGCCTTAAATCGCTAATTTCTTTTTGTTTTGCGGACTCATTAAATTCATTTAAATAGCAGCTGTTTTTCAGCTTGTTTAATTCTTCGATATCAGCCTCTATTGCTACAATTTTCTTTTGGCTTGCTTCTAGTTGTGATTTTTTGGCGTTTGTGAGGGTTATTAACTCTTTATAATCGTGTTCTCTAGTATAGCATCGGTTTATCATTAAATCAATTTCTGAGATCCCAGAGGCAGCTTTCATTTTTAAATAGCAGTCTTCAAGTTTCTGGTAGAATTCCATTTGTTTTTCATATTGAAAGGTAATTAAATTATAAAAAAATCGGAAAGACATAAGAGATTCATGCTTGTGCTGGAGCTGACTTATTTGGTCTTTTATCATTTCGTTATCAAGAAACTCTTTTTGCCTTCTTTTGACTGCTTCTCTTCTCATTTTTGTTTTTTCTAATTCTTTTTCATAAATATGTTTTTTTGTTGATATTTTCAATAAATTTAAAATAAATTCAGCCAGTATAGAGTAAGTTACCTGAAGCTTTTTGTATATCATATTTAGTCTCATCGTTTTCTTTTTTTCCATACATCAGCGAAGTTTGAAGCTTTTCAAACGCTGACTTGCTCTGCAGCTTTGATTCTTTTGATTTCTCACACTTATTAACTTCATACTGCAAATAATTGCTTTGTGCGCTTATGGCTTCTCTATACTCAACTTCTTTTTTTTCCAAATAAAACATCGTTGTTCTCATTCTTTCCAATAAATGTAGATTTGCAGAGAAATTTGTCTCTTCATGTTCACATTTAATTTTAGCCTCAGCAAGCTTGTTTTCTAGCATTTTCAGCCTTGTGCTGACTGTTTCTATTTCTGGTAATTTTCTTGATTTTATGTCTGAAATTAAATTCATGTCTTTTTTCATGATAGATATAGATTTGTCTTTTACTAAAATAATCTGCCTTTTCTCATCTAAACTTTTCCTTACTCCCCCCCCCCCCCTCCGTGAGCGAACAAAACCATTAGAAAAATCGCCATTTTTTGACCAAAAACCCACCCTCCGTGAGTGAACAAAAATTTTTTTAATAGAAAAAATTTTAATGGAAAAAAATTTTGATATATAAGTGATAATTAGTATAATGAAATCTAGAGCTAATTCTGTTTAATTTTAAACAAATTGCGTTTTAAAACATAAATTTTGCAAATTAAATTAATATTTGCTTCCCAATTTTTGCAAATTAGGATTTTTTTAAATTTCGAAAAAAATATTTTTTATAAAATTATATATATAAATTTTTTTTAAAAAAAAACAAATTAACCCCCCTCCGTGAGCGAACAAAATTTTTTTGTTCGCTCACGGAGGGGGGGGGGGGAGTTAGTTTCACTAACTGAAGCGAAACATCAGATAATTCTTGACCTGGGTTAAACAGTCTTCTATTAGGAATTGATGATGCTACATCTAGCAGATCTGCTGATTTTTGCTTTATAAAGCCATGAAGCTTTCGTTCAGATGGAGTGAATGCAAATGATCGATTTACAGATAAAGGCTCGTGATGTGATATTTTTCTTGAAGAAATTGATCGTCTGCTTGCAGGTGAAAAACTCATATTTTTAGCAATAAAATTAAGGTATAATATAGTAAGATTAAATAGAAAAATTGAATTAAAAGCCTTTGAATTTTATTAAATGGCTGATTTTAAAAAAATAAACTTACTATCTTTTAAGAACTAATGGGAATTGCCTCTTTTAGAAAAACTAAGTTAATAATTCATTATCTACTAAAATTTAAATTCTATGATATTTTCAATAATTTCACCTAAATATTGTGTGGTATAATAATATGTCAGAAGATTGGTCACAATATCATCAAGAAACCCGCTTTATCCACGCTGGCCAACCTCCAGATCCAGTAACTGGAGCTCTTGCAACCCCAATCTCGCTTTCAACCACCTTTGCTCAGCACTCTCCAGGCACCACTTATGGTGGATTTGAGTATTCCCGTACTGGAAATCCTACAAGAAAAGCCTTCGAGCAGTGTCTCGCAGCCTCAGAAGGTGCAAGATTCGCCCTTGCTTTTGCATCAGGCTGTGCCACAACTGCAACCATTATGGCAATGTACGGTCCAGGCACTCACATCCTTTCTTCTGACGACGTATATGGTGGCACTCGTAGACTTTTCACAAGAATGTGCACGCCAAACCAAGGAATCGAGTTCGGCTTTGTCAACACCTCAGACCCTGCAGCTGTAGAAGCCGCTTTTAAGCCAAATACCAAGCTTTTATGGTTAGAAACCCCTACCAACCCAACTTTAAAAATTTCTGACATACAGCTTATAGCAGAAATAGCTCATAAGCATGGCGTTCATGTATATGTGGACAATACTTTTTGTTCACCATACGGACAACACCCAATTGAGCTTGGCGCTGACGCCGTTGTGCATTCTTGTACTAAATATATTGGAGGACATACTGATGTCGTCATGGGGGTTATGTGTACAAGTAATGAAGAAATTTACAACAAAGTAAAATTTTTACAAAATACAATTGGAGCTGTCCCTTCACCTTTTGACTGCTATTTAGCATTGAGGGGGATGAAAACCCTGCATTTGAGGATGAAGGCTCACCAGAAAAATGCCTTGAGAGTGGCACAGTTTTTAGAAAGCCACCCGAAGGTTGATAAGGTGCTTTATCCAGGATTGCCGTCACACCCTCAGTATGAAATTGCGAGGAAACAAATGAAGAATTTTTCAGGGATGATTTCGTTTTATCTTAAAGGAGGACTTGCAGAAGCAAGAAGGTTTTTGGAGCATGTGAAGCTGTTTGTGTGTGCTGAAAGTTTGGGGGCAGTAGAGTGCCTTTTGGAGCATCCTGGGATATTTTTTTTTATAATTTGATATTGTTCATCCTTAGAGACATCAAAGAATTCTGATCAGCCATTTTAATTAATTCATTATATGGAAAATAAAAAAATTATTTTAAAATAAAATATAGGGCCCATGGGATAATGACTCATGCATCAGTTCCTGAAGAAGTCAGAGCCGAACTAGGGATTTCAGATTCATTAATTCGTTTGTCAATTGGAGTTGAACACATTGATGATATTCTTAGAGACTTAACCGGAGCTTTAGATGCAATTTAAATAATCTTCAACTTTAATTTAGATTTAAATAATTTATTGTTTGGGAATATGCTTAAAATTATTAAATTATATAAATTATTTATAATATATGCTTCTCGTCGATTATAATATAAATCATTATAAATACTTTTGGTAAAGAATAAGTCGATATTTCTCTTTCAACTTCTTTAAGTTTCTCTTCTATCTTCCCTTTCTTCATTCTAACTGCTTCAGTATTTGATGTAAACGGCAGTCTATTCAATAAAGCCAAAAAGCTATCTCTTTTCTCATATAATTCTTGGAGATGAGCTTGTCTATCATTTTCAGGTACCAAAATTGTTCCTTTTGGCCACGTTAATTTTGATAGCTCATAGTCTCTAAATAAATTCTTACGCTTGTGCTTTTGTGGTTTTAAGTTCTTCTTTTATTGTTCCTATATATTCTGGAGTTTTACAGTGGTCTACATAAATTGTCCGAAAATCAATGTTGGGGATTGGCTCAAATTTTTTGCCTTTTATTGTAGGAATCCGCTGAATGTTGGTTTTTATATAGTCTAGGCTTTTGACTTGGTCAATTTTTGGAGTTTCTCCTCTTGTGGTAACTTTTGATTGGACGTTTTCGAATTTATTAGCAGTTAGATTTTTGGGAGGCTCGATTGTAGGCTGGGTTTTTAAGATTTTTTGAATTTCTTTAATAAGATTTTTATTGTCTTTTTCGTGGTTTTTTGGAGTGATGCCTTTTCGTTCTAGTGTTCCTCTGAAGCCATTAGGCGGGCTAATTATATCTCGCATAGCAGAACCATCATTGCGGTGACTTTTACTTTTCATTTAAATTAATAAGAAATTCTTATATTTATACGTTTTATTTTATAATAAAATAAATAATTATATAATTTTTATACAAAAAAGGTTTAATATTTACCTGAATAATGCGATAAATATTATCATTAATAAAATAAAGGACCAAACTAGATAGTTATAATCTTCTTAAAAATGGAATGTCCCGTATGTCTTAACAACTGGAACCCAGAAACCACAATTCCAAAAATCCTGAAATGTGGTCACAGTTTATGTCAGGCATGCGTTCTTCAACTGGCTCCATGTCAAATGATCGTGGGTTTTTGACAGTGTGCATTTCATCGAAATCCATTTGGTCGAAAATTTTGATTTGGCCGAAAAATTAACAGTTTTTTTGGGGTCGAATCGAATGTCTCACTATCAAAAATTTTCGGCCAAAATTTTTTCGGTGAAATGGACACTGTCAAAAAGGCAAAGTCATTTGACCTGCACCCTCTTCAACTATATCATAACGAACAAATCTCATGCCCATCATGCACAGGTCTTCATATTTTTAAAATATCAAGACTTCCTAATGAAAGTGAACTAGAATATAGCTTTCGGTGCATTGAATCGCTACCTCGAAACTTTACCCTTTTAAGTTTGGTCATATCTAAACCTTCCCCTGCAATTCGCCGCACTAAAACATCGATTATTTCTCATAGAGAATTCCGATATGGAATGAAATGTCCAGAGCACAACTTGATGATTCACAAATATTTTCTATTTAGGTTGGTCTTGACCCGCTAAAAAGGACTTCTTACTGCGGCAGCATCTGACAACAGTATCCTACAGAGGGTAAAGACAAAGCAGCTAGAGCAAAATCAGAGAAGGCTCAGATGGAGCAACCGGCAAGCAAATCCTAAACCTGTCCACCATAATGGTGCAGGCCGTCTACATGCCACTGGTAAACAATCAGAGAGCAGGACCCTAGAACCTTACAGCAAGCCCGTAAGTAGCTGAGACATCACCAGGCGAGCTCAATCATTTTGATCCGAAATTAATTATAACGATGATTCACTCATATACCGCAAAACCATTTAGTATGCTTTGTGATAAATGCATACAAGAAATTTCTAGTTATAAGCTACAAGTCCACCCATTCCCACAAGTTGTTGAAAAAGCTAGAGAAGACTTGAAAAAAGCGAATGATGTTCTTCAGAAAAAGAAAGAGATTTATTTTGGCTTAAAAATTGAAAATTTAGATATTCTATGATAAGGTTAATAATTTATATCAAAAATAAATATTTATTATGACGTTTATTTCATTTTTAAGCAGTATAATAAATCTCAAGGACTCATTCAACAATTAGAAGAGCACTTCCAAACACTAAAAATAAATTTAAACCAAGCTGCAGTCTCTTCAAAAACACAATTACAAAGCTTAATATCTGCCCATGACCAAGAAAATAAAGAAGTTATTGACACTATCAATAAAGAATCTGAAAATATAGAAAAAATAACTGGGACATTACAGCTTCTTATGGAAAAAGATGACGCAGGAATAGCAAAAGCTCATAAAGAAGTATTAAAACTTGTTGAGGACTCTGTAGAACCTTTACCTGAAATTACGTGCCCATCATTAAATATCAATATTAATTTAAATCAAGCTTCTATAGCAGCTTTCGAAGAACTGCTACAAAATTCATTTTCTTTTAAATTTAAACAAGCCCAAAAAATTACATGAAAATGTGGAAAATGTTTAGGAAAAATGACTGATGGAGAAATTTTGTGTACAAAATGCGAGTGCTTTAGACCTTTAGAAAGCTATCCCAATTTAATTAGCAACCCTAATAATGCTACACAACAGGAAATAATTGAAATTCAAAAACGTCGAGAAATTGAGCTAGAAATGATCAGTAATCTTGACGTCCAGTCAGAAGAACAAGGTCTCTGATACATTATTAATGCTGATTGGATTGCTGACTGAAAAAACTTTATCTTCAATAAAACAACACGCAGCTCCCGCTATATCTCTCCTAATGAAAAAATTGGTGTTTTGCCACCTGGCCCTATAACAAACAATAAATTATTCACAAACCCAGAAAATCCAGTTGAAATTAAATCAAAATTTAAGTTTAATAGATTAATATTTAAGTCCCATTTCTGATTGCTTTTACTGAGATCAACAGCTACACCAGCCTCAGTCTAGAATGCTTCTTTTCAAGCCAATATTCTCAAGAAGTCGAAAACTTCTATCATTGAGCTCGGTTGTAGGACCGTGGTCCTACCCCTAGCCATCATTTTAAACTGTGAAATCAAAATTAAAACCAGTCGCCCATTATAGAGGAGTTAACGAGAACGTCTGGAATTTATATTTAAAAATATATGGAGGAGGCCCAGAAATTGTCAGGAGAAAATTAAATATTTATGAAGACATACAACCTTCATTATCCACTTAATAATTTATATAATTAAATTTACCTGAACCCTTCTTCTGAGCTACGATAACCATCAAGCTTCCACGCCTCCCCAAAAAATATCCTTGATAAATCTACCCTTGGAGGCAAAGCTGCCGAAAACAGCTTTTCAGGCTGAATATTAGCAGGTTGGCATTTAAATTCCCACGAGTTGTGTGATGGGGGAACCCCGTCAAGGCTTGAAGTAAATTTTGTCCCGATTCCTGATCCTTGTGAGGCAAAAAGTGGCTTCTGAGGCGTAAAATTTAATTTTCTTTTAACTTTGCCTGGCTTTATTGAGGAGTTGTTTCTGTCTTTTTTTTGTGAGCTGCAGGTAGATGGCGTGTTAAATTGCGAAGAATTTTTTGACTCATTTTTTGTAGGGGTTTTAAAATCGTTTAAGCTTAAATTAGCTTTGACTGGAGTTGTTTCAGAAAGATTTAGCTTACGTGGACGCTCTTTTTCTGGGGTTTTTAGAGGAGTTTTTGTGTCTATTTTAGATAAAGCTGTAGGGGTTAGGGAGATTTCGGAGAGATTAAGCTTTTTAGGCATATCTTTTTGAGGAGCCTTTTTGGGTGTGTTGGCTTTAAAGTATGGAATTTGACGGATATAGTCGGTAGTTATCTCGCGAACTTGTTTTTGAATAGCTTTGAAGTCAGATTTTATGAGCGGAGCAAGTTTTCCACATAAGTCTTCTATTTGGAGGAGAAGGATAACTTTTTCTATTTGATCCATTTTAAATACTCTAAGTCCATTTTAATTTGATGTTATAGTTAAATATGATGACTAGGCCCATAAGGGCAATTTTTAACTAGACTAAAACTCTTTTTATACCGTTCAGATCTTTGCCACACCAGAAATCCTAAAAAAGATTCTGGTTAATTGAAATTACATAAACCAAAAATAATTTGTATGCCCAAAAAATTTTAACAAATTAATGGCAAAATTATAGTTTGCCTTGTTTTTATTTGGCTTGTCTTATTTTTTGGTTCAAACAGATTTTATAACGAAGAAAATTTTCTGATTTCTGATGTCAGCCTGGAATTTCCTGATCCTTTTAAAACTCAACGGAGTAAAAAGAGTTTTGATCAAGCTAAAAAACACCCTTATGGGCCCAGTCATTATAGTTCATTATAGAAAAAATTGCCATAATGAATATCCTGTTATATAAGAATATTTATCAATAAGGAAGAAATATATTTGTTTTTCAATATAAATTCTCTGAAAAATCAGATTTTTATAATTTTCTAAAAAATTATAAGAATTCCAACAAATCTGCCTCATTTCCAGTAGCTTTTTGGAATAAATTATTTAATTTCAATATCTATACTTCTACATCTAAATAGCTTATTCTTCTATTCGATTAAATTTACTACCGCCCTCACTCTATATTCTATATCTCATTACTCTTTTAATGACCACATTTTAATCCCCTTATATAAAATATGGGTGATCGCAAACGTCGCTCGACTCGGCCACAGGAGTCATCAAAAGAAACTGATGAAGTCGCAGATGTAGAGTCTGAAATCAAATATAAATGCACTCACTCCTCCTTTAAATAGGAATAAAATTTCTCAATGTTTAGGTAAATTAATCCCCTTTGAACAAAATTGTCTTTTTAGCTAAAATTATAATTCATATGTGATACTCAATTTAATACCGCTAAAATTAAAAACTTAACCTATAAATAGTTTAATTTAAAATGAGGAGTTCAAAAGAATAGTTTCTTAAACAAAATTAGCGCTTTAATTAATAAATTTATAAAATGTTTTTTTATGAAAATTTAATATAATTTTTCCCAAAAATAAATTAATCCTTTTAAATTGAAACAGATTTTTTGTTTCGATTTCAAAAGAACGGAGTCAGCGCCTTGCTATTAAAGACGGATCATCATTTAAATTGTGTTACCCTATTAATGACGTTCCAAATTCGTCCCAATCATTTCCGGTTATGTTATTAGCTGAAGCTAACTCTAAACTTAGGTTCCAAAATGACAGGGAAAAGAAAATAAAGGTCTCTGAAATTATTGGGCCAGTTACAATCAAAAAAGATATACATAAAATGGCCGGAGACGAGCGACCCGTCCTTCCGTGGCGGGTGTCCTTATGTATACCGGACATGGTTTTTGGATGCGGAGAACTACTCAAGGGAAGAGTTACCCTCGAGGCGAGAGGCCCAGCCCAATTTTCCGCTGATTTTGGGACTCAACCCGGGCAGCAGTTTTTTCGCATTCTTTTTGCCAGTAGCGCCGAGGCCCAGACTCGGTGTCCGAAAGAGGCAGGGTGAGCTACCTGCCTAGGCTACTTGGTGGCTTAGCCCCGAATCCCGTAAGGGGTTGAGTTCTTTCTTGGAGATGATCCGGGAAAGAGGGGAGGGGAAGCTAGACTTGGGGATCTCAAGGGCACAAGTCTCTCCAGTTAAAAGGGTCCTCTCACGAGGGGATCTGGCCAACCGGAGGCAAAGACTGGCGTAATTCGGGGCGGAAGGCTGAGTTGGAAATGGTGGTGCCCAGCGACAGTCGGCTGACGACTCAATATGGCAACCCACTATCGAGAAACCAGGGGTTTCGGCCTGGGCTCAGAGAACCAGTGATGGAAGTCCATCCTTTTCGCTCGTGCCAGCACGGCTCCTCACGGAGCGCGGAGGAATGCCACGCATGGAAGTAGGGACTATAAATACACATCTTAAACCTAACCTAACCTAACCTAACCTTACAATGAAAAAAGAAGGCAAAATCTTTAAGATTACCCAAAGAGATGTTAATGAATTGGAAAAATTAATTGGAAGTGGAAAGAAAACAGATAAAAAAGAAGAGGAAAGTGATCAGGAAGAAGAAAATGAAGAATCTGAAGAAGAAAATGAAGAGGTGGAAGAGGAAGTAGAAGAAAAAAAGCCAGCTAAAAAATCTCAAAAATCAAAGCCCAAAAAAGCACCAGCGAAGGCAGTGGTGAAGACCAAGCAGACAAATAATAAAAAAGTCAAGGCAAAAGTTGTTGAGGAAGAGGAAGAAGAAGAGGAAGAAGAAGAAAAGGTAAAAAAGCCAGCTAACTCCCTTTATATAAAAATATGTATTTATATTTGTAAATTAGAAAGGAACTATTAGTTTAAACTCTCGAATTTATGCTTAATATTGCAAAATGCTTAAATTTAATGAAAAATAGCTAGAGCTCTGATTAAAATAAATATTAATTATTTAAAAATAATTTCATGTTTCTTGTTAATATAATTGCCTGCAGAGTAAGAAAACAAATAGCAAAAAAGCCAAAGCTAAACCAGTCAAGGAAGAAAAAGAGGAAGAAGAATCAGAAGAAGAAGAAGAAGAAAAGCCAGCAAAGAAACCCGCACCCAAAGCTAAAGCTAAAAAAGAAGAGAAGAAAACTGAACAAGTTACTCCTAAAAGACCTTTAAGAGACAGAAAAGCAAAAACTCCTCAAAAACCTATTGAATCTGAATCCGACGAAAGCGAAGAAGAAGAAAAGCCGAAGAAAAAAGGTGGAAAAGCTAAAAAAGCTGAAGACGATGACTTTTCTGAAGAAGACGTTTCACCAAAGAAGCGCCCATCTAAAGGCAAATCTGCAGCTGTTTCCAAAAAAGCCAAGAACGAAAAAGGCACTGTTTTCAAAAAAGGTATCTATAATCCATCAGTAAAAGTTATCGATCACACTCAATGGAAGCACGACCCGTCAAATGAGCCTATTTTTGGCATTTCAATTCGTTGCAACAATAAAAATCTTCACAGAGCCATCATAACTAACAATAAAAAGCTCTTTAAAACCCTTATGACCTCTACTGACAAAATCAGCTCTACAATGGAGCCATGGGGACCAGAATACAACATAAGGCCTATTGAATTAGCAATAATGACCAACAATGAATTTTTCATAAGGGAATTAATTGAAGACTTAAAGGATCACAAATTGCAAAGAGCCTATGCCCCACCTTCAGCTTTAGCACTAGTTGGCACAGGCCACGTAGGAATTGAAGCTTACGGTGTCAGAACCAGAATTGTCCAAATGTCAAGAGGTGGCAGAGAAGGTAACAACGCCTTTTTAGGTGACCAAACTCAAGTAAATGATGCCATTCATCAGCTGAACCAAGAAGATTTTATAAAGAAAATTTTAAAATATCCTGCAACCCCAGACACTTTGAACCTTCTCCATACACTTTTGCCGAATTTTGCACATACTTTAGGATTGAATATCGCTGAATGTGTGAGGACTGGCAATGTTGAGCTGTCAAGACACTTGCTAGCATGGTTTTTCAAGCAAGGCGGCTATGGGTTTAACAACCTCCATGAAGAAGTCCTTAAAAAAGGCAGACTTACCCCTTTCAAAAAGCCATCAATTACCAAAAAACCTTTAATGAACTACACAATTGCCCCATTACACGTAGCGTGTATAAATCCTGACACAAAACACTTAGAAGAAATACTCGACCAATGTGATGATATAGGCTACGCCGACATGGAAGGAAGGAGACCTATACATTACGCTGCAGCCTGCACAGCAGCAGGGCCTATTAAATTACTGCTAGACCGTGGTGCAAATCCTAATGATATGGACAAGTTCAAAACCACCCCATTAATGGTCGCTGCCATAAATAATCGCTGTGAGCCTGCAAAAGTCTTAATAGAAAAAGGTGTCAATATTCAGCTAAAAGACAGAAAAGGAATGGCTGCCATTCATTATGCAGCCCAAAACGGGAATTTAGAAGTCCTCAAACTTCTGCTCAAAAATGGGGGAAATCTAGACCATCCTGGGACTGACAGAAAAACTCCATTAATGTTTGCGGCGATAAATGGTCATTTTAACTGTGTAGAAGAGCTATTAGACCAAGGGGCAAAACCATTGAGAAGAGACAAATGTAGAAGAACTGCATTGACTTGGGCTGTGAAAAATGGCCACGCAAGGGTTGTAAGCTTGCTATTAGAAAGAGGATCTGATTATAATGACCCAGATTCTTCTAAAAACTATCCTCTTCATTATGCGGCTGCTTATGGATGGATTGAATGCATTGATCTGCTTATACAAGCTGGAGCCAATATTAATGTAGAAAATGATTGGAGACTGCAGCCTTTACTTGTAGCTTTGTTAAAAGGCCAAACGGGATGTGTGGATAGGCTTCTAAAAGAACCAGGAATTGATGTTAACTGTAAGGATGCGATCATAAAATATGGCTGCATTTTTCTGTTGACGAAAAAGCATGGCTTGACCTAGCGAATTTATCTGCTAGATAATAAGCAAAAGCTTAATGTAGTTCTTGGTATCTATCCTAAAGAAATTGAATTTTATAGAAGTATGCCAACAACCCCAGATAGTGTAAGGTGACAGATCCAAGCTGGCTTACTCGAGAGCTGGGAGTTTGCGAGAATCTGAAAACCCAAAGCAAAATGCCAGAAGTATCTAATACTAGTAGGTAGGAAACATTGAAGCAAGGATAGAAGCCCAGAGCAGAAAATGTGGCATTAAACCTCAAACTAATTTATTTAATTCATGTAAGGATGAAAGTGGCAGAACTTTGCTGTCCCAAGCCATTGAAATGCTTTCTGTTGAAACTTTGGAGCAAATTAAGTACCTCTTGGATGTAAAAAACGCAGACCCTAATATTGGGGACATACAAAACATGAGACCCTTACACCACTTGTGCAACAGACCAAAACCAGTATGCCAGAACAATGAGCTAAAGCCTGAACAAAAAGCAGAGTGGGAAGAAAATGCATGGAAATGGCAAATCCAAGCCCTAGAGCTCATAGTAAATGGAGGAGCTGATTTAAATGCAATATCTAAAGACGGCCTTACACCTATCTTTTATGCACTCGCCAATAACAATATAAGGATTGTACAAGCACTTATGGACAAAGGCGCAAACTTAACAATTTCTAGCCCTGATGGTGGCGGAGTGTTCCATGCCATCGCCAATTTAGACCCTCAATTCTTACTCCCTCTGTGAGCGAACAAAAAAATCTTGTTGTTCGCTCACGGAGGGGGATTATTTTTATTTTAAAAAAAATTATATAGAAATTTTTTTTTCTTCAAAATTTTAAAAAATTCCACTTCGCAATAATTGGTAAGCAAATATTAATTTAATTTGTAAAATTTATGTTTAAAAAACACGATTTGTTTAAAATTAACAGAATTAGCTCGAGATTTCATTATACTAATTATGACTTATATATCAAATTTTTTTCATAAAAATTTTTTCAATTAAAATAATTTTTGTTCACTCACGAAAGGTGGTGGGTTTTTGGACAAAAATAGAGATTTTCTAATGGTTTTATTCGCTCAGAAGGGGGAGTTAGATATTTTCCACTATTTGCTATCAATTCCTGACGTCGTCACTTCCTCTCTCAATATTCTTGACAGTGAAGGCCTTACTCCTTTCTTAAAACTCGTAAATTTATTTGGCTCTACTGCTCATACCATAAAGCAACAGATTTGTGAAGAAGAAAAAGCAAAAATGATAGCAAAAAGGATAGCTGAAAAAAAGAAAGAAAAAGATGCAATGGAAATTGATGGAGAAAAAAATGAAGAAGATTAGATAAGATTAATTCTAGCAGGTCACTAGGGTTTATTTTAGCCCCTACCCCTCAATGAATTAGCTTCGCGTTAGGTGGGCGCTATACCTAACTCAAATTAACTCCCTTTTTATCTCGGTGTAGGAAAAATATGGTGACTTAAACAGTTTGGGAGACTCTTCCGTTCAGGTCTTGATCCTTGGCCAAAGACTGCATACGCTCAGCAGAGCTTGACGTATTGTGCAGGCTAAAGATTGCTCTATAAGAAGTACTGAAGAATGCTGCGCCTGGTCTATCATCAGTGGTCGAGAAAAAAAGGTCTAGCTCCAAAAAGCAAACCTAAAAGAACTACCGCCCATTGTCTCCCCTGGCCTGCATCAGTCCTCAGATACCGAGGGCCTAGCTCCGCTTGCCATTTTAATAATTTTATGAAGAAGGAGAAGAAGGAGAAGAAGGTGAAGAAGGCGAAGAGGAAGACTATGATGAAAGCAACGATGAAACTTCTAATAGTGAAGAAGACAAGCAGCCTCCAAATGGAAATGCATTCCAAGAATACTTAGATTCAGTGAGCGACGCAGGAGTTGACGTTGCTGAGCTTGCAAAGCTGACTGAGGAAAGATTTAATGTTATTGTAGAAAAAGTGGTAAAAGTGCTTGAAGATATGGTCAATCATGGGGCAAACCAGCATGCAACAGTTGAAAAGCTAAAAAAATACAGAGACGACCCGAACCTTATATATGCTGAAGAAAAAGAACTAGCAAGCCAAGTCAATACTAGCCAAGGAAATCCTGTGTTTTCTCATATTGATGAGTATGGAACCCATATATACACTAACCCAGCAGAAAAAAAGGTCTTTATAATTGATTTAGATGGAACCAAAAAATATATTGAATATGGAGAAAAAGGACAGAGAAACGCTGTGCATTTATTAGCAGGGAACTGCCAACTGCCAATATTAGAATACCTTATTTCTCAGTCAGTAGACCTAAACTCCAGAGATTTCTATGGAGACACCCCATTACTTCTGTTTTGCAAACACCAAGACAGCCTTGACTCAGTCAAGAAGTTACTAGAAAGCAAAGCTGACCCAAACATTTTTAATGCTTCTAACGAAAGTCCTGTCTATTTTGCAGTCCATACCAAAAATGAGTCAACAACTGACCTTCTGCTTAAAAGTGGCGCAATAACTGAAGTTTTGACCAAAGAAGGCGAGTCTCCGCTAAATTTAGCAGTCAAAAACAAAGATATGAGGATCATTAAAAGACTTTGTGAAGCAAAATGCGATATAAATTTCCCTGATATTAAAGGAAGAACTGCTCTGCATATAGCATTTAATCAGGCTGATGTGTCAGCAGACGCATCTTTTGATTTAGAGTCGATTTTATTGAGATTTGGAGCTGATATTAATGCGGTGGATATTAGAAATAGGACTCCTTTACATTATGCGTTCGTAAAAATTGGGAAATCTGATGATGTGGAACAAATAGATCCAATCGAAACGGTTAGTTCTGCATGCTCTAGAGCTGAAATTAACGTAAATATTCAAGATAAATGGAAAAAGACACCTATTCATTATGCAGCACAACGAGGAGCGCTGACTTCTACTATGTTTATGCTGACTAAAGGAGCCCAATTATTCTTTTTTTTATGAAAATTAATTATTTTTTTTTATTATTAAAAAATCCTTGTTTATTATATAGAGAATAGATCTTGAAGATGAAGATGGAAACACGGCCCTTGCTTTAGCCTTAAGATATGGCCACACCAATTATGCCATTATGCTTATCCAAAAAGGCGCCGACGTCAATAAAACAGTCAAAGTTAACCCTCCGAAAGAAAAAAAGAATAAAAAAGTTGCAAACTACAATCGCTATAACTATTACAATTACCAACAAGAACGAAGCGTTCTTAAAGAAGGGAAAAGGATTAGGATTATTATAAGTCAGGCGTTAGCCATATTGGTGACGCAGTCAGGAAATTCTACCGATTTTAAACACCAGCCTAGTGGAGGCTTCTCCTGAAGATGGATGCCACTTCCGGTACTTTCTCTCCTCCTTGCGGCTTCAGTCTTGAGTTGGCGGTTTATGGATTTCTGCGCACTGCTACGGGCTATTGAAGTAGCTTGATTCCAAGCATTAGCTACTTGGAGTCTGTCGAGTGCCGAAGTGCCTTCCTTCGGAAGCTACAGGAAAAAGACTACTCTCCTGTGGCCTGTGCCGAAAGCCCCAGTTTCTTGGTAGAGAAATGCCCATAGGTTATCGAATCCAAAGGACGTTGTTGAGCGCCTCCATTTCCGGCCATAAGAAAGCAGCAAAACATAACCCGGATACACATCTCTTGAGCTTGAACTTAACTCTCCGCTTAAAATCCGTAATTCGCAGTAGCCATAAGGTCTGGACTGTTGCGCAATGAGGGCTTGTCGGCAAGTGTCGCCATTTTATTGTATATCTTAAAGAAGGGACTTATTCAATGTTCAGAGCTGCAATAATACAAGAATGGCAAGGAGCTGCTTATTTAATGCTTTATAATGGCTATCCTTATATGCTAGCTATGCAAGATGCTATGTACGAAATGAAATTCCAATTGGTCAAAACACTGCTGGCAAAGGTCGCTGATGATTCTGTTATAAGACAAACTAACCATGAGCAGCAAAACCTATTCCATACTCTAGCACAAAAAGGAGCTACTGCAGCCCAAGCTATTACAAATATTATCTGCGAGCAGTTTTATGATAGGATGATAGATTTACATGCTGTCGATATTTATGGAAAAACACCGTTGCATTATGCAGCTGATACAGGGTATTATTATCTCTGTGAGTATTTATTGAATAAAGGAGCTAATGCAAGCTTGCCAGATAATAAAGGAATAATCCCACTTGCATATGCGATTCAAGGAGATAAAATTAAATCAGCGAAAAATATTTTAGAGACATTTAAGCAGCATGGAGCTTCTCTTTCATTTATGTTTGAAGAAGAAAACATTCAGTTGACGCCACTTTTGCATGCAATTTCTAACTCTTTGTTATTTTTTATTTAAAAATAATTTTTATTGAAAAATTGTAAAAAAATAGATAATAATGAGGTAAGAAATCGGCACCTGATTTAATTAAAACATTACTTGATAGCGGCTGCTCTCTTAATGAAGCTGATAGTTTAGGAAGAAATGCGATTACTTATGCAGTTATCAATAATGATCTCAAAATGCTTTCAGCTTTAATTAAAGAAGGCTCTTTAGATATCAACCAATGTGACAATAGAGGAAGAAACGCTGTGTTCTATGCAATTCAGCCATTTGATTTTGCTTCATATGAAAATACTGAAATTTTAGAGCTCCTTATAACCTCAGGAATTGATGTAAAAAAGCCTGACAACGACGGAAAAACTCCTTACTATTTAGCAGCTTTACAAAAATCAGGGAAAATGAAAGAGGTTTTATTCGTTTTTAAAATAATTAACACCTTTAGGATTTTTATAGAAAACCTGCTAAATTTATATAAAAAAATGCATAGAAAAGCATGGAGTAACTGAAGACGTCCAAATCGAAAGAAAATTGTCTGCATATGAAGCTGATATGGAAATTGATTTTAATAAAGACGCAGAAGACTTTATCAACGCTCAAGCTCAGCTCCAAAGAGAAGAAATTTTTGAGAAAAAACCTGACGAAAACGCTCCTCAGAATTATGAAGTTGTCGACGATTATGATTTATTAATGACCAAAGTTGATGTCTCATATGGACCTTTTTCTGCTTATTTATTCTATAGAATGCAGCTATTGCACGACTCAAATAGAGACGTATATGTTCTTTTCACCAGATGGGGAAGAATAGGAGAAGTCGGCGCTTTCCAACAAACACCATTTGCAAGCCGCGAAGAGGCTGAAAACGAATTTAAGAAAATTTTCAAGTCAAAATCAGGAAATGAATGGGGTGCAAACTTCAAAAGAGTTCCAGGAAAATATGTAAAAATGGAAATTTCTTATAAAAAAGTCAGCCACAGAGACTTTATCACAGACTTTGACTTAGAAAATGCCCCGGTAAGCAATTTAAATGAGCCTTTAGTCAAAGCAGCTAAAGCATTTACTAAAAATTCTTTATACAGAGCTGTGTTATCAAACAACCAAATTGATATTGACGTCCTTAATTTTTCTTCTCTAACAGCAGAAAAGCTAGAAGAAGCTGAAGAAATAATATTTACCATTGCAGAATACAGCACTAAATTAACTAAAAGCCAAGACACTAATGCAAATCTGAGGTATAAACAAGAAATTTCAGACTTATCTAGCAGGTTTTACGAGATTGTCCCAAGCCTCCAGTTCTTACATTCGCCTGTGCAACCAATTCAGAATCAATATGATGTGACTAATAAGCTGAATCTTATTGAAGCGTTACGAAATATGGAAGTAGCCAGCAAAATTCTGCTTGGCGCCTTAAAGAACCAAACCACCACAAATCCATTGGACTATACCATAAAGTGTCTTGATACCAATTTTGCAGTCTTGGAAAAAGAAAACCCTGAATACCAAATTATTAATAAATATATTGCGTCTGGAGGCCAAGATGAGCAAGAAATCTTATTCTATCATGCCAAATAAAAATTACTCAATAGTTAGCCATTATTCTATTTTTTTATAAAACAAAAAATATTTACAAAAATAAAAATTTTTATTTATTATGGAGAAGCATAGGACTTTTCAAAATTAACAGAAAAGGTGAAGCAGAAGCTATAGCGAAATATGACGACGTAAGAAACAGAAAATTGCTATGGCACGGCACTCCTTCATATAACATTATTGGGATTTTAAGAAGAGGGCTAAGGATTTTGCCTCCAGAATGTCCTATGTATGGAAGCATGTTTGGGACTGGGCTTTATTTTGCTGATAAGTTCTGCAAAAGTCAAGGATATTGTTCAGGAGAATATGGAATTGACGATGGCAGCTATTTTATGCTTTTGTGTGAAGTTGTAGTTGGGGACTCTATGGAGTGCTGGGAAGCTCAGCAAGTCGAAAAACTACCAAAGAAATTCTTATCTGCGCAAGGGATGGGAAGGGAAATTCCAAACCCTGATGAAAGTATTTATACAAATTTAAATAAATAGAAGATTTTCGATTATTTAGTTTTTATATTAAAATAAGTATTGCAAATAATAAATAGGTAAATTATTATTGTAAATAGTAATATTTGGCAAATGGAGTAGAAATTCCGCTTGGAGCTACGAAAATTAGAGAACCTCCAAAAGGAAAATACTGTCCTGTGAATTATAATGAGTTTGTGGTTTACAATGCAGATCAGGTAAGGATCCGCTATTTATTGCATCTTAAAGCTAAAACAGCATAAACAAAAATTTAATAACTAATGAAGGTTATATCATAATTCTTGTTAATTCTAGATATTTATTATAAATAATATTTAAAAATATCGATTTATACCTTATTCATTATAAATTCTAACTCCTCCTTGAGTGAGCAAAGCCATTTAAAAATTTTTTGCAGAAAAAAGTACACTCCTTGAGCAAGCAGGATTTTTTTAATATAAAAATTATTGAAAAGTTATTATAGCTTACATTCTAAAGTATAAATCTTAAATTAAATTAATTTTTATTTTCCATTTTAGCTTTTAATTTTTCCAAATTTCTATAGTGTGTGGAATCTACTGTTAGCGATTGACCCGCATATCCGGACGTGGTTTTTGGGTGCAAAGAGCTGCACAAGGATTGTGCTAGCCTAGAAGAGAGGCCCATCATTATTTCCGCTGATTAGTGGCCTAGCTTGAGCGGCAGTTTTGCATCTTTTTTGCAACCAGCGCCCACGTCCAGAAAGGTTGCCCGATAGAGGCAGGGTGACTTGCCTTGCTTTTGTGGTTTTTCCTGATTCTGTGCAGTTTTGTCTTCGGAGAAGCCATGCAGGGTTGGGCAATTTTGGTACTTGGTTGAAAATGAAAGAATCCCCTAAAATCTGGTTTGACCAGATCAGGAGGGAAAATGCCTCTACCGAGAAACTGACTCCCCCCCCCTTTAAATTGGAACTAAAAGTTTTGTTCCAATTAAAGGGGGGCTAAGAAAATTTTTTTTTTAAAAAAAATTTATATAAAATTTCAAAAATTTATCGAATTAGATTAATAAATTTGCTTAATAAAACGCTATTTACTCTTTATCCTTTAAAACAAAGCAAGATATAACTAAAATTTCATTATTTTTTAATACGCCACTATTAATTGGTATCAAAACTATTTACACAAAAATTATTATTTTTATTGATAAAAAAAAATTTAAAAAAAAAAATTTTAGAAAATTTATCGATCAAAGTGCTAATTTGTTTAAATAAGATGTTATTTATACTATATTCTTTTTAAAAATAAAGCAAGAGATAAGTAAATTTTCAATTTTTGTAAAGAATTGGTATTGGATTTATATCAAAGCTATTTATATAAAAAATATCATTTTTATCAAAAAAAATAAATGTTTTTTTGAAAATTTTTTTAAAAATTTACAATTAAGGATAAATAAATTTATTTAAATAAGATGCTCTTTATACTCTATTCTTTAAAAAAGAGCAGGATATAACTAAATTTATAATTTTAGTTAAGAAGAAACATTTTAAATTATATCAAAACTTTTTACATAAAAATTATGATTTATATATATAAAATTTTTTTTATATAAATTAAAATTTTGTTCCAATTTAAAGGGGGGTTAATTTACAAAAAAAGTGGAAATTTTACCTATATTTTGTTCCAATTTAAAGGGTGGGGGAGTGAGTATTTCGTCCCAATTCTCAAGCTGCCTTGAAGGAGCCCACCCCAAGGCTTTCATCTAGGAATATTCAGTACTTCAGGAAATGAGACTATAAATACTCATCGTAATCGATATAATCTAATCTATAGTCTGTGGAACCAAAACTGACACATGAAACTTCACAACATGAATGGCTCCTTATGTGAATTTTCATTGGAAAATTATTCCATATGTGGATAACCTCCCAAAACTAGTAAAATGTATAACAAAAATTTTATATAGTGTTATTTGTAAAAAAATTAATCCATCCTTGAGTGATCGAAATTTGTTTGCTCGCTCACAGGGAGTAAGAACTTTATTTATAATTAATCCATTATTTTGGAAATAACAAGTTTTGAGTTGATCTTAATCTTGGCTATTTATTATCACAAATTTTATATTATAAAACACAATCTTCGCTTTTCTTCCTATTAACTTCTACTTGAATCCTACTACCTTCTACGAAACTTTCATTTCTTTCTGAAATATCAGACCCATAATAATAAAAAAAAATGGCTACTCCTCCGCGGATTTGCATCTTTTTCCACAATGCCAAATATGGTTTATTATATAAGGTAAGCCACTTAGTCCAGGATTTTAGGACGTTTAGGAGTTTTGCTGCTTATACACTCGAGGGGGCGACCCTTAGACGAAAGACGTGAAGAAGTCAAGTCTAGAGCGAGAACGTGACCAGGCTTTCTGGCTCTTTTGTTGGGGTCTTCTAGAATGATTGCTGGACAAGATGGCTGCCGATGCCATCAACTGGGAGTTAAAATGGAGGCTTTGATATTACTCCCTGCAGAAGAAAGTATAACTTTGAAATCTGAGTAATTATGTAATCAATATATCATCAGACCCAGCCGACAAAAATCGCTGTGCTTCTTCTAAGCTTGCACTTTCCTTAATTATCCAAGAATGATTCTTTATTTGGTCAATAGAAAATCTTTCGTCTGGATTATAAGCAAGCATATGCTCTATCAAATCTCTAAATTCAGTCGAAAAATCTGGAGTATTCGGAGCACTTTTATGAAAATTTCAAAATCTTTCCCAATTATAGTGCATGAACCCTTTTAGATTCCTTAAGAAAAGCTCACTAAATATAAAAATTTGCATTTTTGCAATAAAATTGGGCAATTTAAGACCAATTTTATATTTGCAAATTTTACTTCTGGTTAGTCATATAAATGAAATTTTTAATTTTTTTAGGACAGAATCCAAAATAAGCGCCCAATCTATACCATTTACAATGTGCTGAAAATGAGGGTTTTGTCTTTCAGCTCTGAAAAAAGGTGGTCTTCCGACAACTATTATGAAAATAATAATCCCACACGAAAATATATCTGTAAGTGCTCCTCTATACCTTTTTTTTTCTAAAATTTCAGGAGCCATATAAGGTCTTGTGCCTTTATATGTCCCTAAAAGTCCCATCCCATTTCTTCCTTTAATAGGTGCGGTAAACCCAAAATCAGCCAATTTGAGCTCAAAGTTCTCTGAGAAAAAAATATTTTCTGGCTTTATGTTAAAATTAATAAATAATTTATTGTAAAATTATAATAAATCTCTATTTTATTATTAAATAAATACTTGAAAAGGTATAAGTCTCTATGAACAATCCCAGAGTTATGTAAAGCCTCTACAGCTGAAATTAACTCCTTAGTGTAACGTCTAGCAATTGATTCTGGGAAGCCTCCAAGTTTTTGGACATAGTCGAATATTTCACCGTTTTTGCCTAGTTCTAAGGCAATGTAAGATACAAGCCTGGTTCTTCCTTCAGTTCGAAAATATCAGGAGGAATTCGAAAATCCTATTAATTTCACTATATTGGGATGTTCAGGTACGAGCTGCAATGCATTTAATTCAATTCTCATTGAAGATAGCTTGTCCGGGTTAATTAATTTTAGTGCAACTTTTTCGCCTGTTTCTATGTTTGATGCTAATTTTACAGTGGCTGTGGAACCTTTGCCAAGGGTGCGTAATATTATGTACTTATCTATTCGGCCACGATCAGAATCCATTTATTATTCGCTTACTCTAATTTAAAAAAAATAAAATAATAGTAGTTTATTAATAATTTTTTTTCCTATTTAGGGATAAATAGGTTAGTATAGGATTAAATAAAGGTATCTTTTGTAAAGCAGTATTCTATTACTTTTTGAAAGAAAACATTTTTAATGTAAACATATATTTTTATATATTTAAAAATGATAAAGAAAAGGGGTGAAGATCTATGATCATTTCTTTTGATAGTGTGAATTTACCGAAGTACTTTTGGCTGAAAATTGGTTTAACTTTTAAATAGTGAGGCATTTTTGACTGAAAAAAAAGTTAAATTTCGACCAAATGCTAAAATTTCGCTTTAATGAAATGTACACTATCAAAAGTGCACAGTCATTTGACATGGAGCCAAGAAAAGAACAGAAAATGAAGACTTGATTTCAAAATTTCAATTGTCTATAAAATTTAGGAAGCTTTAAAATAATTTATTCATAAAATATATATGAAAATATACCATATTTGAGTCAAAACTTTTTAATATTTAGTTTGAAATAAAAATGACCATTATATCATTAAATTTTGCATGAATTTTAGTAAAGCTAGAGATTTATTTATTTTTTTGATGACGTAAAAGCTATTACACTGGTAAAATGAAAGAGATTTTCATTTCCTCAATTTGAAAACACTTTACAATTTAAGTGGAATATCCTAATTTATATACCCCTCTATATAAAACTTATAAATACTTAAAACCCTTATATTATCTCTAAATATCACAATACTAGGCATAATTGGCTTTTGGTATAGTTGGGGTTTTCGCATAGTCGCGATCCTCTAAATCTTCCTGATCCCTTCATTAAAAACTCCATAAAGAATACACATCAAAAGAGTGTTATAGCCGCTTCGAAAACTTCAAAGGCAATATAGCTTTCATCAGAGATTAGAATTCATAAACTTGACTGGGACCTTGGCTTTAACAAATTTGCTGACCTAAAGTCGAAGGATTTGGCCAAATTTGCCTTAGCCTTATCCGATCCATTTATAATTCAGTCTATAAAACTTCATAATACTTCCCTTATTCATGGGATTGGGCTCGAAGGAGCTGCAACCAGGATTGAAGACCAATAAAAATGTCAGGCTTCTTATGGATTTGCAACTACAGGAGATTTTGAAATTGCTTGGAAAATCATAAATAGCACCTTGATCCAGGTTTAGGAAAAAGAAGTTCTTGGCTTTAAAAACTTTAGGAATAATAGATCTGATTGAGGCTCTACAGATGATGCTTTCAAATATACGAAAATGGTATATCCTCAAATAGCTTATAGCAAATAAAAACTTATTATCCTATAGCGGTAAATAGGATTTAAATAGCTTATTTATAGAATAAATATTGAGCTATTAAAATCATAGATTGATAGTAATTTAGCCATTAAGTATTGGCTTACTAAATTATTAACTAAATATAGCCTCCTTTTGAAGGCGGATTTGAAGGCTTGTTCTGTGAAGAATGCTTTGGCATTGTCGCTAAATAAGGGTTTTCATCTGGATTAATCTCGATAGGCTTAGCTTTTTGGCTTGATATCTCGTTTCTGTTGTCTGAAAATTGGCTGCCACTAGCTAAATTTTCTCTTTCATTACTCCATGGGTTGGTATTCTGCCAATTATCAGGATGCTGATAATAAGATGAAGACTGGCTGCTGCTAAAATCTGGCTGTTGGTAAGGCTGAGCATTATTTTGAGTGCCATAGTTTGGTTGCTGATACGAATAAGGCTGAGGATTACTATTTGTAGGGTTCGGCTGGAAAGAGTAAGGCTGGGGATTGCCTTTTGAGGTGTTGAAGTTTGGTGGTTGATAAGTATAAGGCTTAGTATTTTCAGGATTAAAATTAGGCTGCTGATAAGGCTGAGTATTACTAGTGCCGAAATTTGGTTGTTGATAAGGCTGAGCATTTCCAGGATTAAAACTTGACTGGGCATTTCCTGTATTAAAATTCTGCGATTGAAAAGGCTGATTATAACTATTTCCATAATTTGGCTGCTGATAAGGCTGAGGATGATAGTTTGTATTCTGATTTGGAAAATCTCTAAAATCACCTGGAGGACTCTGTTGCCCAGATACGCTACACCTAATTTTTGCCTCTCTTAGACTCGAACTTGGTTCTATTACCCTTTTGTGTCCCATTTCATTGTGGCCTTTGTCGTTGCAGATGGAGATTCCAGAGTTCCAGCGTGGCTCATTCAAATAATTTGTATTATTTTAGCAAGGGATCAGCGCTAGAAGCTGCTGTTCATATCTTGACATTAAAAAGGATCTCATTTCTTTATATTTCACATCAGATTCTAGCCAACTTGTAAATAGATTGATACCAAACAACCCAGGGACTGTTATTATAGCAATTTTCTTGAATTGTCCTTTAGGCAGGTATTCATTGTATTTTTTATACACTGATAGCAACCCGAAGCAAAGAAAAGGGGTAAAAATATATGTTTTAAACTGGTTTGAGTGCAATTTGGCTTTAAACTCATTATCTATGCTATCGTTTAGCAAGTTTAATCTTCCTCATAAAAATGATGCTTCAAAGCTTTTTTCTAGAAGAATCTTGTACTCGTCTTCTTTTTTATTCATAATAATTATAAAAATAGGAAAATGGAAATAACAATGCTTGAGATCATTAATTAGAAATGCAAATACGAATATTTATGGAAAGATTTATATAAAAAGAATGAATATTTATATATTTTACTAGTTTAAGAAGTAGAAAAATTTAAGAATTAGACCAGATTTTTCTTTGTATTTTTATTAAAATTTAAAGGAACACTATTGAAGCATTAAAAATCAATAATATCATAAATTGATAACTCTCCGCAAACAAAGCTATTGAAAAATACGTGCTTTGGGTGAATTAACCTCAATAATTAATATTATGGATATTGAATACATTAACTCTAAGAAATTCTAATATAATTTTAATGAATTTAATAAATAATCGTTATCAAATATAGATAATAATTATTTTAGGAAAAGTAGGAAAATGTAATATAATCTTGATCAAAATAAAAAGGAAAAAGAGTATTTTTCCAAATAGAAAACACTAATTTATTAATTGAATATTAATTATAAAAATAATTATCAATCTTTTCATTATCTTCATTACTTGCCAAACTCAATTTTTTTTACTCAAGTAATTTCAAATAAATATTGTTATTTTAAAAATTATCTATATCTTCAACATATTCATCATTTGCTAAATACAAATTTTCATCAAAATCGTCTGCGAGTCTCAATTCTTCAATACTCTCTATTTCTGATGAAATAGAAAAATTGTCCAGATTAATTTCGAATATTCTTTCTTCACTTTCCTTAAGTGAGTCAAGGGTTGAAACTAAATCTTGATCATATAAACTTTTCTCAGTAATGAGGAATGGTTCATATATTTCTTCTAAATTTAGCATGTGATTTTCTGTTTTTTGGGCTGGATTTAAATATTGATAAATATTTTCTAAGTTCAATTTTCGCTTTTCGCTGTTTTTCCCGGCACTAGCCAAATCCATTATCAAGCATTTCCATAACTTCTTGCTATTTTGACTCTTTTCAATGCATCTGTAACTAAATAATGACTCAAGGCTCTCTTCTGCCATTTCCGATAATATTACCCCGAATTCTTGAAGGGCTCTTGAAAAGCAGAGAAAGTGTTTCATTAAATTTTTACAGCTGATCATTGAAAATTGAGCTTTTAGCATCTTTTCGTCATAAAGCTTGATGTCTGATTTATGGGTGAATTTTTTTGGCCAATAGCTGGAAAGGAATAGCTGCGCTAGCTCCGGTTCAACCAATTCTTTGACTCGGTTATATTCCGGATCACTGCAATTGTAAAAAAATGACCTTAAGAGGTTATAAAACTTATTGAAAAAGATATTGACTCCCCATCTGTTAACGAACAAAACCATTGAAAAAATCCCTATTTTTTGCCAAAAAACCCAGCCTCGTTAGCAAAAATTTCTATTAAAAATATTTCAATATGCTATAATTAGTATAATGAAACCTCGAGCTTGCGCTTTAAAACATAAATTTTACAAATTAAGTTGCTTTCCACTTTTTGTGAATTTTTTTTAATTTCCTAAAACTTTGCTATAAAATTTATATATAAATTTTTCAAAAAAAATAATTAATTAACCCTAGGGGAATTAAGCAATTTCTCATGCTTTTTCCTTTTCAGCTGAGAAGCTTTAGCTCTCTTTCCGATCTTTTCAAATTTCTCAAGCAAAATAGTAGTTCTTATGCTCTTAGGTCTGCCTCTTTCCATAATATAAATTATATAGACATGTCTAAATCTACAAAATCTGCATAGTAAAAGCAAATAATTTTTTCCCTAAGGCATTCAATTTTTCAAAAGATTTAATTTTATAAATAAGCTAAATTAATAAAGATAATAATCGCTATCAAACTCATAATTATCGAGACAATCTGGTGGTGATAAATCACAAAATGGCTCGATGTTGCTTACAAGAAATTTTCCATCATTATCGCCTAATGTGTCAAGAGTTGACAGCAATTCCTGATCATATGAACTTTTTTCATATTCAAACAATGTCTCATATAAATTTTGCTTGTATTGATCAGAAATGCATTGCTCCTCTTGTGTAGTTTGCTTCTGGCTGTTTTCTTCTAAAATTGTACTTAGAAATCCATAAGCAAGTTCTAAGTTTTGACTTCTTTCTACTTCTTTTCCTATGTAAGCCAAGTCCATGATTAACAAAACCCATAAATTCTTGCTATTTCCTGAGGATTTATGGGTTTTAAGACATCTGTAATTAAATAATGACTCCAAAGCTTCCTCTGTTTTCTCTGATAATATCTTCCCATACTCTTGCAGGATAGTTGATAAACAGAGGAATTGAGTCATTAGAAAATTACAACTCTTGATTGAAAATTGGGCTTTATGGCTATCCAAGTTGTAAAAAATTTTATCTTCCTTGTGGACAAACTTCTTTGACCAATGGCAGGAAAGAAATAGCTGATCCCACACTTCTGGCTCAGCCAAGTCTTTGACTCGATCGTATTCTGGACTGCTGCATTTTTTCCAAAACGATCTGACGAGATTATAGAATTTATTGAAGAAAATATTAAGGATTTTCTCCGGTTTTTTAATTTCTGACTCAGATTTTTTTATTCTGTTTCCAGTTTTTGTAAATTGCTTTAGAAGTTCAAACCTAATACTCTTTGGCTTGCTTCTCTGCATAAAAATATTATAGGATGAAAAATTTTGTATAAATTCTGCACGTTAAAATGGCGAAATGTTAGTAACAGATGAGAATAGGTGGAATTTATCTGGAAATGGAGAATGCTTATGATAGATAATTAATTCAAATTAGAGCATCCTAAGTTTACAAAAATATCAAATATAAGAATTTAAAGGATTCTAGTAACTAGAATCTAAAATATAAATTATAAGAAAAATTATTTAAACAGGCTACTAGCCTGATTATTTCTGCAGAAAATCTTGTTTAGAATTAGAACTCTAGTGAGCGATATTCTTATTTTTAGAATTAATTTAAAAGACAGTATTCTATTCACAGCTAATTTCCTAAAAGGTACAAAATTCTCGAAGAAATATTAAAACTTAAACTTTTTGATCAATTAATTATTAATAGACTTGAAGTCTTCGTTGTTAGTTAAGGTTTAAAGAATATCCGATTTCATCAAAAAGTTCTGACTCAAATGAATGTGATAAACATTCACGATTGCCTTCATTTATGCTTGCTTGAGTACTATACTTATTGAAATCGGAGTCAAGTTTTTCATCCATATCCATTTTATCTGGCTCGCTGGATACATGATTATATTCCTCTGGCTGAAATTGTTGAATATGAGTATTGCCATTCGAATCTGAGTTAATACTCTCCAATCCCAATTCACTGTAAGTATCCATAGGCAAATCGATGCTTTGCTGGTTAGCGTCAGTTTGTATATGAATTACTTCTTGTGGCACAAGCTCCATTGAATCTTGCTTTCCACTAAAAGATCCATTAGCTTCATTTGACGGCAAATCCGTTGTTTGCTTAAAATTTAATATTTGTTCTGTAGGAGGAGCTATTTGAGAATTGCTAATCGAGTAATTACAAATTTCCATGCGATTATTTTCTTCTGATCTCTCTGTTTCTCTCACATTTTGATTATTGCCTGGTGGAAATTCATTTGGATAATTTCTAAATAGATTATCCCAATTTGCATCAATGCATTCTTCTTGCTCATATTTGCTCACAAATTGTACAGAAGACTCACTATTTTTTTCAGGTGATAATGTTCTTATTTGTTGGTACTGGGGAGCACCACTTAGATCTGAGCTATCAGAATCCTGAGGATCATTGCATTCGTAATTTTCCACAAAATCTACCGGTTGTTCCGTATGTTTTATACCTAAATCACTGGACAGCTCTTCAGTATTAAGAGGGTATTCAACAGCTTTACTCCCTTTTATCTTTCTTTGTGACTTTACTTGTCAAGGTACTGAACATGTGGACTCATCTTTTGTTTCCTCTAAATTTGATGAATCAGCAGTTTTATCAATAGTTGGAGCATTTTTCTTTTCCTGCTCTATTATCTGTATTTTTTGAACTAGCTTTTCAATTTCTTTATCATAATAATCTTCTATATTAGTTCCAGCTAATGAATGGCATTTAACCATATAATAGTGTATTTCTCCTCTTATCTTGCGATCTATATCAATTACTAATTCTACATCAAAAAGAGTTTCTAAAAAGATTTCATCCACGTTTTGACCATCTCCTACAAGGCATTTTGTAAAAGGCTCCATAACTTCTTCTTGAAAATTAAAATTATCATCGATGCCTGATCTCAAGGATTCAATTCTTTCAATCGTAACATTGCCTTTTACCCTAACAATTTGGAAAAAATTGTTTATATATTCTGACACGGAAATTTCTCCTCATTCTATAGTATTTACTATTTTATTGTTAAGGCTTTCATAAAAGTAAATAAATCTTGCATCGCGATCGCAATTTAAAATCACTTTATACAAGATTCAGAAAATTGTTTGAAGTCAAAACTGGTGGCGTGACTTTTGCTGTCGCTCTTTCTTGCTTTTTTTGGATCTGTAATGCTTTTCTAGCTCAAATATATTTTTCGATGGTCTTCCTAGATTATTAGATTTCATATAAGAGTTTAGTAATTCATTGTTAATATGGATTAATTAGTTTTAGTAAAATATTCAAGTCCCAAATCTATTACACAGTAGGTTGTGGGAAGTGGATTTATTTAATATACAGAGCAAAAATCTATGATTAAGTGCTAGCCTTGCTGGACCAACCGTTGTCCAATTTACTCCAAAATGTGTCATTTTAACGCCAGGAAGGCTAACTTATTTTAGCACATTTTTAAACTGACTCTCCAATCCTTTAATCTTCCCATTAGAAAAGCAGTTTTCATCATAGGGAAAAACACTAAAGCATCTTTAATAAGTAAGCCACCATATTCCAATTTAGACACTCTGCGAAGTCTATTGGCAAAAAAGGTGCACAAAACTGCTCATAAATTTAAAACAGCAACAGCAGATTTGTACTTGCAATTCTTTAAGGCTCCTAAGATTGATGAATCAATTCAATGAAATTATTATGGAGAAGACGACTGATAGCTTTTTGCGTCCCTTACTTGCCAGTCTGATTACACAGCTTAAGGCTTGTGATGCTCCCTAAGGGCAAGGGCTTGCACTTGCTACCCGAAGATAAAGACACTAGGTCATCATGTCCTACGCTGGCGAGGTTGCCTGCTCAGAAAATTCCAAAAAGTGAATTTTCTAGTCAGGTTATAGTCCAGATGAAATGTGTAGCCTAGAGCACAAACCCTGGTATCGCGCTGAGAAAATGCCCGATTGGTCAAGCGAACGCCCTCTGGCCTTGCTGGGTGATCCCTCTCCAACTTCCAAGTTCCATTCTCTCATAAACTACCTCGTAGCATAGGAGCTAGTAAGGACGGGCTGCTTACCTACGCCAATTTATATATATAAATATGGACATCGATGCGCTTGAATAAAGATGTCGCAGACGATCGGCTATAAACTTCAATGTCCTTTACGAATTATCTGAACCCCCAATATTATGGGGAGCAAATTGGAACCCTTAGAACTTTATACTAATTTTTGATGAGGTATCCTCTAACATCTAGATTCCTTCAGATTCTTGCTATTCAACTACTTGCCACCTCACAATCAATACAGCCATAGCAAATCTACCACCGATAATGGCAAAAAGTCGCTTTTTACTATGGACAAGGAGAAGCCTCAGGATTCCTCTCAATGTTAGCAGTAAATTTGTAGAATTTGCCTATATGCGACTCTGAATTGGGATCAGATAAAAACGACAGACTTCTTGGAATGGCTTGGCCTTCAATTGGCATATAATTTATTATCTTAAACTTATTTTGATTAGCCTTGCCTACATCACGTTGGATAAACAAAGTTGAGTTTCAGAAATTCAGGAAATTTTGGATGCTTGCACAACCCTACTTATAGGAGACCAAACCGTTGTAAACCAGATTCTTTCTAAAATTCCTACAGTAAAAGAAAGCTAGTCAAATATTGCAAGCTTCCTAATTTAACTGTCACTATTGGCATAACTAATTTTCTTTTGACCCCTCAAAATTATATTTGGAAAGTCACTTCTGAAGGCAAAGTTCAGTGCATTATTGGATGGCAAGCTGAAGATTTCTCTGGAGCCTGGCTTGCTAACGCAATCATTTTGGGAGACCTTTTCATCACTTACTATACTCAACTCGGCATGGGAAATAAAAGACAGGCTTTGCAACTGCAGCTTAAGATAATTTTAAGGCAAAAATCAAATAGTTTATATAAGTCAAAACCATCTGATTTTTCTATCTAAAACTGAGTCATATTAAAAATGAATTTATTGAATATTCTCAATTATTTAATAAAAGGAGATTTCATCTATATCTCCACCCATTATTGAGCAATCATAATTGAAGCTATCAGGATTAGAGCTATTTTCCATCCAAGATTCCTGCTGCACTGCTTCTTTATTTTTAAAAATATCATTTTCTGTAGGATCTGTTTCAGGAGTTGCATCAAATTTGTTATGACTATCATGTTCAGAGGCTTCTTGTTTTGGTGATAAAAAATTGAAAAATTTATTATTGTTTTTAAGGCTCTCTTCAATCTCTAGAGCTGTACCAAAATCGCTATTTATGCCTTCTCTCACTGAGCTCTTTCCCAGTGGATATGTTTGAGCGACTGTAGTGCTTGGGCAATAAGATGACTCAATCGAGGTTTCAGAACTACAAAGATCATTGCAGCTTCCTAATATATCTTTTAATTTGTATAATAATTTTTCTATTTTTTCCATTCTTTCCTTTTCATCAGTTTCGATTCCGACAAAGGAAAGATGATCGATAATCAAGGAATTTCATATTTCCTGTCTTATTTCTTTATTATATACACTATCACACTCTTGATGAAAAGCTGCGCTCAAAAATGATTCATCAAAGCAGGTATACTAATTGACCAAGAATAGCCCACTAAGGAGCCATTCTTGGTCTGCCAGAAAAAATTTTGACAAAAGATCCTAATCTGCCATTACCACCGAGTTTTGGTGTTTCCAAATTTTTTGGGCAAGCCAAATGCAATAAAAAAAAATTGTTGTTTTGCGATGATGCATTTGGCTTGTCAAAAAAATTCGGCAACATCAAAACTCAGTGGTAATGGCAGAAAAGATCCTAATCTGCCATTACCACTGAGTTTTGGTGCTTCCAAATTTTTTTGACAAGCCAAATGCATCATCGCAAAAGAGCAATTTTTTTTATTGCATTTGGCTTGCCCAAAAAATTTGGAAACACCAAAACTCAGTGGTAATGGCAGATTAGGATCTTTTTGTCAGAATTTTTTCTGGCAGACCAAGAATGGCTCCATAGTGGGCTATTCTTGGTCAATTAGTATACCTTTTATTTGGCCTAGAAGGCATTTTGCAAATACATCTATTACCCCTTGAAAACCAGAAATTTTCTCTCTCAATAACTTGCAACACCCGATAGTCAGCTTAGTTTTTTTCTTATCATAATTAGTGAATACTTCTTTTCCTTCTTTTTTCAAAAAACTACTAGGCCACAATGGGCATCTAAGAATGGCAAGCAAATAATTTATTGAGCTATTTTCTCTCGGATTTTCTAGCAGCTTGCCTTCAACATAATTATAAAAATCGTTGAATCTGGAATTATAATCTTTTCTCATTAATTTCTTATGTAATAGTCTGAAAAATTTATTTATTCACATTTCATTGTTTCCTCTAAAATATTTCAGCTTGCGCCCTGCTTTTGTACTTTTGAATAGCTTAAATAATTCAGCAATCGGTAATCGAGGTCTTCCCCCTATTTTTCATATCAGAAGAATACTTTTTACTCTCTTTTTATCAACAAAAATGAGGAATAAATCAAAATTTAGCATAAATGAAACTATAGTATTTTTTAATATAAATATAATTTATTAATTATTTCTATCAGTTCTGTACACTATTGCATAGCGCAAGAATGAGTGCCGCACTGCTCTGCATGAAAATCTGCAATAATTTCTCTTATTTTAGATAGAGAAGATTTGATAATTGAAAGATTTTGATTAATTTGTTGTGCTGTTAACTGCGGGTTTATGTCTTCGTCTTCTAATCCTAGTACCAATTTTAAGCTTACTTGTTTTCCTTCCTTTAGAGTTTCAAGGACAATAAGTACTTGACTAAGGTCTTTTTTAATATTTCGTATATCATTCGCAAAATAAATAAGCCCTAAATGGTCTCCGTTTGAATTATAGATTTTTAATTCTCTCTTTAAAGTCTCGTTTTCTGAAATCAGTCGGTTTTGCATGTCCTCAAGCTCTTTAAATTGTATTTCTAGTTTTTCATGTTCTGATTTATCAATATTTACTTTTTCTAGCGTTGCATTTTTTATATTTTCTTTATGCTCTCCTAAGAATTTTCGGTTCTGTAATTCTAATTCCATCTGTTTTATTTTCTTATCTTTTTCATTGATAATTTCTTTTAAATTTGATATTTCAGACTTATATTTGGTCTTTAAACTTTCTTCAAGTTTACTTATTGGACTATCAAATTCATCGCCTGAAGATTTTTCTCACCTTTCAGAACTACCAGAAATGGTTGAAGAATCAGAAATTGAATATTTTATAGTCCCTGAAATATTTTAGATCATTATTGGCAACCATTTTAATTTCCAAAATTAATTTGTACTTGTCAGCTTTTTTGAGAAGTAAAAGACAAATCCGTTTATGGTTTTAAGGTGCCTAATCAGACTTATACTGCATAATGCAGGTGCCCTGCACCATATTTTTTCTGTTCGGTATTCTGCTGAGGTATAGAGAGATCTATTAAGGTGCATGAGCTATACAATGTCTTCTTTTAGCTTTAAGTTCTCTTTTTCAAGGTTTTTAGATTTTATTTTGTAATACTCCATTTTGTTTTTGACTTTTTTTAAGTATTCGTTCATTTGTGAGGCATTTTCGTGCAGCTTTTGGGAATCTTTTATATGTGATAAAGCATTTTTTGCATAAGAAATGACTTCGCTTGTTTCATATTTTCTTCGAGGAGAGGGTGAAGCATTAGAGCTTTGATTTGCGGAGGACTCAGGGGATTTATAGTGAGTCTTTTTAAGGGATGATAAATGTGCGGGGATATAAAATGAGTTGGATGGCGGTTTTGACATTGATCTGGCTGGATATATTGCAGATGAGTTCGGTTTGATTGTAGAATGGTTGCCAGTATTTAGATTTTGAAGAGAAACTTCTGGGTATTTTATGGTTTTTGACATTAAATATAAGTAATTTAAATCTCTGGGCAGAATTATAAAATACTAAAAATAAGTTGGTCTGATTTATTTAAAAATATGAAATTCTAATTATTAAAATTGTCCAAATTACTGTCATAGTGCGCTGGTTAATAATTCTCTATATTTTAGATGATAATTTTATTAAAAGGAACATTGAATTAATTCACCTTTGACAATAATATTTTTGTAAATATTTTATCATAAATAATATCAAATTCGCTTCAGATAAAAGTAAATTCACCTCCCAGTGCTTAATTTATAAACTAAAATTTTACTGATTTTCAGCTTAAATCACATAATATTTACTTTAAAAATTGACTTAACCATCGGAATCCTTCAGCATACCCCATTCTTCTTGCCACTGAGCACATGAAAAGCTCAATCGGTCTTACCCCTGTCTGTGATTTTAAGTCTTTTCCATAATACCCATATGTTTCTAATCCCAGAGCATTTCTAAGCTCTTCTTCACTCGCTGCATCATCAAGGTCAATTTTATTGCCTAAAATAATAAAAGGAACATTTTGTAGCTCTTCCATCGACATTAGCTCATTAAGTTCATTTCTTGATAAATCGAACCGTTCTCTATCTGATGAATCAACCATGAAGACTATCCCATCAACGCTTCCTAAATAGTCTTTCCAGATTTTTCTAGCAATTTCGTGGCCTCCCAAATCAAAGGTACGGAAGCGGATACTCCCCATTACCAGTTCTTCTGATTGTGGATGTGTAGTAGGCTCAAGCTGGGCCATTTTGTCATCTTTCAACATTTGAAGTAAGGTGGATTTGCCAGCGTTATCCAGACCTAGAAATACAAGTTTTGCATTCTTTTGGTAGAGGCCAAGATAACCCAGTGCACCATAGAACCAATTGACTAGAAACATTACACGTAGGAAATTATTATAAAAATGAAAGCTGAATCAGATTTAAAATTTTTTTTTTGATAAATTAGTGTAAAATTCGTGTTTCATTTGAAAAATAAGGAATTAAAGAATAGGAGAGGAAAAATCAGTAAAAATACTTTAAAAATTATTTAAAAGATTTCTTTGTATTTAAGAATTATTCGATTAATTAGAGTGAGAAAGAGAGATTTCATAATTCTATTTGCATTTATATTTTAAATAATTAACTTAGTTAGTCTGTATCTATAAAAATGAATTTAGCAACATTGCCATATATGTATTTTTATAGAGGATATTTTTGCAAAATTTTGATAAAGTTCTATATTAATGCTATTAATATCTTCATTTTCAACAAGCAATATTTCTTTTGCATTAAAAAAGTATCTAATTTTTAAGAAATTGAGTTAATTAAGAAGATTTCTCTTATATTTAAAATAGTAGCTCAATTTCGCTTATTTAAAAATTAAGCTGTGCTTTTATCTTTAATCAAATTGCATTCTTTTTTTGGAAAATTCCCTTAACAATTATTTTAAGATTCATATAGCCGTCTTTCGGCAGTTGCCAGAGTTTATCAAAAGTCGTTTTTCGTCTATCTAAAACTGTATACTAAAAATAAATGATTTGATTTATTTAAAAATCTGAAATTCTAATTATTAAAATTGCCCAAATTACTGTTATAGAGCGCTGGATAATTAGACTATATGTTTTAAATGATAATTTTATTAAAAGAAACATTGGATTAATTCACCTTGACGATAATATTTTGTAAATATTTTATCACAAATAATATCAAATTTGCTTCAGATAAAAGGAAACTCCTCCACTGCTTAATTTATAAACTGACTAAGCCATTGGAATCCTTCAGCATATCCCGCTCTTCTTGCCACTGAACACATGAAAAGCTCAATCGGTCTTACCCCTGTCTGTGATTTTAAGTCTTTTCCGTAACACTTATATGTTTCTAATCCCAGAGCATTTCTAAGCTCTTCTTCACTCGCTGCATCATCAAGGTCAATTTTATTGCCTAAAATAATAAAAGGAACATTTTGTAGCTCTTCCATCGACATTAACTCATCGAGCTCATTTCTTGATAAATCGAACCGCTCTCTATCTGATGAATCAACCATGAAGACTATCCCATCGACGTTTGCTAGCAAATAGTCTTTCCTCATTTTTCTAGCGTTTTCGTGGCCGACTAAATCAAAGGCACGGTAGCGGATCCCCCCAATTATAAGTTCTACGGATTCTGGATGTACAGTAGGCTGAAGATAGCACAATTTGCCATCATTCAACATTTGAATTAAGGTAGATTTGCCAGAGTTATCCAGACCTAGAAATACAAGTTTAGCGTTCTTTTGGAAGAAGTCAAGATAACTCAGTGCACTATAGAGCCAATTGACTAGAAACATTACACGTAGGAAATTATTATAAAAATGAAAGCTAAATCAGATTTAAAATTCTTTTGGTAAATCTGTGTAAATTAGTGTTTCATTTGAAAAATAAGGAATTTAGGAAGTAGAGAAGAAAATTCATTGAAAATATTTTAAAAATTATTAAAAGATTTCTTTGTATTTAAGAATTATTAGATAAATTAAAATGAGAAGGAGAGATTTTATAGATCCATTTGCATTTATGATTTTAAATAATTAATTTAATCAGTCTGCATCTATAAAAAAGAATTTAGCAAACATTGCCATATATGGATTTTTTATAGAGGATATTTTTGCAAAATTTAATAGTAAGTTCAATATTAATGCTATTAATATATTCATTCTCAACAAGTAGTATTTCTATGCATTAAAATAGTATCTAATTTTTAAAGAATTGAGCTAATATTTTTTATTTTTCTTATTTTTAAAAATAGTAGCTCAATTTCGCTTACTTAATTTAATAGATGAAAAATATATTAATTTCTCATAGTTGAGTTGCAAAGCTGGAAATCTTCTCTTAAATTAAGCAGGTAATGATAAAAATGGAATTTCATCAGGCATCAAAATCCATCATTCTGACATAAAAGTTCTAACTCATTGAGATATAGCAGATCCATTAATATTTTTATTTGCGCACACACACATATATTTTCATTACAAGCACCGAGTATATTTAATATAGCGATTTCGTTGATCTTTTAATTTTAAAACGATCTAAATACTATATTATTATAGTAATAAAGAAGAGTAAGGAAATCGTCTTAGCTGAAGTTTCGAAAGCATTAGAAAAATATTTTCAAATATCAATGATGCACATCTGGCTTTTAATTAGATCGAGATAGTATATTTACTTTTTCAACGATCATTTGAATAAAGGAAAGCATTATTTTTATACGAAAATTTAGTTCGCGAGCCTCTTAGCCAAGCTAATCTTTAATAGCAAGCATAGGCTATGGTAATTATCGAAAACAGCATTGAAAGTTTAAAAATAGGGAACTATGGTTTTAATTTCAAAATATTTTCCTCACTCTATCCATTTAAGAGCAAGCAGAATCATTGAAAAATGTCTATTTTCGGTAAACTAATCCCTTTAGAGTGAGCAAAAAATTTTTAACATAATTCTTTTTTATTATAAAATTTATAGTGATATCTCAGGCTAAATATATTAAATTTAAACATCTTACATAAATTTATAAATTAATTTAGATGTTTTTTAAAGAGGGAGTCAAAGAAATCAGATGTAAATATTCTATTTTTCTAAACCAGAATATTATTTTCTTATATTCTTATTTATTTTGATATCTGTTTTAATCAGAATTTAATTCTCATTAAAAAGAAATCCAAAGCCAACATATATCTGAAATATCCTGATGAACGGACAGAAGAAATGGCAATTTTATTAACTTTTATACTCAGCCGAAAAACTTACCGAAAGCCTTGAATATTGGCCTAGCATTTTAAAACTAAACTCCAGAAGCCATAATCAGTGCAAAAATCCAGCTCTAGCATGTCGTAAGTAAATGATCGGGACTGGTCAGTAAGTGCCTATAAAATCTAAAATGGTTACAAAATTATATAAAAATATTTCATTATGGAAACTATTTCAGAAATTCAACAACCTAAAATTCGAAGCCAAAAGCCTCCAAAAAGCGGCAAATCAAAGAAAAATCAAAACAAATCAGCCTTAGAAAGCTCCCAAGCCAAAAAGAAATCAACGAAAGCTGACTTCCAAACAAAATTCAAGAGCGAAATTTGTAAAAATTGGGAAAATGGGTATTGCGAGTTTGGAAGCGAATGTGCGTTCGCTCATGGTGAATCTGAGTTAAGGGATAAGCCTCAGGCAAAAAACTATAAAACTCAGAGATGTAAACAATTCCATGAGCTAGGATATTGCATATATGGATCAAGGTGCCAATTTATTCATAGAGATCTATCACCAGACACAGCTGATAACTCACCTGTAGGAAGTAGAGTTTCAAGCAGGAAAGGATCATTTGATGCATCTAAAGATTCCTCTAAAAAGAGGTTGCCGATATTTGTAGATCTCGAAAGAAGAGGAATTTAAAGGCACAATTTTTAATTTAATATGACAATAATTAATCAAAGACTTAAGAAATTTTTGATTGTGTCGATTTATAAGTAAATAAAACGCATGAAATTTTGAGATAAAAATGAATTGGAGAAAAATCTGGAATTTCGTGAAATGTATCAGTATCGCATTTTTAAATTGAAAAAAGATCGTCATTATAATAAATAATATTTTTGAGATGAAGGGTGAAAAAACATTCACGAGGGGGAATTTTGCTTATTTATAAGAAGAAGAAGAAGAAATAGATTTTTATTTTTAAAGTTGGATTTTTAAAAAAAATTCAGAAGCAAAAAAGAAGTTAGGCGTTTAAATTTTTTTCGGTTTCAAGTATTATCACTTTTTGCTCTACTTTATGATTCTCATTTCAAATTATGGAGAAATTGAAATTATTTTAAATTTCATACCTTCATAATTCTAGGTCATTTTCCTTTGGATCTCAGTCAAAAACAGAAAAAATGCCAAAAAGCTGGACAACCTTATCCACTAAAATTACCTTAAATATTTAGTTTACAACAGAGCAATCATTTGTTTCCTGTTAGTATCATCAGTTGCTTTAATAGACATCTCTTCTTCAGCATTCGTATTCTCCGAAATTTCGGTATGTGAATCCTCCCCTGAATGATATGGATTCTTTGGGTTATATGCTTCATAAATATTTTGACTTATTGCAATTGAAGATAGTTCTTTATCAAAATCGCTCTGAGCCAAAAATATTTCGAGCCCATCCCCACTTCATTCGTATTGGAGATTGTTTTCTCTTTGAGAAACTAGTTGCGAATTATATTCATCAAGCATTTTTTGAATTTTTCGCTTATTCCTATACAGTTTGAACTCTTTTTCAGCTTTCTTCATACAAATATCCTCGTCAGTGTCACTGGTGCTCATAATTAAACTACTTACTCTCCTTCCCTTTGTGAGTGAATAAAAGAATTTTTTCGCTTGCTTGATAAAAATTTTTATACAAACATGAAAAAGGGAACTATTTATGAGCGCTTTAAATTTACCTAGTAGTTAAGTATTTATTATTTAGCTTTTAGAAAATTGTGCTTTGTTAACTGAAATGTTCCCATCAACAAGTTCATAGATGAATAGTGTCGCGTCATTACCTTGAAATGCCATTATTAAGATTAAGATTAAGATTAAGATTACGCTGGGTATTTAAGGTCCCTACTACGTCCGAGGTCGCATGCCACGGTTTCCCGTGTGGTGGCAGAGCGTTCACCAAGCCCGGGCCGAAACCCCCGGTTTCTCGGTAGAGGTATTGTCAAGGGCCGTCTTATACCGGCTTTGCTGACCACCTCCATTTCCAACTTGGATCGTCGCCTAAGTTTACGCCAACTCCGCTTCGTCGTCCGCCAGATCTGCCCATTGAAGGGCACCTTTTCAACTGGAGAGACCCCCGTCTCGATGTCTAACTCGCCTCCCCTCTTTTCCGGTCATCCCGAGAAAGAACTCAACAGCTTTCGCCATTCGGGGCGAGCCACTAAAGCAGCTTAGGCAGGTAATTCACCCTGCCTCATTTCGGGCACACTCACTGGGCTGAGCGCTGCTGGCAAAAAGAAGTCACGAATAACTGCCCATGGGTCTGGTCGCAAAAACAGCGGTTCTCGCGCTTAGGCCTCTCGCTTCGAGGTCCCGGACGTTGTTGGGCTAATTCCTGGCTCCAAAAACCATGCCCGGATATACATGGGTAACCACCACTGGGAGGGTGGGTCGGTCGCCCATACGCCATTTTATGTATATACCTTGAAATGCCATTATAATAAAGCTCGGCTTAACTTCTGGTGTTATTGATGAATAAGCTCCGGTAGCCGATCCTGGGTTAATAAAGTATTTTCCATCTAAGGATTCTATAGAAAGGGCGTGTGTGTGGCCTGATATTATTCTCTTTATATAAATGTAAAACCTTTAAATTATCCCGCAAATAATAAATTTCATATAAAAAAGATTTCAGCTATAAAAATCAAGATATTTTTTATATATTAATTTATAAAATGTCACAGTCAAATTGACGTTGGAGATTTCCTAATGCTTCTTTATCGCCCCATGGAATTACTTGATGCCCATGAATTAAGCCTATTTTTCAATCTCCAATTGTAACGACCTTGCTTTCAGGGATCGTAGTATTTTCATCAAAATCGCCTTTAACTATGTGGACGCTTGATGCCAAACCTTTTAGTCAATCGGAATATTCTCGACATCCAATATTTCCTGTGCAAAAAATATTTTGAACTTTTCCTGGGACTAAGAGTTCTTTGAATTTCTCAGGAAGGTCAACAGCACGCTGAGGGATGTGAAGGTCACCTATTAGCAGCACAAGCTCTCCAAATTGGCTCATATTTTATATTAGAAAATTTGGTGAGTTTATTTAATATGGCATATTTTCTAATGTGATTTTTTGACAAATAGTAAAATTAATTAGAATAAATTTTAATTTAATGTTATTAAGATTTACAGACTCTGATTCGACCTGAAAATAAAATAAATGCAAAAAAATAAAATATAATATTGTAAAGTAAATTGTATAGATTATTCAGTAATCATAGAGATGCTAAGATTCGATAATGAATTATATATTAAAATATAATAGCATGCTCGCTTTATTTGAAAATAAAATCTTTTCTGTCTCTTACTTATTGATTATTTAAAATTTGAAATCTAATATGGTAAACTGATTCTTTCTGCAGGAATCCTTTTTACAAAAGTATAAATCTATTTTAAGTGACAAATTAATCTTTGTGATACAAAAAGTATCATATATATAATGGTGCGGAGAGCCAGCCTGCTCTCTTAACACCTGTAGCTAGGTGGGAGTCTGGGGACCTGTTCGAAGGGATGCAAGTGTTTTGGTAAGCATGTCTGGCAGGGTTTAATTTGACCTGGTGGAGTCAAAATGTCTGGTTGGTCGACCGCAGACGGACAAGGTTTTACCCAAAGGAGGATGGGACTTGGAATTTAGAAAGGATAACCCACCATGGTTTGAGGACGTTCGCTTCGAGCGCTTTCCTAGCGTGATATGGGAGTTTCGAGTCGCGCGTCTCGATTGAAAGCCTGATTAGAATATTCACTTTTTGAATTTTTGAAAAGGACAACCCCGTCGACACACTGCACGATCGCTCGGCTTATTTACCGTATTTACCTCTGAGTAGCAATGCAGGCCTTTTCCCGATGGAGAAACAAGTCTTAGGCTATATAATCGGATTGGCAAGTAAGGGACGTGAAAGCTATTAGTGGGTTGGCCGGGAGCTTCTCTATATAAATTTAATGAATGAATGATACAAAATGTAGTCTTCATAGCAAATTATACTTTTTGAGCGTGTATAAGGATTAAAATAATCCAAAAACGAAAATAAAACTATTTAATGGCAGAAAAATCTTTTCTGACTTTGAGCGATGCCCAAATATCAAACGAACTAATTCGTTTGATATGAAGATTTTCAAATCTCAAAGAATATAACAATATTAGAATAAGAAGAATAACAAAAAGACGAAATACTCATCGCAAATCCTCAAGCACAACAGCTCAGCCTTGCTATATAATACATAATACAGATTCCCCTATTATAGAAGAAAACTCAACTTATCCTAATATTTCTCCTTTAATATCGCGCAGAAAAATGCTATCGGTCAGCTTGTTGAATATAGAGATTCATAAGCAGCCTAAAAATGTTTATACCACTGAACAGTATTCTTGCATCAGTTCAACTTTTATATCATTACTTGAAGCATATCAGGGAACTTCATGAGTTAAATATGATGAATTTCAGAGCCTAGTGCACAGTGCTTTAATCAAACAATTCTTTCTTGACTGTTACACTTGCGATCATTCTTTTTGGAGTTTAATAATTGATCCTATTAGCAATAAACCATGAGTTGATATAGAATTATTCAAAACGTGCTTACTCCCCCTTAATGAGCAGCAAAATCATTAGTAATATCATTATTTTTTGGATAAAAACCCACCTCCGTGAGGGAACAACAATTTTTTATAAAAAAAAATTTATATACAGCTTGCATTTGACAATATAAGTTTTGAAAGTTAAATTAATTTTACCAATCGGAAATTTTAAAATCCTCTTCCGGGTCAAACAATTTTTTTTTTTCGATCACGGAGTGGGGGAGTTAGAGAACTTGCAGGAAAGCCATAATTGGAATTTATTTTCCCCTAAAAAGATCAATAAAAAGAAGAAAAATTTGTGGCAAATCCAAAAATATCTATGTAAAATTTATTTAGTTTTCTTTTCATTTATTCAAAAAACTGCAGGGGATGAGCTCGATAGAGACCAGCTAATGGAAGCTCTGAGTATGGCTGACAAAGCTGCAAAATATCAGATTGTTATGCTCAGTGATATTATTTTCCAGAAGCTTAATGAATCAGAAGGCTGCATGGTCAAATATATCAATTTCGAACAATTTAAAAGCCTGATAGTAGAGAAAAAAGAAAGTGATTTTTAGAGTGTATAAATATATGAAGACAAAATCAAAAATTGCAATTAATAGTTCAATTGCTCTATTTAATAATCCTATTCTTAAAAATGACTTCTGCCCAAAAATTATTTAAAATGATAGAAATAGTATATTCTAAATTTTTGTTTTTAAATAAAATAGATAGAGAGTATTTAATTAGCAATTTCTATATTTTAAAGTATCCAAATAAGTAATAAAAATATCTTTCTTAATAGAATCCGGTATAATTAGGTTACAAGCCATTGAATGCATCCTAAGCATCCTTTTCTCTTGACTGGAATCAGATTATTCTTTGGATGAATTTCGTCTAAAAGCATTTCAAAGCATTTCGATATATTAGTTCCAAATTTTGCAGAGACCTCTATGTAAGGCACACAACATTTATCTGCAAGCATCTGTCCAGTTTCAGACAAAACTTTTCTTTCAGATGTCAAATCGCTCTTGTTACCGACAATGATCATTGGCACTTTGGTTAAATTTTTTTGGTTCAAAATTCGATATCTAAATTCTGAAATTTTATGCAAACTTGTTTCTTGTGTAAGGTCAAAAATACATAAAAATCCTAAAGATTTTTCAATAACATCGGTATAATCTGTGACAAATCCTTCGTCACTTGCTGATTCATTGATTTCTAATGAATAAAAATTCTTTTGATGAACAATTGGCTTGATGTAACTGCAAAATATAGTAGGCATATAATCTTCTTCATAGCAATTAGACACAAATCGGTTGCATATTCTACTTTTACCTACTCCTGTATCTCCAAATATTCCTATAGGGCAGTTCATCAGAGAATTCAAGATATTTTTTGAATTAATTATATGATCTCCATATAAAGATGAATTTTTTGAAATTTATTAGTTTACATAAAAAAGTATCATAATTTCTAGAATATTCACAAAAATCTTATTTCAGATTAATTAATTTACTATAATTTTATTATTTGCTTATAAAAATCAATCATTTCTCATTAGCATCTTAATTCTGAAGAAATAAAAAATCCTTCAATATCTTTTACACCATATCGTTAAGATTATAATATAATGGCAAGCAATCCTCATTGCCCTCCTCACATCAAAGCATTGCTCCAAGACCTGAAAAAATCGCATAGCGATACTTCTCAGGTCTTAAAAAGCTACATATCTTATTTGGCATCTGATACAACTTTATTTTATATTTACCTCAACTTAGGATACTCTCCTGAGCTCGGGACATTCCTAAGAATTCCATCCCAAGCTGATGTTTTGCTGCAAATTTCAAAGGAATTTCAAGACCCAATTCAGAATGACTTGGATTTTTTTTCTTCTCAAAATAATACCCCGACAACTGATTGCAATAGCATCATTCGAGAAGAGTTTTTGAGAACTTTTTATGAAAATAATATTGGGATATTGTCAGAGCCAACAGAACTTGGGTTAAAAGAGCCAAGTGGCGATACATATAATTTTGAAGGTGGGACTATAACTCCTGCTTGAAGTAGTATAATTTTTCAATACATTTTTAATGGCTCTGCAAATTTATTTCCTGAATTATTTAAAAAAAGAGAATTTATCATAAAATTTCTGTCAAAATTTAATTTATTGAAAAATAAAATTTCATCCCCAATCCCATCTAAAATTATGTCTTCTTTTACTCCTCTTACCCCTTTACATAGACAAATACAATCTGAACAAAACACTCCACGTATGAATAGAGGGCTTAAAGTCCTCAGTCTCCGTGTAAAAGATATTATCTGCCAAAAAGGCTTTTCTTGCTATAAAGAAGTAGCTGATGAATTAATTAAAGAAATGGAGCTTGGAGACGAAATTGATAGAGAAAAAGAAGAAAAAAATATTCTTCGAAGAGTCTATGATGCATTAAATGTATTAATTGCGTGCGATATGGTAAGGAAAAAAGATAACAGATATTATTGAAAAGGAATTACACAAGAAATCCCTGAAAAAATTCAAATTAAAGCAAACCCAAAAGAAAATGAGTTACAATTAGCAGTTGAAGGGAAAAGAGAAAGGCTAAAAGACATTGCAAACCGATTTTATGCAGCTAAAGAGCTAATCCGAAGAAATAAACAAATTATTAACAACGGCGACTCCATTCCTTTCCCATTCATTGTGGTCGCTACAGAAGAAAACGGTAACAATAAAGTAAGCTTTATATAGGTAAACATCGAATTTAATAGAGCAAAAACTGAAGTTTCCATTAAATTCCAAAAAGAAATCAAAATGTTCGGTGACCTAGACATTGTCGTCAAAATGGATTTTCAAAAAGCAGCATACCGGAGGACCGATATCCCACCCGAACTTTTAGGCTTGATTTCTATGAAAAGTCCAATTAGGATTGTTAAAAAATTAATTTTGTAATTATTATTATGGGAGAAATTGCTGGAATTTTAATGACTTCTGGAGGATGCATTGCAGTACAATCTAGACATACAGTGCCTATAACTGTTGCTCACAGCTTGTGTCGAGAATTAATAAGCAGCTTGGCGAAAAATGAAGAACAGGAAAAAAATGGGCAAGTGATAATGAAAACATTTCGTGGGCATTATGTAATAAGCAATGATGTATAGCTAATTAATTTATTTTAAATAAATAATAAACCAATAATTTATATAAACAATTTATTTTAATTTAGTATAGTGATAATGGTATTCGCAACAATTACAGAAAATCCATTTGTAGCTGAAGATTGTTTAGCAAAAATCAAAGAAATTTTGCTTACTCTCAGCAAAGGTAACGAAATAAAGCCTGAAAATTTAATTAAAAAAATCACAGAAATCAATTATGCTTTAGAAGACTGCTTATACTCCTTAAACCCCTATGGACGGCTCGGAAAATGCGAATTATTTTCTATTTCAAAGCCTCTGCAAAACTGTTTTTCTGTCCTGCAAAGCCAAAACTCCAATCTAATTTATAACAGCAAGCCATGAACTGACGAGGACAATATTTTAACTTCAGCCAGGGCTAAAGCACAAAACCAGCTTAAACACGAAGAAAAATTAATTTCATTGAAATTCACATTTCCTATACAGTCAGACATCCAACCACCTCAAGCCATGGTTCATCCATTTGCTTATCAATTTATCGAAGAAAACGCTCCCATTCTAACCCCCTCAAACTCAAAAGTAATAGAGCCTGGCCCATCTTCCACTGATTTATCATTTTTACCATCAACTCCTATGCAAAATCAGCAGAAAAAAACAGCCCAAATTCCTCAAATTAAACCTAACTTAAGAATCACAATAATGGTAAGATGTAACCAGTTTACAGGAAAAGGCTTTAGTTGCATTTCAGGATAACAAAATTAGAAACATGAGAGTTGTAGGTCAATTAGGCTTGGAAGTCCCAGATTTGGCAGCAGCTTTTCAAGAGTCAAGCTTAAGGATTAAGATGACAAATATAAATTGGGATGATAAGACAAAAATAGCGAAAAGAATGTGTGTGGAAGGGATTGAAGAAATCGACCCTTATTTGTATAAAGTTAAATTGGGAAATTTTGAAAAATCAAGCGCGATTATTGAGTATATTGAGATTGATTGTATTGGGGTGAGAAAAAATAAAATTAAGCACTAAAAATAGTAGGGATAAAAATCAATTGTGATATATTCATTAAAATATAAAATATATCGTAGCACCCACAACGATCAATATAAAAAATTTCCCTTTGTATACAGCTTATAATATGTCACAAACGTCAGAAGTTGAGCATTTATTACAGTTAAAATACCAAGTTAATCAGAATTGGAAAAGTTCTCTTGAAGATATAAATTTCACGATTGCGTTGACTGACTCACAAGCTGTGCTTATTGAAGCTAACTCAAGAGGAGAATTAACTACAGGAAATTTGGAATGAAAATCATCAAAATTAACGACTTCACAGAAAGGGATTCTTGAAGCAAGAATTAATTCGAGGCTAGTCTGTGGCATAGATCATATTAAAATTTCATTTAAATCTAGAGAAACTTTGCTATCTGATATAGATGCGGTTTATTCTCAAGAAAATGAAATTGAGAGCACACCAGCTTCCAAAAGGCTGCTAGTAGAAGTAATTATATCCCCAAATTCTTAATATAATTCTAAATTCCATACTATTTTTCTACTTAATTTCCAGTTTCCCATTTCCATAAAGCATAGCTTTAATTTTTACTAATAATCTGATATAATTTTATATCTGTTTAATTACATTTATCTAATTTTATCTAAAATCTAGATTATCCTGTAGCCCTATATGCTTCTTCATCCTTTCCTTTTAAATATAACGATTTAGGCTTCATCAATTTTGAATAAATCTGATGAATATTCAAATCAGGAGTCGTCAAAGATGCGCTCCGGTAATTTTTTGCTTCTTTTATTTTTGGTAAAGTAATTTTTATGTGCGAAATCTTTTTATTTCTTTTAGACAATAATGAAATTTTAGGAAATAATCCTTTTGAATATGATTTATTGTCCAAAACTTGAATATTTTTAGTAGAAAATGCTCTTGTTGTAGAGGATAAAGGCTGTAGTTTTGTATCTGGAAATGAAGTAACAGCTATATGATCAATATAATATTCTTTATTAAGCTTACATCAAGATCTGACCCTCAATGGCTGCTTTGACATTAAATAGTGAAGTCTGACTTGTTCTTGGTTCGCATTTTCTTGAATATCATACAATGGCGAAATTTGCATTTTTTTACAATTATTGGTTTTATCATATTAGAGTCAAGAAATGATATTAAATATAAAATGATCTTAATATTCAGCAATATATTAATTTTAATCCTTTTCTTTCAATATCACCCAATTTTTATAAAATTTATTATTAAATCCAATTTTCTCTTTCTAAATTTAAATGATACTACATATTTCTATTTAAAATACCAATTTTATCCAAATTCATTCGAAATTGCCTTAAATAAATTAAAAAGTTATTCGCTCTCAACTTTTTCTGGTCTTAATCCTTCAAAAGAATCAACTGGCAAATATCTGACCAATGTATAAAGTTCTTCCCCTGCAGTTTCTTCCTCAGTGCGTTTTCTTTCCATTCTCACTCTAACTCTGAATGGAACGTGCTTGATTCCTCTTGACCATAAGAAATTGTTGAGGTGGTAATCAATTCTCACATCTTTGGTTTTCATGACTCTTTGGGCAAAGTCTTTTATAATTCTGATGGATTTAGGAGCACGCTTCTTCAGGTTTGTGTGGTGGAGGCGCTTGTGGAGGTGAATTGTATAGTCACGTGTCACAGGCTCCAATTCCTTGGTTTCTTTGACCATATTTTATGACTATCACGTAAACTTAATAATCAACTAATCCAGCCCAGGCATTTTAGGATAATATTTTTTTTATAAATTATTATATTAAGTTTTTTGCTATAAAATAGTAAGGAAAAGCAAATTATTCAACTATTTGCTTGTAATCCCATATATTAACTATTAATTTTTACCTGTTCTTATGGATAACTCTTGGCCCTTCTTCATCCCAGTTAAATTTATAAACCCAAGTCTCAGGGCTCAACTTCATGATTCGAGCCAAAGCTGTTGCTCCTAAATACACTAAATATTTTCTATAAGGTGGGTCTTCCACATTAATTTTGATTCCTTTCGATTTCGTCCCACCTCTCATTGTTTTATGCATCGCTGTTACATCTTTTTTTTATAATTAAAAATATGGCGTCTTCGTCTGGGCATGGCCTCCCGGCCATGCATACTCTTTTTTGCAATTCTTAATTCTTAATTGCTTCTTCTCATGCATACTCGACTCATATTTTAATTATATCCGACAAGGTTTTGCCATTCTGAAGTGAGCAGCAATGCGATGTAAGCAATTCTGGCTGTTTACAGAGCCTAGCCCAAGCTCGTCTTCGGGGTGGATTTTACCTCGTAGGTAAAGGTGACAGGTAGTTGGAAAGGGGAAGCCCAGCTGAGTCCACACGACCCATCGGGTAACTCCCTAGCGTGAAGCCGGGCGTTACGTCCCGGGCTACTTGTTTTCCCTTTTTGCCGAGAGCCTACCAGAAAATCCATTTTTTGGGTTTTCGGAATGGCAACTACGTAAGGTACGGCCAGTAACTCATTCATGAGTCGTCGAAGTCGGTAACACCCCTCCAAGCCTGCTCTGGTGTACGAAGCAGCAGGTTGGACCGGCGGCCTGTGGGCCGACAGGTGGAAGAGAAGGTGATAGGTCCGGTTCTTGCTGACCTCCGTGGTGGACGTAAAGCGTAATAATTCTAATGTAATGTTACATCTTTTTTAATTCTAGTAGAAATTCCAGGCAGCATAGTGGTCCCTCCTGATAGTAAAATTGAGTTAAAAAGCCCAGCTCTTAAATCCATAGGAGAATTCATAATGGACTTAAAAATCATATCTGAGAGCCCTTCACTATCTTTTCCAGCAAGATAAGGACTGAATAAGAGTTCTCCACATTCAAAACGTTCTTGGCCAACTTTAATCCAAGTGCCGTCAGGGAGTTTATAATCCTCTTCTAAAACTGTGGTTTCTTTGGCAAGTTTTCTTTCTTCAGCGAGGTTGCAGCTGACATAGCATATTCTTTTTAACAAAATTGTGAGCTTTTTTATAGATTATTTTATATAAAAATAGACTTTTTATGGCAGTTTTTATTATCTAATTTATGATAATTTTTCTTTTATTTCTCTTACAGTCTCAAAATCTGCTGATGTATGAAAACTGTATCCTCTGATAAGTAGCAATTTAATTAGTTGGTCTGTAAGATGACGCCCTGCTAAATTCATTCTTGCAATTGCATGCTTATTTACGACTCCTTCAGAAACTGGGATACAATGAGTCACACCATCCCCTGAATCTACCACAAGTCCAGTCATATATCCCATTGCATATAATGATAATGTAGCTTGAACTTGGACATCTAAAGCAAGAAACCCGAACTTTTCAAACATAATTTCTGCCATCTTCTCTCTATTTTTATACTTTATTTACCTGAAAAATCATTATTTTTTATTATTTTATTTTTTATCAAAATTTAATTTATTGAGTTATAAGTGGGTTCATTGGAGCTTCTGTTAATAATAAAGGAGTACGTGACCTATCCATGCGTTCAAACTTCTGAAAAGTATAAGCCCAGATTTTCTCCATTGCGTCCCAGTCTTTGACAACTCCTTCTTCCATTGGACGAGTGATTTCAAGTGCTGATCGGTATGGCTCCACATCAAAACCAATATACTCGCCACTGAGGTTTAATGATTTGTCAGCAAGTTCTTCATAATGAGGATTTGGGATGCCTATCATTGAAGGAACACTTCATTCAGGGAAGTTGCTGGTGCATCGGCCGGTTTTTAAGGATCCAGTTCCATTGTCACATATGAGAGGTTCTTCCATATTATTATCATTTAATCAACACAAAGTGCAAAATTTCTATATTGTTTGAAATAGAAGGAATGATTTTTGAAAATAATGAAGATTTAAAGAGAAATTTATTTAAATGAAAGATTAATTGTTTGCTTTGGAGATAAATAAGTTAAAATGGAAGCTTATTTAGCATCTATGGTTAATTTAATATCTTTAATCATAATAAATTCAAGCTATATAAGAAAATAGAAAATGATTTAGTCATTTAACTCAGGAACCGATATTGATCAGCCTGGGTTGGAGAATGCCTAGTTGTTTTCCAACTTAAGGTGATGAGCCAACTCAAGGAGTTAAAAAAATACCTTATATCAGGCCTATTTGTAAACTCTCCCCGAGTTGGTTCGTCAACTTGAGTTGGAGAACTAACCAGAGGAGTTGCAAGACATTCTCCCAGATCAGGCCGATCTATATCAGCTCCAAAGCTATAGTAAATTACCATTTAAATTATTTCGAAAATCTGTGTTTGTTTTTTAATTATTAGCCTCCTGAATATAGAATAAATTAAAATAATTTAATTTCTCGTCTTCTTTATTAAAATATATTTCTTCTAACTTTCCCTCCTTTGTGAGCTAGCAAATTTTTATTTTATTATATATAGGCTAGCCTTTTTCAAATTTAAAAAAAATTGAAATAAAAAATTAATTTAATTTATAAAATTTATGTAAGCAGTTTAAATTAAATAGAACTAGCTAGAGATTTCATTATAATAAAAATTACTTATATATCAAATTGATTTTTTTGCTCACTATTGGAATTTGTTTTTCAGTAAACAATAATGCTTACAGAGAGGCAGTAAATGCATTTATCTTGATTTATTTTTCTTCTATATTAATAAGTTTACTAGCCAATAAAATTAGCAATTTCATCTCTAAGCCAATATTATCAATGAGAAGAAATACCAATGTGGAGATTTGTAAAAATGTCAAATAAATCATCAGGATACCTAGTGTCAATTTTCGGCTGTTGCAAAAGAACAAAACGCAATGCAGTAAGCATTGAAAGCAGAGAATCATATCACAATTACCGCACAGTGGTAGCTCAAAATGCGCACACCCAAACCAATGAAAATGCTAAAAGTCACAGAAGCTTTAACAAAGACAATAATCTAATCAGTACACCATCTTCCTTTAAGCCAGTTATAGTTGTTAAAAAAGGGCCAAATTTCGAGCCACAGTCTCCAGCTACAGCAGATACTAAAACAAATATTCAAAAATCAGCGAGTTTGGGGCTGTCACTTCCCTCTGCCTTTCAAAACGACTCTATCGATACAATTCCTTTAGAAAACAGCGAAGAAGGCTTGATGTCTTCACGCACATTTCAGCAAATATTTAAAGAATCAAACAGTAACATCTCTTGAAGCAAGTCTTTTTCAAAGCTAAATCCTCTCCCAAGTCCTTTTGTATGTGAAAGTAATTTTTTAAGACCAAAATTAAAACCTGTCACTCCAGAGTCTTTTTCTAAGAAAATACCTGGGTCGACTAGGAATATCAAAAGAAGGGAGCTAACTGATTATTCCAAATAAAATAGATTGTCCTATATATTTATGGGATTGGCCTATCAAAAAATAAAGACTACGTGATAAAAATAGTATATTTAACTAGAGAACCTTTTAAGAAAATCAACGAAGAACTACCCAAAATAAATCCGAGGTTTTTTAAAGAGCACAAAAAGTCAGATGTATAAAATTATAAGTTTATGTTCATATTGGCACTGTAGAATAATTTACTGCCAATGAAATTTATTAATAAGTTTAATGCCAAAAAATAGTTGCATAACTCTTATCTAAATTTGAAAAAATTGAAAAATGAAAACATAATAACTCGATGCCTTCTATCTCTCCTATTTAATAATTCATAAAAATGCAATAAAGTTAATCTTTGTGCTCCATCTAGCTAAATGAATGCAATGGTCTATATGCCTTGAATTTAAAGAAAATAAAAAATATTGAAAAAATGAAATTAAGAAGGACCTGAATTTTTATAAATTAACTAGGGAAACAATTTAGGAGGGATAAGGTGAACAAAATCCATAAGATGGCAAAACTTGAAGAATTAATAAATGATGTTTTATTTCTTTTTACTCGCATCAATTTGGCACGGTTACTCTTTGCCCCCATTCCAGAACGGTATCAGTATCCCTGTATTCAAAAAGAGCTCTTCCACTGAACTCAACAGCCATAAAAACGTATAAACTACATAGAACCAATATTCCGTCGAAATAAATATTGGAAGTCCTGTTCAAACCTTTAGTGTCCTTTTGGATACAGCTGAATCCGTAATTTTTATTCAGTGACTTTGGGTTGTTTCTGACGACTGCCAAAATTGCCAGCCAATATCAAGATCATTTTCGCCATCAAAATCAAACACTTATACAAGCACAGCTCTATCAACAATTATTAATGTAAACTTTAACTTAGGTTCTGAACTCAACAGCAGGCGGCACAATTGGGACTGACTGGGTATGGATTTGGGAATCCCTTGACGTTGAACAATTCTTTGTTCTTATCAATGAAAATTTCATAGACATAGAAACTTTCTTCGCAGACGGAGTTTTAGGCCTTGGCTTCAGCCAACTGAGCAGCGGCTATTCTAATTTTATAGAGACCTTGAAAATTAAGGGCGCTATTGATCGTGCAATGTTTTCATTGTATTTAAGCTCAAAAGGAGATGATGTGGAAGATGCAATTCATTCGAATTTGATACTAGGAGGATACGATTTAGAGAAATATTCTTGGGAGACTCAGCTTACTTATAAAATTATGCATAAATGATCATTATTTTTAAATATTTAAAATTAAAACTTATTTAATTTATAATGAAATATTTAAATGTTTCAAATACCTCTGGGTACTGGGAAGTCCCATTAACAGCTGTCCATCTTGATGCGGGACTTGACATCGAAGCCAAAAGTGTAACGTTTGATATCGGGACTTCTATGATTTTAGCATCATTTCTGGACCATTCCACAATAAGAGATGCGTTTCGGTTCTACCCTGGCTGTGCAGAAGATGCGGACAATTACATTTATTGTGATTGCCCTTTTCAAAATTTCACGAAGAGTTACCCAGATCTTACCTTTTTCTTAGGCGCTGCAGGCATAGAGTTTAGGGTTTCTCCTTATCATTATTTCTATTGGAATGAGACAACCGAGCTTTGTTTACTTTTAATTGGAGAAAATACAGGAGAAAATTGGGTATTGGGAGACGTGTTTTTGAGAGAATATTATTCAGTGTGAAATATGGATGATTCCACTATTGGACTAGCTCGTGCTAAACTTGATAATGTCCCTAACTACTCCATCCTTGATTGAACGATTTTTTTGAAAAAATTCCAAAATTAATAATACTTGATAGAAAGATTCGAATATTAGAGAGAATGAAGTAACTTCCTGCCTCAGATCTAAGTACCTATCTTTGATAATAATGAATTTTGTTGCAAAATTCTAAAGCAATTTCTAGCACGTTTGCTAATATATTTAATATTCTATCTCTTAATATTAGAGAATAAAATAATTTATGTATCCTTGTACTCACCATAAACAGCAAGAAAAACTGCCAATGGAGAAATCTGCTTGGAGACAATGGCACTTGGTTCAACAAAATACCCATTTTCAGAACCAAAAGGCTATCCAAGCCGATTCCTCTCATCAGCAAGTCTATTTATGGTTGAGGCTAAGGCTGCATAAATAAGATAAAAATTAATATAAAAAATTTAAGTTTAATTTCTGTATTATTGATATTTAGCATCCAACTTAATTTTAAAATAAATAGGACTTGAAAAAATATAAATGAAAACTGCAAATCTCTGTTGAGATTCCTATAAGACAGCTGCTCTAACCATTTTTTTCTGTCTGTGTTTCTGGGTAATAACGATCTATGATGGTGCATAAATTATCCTGCAGGTCGTTCAATCGAACTGAAGGGAGTAAAGAAAAAAGTTCTGGTGAAGGAATGAGCTTGACATCAATCATTATGATTGCATCAGGAGCTGCAATTTTAGGCATAATTGTAGCTGCAGTGCTTTATAAAGTGACGAAAAATCAATTAAGAAAGAAAAAGATGCCATTGCTATCGGTAAGTGTTCACTCTTCAGAGGTACTTCATTATAATGATCAATCCTCTTCAAATCCAAGCTTAGTAGAAAGTGTGAATGAGTTTTCATCGGATTCAATATTAAATGAACCTTTGGTTGAGATAAAGCCTGACTTTATAGTAGTCCCAGCAAATTTATCACAATATGCTAAGAACTAAGTCAAGATTATTAATCCCCCAAGCTAACCATTAAAACAAACCCTAATTTAGAAGACCCCTCTCCACACGAGCAAAGTTTTGTTGCAAAAATATTTTGCCATATAAATGATAAGATATATGAAGTTAATTCTATTGAATTGAAAACACTGCATTCCAAAGCAACTAAACTTATTATTACTTTCAATTTTGGAATTTGAAAAAAATATTTAAAAACAAAAACTTAAACTGTGGCGAGAAAAATATTCTGACTGCTCAGCTCACAGCGAAGAGTTAGAAATATTCCTTTTTTAATAAAAATATAAACTTCTGTTTTATGAAATACATTTAAATAAATTCTAATGCTAAATTATCTATTAAAGGACATTGGCCATATCGTTTTTGCAACTAAAAAGCCAAAGCCCCGCCAAGGTCGGTAACAAAGCCAAGCCATACTTGCCAAGCGACTGATAAATAGGAAGGTCTTTCCATGGTTTTTGGTTTATCCCGTAGGCCATTAGGAGTAAAATAGCTAAGTAAGGATAATTCAGCCAAGTTTCATGAGGATAGACAATTAATAAACCATGCCATGTAACTGGCGCCATGGCAAACCACGGATAATAAGGGAGTGACATAGCAGTCGGTAATCCAGCTAAAGTAATCAAATGATGAGCTAGGAACGAAAAATTGCAAGCATCTAGGCGGTCATATTGCATTATACATTTATAAAATAGTTTAGCTCCAAAATAATTGCCTTGAGTGCATTATTTTAATTAAAACAGGACTTAGGAATAAAAAATTAATTTTAATTTATTAAAAAAAGAATAATATATATATAGAGTCTAAACTGTAATAAAATATCATTGGACTCAATAGAACTCGGAATATCGTGTCAATGGTATAAGACTTCAAAGCCTTCTCATTCAATGTGAATACACTTTCTTGGATTCTTAAACGATAAAGGGTCAAAAGCACCAAAGGAATAAAAGAATAGAAGCTCCACCAATACCAAATTGTGGAATACCAGTTCATATTGATTCTATACGTAAAGGCTTTTGATGGGTTTAGAGAATATGGAATCGATTAGGATGACGACTAATTAAATAGAAAAACTAAAAAATTTATTAACTCCCCCCCTCCGTGAGTGAACAAAAAAATTTGTTCACTCACAAAGGGGGGTTAATTTTTTTTTAAAAAATTTATATATAAATTTTATAAATTTTTTTTTTCGAAATTTAAAAAAATGTCACTTCTATAAAAACTGGGAAAGCAAATATTAATTTAATTTGTAAAATTTATGTTTTAAAGCGCAATTTATTTAAAATTAAACAGAATTAGCTCGAGATTTCATTATAATAATTATCACTTATATGTCACAATTTTTTCCCATTAAAAAATTTTCTATTAAAAAAATTTTGGTTCACTCAAGGAGGGTGGGTTTTTGGGCAAAAATAGCGATTTTTCTAATGATTTTCTTCACTCACGGAGGGGGGAGTAAGAAATTTAAAGGTTTCATAACTCTGATAAGAAGTGATAATAAATAAGCTTCTTAAGAAAAATATTATTTATTAGAAAATTTTTGGCTCGAATTTTTGTGAAAGGGCCTGCAATCTGTTTTATTATAAGATCTTTAGAGCTTATAGTGGTAAGAGTCTTGCATTTTAAGAATTTTCTAGAAAAATAATTTCGAAATTTTAATGAATTTTAGCGCAAGGATTGCTAACTTATTATAAAAGGACTCAAAATATAAAATAAAGGTATTGAGGTGGTCAGTTTTTAATCAAGATCATGATAATCACACGTTCTTCTAATCATCATAAAATGTTCTATTCGATTGCCATATTTTTATTAATTCCGCCGCCAATTAAAAAGACTGGAAAATATTCCTCTTTGTTCCTTAAGTAGCGAGCACAATTATTTTTATGAATTATATGGTATATAGTTAATATTTTTAATGAATCTATAATTGCTTAACTGAATTTTAGGTATGTTGATCTAAAACATAAAGTATAATTTATATTAGGGTATTTTATTTTAAATATTCATAAAAATGGGATTTATTTTAATTTAGAAATCAAATATTTTTTATAATAAAATTAGCGAAAAACTAGCTCTCACTATCCAAGAGAGTTTAAGTATTTTTGTCAGCAGACATATATAAAATTCAGTTAAGCTTATTTAAAAAACCTATTTAAATATTCCCTATCCCCTCAAAATAGCTAATAATGATATTAATTCTTTTATTGGCATTAGTCTCATCCCAGCCAACGAAGCTTGAAGACCTAAAATCCCGCATTGAGTCAGGCAAAGCCCATTACAATACCTATGCTTCTATCAGCAATTGCAATGAAAAAGTTATGCAATCAATGCTTAAAAAATGCGATGACATGAACGAAGATATCCAGTCAGAGTTTGCTTTAAAATTAACGAATTGCCATTTAGAGCGTGTAGGATTTCCACTTTACGACTGCAGTCCTAAAAATCTGACTAACTGCTATATGAAAATGGACCAGAACACATTTTTGGCTTATACACAATTTTTTACTCATGCATTTGATCTTTGTGTTTATTTGAGCTTCAGTGCTTGGCAAAGCAAAACGTCTGCAACGATACAAGGATTGTCAGATTCTGCAGAAAAAGCGCTATATGCACTTGATTTAGCAGAAAAAACAGCAAAAGAGATTCAAATGGAGCAAGAATATGTCCAACGATGATTAGGAAAAATATATGACGGCATTAGCGAAATAGGGTATTTAGAAGAAATGATACTAGGCGAAGTATTTGATATAAAATCAATTCTTTTTTACATAGGATCATTCATCTTATGCATGCTTTTAACATCATGCCCAGAAACTTCCAACGCAAGAGTTAAGCTTCTTTGATTATTCTGTTTAGAAATCCTCATGGAAAAATTTTTATATTGATATTTCCCTTATCTCCGTCACATATCAGGGACAATTCGGCTGATTTTTTTAGTTTTATGCATCACAGTCATAGTATGAAGCGTTAAAACACACAAGCAATACGACAAAATGACTTACGAAATCTTAAAAGAAACCCTCACAAAAATAGGCAAAAGTGCATTAGAAAGCATAACACCCCGATATTCTAGCATAAAACAACGCAAAGAAAAACGCTATATGCCATCTCCACTTAAAGAACAGTGCTCCCAAAGGCTAAGAAAAATCCCTGAAGTCCATTATTTCCTTGAAGAAGATATCAAGCGAATCAGACGAAAAAGTGATGGAAATCTTGCTGAGCTTTTTATGTCAATTACGTCAAAATCAGCTAAAAAAGAGGTTTAAGTATTGGTAAAATATTTTTAATAGAAATACATCTAATAAAATGGTATTTCGTTTCCTGAGTCTGGACTTTCATCGCCGAATTCTTTAGATTGGTGGTCTGCTAATGGTGATCCTAATGGTTCTTCAATAGGAAGAGAAATCTAGGTAAAAATTACCCCAGAATCGTCTGAGTCTGAGTCTTTTCTTCCGGCTCAGAACACATATAAACAATATACATTGAAAATGTCTTGGCTCATAAGTCTGCATAAGAGGAATAAAAAGATGTTTACTCCTAAGCTTGCATGAGAAAATATTCTATAATTTATTATTATGATAATAACTAATATAGGAAAATCGGATAATTTATTTAAGAAAAATGGAATAAATCGACACAGTTGTTGTGAGGAGTCAAAATCTGGATCATGTTTTGGATCATCGATACAGTATTTCCAAATAAAACAATTAAAATCAAAACCCTGATGAAAATTATTACCATAATTCTTTTTCTCTGCTTGTGTTTATCATCAAACTGTTTTGTTTGAGAATTTTGAGTTCACGGGCCATTTTCACACCTAAAAGAAAGAAAACTACGGTTAGCACAAGTCCGCTTGACCTTAAATATATCCAAATCCCATTTGTGCAGTCATAAATATTTTGGTTCGACCCACTAGCTGCTCCAATATATACCATAAACCCAGTTAAATATCCTATATTTGCTATTAACAACGAAAATCCCATAATTTTATATCCAAAATTATATAATTGCATACTATCTCTATTTATTACACTCTTTTTCAATTTTTTTACAAATTAGCATACATTCTTCCTTTTTTCATTTTCGATGCTTCTCCTGAAAAGTAGTAAAATACTAACTCTCCTCCCATCCTTGATCAAATAGCTCGCCATCGTTCGATCAAGGATGGGGGCTAAAACAAATTTTATTTTTATACACTTTTAAATAAGAGGGCTAAGATTATTTAATAATTATCTTTACAGCAAAAAATTGAATTAATTTCATAAAAATACCAATTTTAATATTTTGATTTTTCGGTTACCTCTTTAAACTTTATAAATTTTAATTTGTTCTTTATTGAATTTTTAATTTTAAAGAATCTCTATTTTTTAGATTATTGAGTTTTTAAAGCCCAGGCTGATGACTAAATCACTTCGGATGGTTGATTCCGTAGCTTCCTGTCGTCTCAAAGCCTCTGACAACAACTTCATTAGGCACATCTTCCCAAGCTTTTATAACTAATATATTTTTATATACATAAAAAATTTGCATGATATGAAAATCGTTCGATTAAGGATGGGGGTTAATTTTCCCAATTTTTAGGAATTTTTACAGTCAATCGTTCGATCAAGGATGGGGGATAGTAAAGTGTTTTCTATGAACTGTAAATATATCATAATCATAAACATAACATTGAATTCTTCATCAATAATCATGTAATGACAAAACATACAAATTGTTTGGAGCACCTGGATATAAAGTATTGCCAATATTTTGTTTGCGAAGATTCTAAATAGCTTTATGTGCATCATTACTTGATATCCCTGATTTTAAAGTACTGTCGCGAGGAATTCAAGAAAAGAGACCCCAGCTAAAAGATAGGCAACACTACACCATGCTACTCCAAGTGTTGAAATGCAGGTTGCATAAACCATTTTTGTGTTATTAAGTTTACAACAATTAAGCGAACTTTTAGAAGAATATGAAATGAGGAGTTTTGCAGAATAGCAAAATAAAAATAAATGATTATGGCATATGGCATTTAAAATAGAGGCTAGATAAGCTTATTTTTAATTTCGAGCAGATTCTCGAGAAATTGCATGGTATCTGTTTTTTTCTCTTGAATAAAATACAAATAGTAAGCAAATGATCATAATCAGCAGGATAATTATGATTGATCCTATTAAAACTGGGTATGTGTAAGACACTTCTGAATCCAAGCTGCATCTCTCTCTGACAGGCGGCTCATTTCTGAAGAAAATGCATTTTTCTCCTTCAGTATGCCAGATTTCTCTATACCCATTGGTGCAGTGCCCTCTTGTTGTTTGAATATTTTCCAGGTTGCACAGCTTACAAGCATTTCTTGTTTTCCATTCAAACTCATGCTTGCATTTATCGATTTTTTTAAGCTGAGGCCAGCCTTTACTTATCTTTTTATCACAGATAAAATTGATCTGCAGTGAATAATTATTTTTATTGTCACATTTATCACCATTTCTATAATTCACTACAAAACCATTAGGAAGTTCTAAAATCTCGTCCATTGTCCTCCCCATATTCACAATCAGCTGATTTTGGCATAAATTCTCTTTGGTGTTTGCCAGTGGAGGGTCTATTAAAGAAAATGCATATCCTAAGCTTTTTTGGTATAAGTATTCAAATTCAGGCAAATAAAATTCTGAAGCATTGAGGACAGAGATATAAAAGTTTTGGGTTGAATGAGGGACTTCAATTGGGCCCCAAAAGGACTGATGAGTGTATACTAAAAGTTCATGGTCTCCAGAGTTTTCGATTAAATTTTCAATGTGGTAGCTGCCTTCGCCTAAACTAATATACCCGATTCCGACGCATGAAGCGCGGTCTGAGCTTGATCTGGTATTTTGAGGGCACTCTACACATTTTTTGCCATCATATGAAAAATAATTGGGCTTGCAGACAACACATTCTGAGTTCTCACTGTTAGGAGCGTAGCCAGGAAGACATCGGCGGCAAAAAGCACTTCCAGGGCCACTGACAAGCTCTTTGTCACATGATACACATTTAGAAGCTCCTCCTTCTAGTGATCCTTCAATACTAATTGTATAGATCCTAACTTCTTCATTTTCTGCGCCAATTTTATAGATTCATCTTGCTACATGTTGGCCAGCAGTTAGTGCTATGGTACTTCAATGCCTTCCTTTTTCTGTATAAACCTGTATCTCTTTTCCATCAATATACAAAAACAGCCTCCCTGTCATTGCATAAAGGATTTCATATTCAAATTTTAACGACCCATCCTTAACCAAGCTCATCTTCCTTGTCAATCCTAGCTCCTCCTCAGGATCTACAATCCCAGTGGTCAGATATCCAGAATTCGCTTGCCAACCTGACACAAATTTGCAGTGATACCCTCTATAAGTAGAGCAATCAGTCTCAAAATCGCTTGGAAACTCATACCAGTCCTTCATTTCTATTGTATTAAGCGAATGTGTGCCACTTGGGCATTGGTGGCAAATATGGTCATACTCTGTCTCTACTAAATAAGTCCCTGGAGGGCATGGGGTACATACAGTAGTTTCTGTATGAGGGACTAAAGCATGGTAAAATCCAGAGCTGCAGACTTCACAGCTAAGCCCTGGTTCTCCGGCTGGTAAAGAAATACCTGATTTTTTGTCACAAATCATAGGCTCTTTTCATTGGTAAAATTTTCGCCTTTTATTATTTTCGCATTTAGAATAGTGCATTTTATAGTCATTTTCTGTGCATGGGAGTCTATCAATGCAGGATCCTATTCCGATTGAGCCTTGGTAAGAGTATGTGCCGTCTGGGCAGGGCTTACAGATTCTGTTTTCAAGATAGGTGTCTTTTGGGCAGACATCACATGAGCTTGAGCCTTTGGAGCTGGACCCAAAAGGGCATGGCAAGCATTCGTAAGATGCATAGTCTGTTCCGATGATTTTTATGTAGAGAATAAAAGCTCTTATATCGATGTCTTCTCCAGCTAAATTCGCGGTGTATGTGAAGTTTATACTTTATTATAAAGGGAAACCTTAATATTCTATAGGAAACTATTAATTTTATTAGAAAACTTGGTTTAAGGCTTAATTAAATTGATAGAAATTTTTATCAATTGTATAACAAATGATTTCCTTTTGCTATTGTGAAATTTTTATATTTCCATGTAATTGCATCTATCTCGCTATCAGAATACAACTGCTTTATCCCTGTGCTGAATGCTAAAGCTCCATTATTACTCCCTTTATAAATTCTTGTCATCTTTTTGTACTTATACGAAACTTCTCCGTTTTTTACAAAATGCACAGGCATTTTGAATTCTGTCCTATAAGGTCCTAATATATTAGAAAGACCTGTCTTTAAAAACGAGTCATAGTACGGCGTCCATGATATACAGTCTTCATTAATGTATTCTTTGCCTTTTCAATATGCAAAACATGTAGAGTCTGCATTTCTTACATAATCAGTTCAAGGTATTCCGCCTTCTCCAATTCATATTCCACCTCCTAAGCTATAAGTTCCTTCAGGGCAGTCAGTACAAATTAAATCATTATTTTTAATGTCCAGTACCTGCCCTGGATCGCATATTATGTCACAAGGCAAACCATGAATAGGGTCTGGAGCAGTCTCATTACAGTCATTTTCTGCATAAAAAACAACGCTCATTTTCCCATTTGCGCATTCTGTGAAGTGCTTTTTTATTTGGCAAGCTTGAGATAAGAAAGATAGGATAAAATAAAGCAAAACCATTTTATTTTAATGAGTTTATTAGGACAGTGGTGGGAAATTATTGAAGTCTTGGGACATTTTATAAAGAATTGACATTTGGATGCCAGATTTTAAAGCATAGTCAGGGCCAGACATACCGAAACCATCCCAGCAGGCGTGAGGGTTTATGTCAGTCCATCTTTGAGCTTGTGGATAAATAATAATTATATCGTTGGATTCAGCCCATTCATTGTACCCGGCGTTAGCTATAAATGAATTTTAAATCAACTCTATTTGAACTTTAGATGTGCAGTTGCTTGAGGAGCTTTTTTCTTAGTCTTGTTTGCTACTCGAGATTGCTTTTTCAGTTTGCCGACTAGATCACTCCTTCTATTTCCCTTGAAGCCATTTGAAAGCCCAGAGATATCCAGAAATACTAGTGGTCTGTGTGCTACTTTGCTCTTGCCCAATTTTCTTTTAGTAACTACTTGGTTTTAATGTCCTGCCTTTTTTTAGACAGGAGAAAATGGAAGCTTTTGCATAACAACTGGGCATGTAAAACTTAATCCTACAAAAATAAAAGTTGAAGGAAATTCATGGGACGCCCTCTATCCAAAGCCATTTTAATTTCGGTAGCTATAAAGACAGATCCTAAGTAATCATAGCTCATTGCGCAGCCATGGAGAACCATATGGATTCTGCATTGCTTTGTTTTACAGTTTGCAGGGATATACTTGTAGCCAATGTCTGCAAAGCCTGCATTATAGGCAATGCCTTTGAGTAGCGCGCTAAGCGCCCAAGGCTTCCCGACGAAGTCTGGGCGGTGGTTTGACCAGCTGATGTTGGTCAAACCAACATCAAAATGACAAATTCTTCTCATATAGAAGATTTGTCAAATTGGATGCTGGTTTGACCAACATCAGCTGGTCAAACCACCGCCCAGACTTCGTCGGAAAGCCTCGGGCGCTTAGCGCACTACTCAAAGGCATTGCCTATAGTTATTCCGTATGCAGTTTGGCTGAATTCTATTAGATTTTGTAAATTCTGCTGAGTTTTTGGGATTAATTGGCCATAAATCAAGCTGAGAATTTCTCCAGCTGCATCAATTTGGCAATTATTGACATAAGGCCAGCTATATATCCCGCATTGATTTCCATAGTGATTTGTTATGAATCCATGCGCTGCAGGAGTATCAAATGAGCTTACAATGTTTTCTTGAGGAATATACTCTTTTTAATTTGCCTTTGTCCTATTGTTTCAGTACATAATATTTTAGCACAAATAATTTTTTTGATTCACTATTGGTTTTAAGATAAATTCTGAGCTAGCAAGCTATTTTGACACTTAAATTATTTTTATAATGAGCACATTATACTGATCTATAGCTCTTTTCAGTGTTTCCTAGAATAATTCATATAAAACTCCTTGACTTTTTTCGCAACCCCGACATCTATCATGGTATCATTGGTTCCTCCAAAAATCCAAACCTTGCTATTTTTCAGATTTATTGTATCGTCTATATCCCCTTGCTTTGAAAATTGATCTGTATATCTCTTCAGGATTTTTACATCAATAAGATAAGGAGAAGTCGTGCATGCGAATTTCGCATAAAGTTTATGATTCATAGCACAGAAATAAGGGCCGCCTGACATAATCCCAGCTCCTACCACATCTTTGGAAAACGCAACATGCATTTGAGAGGCCATAAAAGCGCCTGAGCTGAAGCCAGAAATTGAAAATTCTTTGGAAATCGCAATTGTTGCAAAAATTCATAGTAAAATAAGGCTGATTCTCATATTTAAAATGTCCATATACCCCAAGGTGTTAGGAATTAATTAATTATCTCAAAAATGTAAACAATTAAAGCCAAAAACTTTCAGTTTCGCTTGGTTTTGATAGTTCTGTAATTCTTCTTCTCAGTTTTCCCTCTTGGAATGATCTGTTTTCATTTGTAGGGGACATGCTGCTGTCTTCTCTATAGCGACTAGGACTTTCTTGAGCACGCATAGGGCTTTCTTCCCTGACGCGATTAGGGCTACAATCTCTCATATACTATATAATAATGAATTTTCTATGAAAAATGTTAAATTTTCCTTTAAATTGAAAAATCATTTTTTTGAAAAATAAAATTTAAGGCAGAATAAATTCTAATTTGGTCTTAAAGCTGCCATATCTCCTTCTGCTTGTTTCCACAATTCGTCTTGGAGTTGATGGCTTGTTTCGTTTTATGTACAATAATAATTTGTCTCTTGCTTGTTTTGAAGCTAATTTAAACTGATTTGTGTCTTGCTCTGAAACTTTATTTATTTCTTGTTGGCTTGCTAATCTTATGAGCATATTTCGCCCTTGAAGCTTTAATTTAAAATTCTTTTTTATACCAAAATGCTATAAATATTAAATTTTAATGAATTTTTATATATATATTTAGAGGCTAAAAGGATAAATCTTCAATGGTTTCTTCAGGAAACAGCGAAAAAACATCTTGTTTTTTGAAACTCGCTATAACTGCATACTCACTGGAAACTCTTATCGTAAACGAGCTTGGCTGCCCAAAAAATATGCATTCTTCATTAAAACAAGTCCCAACCCCCAATTTTACTACATTTTTCCTATATTTTACTCCAGATTCTATTGTAATTGCAGCTTCTCCATCAAAAATGAAATACAGCTGTTCACTTAAATCCCCTTTACTTACTCATCTTCTATGATTAGCAAGTTTTTGCTCGCAATGAAGGAGGTTAAATTTTTTATATGAAAAATCCCATAAAAAAATAATTTATTTTTTAAAAAAATTCTTTTAGGATGCATATCTAAAATAAAATAATCTTGAAATCTTATTATTATTAAAATTAATTATATATATAAAATTCTATTAAAAAATATAACACATTGGCTCATATGAATTTTCAGCCGGTTTTGCTCATCAACCAAAGAGGAATTTATAATCAAATCTCCTCTTTTACAATCATCAAAATGCAAAGAATATGCCACTCTTTCTTTAAAACTGTGAGAATATTTCCCCACATGTGGAATAAATTGCTCCACAAAATGCCTAGCTTTTTCTAGCTTGGCAAACACATAAACACCTAAAATTCTATTGAAGTCTTCTTGAGGAATCATAATCATATTTGTATGTTTACTTGCACAGGCTGTGAGGGATCGAGGCAAATTTCGTACAAGGCCTCTTTCTCCAAGCTGCTTGCCGACTGTTGCTTTGCCGATTAATTTTAAATCTTTTCCATGCTGGGCAAATATGTAGCATTATAATGAATTAAATATTATTGTCTTTAGGTAGCTATTTAATTAATTATTTAATAGAAGAATACATCAACTTCTCCTGTTAATATAAGGAAAAATTTGTTAGGTGGGTCTCCTTTCTGAAAAATTGTTTCTTTCTTTTCATAAACTTCTAAAGACATTTGTCTGCATAACTGTAATAAAGAAACTTGATTTAGGTGGACTGCGTAGGATCTGTAGTCTTCTAGACAGTATAGGTAGCGGCTGAGCCATTCTAAGTCATCATAAGTCCGGTCTTTGTTTTGGAGGATTTCAATCGCCCTTGGAAGCTCTAAGTCCATGTTGCAAAATTAAGTTATAGTTATTAATAACTTAGCTTATAGTCTTTCAGATTTACTGCTTCTGCACGCTTGTAACGATTGGAACCCTATTCCTGGAAGAATTCAGCCGACTAAACTCTGTGTGAGCAGCGGTCTATTTCCGAGACCTGGAGCTAGCACTGACGTCCCTAAGTCTCAAGGGGTTAAAAAGACTCCTCTTGCTTCATGTCTTGTGTGTTTTATGGAGAGAGAACTAGAATTATGCTATTTGCGAAATTTAGTAATTATTTATTGAAATATAAAAGGTTTAAGCAGCATATATCTGTTTATAGTAAATGTCCTAATGGGTATTGCTATATAAAAAGATAATGACTAATTATTAGAAACGCATATAATTCATTTTTCAGAAAACCCAGTCAAAAAGACCCAATGATGAGTTTTTACTTATGAAGTCTTATATTAAGCTAATACGGTTTGAAGAAATCATTCACAAAGACCTGCCAAATTTCTATAACCCCACTCGCTTTTCCTTTATATTTTTTTAAAGCTTATGCCCTTTATAGGCTAAATGAATTAAAAGAAGCCAGAATTATTTTACAGCTGAAATTAGAAAGGTTTTTGCTTCTGGGAAAGCTTATGTTGGTGCTATAATAAGGAAAAAAATATGAGGAAGCGTTTTTATGGTTGAGTTGTGTTCCGATCTATGAGTCTGAGCAAAAAAATAAGGCTGATTATTCTGCAGATGATGAGCTTATGATTCAAAAAATACGATAAGCAGTGCGTGGAATATTTGGAATAGGCCGCTGAGGTTTGATTTTAAGACAGATGATGATACAAAGCCTTGAACTAGTAGTGAAGAAGCCTCGTTAGAAAAATTAAAATTATTGCAGTCAGCTGATTAAACCATTGTGAAAAAAAAACTATATATGCTATAATAGTGATTAAAAAATTTTTAGATATTTTATTTTATATAAAAATAGATAGCTATTAGAAGATTTTAAAAATGCTGAAAATGTGCATAAAATTTTAGTTTATATGGAAAAACATGTGGAATGATAAAAATTGTTAAAATTTAAAATGAAACTTTTTATGCAGAATAATGATGAAATTTAAATAGGAACACTTCATGAGAGAGATAAGTTTAGTATGATTAATATAAGCAGCCAAGAAATTCTTACTTTCAGCAAATCATTAATCAAATCGGCTGCCATTATAAATTTATTATTAGTTTTTTAAAAATTTTATGCGTTAACCGCTATGATAGAGTATTCAATATATTAATATATATATATACATATCCTTTAAAGAATCATACATTTTTATAGGGCTTACTTTACCAAAACAGTATTTTCAATAGGCTTAGCAGTTTGGGGATTTAGGATTTTACAGACTAAAAGTTGCTTAAATCTTACATATTATCAAAATAAACTAATATTAATAAAGCTAGCAGAGAATTAATTGTTCCAGAATAAAGGATTTTTTTGAGGTCTCTATCAATAGAGTAGTGCTGATCTCTGCACAATTGATAGTAAGTTGATGAGCAGGAGTTAAGCTCTTTTAAATTTGATTTAAACTCATCTAAACTCATATTCCAATTTTTTATATTAGTAATAAAGCTTATCTGCTCCTCATTCACTTTATTTGCAAAGTCTCCAAATAAGATTGATTCTATTTGCATTCCTCCTTCTTTCTTTTCCTCTTCTTTCAGATAACTATCATCTCTCTTAGCCATAGGATAACGCTCATCTTTATCTGGAGTATCATTTTCAAATAAATACAGTCCATTTTCAGTTTTTCTCAAAATATTTGCTAATTCATGCAAATAAGCGAATATATTTGCACACTCACCGAATGATTCTTTCTTCTTGTTTATTGCATTGATTAGAATAATTCCTCCTAAGACGGTCACACTATGAATTTTTAAAGGTAAATTTACATAAAATGTTTTTTCTTCAAATCCAACTGCACTTGTAAGATCATACCCATACTCTGTAAAAGCTGCGCGTGCCACTGTAGATTCCACAATTGATAAGAAAAGAACTTTATCAGATCAAGAAGCAGGCTTACAAACGCTTCCAATCATTTCGGAAGAATAAGAGTTAGCTTCAGTCAAAATATTATTATGAACGCCATGCTGAAGATTCATGACAAAAATGGCTGTAAATAGTGACACAAAATACAGGCGGATTGGATATAGAATATTATTATTATTATTGAATATAATTTGAAATGGAAATGAGGTTGATAATTTTTGTAGGATCTGCTTGATAAAATTAGCTTCATTTGGTAAAAAAGTTTTTGCGAGAATATTTGGAACACCTTTTTTGATTAATACTGAGCGAATTCAGCATTCTATTTTTGTTGCATCATTTAGCTATATTATATTCAGCCTAACGACTTATCAGATAGCGAATTTATGACTGGGAATCAGAATTATGAAAAAGGATTGTTCACTTTACAGATATTTTTAATAGCTTAATTTATATAAAAATAAGTCTATTATAAGGCTCCATTAAGTTTTTACTATTCAAAGATTTATTTCATCAATTTTTATCCTATGATTTTGATAAGATATATTATTTTATTGAATTATAAAGCTTGGTAACAATGAATCCATGAATGCACGCTCCAAAGAAAAGATTAAAAAAGGTTGCCGAAATGCTCAGCAGTATATTTTTTTAAAAATTATGTATTTTTTTAAAAGAATTTGGTGTTCTTATTAGCCCAAACAAGAAGTCACATATCCTTTAAAAATAATTTTGTTTTATGGATTTACTTTTACAAAAATATTATTTTCGATTTTAAATTAAAAGTTTCTTAAATCTTACATATTATCAAAATAAGCTAATAATCTCTTATTAATTAAACTAGCAACGAATTTCTAGCATCAGCAAGAAGTATTTATATGAGGTGTTCTATCAATAGAATAGTACTGATCTCTGCATAATTGATAGTAAGTTGATGAGTCAGAGTTGAACTGCTTTAATTTTGATTTAAACTTATCTAAACTCATATTCCAATTGGTTATATCAGTAATAAAGCTTATCTGCTCATCATTCACTTTATTTGCAAAGTTCCCAAACAAGATTGACTCTAGTTGCATTCCTCCTTCTTACAATATTATCTTAAAATAAGCTATTTGTCTAAACAAAAACATATGGTCAATATCATCTGCATCCTTTGCTTTTTTTAACTCTTCTGATGCTAAATGCATTATAAATTCATATAAACTTGGTATGTAATAACTAATTTGCTCAATTCAAGTGCAATAATTATCGATCTCTCTACGTGTGAATGTATTTTCTGCCAAATAATTCATCAAATAGTATAGATATTCCCTTATTATCTCTCTTTTATTTGTGCTTTCTCTGGCATTACTAGCTAAAGTATATATTATCATTTGTTTTATTACAGTTTTATCTTTTCCTTTTCCAGCAGCTCCAGTTGAGAGCTTTTTAAAGTAAATGTCTAAAAACTCACTCATATATAATTGAGAATTTAATTGATTGTCAACAAAAGTAATTAAATAGCGCCATGTTTTGCCCTTTTTAAACAATTGATCAACAATTTGGGCAAATTTTGGATACTCAAGTGAGCTGCCTATATTCGCATAAATCATTAATTTTTCGTGCAAGCTGAGTACAGTAATGATTTTATCTTCGTTAATATCTGGATTAGCAGAATAGAAGTCAATTAACTTATCGAAGCAAACAACTGTAAATTCATATGACTGAGAGCACAATGTTAAAAAGAGGGATATATCGTGCTCATTATTTATATCAAACATGAAATTTCAAATTTTTTGGAAAAAAGTATCATCTTCTTTTAATTCAGGTATTCATACACAATTATATTTTGCTAGGATTTCCATCAAGCATACCAAATCTTGCCTTGAACGGATTTTTTGAGCCAGTAAATATCACTTGCTGCTTTTGCGATTTCAGCATTGAAAAATAGATTAAAATTATATTCAGCCAAGCTACTCATAATAAGTAAATAAAGCTCTGCCCATAAAAAGTCATCTTTTTCTTGGATCAATCAGTCCAAGAAAAATCTAAATTTTTCATTATTTATTAAGCTCACAGTTTCCTCTAGATTAAATCTTATACCGAAAGTTATCAGCAAAGGCAATAGTTTGTGAGACTGGTCTTCTGTGTTATAATAAAGTATATCATAAGGATCAAGATGCTCCCAATCTAACTCTTCCAGCAGCTTAGTTAATTCTGTTTTGACTCTATCCTTAATAAATTCTGGAAGATCAGTGCTAACTTTGCAAAGGAACTCAAGAACGATATCAGCATACTCTGAATCGACTAAATCTTTGAGACTGGAGTAATCCACACATCCTAAAAAGCTTGGATACCCAACGCTCATAAGCACTTTGAAAGCTTTTTTTGGCTCAGAAGAGATTCAGCTTGTGAAGTTAGCTTCATTCAGAATTAAATCGAGCTCGTTCGCTATGATATCTTGGTTTCGGGAGTCTAACGATCTTATAAATGTTGCTTGATTCGAAGAGAAAAAATCGATTAGGCTAGAGGGAAGGCTTTTTAACATATTTAATAATTATTATTAGAGGAAAACCATTTGCTAAAATTATAATTCTTTAAATATTGGATTTATAAATTTTAATCACTTCATTTTTATTTTATTTTCTTATTCCTTGATTATCAAATTATTCAGAAAATCAAGTACAAGTCTAATTAATGAAATTTATCTCTATATCAAAATCTCACTTCCCCCCTCCTTTAAATTGAAACAAAAAATTTTGTTTCAATTTAAAGGGGGGTTAAGAAAAATTTTTTTATAAAAAAATTTATATATAAAAATTTTTTCAGAGATAAAATTTTATGGTTCATTCTGTGTTTGATTTTTAATTTTAATTTCATGAAAAATTAATTCATAAATTTCTCAATCTCAAAGTGTAAACTTGCTGAAATTGTATTCTTCTAACTCCCCCCATAACAATTGGACAAAATAGAGTTTAATTTCTAAATCTTATATGTTTTGAAGCATATTAAATAGGGTATTAACGTATTTACATATAAAATAATGATTTTTACCTATAAAATTTTCTATTATAATAAAATTTTGTTTCAATTTAAAGGGGGGGTAATTTCCCAAAAAAGTAGGAATTTTACCTATAGAGGTTTTCCTCTATATAGCGCTGAAAGCGCAGACATTTTCCCAGGAGCTTTCCAAGTTCGTCGGACCAAATCGCTTTTTGGTCCGACCAAGGCATTGATTTGGTGCAACCAACCGATAAATTCCGATCAGAATTTATCGGCCTTACAGCGCCAAACATAGGAAACTTCTATATATTTTGTTTCAATTTAAAGGGGGGGGGGAAGTCAGATTATCTGAATATGTGCCTATTGCAAAAAAAATTTCAAAAAAATCTTATATAAGATATAAATTACGGTTTAACGCTCACTTATTGAGCCAAATTCTTCTCTAAATTTATTCGGATTTTTAAGATTTCTTTAAAAAAGCCATTCACATTTTTGTTGAGAGCTTCTATTTCCCTTCAGCATTTCTTTTTCATGACTGTTCAAGCCTTCAGCTGTATAAAACTATCTCTGTCAATTTTAGCAATGAGAAGTGATCCTTTAATAATCCCTTCAAAAATTCAGTAATCTTTATCCTGCTTTCTTCATATGCTTCACATTCTTCAATTACATGTACTTCATCTTCTACCGGCTTTCCACAGAATTTGCAATCAGGACTGTCAATAATGTGCCTAGTATATCTACACTGATTGGTATAGAGGTTTCCTCTATATAGCGCTGAAAGCGCAGACATTTTTCCCAGGAGCTTTCCAAGTTCGTCGGACCAAATCGCTTTTTGGTCCGACCAAGGCATTGATTTGGTGCAACCAACCGATAAATTCCGATCAGAATTTATCGGCCTTACAGCGCCAAACATAGAAAACTTCTATAAAGTTTGAGCCTGCCCTTAATCCAAAAATTATGCTGGTTGCTCCATTCATTGCTGGAGTGCCCCGCAAATATAGCGGCAGTCCATCCTTTGGTTCGCTTCCTATCAGAGTCCTGTATAATCCAGTTGTTTTTCATGTTTCAGTTGGCATTCTTTCTATTTTTTTGGCATCAGATCTCATTTTCATCTTACTTCAATGATCATTGATACCATCGTCAGGCAGCCCGTATTTTTCTTGCACCTTTCTGCATCTTATTTCCCATGGTAATAATCATTGTTTATTAATTTGTAGTAAATCCTGGATGATCGCATTCCCTTTGGTCTGTAATCTACATCTGAACGCTAGCAATCTGTTGTCCAGCTCCGTTTCAATGCTAACTATGTCTGCGTCATTTAATACAGTCTCGTTGCATGCATTCCTGGGCGCTCCAAGTAGTCTTCTGGCATACCTTCTCTGAAGCCGCTCCATCATTTCTAAAACGCTGTTGTAGTTCTCAGATGTAGCAAACACTTCAGTGCCATATAGTGCGACTGTGTTGATGCATGCTCTAGCTATCGTCTTCTTCTTTTCTATCCTTACGCCTTTCATTGCATGCAGCATTCCCATGAATGTTCCAACAGAGGCTTTCATCTTCCCCAATCTCTCTTTTAAGTGTGTAGTGTTTCCAATCCTCTTGTCAACCAGGTACCCTAGATACTTGTAGCTATTTATGACTTGGAGCCTTTCCCCATTGATTTCTATCCGCGGTCTATCTCTGGAGTGATAGACAACAACATTCGATTTTGCAATATTTAGGAGAAGTTTATATCGATTCAGCCAGTCTTGTACTACCATGCACATCCTATTTAGCTGTGTCGATGATTCCGCAATTAGCACTACGTCATCCGCATACAGGAGAAGCCCAATCGTTTGCCCTCCAGGAATTGCAACACCAAGCTTTTTATTTTCTAATTCTCAGGCTAACTCGTTCGGTATAAAATTAAAACATAATGGCGATGAGCAGCCTCCTTGTCTGACTCCCTTGTTTATACTGATCCATTTGCTTAAACGGCCATTTATGATGATTGAGCTGCTTTCGTCTTTGTACATTTCTTGAATTATCGCAACCAGTTTTGAATCGATGCCTCTATCCAGCATTGTTTTAAAAAGCAGACCTCTATGTACCGAGTCAAAGGCCTTTTTTAAGTCTAGATATGCACAATACGTTGGCTTGGACATTTTTTCTCTGAGCGCTATTATGGTTTGAAGGCTAAAGATGTGCTCAGTACAGTTTCTGCCTGAGATGAAGCCCGCTTGAGAAGGGTGAATGATATTCTTTTCTGTGATATCTCTGCGTAGTCTCTCAGTCACCAATTTGTCAAACAGTTTGTATATAGCATTTATCAGAGTGATCGGCCTTAGATTTTGAGGATTTTTGCTATCTTTCACCTTCGGAATCAGCACAATATGCGCTTTCTTCATGAGCAGAGGTAGTTGGGTATCTGATCACATTTGATTAAATAATGTCTTCAGAGCCTTCACCATAGCACATTACCAAAATAGTATTTTCAGTAGGATTAGTAGTTTGGGGATTTAAGATTTTACAGACTAAAAGTTGCTTAAATCTTACATATTATCAAAATAAACTAATATTAATAAAGCTAACAGCGAATTACTTGCTTCAGAATAAAGGATTTGTATGAGGTGCTCTATCATTCGAGTAGTACTGATCTCTACACAATTGATAGAAAAATGATGAGCAGGAGCTAAGCTCTTTTAAATTTGATTTAAACTCATCTAAACTCATATTCCAATTTTTTATATTAATAATAAAGCTTACCTGCTCCTCGTTCACTTTATTTGCAAAGTCCCCAAACAAGATTGATTCTATTTGTATTTCTTCTTTCTTTTCCTCTTCTTTCAGAGAACTATCATCTCTCTTAGCCATAGGATCACCCTCATCTTTATCTGGAGTATCATTTTCAAATAAATACAGTCCATTTTCAGTTTTTCTCAAAATATTTGCTAATTCATGCAAATAAGCGAATATATTTGCACACTCACCGAATGATTCTTTCTTCTTGTTTATTACATTGATTAGAATAATTCCTCCTAAGACAGTCACACTATGAGTTTTCAAAGGTAAATTTACATAAAATGTTTTTTCTTCAAATCCAACTGCACTTGTAAGATCATACCCATACTCTGTAAAAGCGGCTTGCGCAACTGTAGATTCCACAATTGATAAGAAAAGATCTTTATCAAATGAAGAAACAGGCTCACAGACGCATTTAATCATTTCGGCAGAATAAGAGTTAACTTCAGTCAAAATATTATTATGAACTCCATGCTGAAGATTCATAACAAAAATGGTTGTGAATAGTGATAAAAAATACAGGCGGATTGGATATAGAATATTATTATTGAATATAATTTGAAATGGAAATGATGCTGCTAATTTTTGTAGGATCTGTTTGATTAATTAGATTAAGCCGTCTATAGCAGGGACAGGAGTTTGCACCCCTGCACAGGCATCGCTCTCAAGGAGCTCTGGCGGACATCCTTCCTTGTTACTTCAAACAAGGGATTCGTGTAACCAATCTTGACTTGCATGGCTTCTGGAGTCTAAGGGCCAACCACCTGGATCGAAACTTCGGAAAAATGCCATGTCTTGAGTCGTGTTCAAGAGAATCAGCTTCCACTCAGGACTGGATGAGAAAGCCCAAGTCCCATAGATTAGCTCCCTGGGGCCCGAGTAAAACCTAGCTCGATATAAAAAAAGAATTTCCTGCTCCTTTCAACCTAAATCCCGTTATTTACTGGTGTTGAAATAAAATAGGATCGAGAGGTCGAGTGGGACTTCGTCGCCATTTTATGTATATGTAGAATCTGCTTGATAAAATTAGCTTCATTTGGTGAAAAAGTTTTTGCCAGAATATTTGGAACACCTTTTTTGATTAATACTGAGCGAATTCAGCATTCTATTTTTGTTGCATCATTTAGCTGCTCATGCCCAATTTTAAAAGGATTGCTTTCTTCAATCTGACTGTCTATGTAGTTAGCTACGGCGCTACTCAAAACGTCTCTGTCACTTTCTTCTCTATCGCTATCAAGATATGCAACTATATGTTGAAAAATTTCTAGTATTTCTTTTGGATTTCCCATGTCCTTATTTATAGTTATATCAGCTATTTCTGCAAACAAAAACCTATGGTCAACATCATTTGCTATTTTTAACTTTTCCGATGCTAAATGTATTATAAATTCATATAAACTTGGGATGTAATCAATAATTTGCTCAATTCAAGTGTAATATTTTACGTTCTCTACAAGTGTGAATGTATTTTGTGCAAAATAATCCATCAAATAGATTATATAATCTCTTATTATTAGCTCTCTTTCATTTGTGCTTTCTCTGGCATTATTAGTTACAGTATATATAATCATTTGCTTTATTACAGTTTCTTGTTTTTCTATTCCAACAGCTCCAGTTGAGAGCTTTTTAAAGTAAATTTCTAAAAAGTCACTCATATATAATTGAGACTTTAGTTGATTGTCAACAAAACTGATTAAATAGTTGTGTGTTTTGCGCTTTAAAAAAAATGGATCAACAATTTTGCTAAAATTTGGATAATCAAGTGAGTTGCCTATATTCTCAAAAATCATTAATTTTTGGTACAAATTGAGCATAGAAATCATTTTATGTTCACTAATATCTGGACAAGCAGAATAGAGGTCAATTAACTCATTGAAGCAAAGAACTGTAAATTGATTTGACTGAGAGCGCAATTTAAAAAGAGAGATTCAATATAACTATTGTTCCAGTCAAACATGAAATTTCAAATTTTTTGGAAAAAAGTGCCATCTTCTTTTAATTCAGTTAGGCACAGGCATTTATCATTTGTTAGGATTTCCATCAAACATACCAAAGCTTGTCTTGAATTAATTTTTTGAGCCAGCAAACGGACTCAATTTCTGCTGTTAAAATTTCAGTATTGATTAAATAGATTGGTATTATATTCAGCCAAGCTACTCATAATAAGTAAATAAAGCTCTGCCCATAAAAAGTCATCTTTTTCTTGGATCAATCAGTCCAAGAAAAATCTAAATTTTTCATTATTTATTAAGCTCACAGTTTCCTCTAGATTAAATCTTATACCGAAAGTTATCAGCAAAGACAATAGTGTGTGAGACTGATCTTCTGTGCTTCAATCAAGTATATCATAAGGATCAAGATGTTCCCAATCTAACTCTTCCAGCAGCTTAATTAATTCTGTTTTGACTCTATCCTTTATAGATTCTGGAAGATCAGCGCTAACTTTGCAAAGGAACTCAAGAACGATATCAGCATACTCTGAATCAACTAAATCTTTGAGGCTGGAGTAATCAACATATCCTAAAAAGCTTGGATATCCAATGCTCATAAGCACTTTGAAAGCTTTTTTTGGCTCAGAAGAGATTCAGCTTGTGAAGTTAGCTTCATCCAGAATTAAATCGAGCTCGTTCGCTATGATATCTTGCTTTCGGGAGTCTAATGATTTTATAAATGTTGCTTGATTCGAAGAGAAAAAATCGATTAGGCTAGAGGGAAGGCTCTTTATCATATTTAATAATTATTATTAGATGAAAACCATTTGTTAAAATTACAATTTATTTAAATATTGGATTTATAAATTTTAAGCGCTTAATCTTTTATTCATATTTTCTCATATCAAATTATTCATAAATTAAGCAGTCAATGATGATCAACGCGTTTGCTCTCAATGAAATATATCACTATATCGAAAATGAGATTATCTGAATATGTGGTTAAGAATATAGCATACTGCACCCCCGCAAAAGCCCTCTTCGCTAATACCCTCATCCCTTTTATTTCATATACCTATATTTTATTCTAAATATTTTATTATCAAGTCAATTTTCACTAAATCACTGTTAAAACTAAAACAATAAGTCAACGAAATATATTTTATTTGTTGTTGAATTTTCTCAGAGCATTTACACCTATAAAATCATATGGGCTAAGGATGAGAAATTGCTATCTAATAAATCAGCAAATATGCTAAAACTGCACACGAGCTATTTTGAAGCTAAAAACTCTAGAATCTTTAAATAGAAATCATTAGAATAGCTTGAGTACTGCTAATATTATTTTATTATCAATTGCAGTACAGTGTTCTAATTATAATTCATCTAGATTCTCTATAGCATGCCAATTTATGGAGTGGGAGTGCTACCCGTATAGAATGGATTTTATAAAGTCCAATAAAAATTCAAAGTGGAAAATGCTTGCGCTTAGCAACTTTATATCCAAATTACGGCGAGCGATATATTTCTATCATTTAAATGCTGTCTAAGCGGCTTCCTTATAATTTAACTGTTGACTCCGAAGTTTCAAATAATTTATATTAATTCGAAGCTATGCCGTATAAATATTATACTCAGCCTAACGACTTATCAGATAGCGAAATTTCTGACTGGGAATCAGAATTAATTGATTTTGTTAAAAATTTAACGAAAAAAGTGTATAATATTAGTTAAAAATGATGTTGTGGACTCTTTAAGGTTTGATTTAGTGCTTTATGCTGGAACTATGATATTTATATAAAAATAAGTCTATTATAAGGCTCCATTAAGCTTTTTACTATTTAAAGATTTACTTCATCAATTTTTATTCTATGATTTTGATAGGATATATTATTTTATTGAATTATAAAGCTTGGTTAACAATGATTCCATGAATGCACGCCTCAAAGAAAACATTAAAAAAGGTAAGCCGAAATGCTCAGCAGTATATATTTTTTAAAAATTATGCATATTTCAAAAGAATTTTGTGTTCTTATTAGCTCAAGCAAGAAGTCACATATCCTTTAAAAAATAAAATTTTTTTTATGGATTTACTTTTATCGAAATATTATTTTCGATTTTAAACTAAAAGTTTCTAAAATCTTACATATTATCAAAATAAGCTAATAAGCTCTTATTAATTAAACTAACAACGGATTTCTAGCATCAGTAAGAAGTATTTATATGAGGTGCTCTATCAATAGAGTAGTACTGATCTCTGCATAATTGATAGTAAGTTGATGAGCCGGAGTTGAGCTTTGCTAATTTCGATTTAAACTCATCTAAACTCATATTCCAATTGGTTATATCATTAATAAAGCTTATCTGTTCGTCGTTCACTTTATTTACAAAGTTCCCAAACAAGATTGTCTCTAGTTGCATTCCTCCTTCTTTTTTTGCTGCTTCTTTCAGAAAGTTATCATCTCTCTTAGTCATAGGGTAACCCTCATAAAATCGTTCAGATTTTTCTGGAGTATGATTTTCAAATGAATACAGGCCATTTTCGGTTTTTCTCAAAGCATGCGCTAATTCATGCAAGTAGGCGATTATTTTTACACACTGAAAGAATGGAGTTTGCTCCTTGGTGACTAAATTTAATAGAATGACTCCTCCTAAGACAGTCACTCCATGAGTTCTTCGGGGTAAATCTACATAAAATGTTTTTTCTTCAAATCCTTTAGCATTTCTAAGATCATACCCATACTCTGTAAAAGCGGTGCGTGCCACGTTAGATTCCACGAGTGATGAAAAAAGAACTTTATCAAAGAAAGAAATAGGCTCACAAACACTTCCAATCATTTTGGCAGCATAAGAGTTAGCTTCAGTCAAAATATTATTATGAATGCCATGCTGAAGATTCATGGAAAAAATGGTCATGAAATGGGACACAAAATAAAGTCGAATTGGATATGGAATATTATTATTGAATATACTTTCAAATGGAAATGAGTTTTCTAATTTTTGTAGTATCTGTTTGATAAAATTAATATCATTTGGTAAAAGTGTTCTTTTCATAATATTTGGAGCACCTTTTTTGATTAATACTGAGCGAATCCAGCACTCTATTTTTGTTGCATCATTTAGATGCTCATGCCTAACTTTAAAAGGATTAATATCTTTAATTTGACTGTCTGTGTAGTTAGCTATTGTGCTTTTCAAATAGTCTTTGTCACTTTCTTCTCTACCACTATCGAGATATGCAGCTATATGTTGAAAAATTTCTAATATTTGTTTTGGAATTCCAATGTCCTTATTTAAAGCTATATCAGCTATTTCTGCAAACAAATATGTATGGCGATGATCATTTGCTTTTTTTAGCTTTTCTGATGCTAATTGTATTATATATTCATACAAACTTGGGATGTAACGAATAATTTGCTTAATTGAATTGAGGTAATTTCCGATCTCTTCATGTGTGAATACATTTTCTGCCAAATAATCCATCAAATAGCGTATATAATCACTTATTATTAGCTCTCTTTCATTTGCGCCTTCTCTGGCGTTGTTCGCTAAAGTATATATTATCATTTGCTTTGTTACAATTTCTTCATTTCCTCTTCCAGCAGCTCCATGAGAGAGACTCGAAAAGTAAATTTTTAAAAAGTCACTCATATATAATTGAGACTTTAGTTGATTGTCAACAAAACTGATTAAATAGCGGCTTGTTTTGCCCTTTATAAACAATTGATCAACAATTTGGGCAAATTTTGGATACTCAAGTGAGCTGCCTATATTCGCATAAATCATTAATTTTTCGTGCAAGCTGAGTACAGTAATGATTTTATCTTCGTTAATATCTGGATTAGCAGAATAGAGGTCAATTAACTTATCGAAGCAAAAAACTGTAAATTCATCTGACTGAGAGCACAATGTTAAAAAGAGGGATATATCGTGCTCATTATTTATATCAAACATGAAATTTCAAATTTTTTGGAAAAAAGTATCATCTTCTTTTAATTCAGGTATTCATACACAATTATATTTTGCTAGGATTTCCATCAAGCATACCAAATCTTGCCTTGAACGGATTTTTTGAGCCAGTAAATATCATTTGCTGCTTTTGCGATTTCAGCATCGATAAAATAGAGCAAAATTATATTCAGCCAAGCTACTCATAATAAGTAAATAAAGCTCTGCCCATAAAAAGTCATCTTTTTCTTGGATCAATCAGTCCAAGAAAAATCTAAATTTTTCATTATTTATTAAGCTCACAGTTTCCTCTAGATTAAATCTTATACCGAAAGTTATCAGCAAAGACAATAGTGTGTGAGACTGGTCTTCTGTGTTATAATAAAGTATATCATAAGGATCAAGATGCTCCCAATCTAACTCTTCCAGCAGCTTAATTAATTCTGTTTTGACTCTATCCTTTATAGATTCTGGAAGATCAGCGCTAACTTTGCAAAGGAACTCAAGAACGATATCTGCATACTCTGAATCAACTAAATCTTTGAGGCTGGAGTAATCAACATATCCTAAAAAGCTTGGATATCCAATGCTCATAAGCACTTTGAAAGCTTTTTTTGGCTCAGAAGAGATTCAGCTTGTGAAGTTAGCTTCATTCAGAATTAAATCGAGCTCGTTCGCTATGATATCTTGGTTTCGGGAGTCTAACGATCTTATAAATGTTGCTTGATTCGAGGAGAAAAAACCAATTAGGCTAGAGGGAAGGCTTTTTAGCATATTTAATAATTATTATTAGATGAAAACCATTTGTTAAAATTACAATTTATTTAAATATTGGATTTATAAATTTTAAACACTTCATTTTTATTTATATTTTCTTATTCCTTGATTATCAAATTATTCAGAAAATCAAGTACCCAAGTCGAATTAATGAAATTTATCGCTATATCGAAATCTCAGATTATTTGAATATGTGACTAAGGAGATTGTAAAGAATCAAACATTTTTAGGGGTTTACTTTTATCAAAATATTATTTCGATTTTATAGACTAAAAGTTTCTTAAAACTTGCATATTATAAAATAAGCTAATATTAATTAAACCAACAACGAATTACTTGTTTCAGAATAAAGGATTTGTATGGGGTTCTCTATCAATAGAGTAGTACTGATCTCTGCATAATTGATAGTAAGTTGATGAGCTGGAGTTGAGTTTTGCTAATTCTGATTTAAACTCATCTAAACTCATATTCCAATTGTTTATATTAGTAATAAAGTTTATCTGTTCATCATTCACTTTATTTAAAAACTTCCCAAACAAGATTGACTCTAGTTGCATTCCTCCTTCTTTCTTTGCTGCTTCTTTCGGAAATCTATCTTCTCTCTTAGCCATAGGGTAACCCTCAAAAAATGATTCATCTTTTTGTGGAGTATGATTTTCAAATGAATACAGGCCATTTTCGGTTTTTATCAAAGCATGAGCTAATTCATGCAAGTAAGCGATTATTTTTACACACTTACAGAATGGTGTTTTTTGCTTGGCTATTGAATTGATTAAAATGACTCCTCCTAAGACAGTCACACTATGAGTTTTCAAAGGTAAATCTAGATAAAATGTTTTTCTTCAAATCCTGCAGCACTTCTAAGATCATACCCATATTCTCTAAAAGCGGCGCGCGCCACTGTAGATTTCACAAGCGATAAGAAAAGATCTTTATCAGATGAAGAAACAGGTTCGCTGACGCTTCCAATCATATTAGCAGCATAAGAGTTAGCTAGAGTTAAAATATATCATGAAAGCCTTGCTGAAGATTCATGATAAAAATGGTCGTGAAATGGGATACAAAATAAAGGCGAATTGGATATAGTTGGAACACCTCTTTTGATTAATACTGAGCGAATTCAGAACTCTATTTTTGTTGCATCATTTAGCTGGTCATGCCTAACTTTAAAAGGATCAATATCTTCAATCTGATTGTCTGTGTAGTAAGCTATGGCGTTATTAAAAGCGTCTCTGCCACTTAATTCTTTATCGTTTTCGAGATATGCAGTTATGTGTTGGAAAATTTCTAATATTTTTTTTGGAATTCTAATGTCCTTATTTAAAGCTATATCAGCTATTTCTGCAAACAAATATGTATGGCGATGATCATTTGCTTTTTTTAGCTTTTCTGATGCTAATTGTATTATATATTCATACAAACTTGGGATGTAACGAATAATTTGCTTAATTGAATTAAGGTAATTTCCTATCTCTTCATGTGTGAATGTATTTTCTGCCAAATAATCCATCAAATAGATTATATAATCACTTATTAATAGCTCTCTTTCATTTGCGCCTTCTCTGGCATTGTTCGCTAAAGTATATATTATCATTTGCTTTGTTACAATTTCTTCATTTCCTCTTCCAGCAGCTCCATGAGAGAGACTCGAAAAGTAAATTTTTAAAAAGTCACTCATATATAATTGAGACTTTAGTTGATTGTCAACAAAACTAATTAAATATTCGCATGTTTTCTCCTTTGAAAACAATAGATCAACAATTTGGGCAAAATTTGGATAATAAAGTGAGCTCCCTATATTTTCATAAATCATTAATGTTTCGTACAAACCGAGCACAAAAATGATTTTATCTTCTGAATTAGTAGAATAGAGGTCAATTAATTTATTAAAGCAAAGAACTGTAAATTGAATTGACTGAGAGCACAATTTTAAAAAGAGAGATTCAACATAATCATTCCCACCGTAAAACATGAAATTTCAAATGTTTTGGAAAAAAGTACCATCTTCTTTTAATTGAGTTATACATAGGCATTTATCATTTGTTAGGATTTCCATCAAACATACCAAAGCTTGTCTTGAATAAATTTTTTGGGCAAGTAAACGGACTCAATTGCCGCTGTTGATATTTCAATATTGATTAAATAGGTTGGTATTATATGCAGCCAAGCTACAAATAATAAGTAAATAAAGATCTGCCCTCAAAAAATCATTTTTTTCTTGGATCAGTGAGTCCAAGAAATATTTAAATTTTTCATTATTTATTAAGCTCGCAATTGACTCTATTTTATATCTTATACTGAAAGTTATCAGCCAAGACAATAGAGTGTGAGACTGATCTTCTGTGCCTCATTCAAGTATATCATAAGAATCAAGATGCTCCCAGTCTAACTCTTCCAGCTGCTTAATTAATTCTGTGTTGACCCTATCCTTAATAGATTCTGGAAGATCAGCGCTAACTTTGCAAAGGAATTCAAGAACGATATCAGCGTATTCTGAATCAACTAAATCTTTGAGACTGGAGTAATCCACAAATCCTGAAAAGCTTGGATACCCAACGCTCATAAGCACTTTGAAATTTTTTTGGGCTCAGAATAGATTCAGCTTGTGAAGTTAGCTTCATTCAGAATTAAATCGAGCTCGTTCGCTATGATATCTTGGTTTCGGGAGTCTAACGATCTTGTAAATGTTGCTTGATTCGAGGAGAAAAAATCGATTAGGCTAGAGGGAAGGCTTTTCAGCATATTTAATAATTATTATTAGATAAAAACCATTAGTTAAAATTACAATGTATTTCAATATTGATTTATAAATTTTTAACTTATTCCTCGCTTTATCAAATTATTTTGAAAATTAAGCATTCAATAATGATTAGCGTGTTTGCTCTCATTGGAATTTACCGCTATATCGAAATTCCAGATTATTTGAATATGTGGTTAAGAAAATAGCATAAAGAATCATGCATTTTTATTGATTTACTTTTACTAAAATATTATTTCGATTTTATAGACTAAAAGTTTCTTAAAACTTGCATATTATCAAAATAACTAATATTAATTAAACCAACAACGAATTACTTGCTCCAGAATAAAGGATTTGTATGGGGTTCTCTATCAATAGAGTAGTACTGATCTCTGCATAATTGATAGTAAGCTGATGAACCGGAGTTGAGCTTTGCTAATTCTGATTTAAACTCATCTAAATTCATACTCCAATTGTTTATATTAGTAATAAAGTTTATCTGTTCATCATTTACTTTATTTACAAAGTTCCCAAACAAGATTGACTCTAGTTGCATTCCTCCTTCTTTCTTTGCTGCTTCTTTCGGAAATCTATCTTCTCTCTTAGCCATAGGGTAACCCTCAAAAAATGATTCATCTTTTTGTGGAGTATGATTTTCAAATGAATACAGGCCATTTTCGGTTTTTCTCAAAGCATGGGCTAATTCATGCAAGTAGGCGATTATTTTTACACACTTACAGAATGGTGTTTTTTGCTTGGCTATTGAATTGATTAAAATGACTCCTCCTAAGACAGTAACTCCATGAGTTCTTCATGGTAAATTTACATAAAATGTTTTTTCTTCAAATCCTACAGCACTTCTAAGATCATACCCATACTCTGTAAAAGCGGCGCATGCCACTGTAGATTCCACAAGTGATAAGAAAAGATCTTTATCAAATGAAGAAACAGGCTTGCAGACGCTTCCAATCATATTAGCAGCATAAGAGTTTGCTAGAGTCAAAATATTATCATGAACGCCTTTCTGAAGATTCATGACAAAAATGTTCGTGAAATGGGACACAAAATAAAGGCGAATTGGATATAGTTGGAATACCTCTTTTGATTAATACTAAGCGAATTCAGAGCTCTATTTTTGTTGCATCATTTAGCTGCTCATGCCTAACTTTAAAAGGATCAATATCTTCAATCTGATTGTCTGTGTAGTAAGCTATGGCGTTATTAAAAACGTCTCTGTCACTTCCTTCTTTATTGCTTTCGAGATAATCAGCAATATATTGAAAAATTTCTAATATTTGTTTTGGAATTCTAATGTCCTTATTTAAAGCTATATCAGCTATTTCTGCAAACAAATATGTATGGCGATGATCATTTGCTTTTTTTAGCTTTTCTGATGCTAATTGTATTATATATTCATACAAACTTGGGATGTAACGAATAATTTGCTTAATTGAATTGAGGTAATTTCCTATCTCTTCATGTGTGAATACATTTTCTGCCAAATAATCCATCAAATAGTGTATATAATCACTTATTATTAGCTCTCTTTCATTTGTGCCTTCTCTTGCATTGTTCGCTAAAGTATATATTATCATTTGCTTTATTACAATTTCTTCATTTTCTCTTCCAGCAGCTCCATGAGAGAGACTCGAAAAGTAAATTTTTAAAAAGCCACTCATATATAATTGAGACTTTAGTTGATTGTCAACAAAACTAATTAAACGTTCGCATGTTTTCTTCTTTGAAAACAATAGATCAACAATTGTGCCAAAATCTGGATAATAAAGCGAGCTCCCTATATTTTCATAAATCATTAATTTTTCGTACGAATCGAGCACAAAAATGATTTTATCTTCTGGATTAGTAGAATAGAGGTCAATTAATTTATTGAAGCAAAGAAGTGTAAATTGATCTGACTGAGAGCACAATTTTAAAAAGAGAGATTCAGCATAACTATTCCCACCGTAAAACATGAAATTTCAAATTTTTTGGAAAAAAACGCTATCTTCTTCTAATTTCGGTATTGATAGACATTGGTCTTTTGTTAGGATTTCCATCAAACATACCAAAGCTTGCCTTGAACGGATTTTTTTGGCCAGTAAATGGACTCAATTACCGCTGTTGAGATTTCAGTATCGATAAAATAGAGCAAAATTAAATTCAGCCAAGCTACTCATAATCAGTAAATAAAGCTCTACCCATAAAAAGTCATTTTTTTCTTGGATCAGTCAGTCCAAAAAATATCTAAATTTTTCAGTATTTATTAAGCTCACAGTTTCCTCTATATAAAATCTCATACCGAAAGTTATCAGCCAAGACAATAGTGTGTGAGACTGATCTTCTGTGCTTCAATCAAGTATATCATAAGGATCAAGATGTTCCCAATCTAACTCTTCCAGCTGCTTTCTTAATATTGTGCTGACCCTATCCTTTATAGATTCTGAAAGACCAGCACTAACTTTGCAAAGGAATTCAAGAACGATGTCAGCGAATTCTGAGTCAACTAAATCTTTGAGACAGGAGTAACCCACATCTCCTGCGAAGCTTGGATACCCAACGCTCATAAGCACTTTGAAAACTTTTTTTGGCTCAGAGAAGAATCAGCTTGTGAAGTTAGCTTTATCAAGAATGAATTCGAGCTCGTTCGCTATGATGTTTTGATCTCGCGAGTTTAACGATTTTATAAATGTTGCTTGATTTGAGGAGAAAAAATCGATTAGGCTAGGCGGAAGGGTTCTTAGCATGCTATTTAATAATTATTATTAGATGAAATCCATTAGTTAAAATTACAATTTATTTAAATATTTAATTTATAAACTTTAAACACTTCATCTTTATTCATATTTTCTTATTCCTCTCTTTATCAAATTATTTAGAAAATCAAGTGCCCCAAGTCTAATTAATGAAATTTATTGCTATATTGAAATCTCAGATTATCTGAATATGTGGTAAAGGAGATGACAAACTACACCCCTGCAAAATCCCTTTCGCTAATAATTTCATCCATATTATTTCATATGCCTATGTTTCATTCTAAATATATCAATTATTAAGCCAATTTTTGCTAAAATCAATATTAAACTGAAATAATAAAGCAACAAAACATATTTTATTTATTGATGAATTTCTCAAGCATCTACACCATATGGACTTAGGATGAGGGATTGCCATCTAATGAATCAGCAAAGATGCTGAAAACTGATGCGAGCTATTTTGAAGCTAATAAACTCAAGAATCTTTAAATAGAAACCCTTAAAATAGCTTGAGTGGTTGCTAAGTGATTTTGTGGACTCACTTTTATTTTTTGCGCGAAAATGGGAGCAGTAATAATTGGCTATTAATAAGATTTATTCACTTTCAGATATCTTAAATAGCTTAATTTATACAAAAATAAGTCTATTATAAGGCTGAATTAAGCCTTTAACTATTCAAAGGTTTACTTCATCAATTTTACCCTATGATTTGATAAGATATATTATTTATTGAATTATAAAGCCTGATTAACAATAACTCCAGGACTGCATGCCCCTTCTATTTTTTTGCTATCAATTAATAGCGAATTCGGGTCTACAACCTTGACGTTTCAATACTCAAGATTCTATATAAATTTTACATTTCCCTCATAATTAATTTGCATTTTTGAAAGCAAAGGATCTCCTATATAAAGAACTGATTCAAAAGTAATCAGCTGATGGATTTGTGAATTTGTGTTATAAACACTTAAGCTAACGAAAGCTCCTTGAGAGTCACAAGCTATAAAAACTGCAGGGGTGTCTTCAGGATTATTTGTGATGTTTCCTAGCACTTTACATATTAAGATTTTCGCTTGATTTTTCCCACTGTTAAGTAATGCTAAATGAGCTGCATGGTAATTCTCCCCAAATGGTTTACTTTTTATTATAACTGGTATGGTTCTTATCATCGCCATTAGCGTTTTCTTTTTAATCCCACAACTTGAACTGATTTTCTGGCTAACTAAACTAACTCTTTCCATAATTTGGCTTATTTGGGCTTGTGAATTGAGATTTGGGTCTAATTCATGAGCTTTCTGAAACTCTGCAATAGCTTCTTGATACCGTTCTAAATACCTAAAAGCTTCTCCTCTATTATAATAAAGATCAGGATTTGGGGTTTCCATTAAATTTTCTGCTTGTCCATATGCTTTTAGAGCTCTATTCAGTTCTTCTGACGACGGTCTATTAATAAAAAAATTCGTCAAATGTGCATTGGCAAGGACATACCACGAGTATCCATCTTTTATATCAAGCGCCAATGCTTGTTTTGCCAATCCAACGCTGCCTGACACATTATTTTTTCTTTCTTCATTGTCCCCGACAAACCTTGATATCATTGACAATTTTCTTAAAATTTCTTTATTTGGCCCTGTTTGTTCTAAAGCGCCTTCAAAGCATCTTTTGCTTTGTAAATAATCCCCTTTTAGATATAGCATTTCGCCCATCCAATTTCAGGCGTCTCCATTTGTGGGGTCTAGTTTGACACTTCTGGTTAAATTTTCTTCGGCGTTTTTGTCGTAGGTTTCAGGATTTGCTGAAGCGCGGCCTTTATAGTAAAGTAATTTTGCTCTGGCGGATTTAGGAAGATTATTAAGAGGAGGAGCGTTATCGATTAAACTGATGATTTCTCTTGAGAGGATTGAGGCTTGTTCAGAGTTTTTTGAGATTTGCAGTTTATTGAGATCGTCTACTTTGGCTTGGAGTGAAGCCAGCAACTCTGAAACTGGATTTTCTTCCATTTAATATTAAACTTTAGCAAAAATAATTGAAACTTGTATTGGAGTAAACTTTATCTGATATAGCCTGTTTTATTAATTATGCACATTAGTTAATAAAAACAAGGAAAATGGAAACAAACAAATCTTTATCGAAAACTATTCTGAAAGGAAGATTTATTTCTCATACTAGAAACCCACAAAAATCTCAGTCCTTAACAAATTTTAATTTTAAAGCCCCAAGCAAAAAAAAATCAAGTACTTTGAAAATTTGTGACCCGTTGAAAATTACCACACCGATTAAATTAATTTCAAAAATCCCCAGCGTCGATCAGCCCAAAATTCTTGAACAAGACCTATTAAATTTCCAGAAAAAAATCGCGCTTCCTACCACCTATATCGCGTCCTTAAAAATAAAAGTGATAGATGATGCTTTGGAGCCTGGGCTGTTATCTCCTCCTGGCTTCAAACAAAAAGATATTAAGCCTTCTACAAACCCTGGCCATGACCGAAGAAAAGCTTTATCTATGAACGACCTTGTATTACCATCTGTAAAAACAAGAATATCAGAACCGTTTCCTGATTCACACATTTTATCATTACAATCCCTGCAATTTATTATAGGAGAGATGAAAAAACCTGTCAGAGATATTGAAAAAATATATAACTTTTTATAATAAATTAAAATATTGATATTTCTTATACTAAATAAGACTAATTTACTATAAAAAAGGCATATAACATGACTAGACGCTTGAAATTTTTTCTTCAATACAAGGCAGATATCGTTAAACAAATGCTGAGGGTCGGGGAATATGAATTTTACAGTAAAGGACAAATTATTTTCAGAGAAGGAGAACTCGGGAAACATTTATATGTGATTTTAAGAGGATCAATAGGAGTCCAAAAAGAGTCAAAAAAGCCAGGAGAACTTGCTTATATAATTAATTCAAGATATGATGGAGAAGTTATAGGTGAGTATGCAATTGTGAGAGGAAACGTAAATAATGCGGCTGCACAGAGAAGTGCGACGTGCTTTGCGGCTGAGGCGTGCCATATGATTAAAATTGCAGCTGAGGATTATGTGTTTGCAGTTAGTGCAAATATTGATATAGAAAGCAAAATTCTTCATTTCTTGAATGGGTTAGGACCGTTTGAGCATATTGCTCCTATTGATTTGGCGCTGCTGGCGAATACTTTGAATAAAGAGTATTTTGGTCTTGATGCAGTTGTATTAGGAGCTGGGATGATTCCAAAAGGAATGTACATAGTTTATTCAGGTAGGGTAAAAATTACTTATCCATTTAAAACTCCAAAATACTCCAAAAATTCAAATAAAATCACTTACTCCCTCCTTTTTGAGCTAGCAAAACCATTGGAAAAATATTTTTTGGGTAAAAACCTATCCTCTATGAGCGAAAATTGTTTATGAAAAATTATTTTGATATATAAGTGACAATTATTATAATGAAATCATTAGCTAACCCTGTCTAATTTAAACAGTCTGCACTTTAAAACATAAATTTTACAAACTAAATTAAAATTTACTTTAAAATTAATTATTTCGATTTGGAATTTTTTTAATTTTGAAAAAAAAATACTATATAAATTTTTAAAAAAAAAAATTAATCCCCCATCCATGTCGAACAGAATTGTTTTCTTCGCTCGTCGTGGGGGAGTTATAAAAACAGCATCAAGGATTTTTATCTGCCAAGAGGAAGCTATTTCGGACAGCGAATCCTTCTTGGTGAGTATCAGCCTGCGAAGTATTCAGTGATATCCGATTCAGCACAAACATCAGTATTAGTGATCACCACTCATGAGTTTAATTTACTTTATAACCCCAATAAAGAAGACACTATTAATTATTTATCAAAATCACACCAATTTGATATTGATATACCTAATTTATAATAATATTAATTAAATTCTACTGATAACTACGAGGACCTCTGCAGGATAAGTAATATCATAGACATAAATTGCGAATTCAGATAAATACTATGGCCAGGAATTCTTAAAATTTTCATTTACAGTTATCAATCATATTTCTTCTTATATCTATATAATATTTAGCATATGAATAATTATTAATCAAAGCTAAAATTAAATATGTTGAAGGCTCATTCATGAAGAAGGGGTAAATATTTACATAGCAGAATGCTAAAATAGAAGTTAGTCTTTAAATATAATGAGTCATTATTTTTATTGAATTTCAAGATTATCAGTTAATTTATTAATATACAGTCTGAATCGCAAATTTCGACTAAAAATGCCTTATATATTGTAGCATCATCTTTTTCGGTCCTTGATATTTTTTAATTTCAAATCAAAAGACTTTATTTCTTCTTCATTATTTTGAGCATCCAATAATTCTCAATTTTTTTGGGATTTTTTATGAATTTTTCTCATCAGCATAAAATCAGTGCTTTTTGATCGAATTTTTTCTCTTTCACTTTCAACTCTACGAAGGCTTCTATGCCTAACTTTCTCAAATAATTGTTTCTTTGAATTTACGCTTTTCAAAGTGCTTACTCCTCCGTGAGTGAAAAAAAAAAAATTGGTTCGCTCACGGAGGAGGTTAATTTTTTTGTGTTGGAAATTTAAAAAATCACAATTCGCAAAAATTGGAAAGCAAATATTTATTTAATTTGTAAAAATTTATGTTTTAAAAACGCAATTTGTTTAAAATTAAACAGAATTAGCTAGAGATTTCATTATACTAATTATCATTTAAATATCAAAATTTTTTTTTCATAAAAAATTTTTGTTTTGCTCACGGAGGGTGGGCTTTTAGACAAAAAATAAGGACTTTCCAATGGTTTTGTTTGCTTACTAAGAAGGGGGTCAGCATTTTCTCATTCAACCTTTTAACTTCCCCAAATTTATATCTATGTGGCTGTGGCTGATTTGCATAAAAACTGCATAATCCTTGATTCCTTTTAAAACCTTTGGGATCTTCTGTAACAAGTAGTCACTTTTTTGAAAATCCGCATTTTCTTCTGACATGTGGGCATTCTAACTGTGAATAATCAGCAGCTTGACTGAGTGGCAAAGTATGCAAATCAAAAGAAGTTAATTGTTTAGATATTGAATATTCTTGATGTGTAAAACTATCATTATGAGAAAGCCGATTTTTTTTGAGATCTGACATGAACCCATGAGGTGATTTCTCATGCCCAGCTATAAGAGAATTTTTTGTATCAGTATTTAAAATATTGATAAATGACCCATGAAACGATTTCGGAGTTTCTTCACTTACGCCTAATTTCAGCTGTGGAAGAAATTTTTTTGATGGTCTTCGGTTTTGTGGAGTGTTAGTGCGGAGTGTATATTTTGATGCTAAATAGTCGGGTAAGTCAAAACTTGCTGTACTTTTTTGAGGTTTCATTATACAAAATAATTATTTAAAGTTAATCAATATTTTATCATCGTGGAACGTGAATCTTCCTGAAATAGGCTCATTGTTTGAGATCCCATCGCACGGTGATACCAATCCTCCAGTTTTGTTATTATCACAATATTTCTCAGGTTTCCCATCCTCTTCTGAAAATTTTTCTGAAATTCTGGTAGCTTCAATTGAGGGGCACACAAAATATTTTTGAAAACTTAAAGGACTAAATGCCCTCGCACGAAAACGCATAGGAAAAGTTTTCGCACATATAACGCTAAAAATGTTTTTAAAAATCGATCTTTTAGTGTAAGGATTCATCGATTTTTTCCAAGACTTTTTTATTATCTCGTTAGTAGTTTGCCCTGTAAATAGCAAATATGTGTGAAAAATGGTCAGCCCAAGCACAAACCACATCATCTAAATATTTTTTACAACCAAAGCAACTAGTAAAATAAACATAGTCGGCCCTGCTTTTTGTAAAGCATTTTGAAAAGCTTGCATTCCTCCATCGTCTTTTGCCTTATCTGAGACAACTACTAAATGATATATGCTGAATACCAAGTTAAAAATAACTAAAGAGCTTGTAGAATATAAAAATCCCATAAAAAACTTATAGTTTCTTTTTCCAATACAGTTTCCAACTCATGGGCAGTGGTGATCAAATTTTTCGACACAAACATCACAGTCTCCACAATGGGAGCTTCTGGGAGGCCTTAAAATGAGACCTAAATAATATATACAAGTTCTGCAGTATTTCATTTTAATTAATCTTCCTCCTACTTGGTATTCAAAAAAACCTTTATCTATTGCTGATAATTTTGTTGGATCTTGCTGCATTGCAAATGATAATGTAGGTGCACCTCTGGGGCCTACTGCAAATGGAGGCTCTTGTCTTGGTAAAAATCCTGGATTTGTAGTAGAGGTGATCACTTGAAGAGTTAATGATAATAATAAAAGCAAGGCACTATAAATAGGAACAAAGAGATAGTCTTCAGCAAAATACTTGCCTGGGACAGCTAGAAATAATATCCCCGGTACTAATATTAAAAAAAAGGTTATGATTGCTCGATGAACATCAGGACTAAGTAAACCATACCCTGTCATTAATTTCCCATCACAAAAGAACTTGTTATTGCCAGGCCAAGAAAGATAAGATCGTTGGACAAGGTCATCCATAGTGACTATAGGTGTTTTCCCTATATGACCGGATAAGAGCCGTGGGTTCTCGTGGAATCCCTCTGCTGGTTGAACCAACCAGTGAATTGGTCAAACCAATGCACTGAGTTGGCTTGACCAGCAGAGGGATTCCACGGAGAACCCACGGCATTTATCGGGCCATATAGGGAAAACTCCTATACCTAAATTTATGTTTTTATAAAACCCATTTTTATGCAGGAAAATTAATTATTAAGTCTTTCAAGTATTCTTGTTACATTAGCTGTGTGCTGGAGCCTATCTAAAAGGCTGAATTCTTGCGCTTTTGATAATTTTTTCGGCTTGTTTTTTCTTTCTATCTTCTTTTTCTCATCAAATTTCAAATCCTCCATCTTAGTCTGGCAATTTTTCAAAATTTTATCTGTTTTCACATCAAATGGAGATAAAGGTCTCCTTTTGAAGTCTTGGCTTGTATTCAGCAAATTTTTCATTTTTGTATCTATAACTCTTGATGTCTTGCTAGACGGAGTTAATTTATTACTTTTCGGAGGTTTCTGAGTAGTTGTCACTGCTCTCTGGAAAGGCGATTTTGTTTTAAAATTGATTGGAGAATATTGTTTTCTGAGATTTGAGTTATCGTACTCTTTTATAGGTGTCAAATCATATTTAACATTTTCAAGATTGCTTTTATAATGGTTGAAGGAGTTGTTACAGATGTTTTTGTCATCACTGATTTCTTTTGAAATCTTTTCAAAGCTGACGTCGTTTGACCTTGCTCCTGATTCTGTCCTTTTCTTCTCTAAGAATTTGATAGTAGAAAGAGCTTGCTGAGTAGCCATAGCAATGCTGCAGAGCAATGAGGTATTGTTAGGAGAAAGATCACGGATTTTAGTTTTACTTAGAGGCAGTTTTAGTTTTGGAGTAGAATCTCCATTTCTTTGAGTGTGGATCATGCATTCTTTTAGGCCGGCTCAGCTGTGCTCAATTTCAAATATATCGGATGCACTTTGGATTTTTGATAGCAGCTGATCTTTTTTATCTAAAGATTTTATGCGTAGTCTTTCTTCGTTAAGATTTCGAAGTCTAATTGACTGAAAACTTCGATTTGGGGTCTGGATGCCAGAATGGCATCCTTGAAATTTTATATTTTCATGCTTCATTTCTGTTAATTAAGTATAAATTTTTAGAAGTGAAATTAGGTCTACTGAAATCTATGCAAAAAAGTGTAAATAGTAAGCAAGAATTTATTCAGAGAGTTCGTTATATTTAACGAAAATATAAACTAATCACAGAATAAGAAAGATATTTAATTAAAATATATGGCTTTACTATCTTAAAAATTGTGGTAGGAAAGTTATTATAATGATGAAGCTGATTGGCGAGCTATCAGATTTTTATATTAGATAAATCAGTTAATTTAAATCCAAAATGTCGTAAATGATATTGAATAATTTGATAATCAGAAAAAAGATTTTCTCAATAAAAAAGCTTCTGTTTAGAATTTTTGCACATAAATGTCTTATGAATATATATTTAGCAATGTTTATAGTTTGTGTCTATATTGAATTAAACTAGTTTATTATACCAAAATTCAATTCTGTTCTCTCTTTTCAAGAAATTTATCAATCAAAAACCCGTTATCATCTGACATAACTCTTCCGCAATCCTTATTGTATAGAAATATGAAAACATAATAATCTCTCTCTCAAAATTATATAAAATCAGATATCAATAGATATTCCTCCTCAAATTAACCTCACTACCCCCAACACTAATAAGTAGCCATTCTCTACAAAATCATCCCCCCATCAATTAAATTTAATAACAAAATAATCCAATTTTCCATACAAATAAAATCATAATAAGATGGAAGGAGAGCTTGACAAAGGACAAGGAAAATACGCAACAACTGAATTCGGTTCTCTTGAATGTAATTTATATTCAGCTCCTGGGAATTTAGCAGAACATACCCAAAACTTGTTAAACTTAATGCAATCTGATGACGATATGGATGTCTTGACTGCAGTTATGCAATTATCAATGCATCTAGCAGTAGCGCCTGAAGAATCATTTTCGTCATTTCCGATGGAGCAAACAATAGCGACTCTTGTAGAATGCCTGCATCGGGATCTTCCAGATATCAGTCTTTATGCAATTATTTCACTCAATCATATCATGGATACTGTGACTAATTCTATTGCAATGATGGCAAATGCTGGAGGAGTGGCTGCTTTGTCAATGAAATTGATGAGCTTTGAGTACATTGATATGGCTGAGCATGCAATTAAAGCGTTAGAAAGGCTATCTTATGACAACTCAACGTCAGTGCTGAAAGAAGGGGCGTTTTCAGCGATGATTAATATGATGGATTTTTTTGAGCAAGAAACTCAAAAAAGGATTCTTTCTATTGCAGGAATTATTGCAAGAGCGGTGGCAAGTGAAGAATTAATGACTGAATACATTTTGCCTGTCGTCCCAGTAATTTCAACATTACTTCAATACAAAGGAAATCCATATTTTCCTATGAACCAGCTTGGCTTGCATTTCTTTTCAGGAATCTCAGAAAGCATTATTCGGCTTTCTGGAGGCGATCCTGAAGTGATAAAAAGATTTGCTGAAATCTATAGTGATAACGGTGTATTTCAAAATTTATTAGAATTATTGCCAAATGCTACAGGATTTCAAAGTCGTGTTTTGAAATTAATTATACCTATTTCCAGCGATATTTTCTATAATAAAATATGCTAAAATATATAGTCTTTAATTCATTGCAACCCATTATAGATTTTTCTGTGATTCCTCCCCAAATTTAGTATTAATGTTCCACAACTACGGCGGTGTCAGCATGATAAAAGAAGCTCTTGACATAGGAGAAAAAGAAAACGATGAAGGACTCAGAAGCTACTCAATGGAAGCCTTAGCACTTGTAGACGTTTTAATCCCTATAAAAGAAAGCCAAGACCCTCTAGACTTAGAACTCGTCAATATGTATATGAATAATCCCGAATTCATGAGATCTCTTGGAGAAGTTGTAATGCCAAGAATCCTCACAATTTACGAAAGAATCACAAACCGAAACAATGGCCACCTAATTCTTCACGTCATGGGGAAAATTCTCGCCCTTTCCGACCATGATTTTGTTGAGACTTATGTAACACCTGTCCAATTTTCCACATTTATTTCAGAAATTTTGTCCTGTAAAGACTCAGAAGCCATTAAAAGCGTCTTAAGCATCGTGGTCGTTTTATATAACAAAATCCCTCAGCAAGTCGCTGAAAACTTCGTCCGAGAAGGCGTAATTTCAAAAATCAGAGCTCTTCAAATAGAAGACGCTTTAAAAGACTTAAAATACCCTGTACAAGTATTCCAAGAAATCTTAGCCACAACGCCGTCTACGAATTTAAGGCAAGCTTTATTGAGATCTGGGATGTCAAGGGATCCCAAAGTCCTCGAACAAATTTTGGCAGAGATTAAAAAAACCCATAGGACGAAAAAAAGATCGGCCACAATTGATGCACAGTCTGAGCCAGATGAGCCCCTTTTGAGGAGAAAAATGACAGAGCCTGATGTACCTGATACTGTAAAGGAGGCTGCAAAAGAAATTTTGTGCCTGACTCATGAGGCTTTAACTAAACATTCTGTATTTGACAATCCTGATTATCAAAGTGTGCTGGCAGAGCTGAAAGATCTAGGTAGAGATTTAGAAACAGTTGAAGGGGAGTCAGGAAAACAGTTTTTAGGCCGCTTTATTGACTTGCTTAATAGTGATAAAGGGATAAGCCTGCATGAGCTGGACCAGTCAAACTTCTTAGACTCTTTGTGGAAGTTTTTGTCCCCAAATTAAATAAATTAAAGTAAGCCGGGATTTCCACCCTTATATGCTCATCGTCCCTGAGGGACCAGGTAGATACCCTTACTCGCCGCCGTAGGCAAGGGACTCGCACGACCGATCTTGACTTTCATGACTCCTGGAATCTATATGCCCATCACCTGGGTTGAAACTAACAATTCTCATTAGGCAGATGCCACCTCTTGAGCCCCTGTTCGAGGGATTTATCATCATCTCAGGCTCTTGCTGATCCTGCCCTTTCCAATGATAGTCTCGGAGTCAAAAACTCAGAGTCCCAAGGATCAGATCCTTAGGGCCCGAAAAAAAAAACTAGCCCGATATTTACAAAGGATTTATAGCCTCTTCTGCCCTTCCCCTCCACACTGGGCTGTTGCCTGCTGGTGTTGAAGTTAAAGTGTCAGGAGGTCAGGTGGTCTGTCATCATTTTTAAGTATACTTGTCCCCAAATAAAAGCTCGTTAACCATTTTGCATCGAATCCACGAATTTTTGGTCACAATTATGAAAAATAATCAAAAAGGCGAAAATAATTTAACTAGACTTATCTCGCTGTTGCTGAGATTTATTAGATATACTCAGCAGTTCCCTACAATAATTTATGAAGCCAATGGGGCATCAAGCTCGTTTACTGCTATGCGGACTTTAAGTAATAGAGCAAGGGTTACACTTGTATATGACGCTGAAAGATATGAGCAGCTTTCTTCAGAATCTAAATTTGAATTAGAAGCCAAACATCAATTATTTTTAAATATCGGACAGTTAGCTTTATCCTTACTCCCCCCCCCTCCGTGAGCGAACAAAACCATTAGAAAAATCGCCATTTTTTGACCAAAAACCCCACCCTCCGTGAGTGAACAAAAATTTTTTTAATAGAAAAAAATTTTTAATGGAAAAAAATTTGGATATATAAGTGATAATTAGTATAATGAAATCTAGAGCTATTCTGTTTAATTTTAAACAAAATTGCGTTTTAAAACATAAATTTTGCAAATTAAATTAATATTTGCTTCCCAATTTTGCAAATTAGGATTTTTTTAAATTTCGAAAAAAATATTTTTTATAAAATTTATATATAAATTTTTTTTAAAAAAAAAAAATTAACCCCCCTCCGTGAGCGAACAAAATTTTTTTGTTCGCTCACGGAGGGGGGGGGGAGTTAGAGCAATACCATTCGTTAGAAACTATAAGTGAAGCTTTACTAAAAGTAAAAAGCCAGCAGAATTTAAATTTATTTTTGGCTTCATTTGAAAGGACGAGTGCAGAAATGAGAGGAATTAACCAAGGGCAGTTAAATATGACTAAGCAGCATTTAAGAATGCAGCAGTTATTAAGTGGTAGATATAATAAGTATGATATAAATTACAGTAAATTGCTCCTATCATTAATAAATAATTTTTTTAACTCTGGCTAGCCGAAAAAATGGTTTCCTGGACTAGAAAATGTTTTTTATATAGTCAAAAAATTTATTCAACACTTTTTCATCACACCCATTATTAAGCGAGTCAATGGATTTAACAGCGACACTGGAAGAAATGGGAATTAGAAGTGAAGGAAATGAGCAATTAATTAAAGAAATTCAAGGACAAAAAGTCCAACAGTTTTTAGATGGACTTCAAGCAGAAGAAAATAAAGGAGAAGAAGATCAAGAACAGGACCAAGATCAAGATCAAGACCCAGAGGCACAAAATATACAGCCAATTGAAGCGATGACCATTTCTCATAGAAAAGAAAGTGTTTTAGACCCTAAAAAAATGAGAGTGGTGATGAGAGTTGGAGATTCTGAAGTGAATAAGAGAACAACTCTCTATGAAATAAATTCAAAATACGTTAATGAAAATGAAGGGATTGTTATCAAGTTCAGCTTTGATACAATGAACGACCAAAATGAAGAGGAATCAACATATTTATTATCTTAATCTTAATGAAAGGCTTCTGCTTATTTGTAATGCAGCCACCAAGGACTCTCATGGATTCATCCGCTTTGTGACTTTACGACACTGCCGGTCAAAGCTGGGTCGGTTGAGATTAATTCCCAGCAAGAAAAATATCGACACCATTTTTCTCCTCTTCAGCCCCTGACGCCATTGGATATCCGAAGCCTTCGCACTTCCTCCTCGCCTTGCAACTCTAGTATAAAAGGGCAGACAATGGCAAAACCTTGCCAGATATAATTATTATGTGCTGGAGGCTTTATGGCCAGGAAGGTCATACCCAAACCTACTCCATATAATTATCAACATATTTATCATCAAGTACAAATATTCTTGATGAAATTATTAATTCAGCAATCAACATCCAATCTGACAAAGACGAAAAAGTATATGCTCCATTAAAACTGCTTAAATTTTTGCATACCCTAAGCTCAAAAATCCATCAGCTTCTCTCCCCAAGCTCTCCACTGTTTTATTTCCCCATAGACCCTATCTCCTTCACACAATTTTCCCACAACATTTTCATTAGCCACAAACTTTCAGCTATTTTGGCCCGACAAGTCTCAGACGTCTTAGCAATGGCTGGCGGCACCGCTCCTGACTGGGTAAAAAACTTGCCAAAAAAGGCTACATTTTTGTTTAATTTCTTACAAAGATATGACTTATTCAGAGCTATAGGGTTCGGAGGTGGAAGGTCATTATATTTTTATTCAAATAGAGGAAAGAACTTTACAGTAAGAATGCTCAGGCAAAAAGCTATGATTCCTAGAGACCAAATTATTGAGGCTGGGATGAGGGTTTTGAGTGATTCAGCTTTATTGAAGTTCGGGATGCTTGAATTTGACTTCAGTGGAGAAGAAGGGACAGGAATTGGCCCGACGCTTGAGTTCTATGCTTTAGCAAGCAAAGAACTGAGGAAACTTGATATCTGGAGAAACACTGGGGAGGAATGCGGACTATTTCCAGCGCCTTTGCAGTCACAAAATCTGGTAAGAATTTCTGAAACTTTTTACTTTATTGGGAAATTATTTTCGGGGTAATTAAGTTTGATATAGAATTAATAAGATAATTTCCTTTATAGAAATGGGAAACAATATAAGCATAATATATAGGAATTGCATTGAGTGTAGTTAAATATAGTTGCAAAAGCTTTATATGATGATCGATTAATCGACTTGCCGATTTCAGCTGTTTTTTGGAAGCTTGTCATGAAAAAGCCGCTAACTTTGATTGATCTTTTACAAGTAGACCCTGGAGTTGGCCGCTATATGCTGCAACTTCAAGAAATCGTGAATAAATGGAAATGGGCTCAGCATGAATGCTCAGATTCTGACTATCAAAAAGGCCAAATGAAAGAAATCACATTAAATGGGACGCCAATTGAAGAGCTTTATTTGTCTTTTACCTTGCCTGGATATGATGATATTGAATTAAAGCCTCATGGAAAAGATAAAATTGTTACTTTAGATACTTTAGAAGAATATATAAACTATAAAGTCTTAATTTTACTGGTATTTTTGTATAGAAATTTCGTAATTAATTACAAATAAACACGGAAAATAAAAAAATTATAGGTAAATTGATTAAAAATAGCATAAATTTTAGTTGCCCATTATACATTAATGCAAAGCTATCAAGCTCAAGCATTCAGAAAAGGCTTAGAAAAACTAATCCCAGTTGAAGCTCTCGAAGTTTTTGAGCCTGAGGAACTAGAAAACGTCATCTGTGGCAAAGGAAATGAGTCCTGGGACATATCAGTTCTAGAAGAAGCTATTGTGACTGCTCACGGCTATGATAAGAAGTCAAAGGTTTACCAAAATTTACTATCCCATAAACTCTTAATAAATCTATAAAGCATTATTATAAATTATCCTCAAAAAAATTCCCCGCTGCCCTTATTCATAAAAATCCCTATAAAAATCATGACTTCCCTCGATATGAACGAAAGAAGACTTTTCTTGCAATTTGTAACAGGGTGTCCAAGGCTCCCTATTGGAGGGTTTAAAGCGTTACACCCTCCACTTACTGTGGTCAGAAAAGATCCCACAGTCCCTGGAACCAACCCTGACGATGTCTTACCAAGCGTTATGACATGTCAAAATTATTTGAAAATCCCTGAGTACTCTTCTTATGAAGTTTTCAATAATCAACTTAGATACGCGCTAAAAGAAGGCCACGAAGCATTCCATCTATCTTAATTATTGATTAAAAATATTTATAACGAATATTAGTTAAAAATACCTTTAAATGGCTTTGGGTTTAGTTTTGGTCTTTTCTGAGGGACTTCTAAGTTCATTACTTCAGCTGTAGTCACTCTGGCCATTTTTTCTACTGGTTTTTCAAACTCTGTGACGAGTTCTCTGATTTTGGGATGGTAGTGCTTTTTCAGTATCATTAATTCCCAGAGGGAGCTTTCTATTGATTTTGTGTATAAAGGGTTTATGCTGAATTTGGCTGAATTAAATAGTTTTTAATATAGGAATAATTTTATTTATAAATTATTGGTGATTGGTATAATTCTTCATAATTGAATTTGTCTTCTTTGTGATTATTGTTTATCATTGGTAAAAGTCCTGAGTGGATTTTAAAGCTTTTTACTGTAAAAGCTACAGCCCACAAAGTTGTGCTTACTGGAGAAAGTAAGGACTCTTTTAATAAGACTTTGATAAAAGACCCTATCAAGCTTGATGGGAGCATAGGAGAGCTTAAAGAGAGCTCTAAAAGCTTCAAAAAGCTTTTGGAAAGAGTTTTTCCTTTTTGTAACTGTGTACGAATTAGCTGGTAAAGCTTCATATAGTATTGTTTAGCTTCAAGCCCATGCTTTGTCATCAGTATAAACAAGCCACTTAGTGCTAAAACTGCAGTATTTCCACCATTATCAAAAGATTTTAAATAAAAATCTGAAAACATCAGTGGATCTGACACATTCGGCAGCCCATATTTGCATAAAGCTTTCAGTAAAAACTTTATATCTGCCGCTTCTAGGCTAAGATCAGTGAGCTCTTTTCATATTTGGCCTATAGATTGTTTATATCTGATTGCCCAGGAGTCACTATCTACAAGAATCCTTTGTCCAGCCAGCTCTGGGTCAAAATTTTCTTTTCTTTTTCTTTTTTTGCTGGCTAATGATGGGGGTGCCAGTTCTGGGTAAAAAACATTTTCTTTGAGTTTGCTTGGAGAAGGGATTTGGCTTAAAAATTCATAAATGATGTTTAGGTCGAACTCTTCATCTTTTACGAGGGATGAGATTACTTTAGCTGATTCTGTGGCTATATCTTGATATTCTTTCATGATATAACGTAAAATATTAAAGAATTGGTGCTCTAAAAGACTTCTGATAAGCTTAGAAAAATGTAGTAGGCCTTTTGGCTGTAGATTTTTTCTTAAGGTCTTTAACCGCACTATTTTCTCTTGGTAAAAATTAATGGTTTTTTTTGCCGAAAAATAAAAAGCATAAATGACTCATAAAAAAAAAAAAGCCTGGAAAAATTCTGGTTCTCTGATATTGGGATTTTTTTTGTGGAGAAGCTCAATTTTTATGTATGAGAGAAATTTTAAGGCCCATTTCGCTTTTACTTCATCATCTTCTGATTTTAAAAGAAATGATAAGATTGCTTTGCTGCCTTCCTCATAAAGTTTTCAAAGTAAATTTGATAGGCCGACGAGCCTTTCATCTTGCAAAATTTCAGCTTTCCAATATTCTTCAAGGACTCGGCCTATGCAAAGGCCAACTTTTGCTTGGAATTTGTAGTCACCTGTTTGTAAGACTTCTGTTAATTTGGAAACTTGATCAATATCTTGCAAATTTTCTTTTATATTAGCCTCAAGTTTATTGAGTTCTTCCATTTATATGTAAATATTTAATAAGATTATTTTTATCGATGATATTACAGTAGCATCAACATTAAAAATATTTTATTATAGAAAAGTCCACTGTAATTTTGAAGGACTGCTTCCCTGCTTTCTTCCAGTCGCGTTTTATGAAATCGCACACAGGAAAGGGCTTACACTTATAACCCAGTAATCCGAAGAGCTGTGTCATTGAGAGCGCGCGCCCATATAGGTTGCCTATCATTGAAAATTTAAATATGGTTGGATTTTCTGGCTGAAACTAGAGTGTCCTGCTGGTTTCAAATGGGAAACATTACCGAATAGCCAGGAATATAACGACTGGCTCTGATAGTAGATCCTTTTCCAGCTCTCAGCTATTTCCCTATCAAAAAATCCCTGATTTGGATTGAGTATGCGGTCAGCTAAACCTAAATTGTACTCAACAAAACAGGTAAAGCCTGGCTAAATACATTTTTCGAATGCCATCCTCTCTCTGCATTCAGCTTCAGGAGTTAAAAGGATGGGTTGGTTTGCTGTGCTATTTTAGTTTATATGATATGACTGGTTTGCTGTGCCATTTTAATACATATTATATTAGAGTAGCTGCTCACATATCAACATAAAACTTAGCAGTTTTTGTAAATTTTAAGAAATCTTTATAGTCACATGACATAAAAATAGAGTTTTTAGGATTGAAAATTGTTAAAATAGCTCCAAAAAATGATAATATAATTTTTATCTTTATGCTTATAAACAATAAAACTTAAAATTAGTATAAATTCATATATGAAACCTCTTAATAACTATAAGGTATATTTTATTAGTATCTTAAATGTCAGAAAATCTTATACTTAAATTAAATATGGAATCACCTGAAATAACCTCTGAAGTTTTCCAAAAGCTTCAACAAGACTCAGAAAATCTTTATTGTTTTGACTGTGGATCTCCAAATGCAGATTATGCTTCTACAAACCATGGAATATTTTTATGCTCCCAATGTGCTGGAAATCACCTAATTGTTGATCAGTTAGTATACTCTTTGACTTATTTTGCAAAGAGATGCCCAAAAGTAGATTCGAACTCCTTAATTTAACTGAAATTACTTATAGAGTTGATGCTGTCACTAGTTAGGCCCAAAAGGGTGCTTTAGCACTGCAGCGGTAAACTTTAAATATTAATCTAAAATTTAAGTAAGAAATTACTTATAGAGAAATCCCCTTGCAGGCTCGTAAACCGCTACCTGTCTCTGCGTAGCGCTCCACCACTTGCTTGCTTGCCAGTCCGGCAGAGTTTTTCACTGTGTTGCACTCGTTACCTGAGAGTCAGAGACGTTGTGTCACATTTCCGTGTGCCAATGGGATTGTCTTTCCAGAAAATTCGGAAAACGAATTTTCTGGTCGGGTTGTAGACCAAAATAGATATCGAAACCCAGGACCCAACGCCTGGTACATGATAGAGAATTTGTTCGATTGGCCAAACGACATCCTCTGGCCTTGCTGGGAGTCCCCTTTCTAACTCCAGCAAACCTTCTCCTACGATGTAAAACCTTAACTTGATTGTAAGCATGCCATCGCTAGCCCAAAATTTGCACTTTACTATATCAAGCAAAACCCACTCGGGTTCACATTTCTCAACGAACCGACAGGCTGCAGGTTTTCTCACCACACCATTTAATCTATGATCCGAACTCCACTTATTGAATAAAAATTCCACATATAGAATAAAGCAAATATGCAGGCTCTGCATATGATATTATATTTCCATAGAGTTTGAATAAACGCAAAAAAGCCTCTTTTGCAAATTATGCAAAAGACTATAATATCAAATCATGGAAATCTGAACCTTGAACTCTTAAGTAGTTGAAGCTTATGTCAGCTGGCGGAAACTCAGCGTTTCATCTTAATTTGCAGGTTGTGAGGTAGACTAATTGTTATGTGGTCGGGCAGGGCTTTCAGATGCGGGATTCATTCGCTTTATGACACCTTCTAGAAACGCTTGATCTGCTGAGAAGACTTGCTTGCTCATTATTCACCCTCTGATGCCATGGACAACTGAAGTTTCACATGCTTCCTGTGTCTTCTCTTTGGCTTTTCAGCTTCAGCGTTGAGATGTCAAACTATAGATCTTTTGCTTAGCCCTTCTTTGGCTTAGGGAAACTAACCGTATTCCAAGTAGGGGCAATCTAAAGTCTAGCTGGTGAAGTACAAGAAAATGGCCTTATCCCTGAGGCCATTTTTATGTATCTCAGAGTTTCATCACTTTCTATTAAATTACAAAATATCGAGAGAAACACCGATTTTTGCTTTAAAATATAAAACAAAAGCTGCAGAATACTATAGAGCAATGCTAGATGCTCTATCAGAAAATTTGCAATATGATGTTGACTTTCCATCAGTTGAGCTTGGAATTCAATGATTATAGAAATTTTTTAGAAATTATTTGTTAAAAAAAAATTTATTATATTAAGTATATGTAGAGATATTTTTTCCTGTGCAGGAAACCAAATCCCCAGCACCCCGATTTTGTAATGCCCCCAACTCTTATAGAAGCCATGGAGCCTGGCCTCGTTGGACTAACGACAGGATACAAAGCGACTTAGCGAAAGAAAGGCGAAGATATCAGGCGTGCTTTTAGAAGCGACTGAGTTGCTGGAGCCCTATACTAACAGTTAATCTAATATAAGTTTATGCTTATTCAACTTATAAATGAGAATAGTCCATCATATTCTCCTAATACTGAAATGCTAGCTCCCCAGGAGTATTCAGAAATTCCTATACAACCTCCTCTAGCTGAAAATATAGGAAATGTCCAAGTTCCTCCAATAGAAAATGAAGAGAGGCCAAAAGGATGGAAATCATGAATTAAAGCTAAATATACAAACTCAGTTCAATTTGGAGATAAAGTTTTTGATAAGTTTAATAATTTTGTGAGCACCAATCCTACTATGAAAAAGCTTGATGAGCAGGGAACAAAAGCTGCTAATAAAATTAATGAAGAAGTCAAAAAATTTTCACAGCATCCTCATGTTCAATATGTTGAAAATATAGCCAAAAATACTACTAATCATCTTACTGAAGAGGCTAAAAGTTCTTATATAAAATGTCTGAAATTTTGCAAATAATCACATTTTCTAAAATTTTAGCTGTTAAATTTATTTTTAAATTAATTGTTATTATGATTTTTTTAAATCTGTTTAATAAATGCTTATATAAAAAAATATTGGGTAAATTATAATTATTTGAATCCTAAAGCTCAAAAAGTGAGAAATGCTGCAAATAACTTTTTCATACTCCCCCTCTCCTTTGTGAGCAAGTAAAGCCGTTGGAAAGATCTTTATTTTAAAAAAAAAAAATAAGTGAGCAAAAATTTGTTTTAAAATATATATTTATATATATTATAATGAAATCTCTAGACAGTTCTATTCAATTTAAGCAGCTTGCATTTTAAAATAAATTTAACAAATTAAATTAATTGTATTGAAAATTTGCTTTTTTTTTTAATTTAAAAAAAATATGTAAAAAATTACACATCTTTGTGAGCGAAATTTTTTGCTGGTTCAAGGAGAGGACGAAGCTAGGAATAGAAAGCAAAACAAAAAATTTATCATCAGCAGCTATGAATTATATCAAAAATAAAAGAAACCAAGGCCCAAAAATTGATGGCGAGGTCGAACATCCTCTACTACAAAATGAGAATCCTGTCAATTAAAATTGATTAATTAAATAAAATTTAGAGCAAAACTTATTTGCTTGATTATTAAAATATGAGTATGTAAGTCATTTTTAAATTTTAATTATAAAATTAAGAATGGTGTATAAAATTTTCTGTTTCCGTGCTTTGCCACACATAGAATAAGTTCAAAAAATAGAGCTTTAGCAAATTTTTAGTAATTTTTAATTTTCCTTCAAAAATTAATATCCGGTACTTGCAGTTTAATTCTGATTTTGATTGAACCAATAAAAATATATTAGTTATACCCTCATAGGCAAATAAGGAAAAACTAATAACCAAATATTAAATGAGATTTTATGCTTAGTCATATAACGCAAAGGCTTCAAATTTAATCTATTTTAGTATATACAATACAAATTATCTTTCAGTAGAGGTCTTCACATAAGCCTCTTTTACTAAAAATTTTTTTCTTTGCCTCAAATTTTCTATTAATTCCGATCAATCTTTACCACACTCCCTTCCACTTCTCTAAATATGGATTTAGCGCTCTGAACCTTGGGTTATATTAATAAAATATGGAAAGCCCAGGTTTTTCAAGTGAATCAAGCTATGATCCTGAAATCGTGATGCCAATAGCAATCAAACCAGTCACTCATTTTCTTCTCGTCCCTGCTTCTCAGTTTATAATGAACCCTGATAACACCTATCTTGGAAGCTTAACCAAATCAGAAAGGGCAAGCAAGGTAAAGCGTTACCTTGATAAGAAACACTCCAGAGTCTATGACAAAAAGGTCAGGTATCAAAGCCGCAAAGAATCTGCTGACAAGCGCGTAAGAGTCTGCGGCCGATTTGTGAAACAAGAAGTCCCATCCAGAAGCAGCACTGAGGACGAAATAAGCATGGCTTGCTTTAAAATTGATAGCGATCCAGCCGTTGATGAAAATTCAATGGCAGCGCTTTAAATGTATACTAAATCTGTCTAAATTCTATTATTTTTATCTATCTATTTCTTATAAATCCAAAATAATAGTCTGGCTTAAAACCATTTTTAACACCCTATAAATAGCTCACCCTGGTCAAGGGTGGCTCATAACTACTTATCAAAATTAGACTTATTCATAATAAATATGGCTCCAACATCCAATAAATATCAGTTTTAATTCGCTATAACTACAAAAAATATGTATATTCTAAAACTCCATATCCCATCCTCCAGGAGGCTCATTTTCTGGGCTTCTTGGGAAATTTTCGTTCTGTTCTTCAAATGCAATAAATTCCTGCATTGTTTTATTCCTTTTTTTCGCATTTGCCAACTCTGAAGACAAAGACCGAAGCTTTGGGATATGTGGAGCTCTTTGCTGCTTGGTTATTATGCGTTCCTATATAAAAATTACTCATGGGAGACCTAAAAATCATTTGTGCTCTTTTAGCTTGCTGGTAACTCCTCCCATTCTTAAAGCTGGATTTTTGTTCAAAAGCTGCTGGATTAGATTTTTCGAGTAAGCAGCAGAGTCAAGATCTCTTGGGAAGCAAAGTCTGTATTCGAGAATTTTCTCATAAATTTCATGGGGATCGTCAAGATTTTCGCCGAATGGGAGCTTTCCGTATAGAAATTCGTAGATCATGACTCCTAAGCTTCAAAGGTCAGCTTGCATGGAGTAACCTGCACCTAAAAATACTTCTGGAGCCATATAATGAGGAGTGCCTACTGTTGTATAAGATCGGCCATGAAGGACTTTGGCTGCGCCAAAGTCTATTAGTTTAGGGTATCCTTCTTCATCTATCATAACATTTTCTGGCTTAAGGTCACGATAGATTATGTCTCGTTCATGGAGGTATTGAAGCATTAATATTCTTTATTTAATTAATTAGTATTAAAGCAAGTTCATTTTTTTAAATAAAAAATTACCTCACTATGTGCTTTAATTTAATTAATAATGCATACTAAGCGCCCATTCATTAAAATGGCATGGCGAGCAACCCTCTTGACTACTGTAACTGGGGTAACCCAAGGACCTTGGTAGGATGGTGTTCGGTAATGTGTATCCGGGTAGGTTTTACATGGTGGTGAAGCGCAATGTCGGATTAGGCCAACCGCAGCTCACATCCAGTCCGAGCTACGGGGATTTTTTAATAATTTTTTTAATTAAGTTTAACTTTAATAATGCATACTAAGCACCCAGCATAAAATTTGGCATCATTTTCGCTCAGAATGTTTAATGCTAATAAGACGTCAAATAAATCTTGCCCATGCACATATTCCATAAGGAAATAAAATCTTGAGTCATCTTTAAAAGTTTTTACTAGCTTGACGATCATATTATGATCTAATTGTAGCAAAATGTTTCTTTCTAATAAGATATTTTGATATGTTTCATATTCATAAACTTTTGCTTTAGTTAGTTATTAAGACTTAAGGGAGGTTCGCTGTATTCCAAAAGGACTACCTCCACCCATAATGCTTCTCCGCTTGCTCGCTTGCGCTTCACGGCATCGCGAAGGCTGCTACTGATGGATGAGGGCTGGACTCGTTTCCTGTCGTCGGATGAGTTTGGCTACCGTGGTATGTCGGCAGTATTGTCCACTATTGAAAATTCAAAAGATTGAATTTTCTGGTCAAGTCTCGGCAAAATTGGAAATAGTAGCCCAGGGCGTAACTCCTAGCTTTACACTGGGAATAGTCCCGATTGGCCAAGACAAATGCCATTAGCTTTGCTGGGAGACCCCTTTCCAACTTTAGACCCATATCCCATTGAAGCAAAAACCTTGCAATGGAGCAAAAGCATGAGGTCGGCCAACCTGACATCAAATTACACCAAACCAAAAAAAATCGGCAGGATACACATTTCCGAACGCTATCCTCACTTCCTCAAGGTCTCTGCGCGCCCTATGAGATGCTAGCTATAGGAGCTAAGAAGTTGGGTTGTTCGCCAGTCCCTTTTAATGTATATCCATAAACTTTTGCTTTTAAAACAGATTTCAAAGCATAAAATGCTTTTTTGCGCTTATGTGCAGTTAAATACACTGTGCCGAAATTCCCTCTCCCAAGGGTTTTTATCGGCAAAATTTCATCAAAAGTTATCATAATCCATATATCAATAAATTATCCCCAATTTAAATAAACTATAATAAAATAAATTTAATCATTTCTGAATATCATCTTGCAGCTCAATTCTTTTTAATAGCTGGACCTTGATTCCTTCATCAATAATATTTAAAAAATCTTTCTTTTCCACTATTCAGCAGTCCACTTCTCCATTCGCCACAACTGTTGCACTTCTCTTAAAATCATTAAAAAGTACTGATCTCTCCCCAAAATAATCGTGCTTTGTAATATTTCTAATATTAACCCCATCCTTTTGCACGTGAACTTTTCCTGATTTTACAATAAAAAATGAATCTCCCAAGCTGTTTTGTTCTACAATGATTTGGTTGTCTGTATAATGGACTTCTCTAAGCACACTAATTAGTAGTTTAAATCTTTCTATTGATAATTCTTTTAGCAGCTGGACACTTTTTAGTATCTCTATAATCTCATTCATTGCTTGGATTTCTATTAGAGTCCCTTCCATGCTTTTTTCTATTTCTTCTTTGGTGATATGCGCCACAATTAAGTCACTTTCTGATATAAAATCAACAGAATAATTTTCGTATGGATCTGCTAGTAATTCTTCGTCGCCGATGCAGGAATAAGCTTCTATTGTCCCTAATGGGCCACGTATAAGGCCTTTAGTTGTAATCCAAAGGTTTCGGCCTTTAGGAGTTCCTCTTGGTATTACAAGCTCGCCTGCTTTGTAGGAGGTAACTTTCATTAGGTTAAAAATCAGCTCTTTTTGGTCTATTGAAAGGATTTTTAAAGCAGAACTTTTTTCTACAGAAATTCTGAGGGCGTTTCTGTACCAAATTTGTTCGAGATTATTGCCAAGGACTTCAATTAGGGCTTTTCGCCCAATAGACACTAATTTTACATCTCCTACAGCTGTAATTGTAGCTGTTCTTTTAAAATCATTAAGCAGTGCGAGCTCTCCAAAATACTCCCCTTTTCCCATCTGCCTAATTTCTCTATCATTTTCTGTACAAGATACAAGCCCATCTTTGATTATGTATCCTTTTTCCTAATATATTATACAAGTCAGCCTTTAGAAAAAATTAAAATTCTTTTTTTTTTCAGAATTCCCCTCACATTTATAGTTATAAATCATAAAATAAGTCTCCAGTGTCACCTTGTTTTACAATGCGCTCGCCAATTGAGAATCTTTGAGTTACAAGAGAAGAGAGTAATGCATCTTTTTGGCTGTTTGTAAATGTTTTAAAAATAGGAACACTTTCTATGAAATTTTTATTTTCTTCATAGTTCAAAGCCATGATTTTCTTAACTGCGTCTTTGAAGGTTTCTCTAGAAACTCCTCACAAGCAACAGCTCTCTATTGTGCGAACAGTAGCAGACCTAGGTCTGTCGTCTAATAGCGCCAATTCTCCGAACCCAGAGCCTGATTTTAAAATATCTTTGCGCTCATTGTCGACACGTAGTTCTACCCTTCCAGAAGAAAGGACATAAAAGCAGAACCCTGGCTGTCCTTGTTCAAAAATGCACTCTCTTGGCCCTATTTCGTAAAATCTCATATTCTTGACTAATTCCTTCTCCTAGATAAGTTTTTATTTAAAGCTCGGATGATGGAGATTTTTATAAAAATTCATTTTTTGGGTAAATTGAAATATTTACTGCCACCCTCAGTTAGCGAGCAAAACCATTGGAAAATCCCTATTTTTCGGGGGGTGAAAAACCTGTACGAGCAAAAATTTTTTTAAAATAGAATTTTTATGAAAAAATCCTTCGATATTTAAGTGATAATTAGTATAATAAAATCTCTAGCTAATTCTATTCAGTTTAAAATAGTTGCATTTTAAAACATAAATATTGCAAATTAAGCTCATTTTATATTTTTCAATTTTGCGAAAATGGATTTTTTAAATTATATAAAATTTTTATAAAATTTATATATAATTTTTTTAAAAAAATTACCCCTCGTGAGCGAACAAAATTTTTTTATTCGCTCATATAGGGTGGGTAGAGTTAGAATATTTTCTAAAAAGGGATAAGACCATTTGGCTATCTTCATCAAGATTTTGCAGAATAGAATGCTTGTTTATGACATCTAATATCAGCTTGATGTCTTCTTTGGTTTTTTCTTTATCATTAACAATTGCAGAGCTTGCCTCGCTATTTGCATAGAGCATTCTCCTTAAATCTATGATAGGTTTTTGATGTCTTTGCTTAAAAGCTGTTGATCTTTTATCATTAGTGCCAGGATAATGAAAATCAGTCGATTCTTTACTGAAAATCTTTTTATTTATTTCTAAAAATTGATTTTCTGGAACTATATACCCGGAAGTTCTGCCCATATCTGATTTAACGCAGCTGCAGCCCATCTAATGCGTATTTGCTTATAAATTATTTAATATATGAGAATCTATTATCATGAACATTGAAAAATCATCATACTTTTAAAATCAGTAATTTTAAGTTTTATAGTTTTTTATTTTGACCTTGCATATTGCGATATTTTAATGTAATTATAAGAAATATTTTAATTTTTTTTAAGTTAGCCATAGATTTTCTTGGTCATGACTACATAGAAGTCATCAAAGGTCATTGCTTGTTTATCAGCGGAGACCTTTGCAAGTGCTTCTTGTAATTCTTCTTCAGTCATGCTTTCTCCGAGCTCCCTTGCGACTCTTGCAAGATTTTTCACATTAATAGTCTCTGATCCATCAGCGTCAAATAAATCGAAAATTCTTTTAATTCCATCTCTTGTGTTTCTATGGCCTAGCCTTTCACTGATGTGTCCTAAAAAGTCTTCAAAAGTAATGGAGGCTCCTAATTCTTCGATTCCTGCCAAAAGTCTGAAGATAGTTGGGGTTTTGTCTTGTCCAAGAGAGGCAAGAGCAGCGTTAATTTCTTTAGGATCGATGGTGCCAGAATTATCAGAATCAAAAAGGTCAAACGCTTCTTTGATTTCATTTATAGTGTATTATAATGCATTTGGCATTTTAGGCTATAGCATTCATGTTTTAGGGCCATATTGATGCAAAAGGTCTTGAATATTAGTCCTTATTGCCTCTGAGACTTAGGATAAAGAACCAAAAAGTGCAATAATCTATAATTGAATTAATAATTTTCAAAAAAAATAAATTTTTAATATAAAATTGTCCAGCAAAAGTATATCTCATCCTGGGTCAAGTTTGAAGTGTCTGGAACTTCAGCTTTTCCTCTGCCTGGGGATTTTCCTCTTGAGCCTCCTCTTTTAGCGTCCTTTGTGGAGCTCTCAGACACGTATTTCGCTTTCTTTGACATTTTTATAACCAATAATTAAATATGGCAAAACTCATGAACTATTAAGTGTAATTTTTAATAATTTAAACTATTTTCTATCACTTTATTTTGGTTTATAAGATTCTCAAATTCTTGGATTGCGGAGTTTGTAAAAGCCCTCATAATCATTTCATATTTTTCCTGCTTATGTTCTCTGAATTTCGGGATCTCTTCTTCAATGATTCTGGCAGTGATAATTTTGCATATCAGGTTTAAGCTTTTTATGTCATTTTCTAAATTATCAATATTTCCTTCAATTTTTGATAAATGATGCTCTTTGGGTTTTCTTGATAGCCTTTGGGATAGCAGCTTCTTTCCTTGATGCATTTTTTCTAGGTCTAATTTGCTTTCGTCAAGCTTGTCTTCGTATTTTCCTTTGATTTTGTTATATTCCACCTGCTTTGCGACAAGGTCTATCATAGCTTCAAGGTCAAGGACTTCTTTTCTTATCCAGTCAAGCAGGATTTGGTAAGGATTTGTATAGGAATCCCTCAGTAAAACATTGACTTCTCGAGATTCAAAATTTTCTTTATAGAAAATATTAATTGCTTGGATTCCTTTCATTAATCTCAGTAGCTCAATTTCAAATGCAGCGAAATTAATCACGTTTTCCTTACAGATTTCTTCAAACTTATTGAGTGCTGCAATACCTGATTGAAATGCCAGAAGAGAAGCTTCAATTTTGTTGTTTAAATCTTCAGATATTTGATAAGTGATATAATTGGGAAACTCTTCTTTGAAATTTTGAGCTATTTCTGTATATACCAAGCATACTATGAATAGCTTTAAATATTATTTTTTATATTATATACGATATCCATCAATAAAAGAATAATTTAATTTTTTTACTTCTTGGAGGTTTTTTCTGAATTGTCCTTCACTTCTAATAAACAAATTAAATTCTGGAGATCGAAAAATATAGCTATATGAGCTTGATTTTGTTAAAAAATATTCCAATAGTTTTCTCCTTTGCTCAATAAATTGAGGATCTAAATTTCCCTATATAAAATATACAATAGCTTGTTTTGGAGGAATTTGAGGAATAAAGCACCCAGGCCATCTATCTATAAGTGAGTCTCGGAGTGCTTTGAAATCTTTATAGCGCCTGCAAGCTTCGAAAGTGCCTTTAGAGTCTTGGCCCATTATCGTATAATTAACGTGACTGCCGAGCCTTTCTTCTTTAATTACTGGGTTTATTACAGAGATAACTATTGTTTCTTCCTCATATGAAGAAGATGGATCTAAGCCTTCATCCATAATATTTAATGATTCTTTATGAGGGATATTTGACAGAGGAGCCTCTGTAAGAGGATTGATATCTTTGAATTCTTCGTTTTCGTTGGAAAAATTGTTCATCCCTTTTGGTGTCTATTTTATTCTTCCATTTAGTTTAATTGAGAAATGGGAAAAAGTTGCCACAATAAAATGAGAAATTTGCATATATATATATTCTTTATAAAAGTTCTGCATTAAATATCTCCTTGGATTATACCAATATTCTTTGATAATTATAAACTAGAATAAATTTAGCTTTTAAAGGTAAACTTTTAACTAATGCATTATATTTACAGCAGTTATTGCAATATAGAAATTAGTTTTTATTTGTATTTTTAATTGAGATTATAAATCAAAGTGACATTTATAATAGCTTGCATAATTTTTATAAATGTCATCCAATTTACGACCTGCTTTAAAATTAGCCAAAGCGAAAAATGAGGTATTTAAGCAGCTTAAAAAGTTGCAAAAACAAAAAAGGAAGCAGAAAAAACAAAAAGAAATCCCAGAAAATGTATCATTGGAACCATATGAAGTCCAACAAGAAATCAAACAAGGAACAGGAAAAATTTTAATTTCAGGGACTACAGTACATGGGACGGGAACATTATTTACAGAAGAAATTGAGCAAAACGACGAAATTATTGTAAGAACTGCTAATTCAGAAGAAAGAAGAAAAGTTATACTAGTTTTAAGTGATAAATCAGCTTGCCTGAATGAGCCTTTAAGCCAAGAATCAAATATAGAATTTTTTATCCAAAAACCTCCTATTAAAGTAGATCCTCGAAAGGAATATGAAGAATCAAAGCCTAAAAAAAAACAAAAAACTGAAGACTCAAATGCAAATTACGAAATAAGGGTAAAACGCGGACCTTGGACCTATAAAACAGACAACGTTGAATCAAATCAGCCTTTATCACAAGAAGATTTGCTAAATATTAGAGCACAAAGAGTTCGAGACAAGTTCTGCTGGATGTAAAACTAATATTTATTTTATGAATTAAGCCTAAGTTTTTATATTTTTTTTATCTTAAGAATACTTATACGATTATGTAAGGGATGTTTTAATTTATTAGAGTAAACTCTTAAAACAATAATCATAAAACTTAATTTCTTATGCAAATTTGTACTAATCCCCCCCTCCGTGAGTGAACAAAAAAAATTTTGTTCACTCACACGGAGGGGGGTTAAATTTTTTTTTTAAAAAAAATTATATATAGAAATTTTAAAGAAAATTTTTTTTTTTCGAAATTTAAAAAAATCCTAATTCGCAAAAATTGGAAAGCAAATATTTATTTAATTTATAAAAAATTTGTGTTTTAAAAAGCAATTTTGTTTAAAATTAAACAGAATAAGCTCTAGGTTTCATTATACTAATTTACCACTTATATATCAAATTTTTTTTCCATAAAAAAATTTTTGTTCACTCACTCACGGAGGGTGGGTTTTTGGCAAAAAATAGCGATTTTTCTAATGGTTTTGTTCACTCATGGGGGAGTAAATACATTTTATTAATATGCTTGGTAGGCTAGCTAAGCGTGCGTTTGCAAGCTTTGATTATGATTTAGCTGTTGTTGGAGGTGGCCCTGGCGGCTATGTCGCAGCAATAAAAGCAGCCCAGCTCGGCCTCAAAACAGCATGTATCGAAAAACGAGGAACTTTAGGAGGAACTTGTCTTAATGTAGGCTGCATCCCTGCAAAAGCTTTATTAAATTCTTCTCATAAATACTATGAAGCCCAAAAACACTTTAAAGACCATGGAATTTTATTTGATAGCTTAAAAGTAGATTTTGGCCAAATGATGAAAAGCAAAGAACAAGCAGTGTCCGGATTAACACGAGGAATTGAAGCTCTTTTTAAGAAAAATTCGGTCACTTACCTGAAAGGGGCAGGAGCTTTCCAAGACCCTAATACTTTGACTATTGATAATGCAAACCCTATTAGAGCCAAAAATATTCTGATTGCTACAGGATCTGAACCAAGCCAAGTCCCTGGAGGGATCTTGCCTATAGATGAAAAAAGAGTGCTTTCAAACACTGGCGCGATGGCGCTGAAAGAAATACCTAAACGTATGGTTGTAATTGGAGCTGGGGTTATTGGGCTTGAACTCGGAAGTGTTTATAGCAGGCTTGGCACTGAAGTAATTGTTGTGGAATATTTAAATAGACTTGCCCCAGCGCTTGACTTAGAAGTCGCTCAAAGTTTACAAAAAATCTTAGTAAAGCAAGGCATAAAATTCCATTTAGGAGCAAAAGTTGTAGGTGGAGAAGCCAAAGATGATTCAGTCCATGTCAAAATTGAGCCAGCTTCACCAGACTCTAAAAATGTCCCAGACAGTATAGACTGTGATTATGTACTTGTAGCGGTTGGAAGAAAGCCTTATACTCAAGGCTTGCATTTAGACTTCATTGATGTATCAAGAGATAAACAAGGGCGAGTAAATGTAAATGATCATTTACAAACTTTGAGACATGCCCACATCTATGCTATTGGAGATACTATAAGAGGACCAATGCTTGCTCACAAAGCTGAAGAAGAAGGGGTTTTTGTGGCTGAACATATAGCTGGCCAAGGTGGGCATATAAATTATGATGCAATTCCTGGCGTTGTATATACTCATCCTGAAGTCGCTCAAGTAGGAAAAACTGAAGAAGAATTAAAAGCAAGCAATGTCCCTTATAATAAAGGCACTTTTCCGTTTATAGCAAACTCAAGAGCGAGGGCTAATCAAGAGATGGAAGGGTTTGTTAAGGCTTTGGCACATAAAGAAACTAATCAGCTGTTAGGACTACATATTATAGGGCCTGATGCAGGAGAGATTATTATGGAAGGAGTTGTTGGAATAGAGTATGGAGCAGCTGCAGAAGATATAGCAAGAACTTGCCATGGACATCCTGGGTTTTCAGAAGCTATCAAAGAGGCATGTTTAGCAACTTTTAGTAAAACTATTAACTTTTAATCAATTATACCACTTAAAAGGAATATAATTAAATTTTACTTACACGAAAAAATAATTATTAAGAAAATTGCTTATTGCAGAATCCTGAGTAATCAAAAACTCTCAAATTATTCAAATTAATACCAAAGATAAACATTTTATCAATTAACGTTAAATATTTAAAAATAATGATCTTATATGTATTAATTCTAAATTAAGCCTCTCATATATATATCCTAGTTGAATTATTTTTAGCTAATTTAATGAGCTATGAAAGAGTCAAGTTTTCTATGAATTATCAAGGACTTAATCTAATAGCATTCTTAATAAATCTAAAATTGTCCTGTTTACTATATCAATCTAATAACAATATTTCTCATAAATTCACTGGCATAAAGCACTAGATAGAGTATTAAGTACCTTGCATATTTGCAGCCCATTTAAAGTTAATCCGGGCTCGCATTTCAAATATTGTCCCAACCGCCGGCATCTTTACCGAAATTTTTTAAACACAATTGCAAAGCCACCTGTGCACTTATTAAATAATTTTAAAAGAACTTTTGCCCGAAATCAACTTATTGAGTAATTTTCATGCTAATAGTCGTTTTTTGATTACTACTATAAGCAATAAATAAAAATAATCAATGAAAGAGCAGCATTTTTCTCTTCCACAAGAGCACTCTGACTATGAAGAACTTGTTTATCTCCGAAAGATCTTACTTTTACGCCTTATTCACGTTTTATTTGCTTTTGGAGTTTCTTGTCTTATTCTTTTTGTGGAAACTGTTTATGAGTTCACAGAATCAAGAATTTACTTAACAGTAGGATTTAAGGTATCTCTTATTCCTATCGCAATAATTTTATTTAAAGTCGATAGAGTAGGGGGAAGCTTGGTTTTGTCATTGATATTTGGCATTCTTTTTACGCTAGGACTAGGAGCGATGCTTGGGTCACTATTTAGTGTGTGTTGGAAGCCAGTTACAGCTTTTGTGCTATTAAGTGCATTTGTCACAGTTCATTTTGCTTTATTTTTATATGCAGCTTTTGAAAAAGATGTTTATAACGTGACGAAAGGGCTTTTATGGGTGCTTGAACTGTCAATTGTGAATTTTATAATTCAAATTTTTTATTTCCGCGCTGAGCGCTTCTATTTATTAATTATCGCATTTATGTTTGGGATGTTTGGAGCTTTCTCTGTTTATCACGCGAAAATGATTTCACAAGGGAAATTTAGGGTGATTCCAAGAGAAAGATATGTATTAGGAGCTCTAAGTGTTTATATAGATTTTACTTTGATAAAATTATTTATTATACAAAAATGCTGTAAGAAAAGAAAGGAAGATGAAGAGCAAAGCACGCTTATTAAAGAATAGAAACAAGGCATAAAGTTTAATCAAAAATAAATGTTAGGTATTATTCTCATATATCAAATAGAATTTTAAATTGAAACTATAACATTAAAGTTAGAATTATACTCAAGTGTTATTACCATTCTAGCTAAATAGTCTAAATAATAATTAATTTTGATTAAAAAGCTTATTATTTACTAAGCTGGAGCATGGTTTTGCTGCTCAGATCAAATTTATAGTACTCATGCATATTAAGCCATTTAACTCCTATATATATGGCTCCTTTGCTATATTGGCAATTCAATTGACCAGGATAATTGGAACTAGTTATTATTGATTTTCCTATTTTCTTCCAATTATTTTCATCATTAATTTCACTTTCGTATACATACCCTTTGCACTCAATCAAATACAGCCTAGGCAAACTTATTAAGATTTTTCTATTCGTTGAAAACTCATAATCTATCCTTGTAAAATAATTACCCATAGTCCGATACCGTAATATATTTTTATTATAGCACCCAGAAATCAAAATATCTCCATCGAAAATAATGCTATTGCAATATTGATCAGGCTTTGGCAGCGGCTTTAAACTGACCCATTTATTTTTTTCTAAATCGAATTTTTCAGATAAGGTTGAACTCATTATGCCTTCATTTTGTCCCCCAAAGCAAAAAATACTTCTTTTGAAATAGACAGCTGATGAAAAGCAGCAAGGTTTCCCGGAAGGAAGCAATTTGAGTCCATAGCTCTGGTCAATTATAGCAGAGATACCAGTGTTTGGATTAGCACTGCCAAAGCAGAAAATTTCTTTATTAGGAAGGCTAGTTATGCATGTGCCATAGTCAAATGTTTCTTGAGTTGGCAAATCTAACACCAATTCTCTTTCACTTTCAGTATTATAAGCAAGCAGATTCACTTCGCCATTACTATTTTTATTAATAAGGAAAAGTGGTGGGCTTAGAGGATAGTCATAATAACTTTCAGAAACTTGGCTGAATTCTTGATTAGGAAAGTTTTGTTTATTTTCTTCAGTATTGCTTGCATTGCCCCCAATATTTTCATAGAATTTTGTAAGTTGTTTTAAAGGTGAATTTATTATATTATTTTCAAGATCTTCAGAGATGCTTAGAAGCCTTGCATTAAGCATTTTGATTTCATTTTCTGTATTTTCCATTCACTTTTCAAA